TCTTAAAGCTGAATATTCAGCTAAAAACACCTACCCCCCCAGGTAGCCAGGCAGGCAGTCAAACCAGCAATTCTAGCTTAAAAACACCACAAAACCAGCGCCAATTACATCGACAAGCATCTTCCATCAAAGCTCTATACAACTGAAACAGCAATAGCCCCCCAGGCAGGGCACTAAACAAGCTGATCAAGGGTTCCCAGCTAGCTATGCAGGCCGGTGCAATACTAGCGCAGGAAAACAAGGATCTACGCGCGGCGAATGAGAAAAAGAAGCAAAAGCGAGCTAGATCTAAGAGACAGATCACTCACCAGGGCAGTCTATCAATGGAAGACGCTCAGCAGGTGATTCGGGGCCTAAACCAGCCTTCCGAAGTTGAGATAGTCACTCAGATGGCAGCGGCTGCGCCGGCTATTTCGCCTAGCCAGCGGCCAGCGCGCCGGCCACCAATGTGTAGTCTATGTGGGAATGTAGGGCATAAGATTAACCAATGTCCTAGTAGATAGCTGGATGAATTTAATGGCGTTGGTGGTTAATAAAATCGATTCCAATTTAGGTGGTGTGGTCAGGTGCGTCGCTCGCTTACATGCGTCGCTCGCTTACCGACCACGTTATGATATACATGGCTCATTTGTCATTCGAACTCCCTGCCTTGCTCATGTGATGCAGCTTGCTCTGAAGCAGCTACTTGGTCAGATGAAGGCAGATCCAAAGAATGAGACTATTGAAACGGTTTGGTCTGATGATCTTGATAAATCTGCCCAAAAGACTGCTAATAAGAGTGATGATATCACCACTACGTTGCAAAAGGTAGGTTTTCTATATCCTTTAAATAATATCTGCTAACCTGATCACTCTTTAATAGGTCCGAAACCTTGCTGTTTTTATTAATGCAAGCCCACAGTGCTGAGAGATATTCAAAGATCTCCAACCTAATCAGCCCGCTCAGCCCAATCAGCCTCGGCCCCCTCGTTTAGTCCCAATCCAGGATGTTCAAACACGTTGGAATTCAACATATCTTATGCTCCGCTGTGCTAGATGACTACAAATATATTTTGATCGCTTCTGCACACAGAATTCCTATAACCATCTGAAGTTATCTTCAAATGAATGGCAACAGGTGGATTACTTGATCACAATCCTCCAACCATTCTTCCAATTTACTGAGGCCATCTCAGTATCCAAGGATGTGACTATTTATATAGTCTTTAGCGTTTACAACAAGCTTTTTAGTCATATTGAATCTTCAATCCGAAAGCTACAGCGAAATAAAATTGGATGGAAGCAAAAGATGCTTGCTGCACTGAATTCATCAATGAATAAACTGCATGAATACTACACCCTGACATGCAACAAGGAGCTTGGTGATCTTTATGCAATTGGGACTATTCTTTCACCTCAGAATAAGCTCCAATATTTCCAAACAAAGGCCTGGAAGGATCAGAAAATCGACTATGCAGCCCTCTATCATGAGAGTCTTCATGATTGGATCAAACCCTACCAGCTCTCTGAGACTCAACAACCTCCATCACAAATTCAGAAATCAACCCATTCAAATATGCATTATATGCATTCCTTATTACTTTCTGAAAATCAATCAGAGATGCCATCATGCCAGCACCTACTGCCCAAGGTGAAGTTGATCGGTATTTTCACATTGTGATAGTGGTAGGCCCTGAATCAAATCCTATTCTCTTATCTTGATCTAACTTTCTCCAGCAACACTACCTAATGGAACCTGCCCTCGGCAGTTCTGGAAGCATCATGAGGCTGAGTATCCTGCTCTAGCAGCTCTTGCCCAGGATATTCTTTCAGTCCCAGCAAGTGGTGGTGACGTGCAGGTGTTGAACGGTTATTCAATTCTACTTGTGATATTTGCCACTATAGGTGAGGGTCTTTAAAAGCATCAACGATTAAAGATCTGATACTATTCATGTGTGCTACAAAGTTCGATATTGAAGAGGAGGAGCTGGCATTCATACAAGATTATGCAAAAACAGATGGGATCACTGCACTACAGGAGGAAGCTAAAGTCCAACAGTCTAGTATTGATTCTGCTGATCTTATTAGTGATGATGAGGAAGATGAGATAGATGATGGGAGTCAGCCCACATTGCTGATTGGAGAGGATAATACTGCTTCAAAGAGGCAGAGTAGTGTTTTATCTGAAGATTCTGCAAGTGAAGATGAATCACTTCTCCCACAGGTGCCTGCACGGCCTTGTAGGTCTCAAAAGAGACCAAAGAGATTTGATGACCTTGAATTAATATAGTACTGCTTTGTTTATGGAATTTATATGAACTTTCTTTCTGCAGAAATCAGTTTATCAAAGGAAATATTATTATGAACCTACAAATACGAATTCATGTGAGCATTGGTAATATTCAGGGACACTGGTTATTAGATTACTAGTTTAATTACTTAAAAAATCCACTACTGTTGCATAAATTATGCAAGTCACGAGATTACTATAATTAGTAAAAAGTTGGGTATTTGGGTAAATTCTTGGGTATACCCAAATGGGTATACCCAAGGACAATGTCCAGGCCTATGCTCGACATCCTCATCAGACAATCTAGGCAAATCGCCAAATCCCTGGCGGTTTTCACATAGTTCATATTCTCCGAGTAGCCCTTTGCAAATATGAGGTCAATTTCCTCCAAGGAGCGCCCAGTGGTCTCTGGGTAGAAAAGGTAGACCACTGGTAAGAAGCACGCATTGGCGCAGGCAAAGAAAAGATAAGTGCCCCATTTGATGTTGCTGATCATGATTGGAATAACCATGACAATGAGAAAGTTGAGCAGCCAGTTTGTGCAGGTAAAATCGCGTTGGCCTTGGCGCTGGTCTTGATTGGCGAAATCTCAGCAGGATACAACCACGGAAGAGGCAGCCATGTTGCACCAAAACTGGCAATGTAAGTGAAGAGGCCCACAGCAGCACCTTTCGCCGCAGATGGAGTTCCTAGGATCAAACAGGCAAAAGTAACAACTATGGAGGTACACTGGCCAATGGTACCCCACAAAAAGAGTTTGCGCCTCCCAACTCTTTCTATGAGGAGCCAGGACATGGTAGCAAAAATGGAATAGACGATCATATTGACTCCTCCAAGGATCATGGACATGAACTCAGATTGGTTCAACGACTGTTTAAATAGGATGGGAAGGTAGTAAATTACAGAGTTACAGGCTTACAGGCTTACAGCCACCAATTTGTTGGAAGAACTGCGATGAACAACCCGGAAGCATTCTCCGGAGGTACTGGGTCTTCCCACCAGTGAACACGGCAGACAGAGGCGTAGTTTTCCCAGCTTGGCATGAACTGTTATACTAATTAGCCTCTTCTTGTTCTTGAAATGGGAAAGGGTTACGTACGCCCTGGTAGAGTCCAAAATGATGTTCTTTTGAAGCTGCACCTCGTAGTAAAAGGTTTCCTTATCCATTAGGGCAGCAATGACCCTTTCACCGTCCTCATAACGCTCGCGGGTGAGAAGCCATCTCGGGGATTCAGGCAAAAAGAACATCCCGAATATGATCAAGAGACCAAAGACGATTTGGAACGCAATAGGGAAACGCCATGTGAGATTATCTGGACCATAAGATGACCCGAAGTCAATCCAGTAAGCAATCAGGGTACCAAAGGCAATTGTGGCACCCTCAATACAGATGAGTAGACCTCGGTTGGAGGTCCTTGAGCATTCTGCCTGATAAGTAGGAATAGTTGAGGTGTTCATGCCATTGCCGATGCCAGTAATAACTCGACCGACGATGAACTGAGCTAGAGGAACGTGACCAGGATAGGCAGTCACCTGTATGATAACACCAAGAGTCAACACAGTGGCGCCAAGTATAATGGACCAGCGTCGACCGAGCCAGTTGCCGGCCCCAAGAACGAAGACAGCTCCGATGAGACATCCTGGGCTGGGTCAGTTGCGCTTGTCTTGTTCATGGTAAAAGGGCAGCCCGAAACTAACCGACTTCATAGATAGCAGTAATAGTTCCTTACATTGTTGAATTGTTGTCGGTTGCTGGAAAAACAGTGTTGAAGGGCTTCGCATCAATGATACTGCTCATGACACCCTCTATCTCTTTAAGTCAGCTTAGGCTGGACTGCCAACATATATAGCAAGGAAACGCACGGTCATAGCCAAACAGCAATAATCCCATAATAGTACATGCGGTTACAGTCCGCATTAAGAGATTGCCGGACATGCCAGCGAATTTTGGGCTCGACATGATGGCAGCAACTCTGACATTCTGGATGGAAGAAGCTTCTTGCCCCTCTGAAAATATAAAGCAAGATCGAACTGACGCAAGCAGTGAGAAGAGGGAGGCACCATGGAATGAACAAAGATCAAGATAAAGAACGCGAGGTTCCAGTCCCTTCTTATAAACCCAACAGGCGGAACCCAAAACTGGTAGCCTCAAGGCATGACACCAACAATCTTTCACTCAACCAAAGGTCACGCCCAGTTCTGCAGAAACGTTAACTAGGCGGAGACCCCCAGGAGGAAAATAAATTGGCACAGTCTGTCTGCATTGTAGGTTGGGTCAGGATTGGTAGATCCAAATTTGTTGTCCTTGTGAGCATCATGCTCAATATCATCATGATTTTAAGAGTAATCATGATGGAAATGTATACATTGCTGTCACTTTGAGCTCAACACTTTGACTGATAGTGACGTCTGCATCCAAGTCAACAAAAGATGTTCTTCTTACTTTTTTTGCTCTTCCCTGTTCACTGTTTGATACTAACCTGGCCCTGAGACTATACGATAGCATCAGGTCAATGCAGAATGAATCGACGTTGTTGGGATATAATTGTACCTGAACACGGTGTGGGGCAGTGCGCACTGCACTGGCTTCCCCGCGAAGAAAGGTACATAAGGTTTTCTTGGCATGATTACTGGAAAACGAGTCCGGCCTCACATCGGGTTTTTACTCCGTTCAAAGCCCCCTCCTTCTTGCATGTGTATGAGTTGCTTTCTAGTTGGATAGTACCCCGTATGTAACATAGGTGTACTCCGTATGTGGTGCCGATCTCTCATGTCTCCACATAAATGCATTTCCCCAGCGATCGATTTCCGAAATCCGAGGCGACATTTGGAATCCTCCACTAAAACGTGTGGAGAGATCTCGGGATGATTTACCCGAGGAGGTGGAGTTCTCCAACAAGCTTCGTTCAGTACTATCCTATCCTACATGTAGACATGGCTACGTTCTATGTACATCCTTCAAGGTCGCCCTGTGAAGGCTGTATATGTGTTGCTGGAAATGTGTCAATGTGGTGTCAGTTTTGCAACGTTAAATCGCGTGGCAGCACACTGGCTGAGCGTCATCGAATGTTGTGGATGCTGTATCTTTCGTATATGATCATCCCTATTTACTCTATGGAAAAATGTGCGGGGCACTGATTTTTATGCCCAAAATCACATTTGCTGCCTCCTCGGGAAAACCGCTGCTTCTTATCCAAGTGTATCTCTGGCTTAATTATTACAATGGCAGATTATGGAAGCACAGGGGAAAGGAAGGGGGAAATGTGTATACAATTTTGTAGAAGAGTTAGGGCTCAGAGTCCATAACCCTCATCTTCCCCAACTGATCGTTATAAGAAAATGAGAAACTTGCTGCTTACTGCTCCATTGACTTAGCAGTATTTGATTGACAGTATATCAAAATATGCTTTAAATAGGTAGATGTGTGGATACATAAAGATGGGAGGTCGAAAAGAAATGGATATATGCCCAGGTTGCTAGATCGATCGTCGGGACTCGGTTTTTCACCTATTTCATATGCTTATGAAACAGAGCAATGGTTTTTCTTGGCTCGCACTTGCTTCGGTCCAGACTGTAGTGTTCTGACGGACCTCATTGTGGTTCCAAGAACGACGCGTTCGGTATGCCAATCATCCAAGCGTAGAGCTAGCTGTAGCGTCTAATATTGAAAACCTGAAGTTCATCACACTGGAGCCTGATGGCACCGTCGCCAATACTACTTTGTGCCTCCGTTTCCTGATTGAATTGATACATGCCCCACAACTGATATGTGCCATAAGGCCAGTGTACTGTGCGTGTGGCATGCAAACACAATCAAGATGAGACTTTCAGTGCGAATGTCATCGACGACTGCTTATCATCTCTATCCTGTCTGCGTAGAATAGAATCTTTAATGATGATGGCATCAGAAATGTGACTATTATCGAATTCTGATATGCCTAGAGCAACCCTGCAGAAGGATGTGACATGCTCATGCTAAAATGGACAGTAATCGGTCATTGCAGACCGCCAAGGAAAACCATGACCTGGGCTTTTGTGAAACTGAGCCCCATGAATCAACAGGTACATTTGACTGTTATGATATCTTTTAGTAGGATTTCTTGTTCGCAATTTTACCAAACCGCGACAGCGCAGGTGGTAGGTAAAATCTACCGGAGTTCATTTAGAAGGAAAAAAACAAAAAAAAAGGAAAGAAAAGGTATAATATTCAATTTATCTGTGATGAATATAAAACGTGGTTATAAATGTAACAGGAACCCTCACCCTAACGCCAAGAAAGAAAATTCCAATGTAGCAAACGACGCTTGTATGAATATTCTCTGCGGTATTCTTTGAAGCGCTCTATGTGTGTCCGAAAATAACCAACGCCGAGCCAAGAGCAGTATTTTACCCATTAAAACCGTTTCCAATGACTTGATAATATGGCATCGAGTCATTGTCTTATACCAACACAGTGCAACCAAGGCCCGACAAATCACTTTGGACGCCTTGGAAACTGAGCATCGAACGGGCTGCGTTGCCGAGTTCGATCATAATCAAGCTGACTGTTCGGTGGTACACCCATTTGATTGATTGTGGGAGAGTTCCCGAGTGTTTGGCGTGGTTCTTTTCCATCGTTTTCTCCGTTTGGGACCGAATTTATATCTGAGCTTTCGCACGGTCTCTTTCAGCCGGGTTGTAGCTGTAATTCTATCAGTACGATGTCTCCTACACCAGAAAAACTGGCACTGACCGAAGTAATTTCTCAATTAAATCAACATGGGTCATTATCATTCGGCGACAGCAATATCGCTTGCAACCCAACTGGTCCATTGCATCACTTCAAAGTCGCTCATCAGAACTTTGATCACGTGGCAAGACAAGAAACCGAGCTGAAACTTGTGAAGCTTACCCATCTGGAATTCCCTCGTCCAGCAGCTGCAAATAACGCTCCCACAGATCTCCAACAACCTATATCGAAATGCATGTCAGTAATGAACATAACCTCATGCGTTGATCCCTACCTTCCCGCACGAAAAGCATCGAATCGGAATGATCATTTTCTTCTCAAATTCGCGATATTCCGCCCTGAAATCAATGAATAGATTAATAGGAGAAAAGAAAAACGCCGTGAAAATCGTCTTAATGCCTTGTTGGAGTCTGAAGTTTCTGCTGCAAATTATTATCTCTTGCTCCATGGTAGAGCGGCTGTTATTATTGGCTTGTTGCTTTGGGGCCCACTGTTATACACACACTAATCCAAATGAGGACTAGCTTAACGGGTCCGCTCTTGTTCCGTACAAGAAAGGAAAAAAAAAAAAAGTAGAGAGAGAAAGACCAGAAAGCCATTTCAAATTATTGCGCACATTTTATCAACCTGGCTATGTGCTTTCGATTCCGGGGAAATTGTTTTTGATTTAGCATTAGATTTGAATCTCTTTTCAATTGACCATGCCCGGCGCAAGTCAATCTAGCCGGCTCTCCAAAAGAACGCGAGCCGATGCAGCGCAAAATCAAATAGCGCAAACAGACGAAAATCGGGCCAAGCGGCGTCGGTTTGCAGGAAAAAAGACCGAGAGTGAGAAGGCCGCGGAATTGCCTGTGTCTAAAGGGCCGCAAGAGTTGACAGTCATTGATGGCAATATGTCCGTCGCAAATACCCACGAATCTTCGCGTACGTCTTGGTCATCGTCGCAGCTTGGGGCGGGACAATATACCGATCTGGAGCCGGTTCTTACCGCAGATGAAGAGTGAGTGTTTCGTTGACTGATTTCTGAGTTCTGCTCCTAAACCTTATGTATAGGTATTTGTTCCTCGCAGTTGAGACGGCAATTCATATCTACTCCACGGCCACATCTCATCTTGTTCGCACATTACAAACACAACCCAATCAAAGCATAATTGGATATAAGCTCTGTCCCATAAACCAGAACCATCTCTATGTGTTTACTTCAACTGGCTCAATTAGCAAATGGGAATGGGCCACTGGAAAGCAAACTTTACATTGGGATGCATGCCGCAGAACCAGCTTTATCGATTTCATCGAAACTTCCGGGGACGACATGCGTATTCTATTTTATTCTCTCTGCCAGCGGAAAGGCGGTAGAAGAGAAATTAGGGTGTTCACGTTACGTGATGGAAAGCTGTTGGAAACAGTCGTCCTCGAAACGGATGTTCGAGTCACTCATATAAGGGCTGCACAACAGGGCCGAGCTGTTCTTGCTTATGGAGGCCAAAATCTTCTTCTCGGCATTGCGGATAGTTCTGGTTTTGACAGTGTGGAACATGCCCAATATACTTGGAGACAGGCAACCTTGCCTGTGAACATTACTTCTCTCGATGTCCGTGAAAACACTCAGCAGAACGCCCAAGATGCGAAAGCCAGGAAGGTTTCAGAGCAATTGGACCTCGCTGTAGGCGAGACAGCCGGGTCGATCTTGATATATCAAGATGTTTTGGCATTTTTTGCCAACAGTCAAGATATCCGTGACGGAGGGAAGAGTTTTGCTCCAAGGCGTTTACATTGGCATAGAGGCCCTGTTAATGCGCTGCGCTGGTCGAGAGATGGTAAGCGACTCTGGTCTATAATCTTAAAATGAAGCCGTGCTGAATTGAACCCCAGGAAACTATGTTATATCGGGTGGGCACGAGTCAGTCATGGTACTATGGCAATTGGACACCGGTAGAAAGCAATTCCTGCCTCACCTCTCTTCTCCGATTTGCAACATTGTCATTTCTCCCGCAGGAAATTCATATGCAGTCAAATTAGCGGACAACTCTATAATGGTCTTGTCAGCAAGAGAATTACAGCCATATGCCACTGTTACAGGCCTGCAGGTGTCCCCAAAGATGGCCAAACCCAGAGGTCAATGTGGCTCAAACGCATTATCAAGTACCACGGCAGCGGTCCTGCATCCTCAATACCCTGATCAACTGTTAGTGGTGGTCCCGGCTTCCCGCCAGATGTCTCAAGATGGCCATTATTCGGCGATCTCACCGGTCCTTCAAACCTACAACATTCACACAAACAACCATATTTCGCGGCAAGCCCTTGCACGGACCAATACAACCGTCCTTAAAATCAGTCCGGAGGGGTCGGAAATTACTACACCAGACATCAAATTTTTGGATATATCTCAAGATGGGAATTGGATGGCTACTGTCGACTGCTGGAGCCCGTTCCCTCAAGATATTAAGGCCCTTGGTCTTAGCAACACCGGGGATGGTAGAGCAAACAGCCGTGAGGAGACCTTCTTGAAATTTTGGAAGTGGAATGGAGCGTCAAGTTTGTGGGAATTGGTTACTCGCATCGATGGACCCCATTTCTTGGAAAGTGGCCCAACGCCTGTTCTTGGCCTTGCTTCTCGGCCCCGCAGCAATGAATTTGTAACCATCGGGGCAGATGCTGTATTGCGCGTCTGGTCTCCAAATTCGAGACCGCGCAGCGGATTGCAAACAGGGCCCAATGCGGCGCAGCAGCTGGAGACTTGGAAGTGCCGGAATATAGTCGACCTTAAAGGAAGCTCTGGCCCGAACAAAACCGAGCATCTCAGCACAGCCTGTTTGACCTTCTCCGAAGATGGCTCGGTGCTTGCGGTGTGCTTACCGTCAACGTCAACCGCAAACCCTGGTCCTGTTCTTCTGCTTGACGCACAAAAGTGTACAATTCATTACAGTAGACCCGGGGCATACTCTGATGATCCGTGTGCAGTTCGGTTTTTGGGACGTCATCTTATCGTTGCGTCGAAGCGTGCAGTCTCTGTGTGGGATACGGTTGATGACTTGGTTAGGATTCCGGCGTCGCCGATTGATGGTTTATTTGCTGGGAGGTCGCAACCACTTTTAGCAGTCAGCCTAAGGACGCGCACTTTTGCGGTTGCCCTGCACGATTTGCAACATACTAAGAAATCCCGCACCGCGCAGTTCCATGTCCAAGTATACGATATCGAGTCATTGCTACCAGTGTTTTCCTTCAGTGTCGGGAAGTGTCCCCTTGTGCTAACTTCTGACTCACACTCTGGTGATTATATCATTGTGGATGCCGGAGCCTCTGTGCAGCGATTTGGCTGCTCTGATAGGACTGCCCAGACCACAACCCGCCCTCGTGAGCTACCTAGCCGTCTCAACTCTGGATTGGTGGATTTATTCGGAAGTCAAACTTCTGCTTTACAAAGTACGGCCACGCTTGATGCAGAGAGGGCGCCTTCACAGTCTGGAGGGCTGTCTGGTATTTTTGGTGAAGCACCCTCGTTTGTTTCACCTCCGGCCAGTGTTCTCTTCAGGAATGTTGTGCAGTCTTTATCTGTTAGGTGAGATGGATATGCAGGGCTAGTCCCCTGATTATGGTCACACTTGCAAATATGATAACAGGATAGATTTCTGTGTTCATGTATTCTCAATTTATCTTTATCTTATATAGCGTACCTGCCAGCTAAATCACATGTCGTGTCCATGTCCCTTCCTCGCTGTGATGGCAACACAGTTTCCATTTATTTTCCCCAATACATTGCATTGCTGCACTTGGTTCCAGAAGGACTATACGAGACCCTTTGAAATATCGACACCATGCATGGAATGAAACAAAGTTTGTTATATCATGTCTTTTAAGCAAACTGAAAACAATGCTTTTTTCCCATCCACATGTGTCAGATAAGCGTCAAGATCAGAATCTTCATTAATAAAAAAGGAAACCTCGTTTCCGTTCTCGTCTTTGTCGACACCCTCGATCTTGATGATACTACAACGAGGATAACGAGCCACGACAAAGTGTCGTAATTCAGTAACAGACCTTGATGCCAATTTCTCAGCCCATGTTCTCGATGGTCCATGTTGACTTTGAGGGCTAATACGAAGATAAACTGGTGTATGCAACACAGTTGATTCCAACATGGGATCCACATATTCAAATGAGTTTCCAGTATCATGCTCACCCGTGGCTGCAAACGAAGGGTCGTTGGCGGCCTGTAACAGCGAAGGGTCTATCTGCATATCTCCCAGGTCACTTGATGTTATTGGTGCACTCGCTAATGCCTGTGAAGCCAGCGTGCTGATACCATTACTGATGCCGCCACCAAAAGTATGGTTGTCATTACTGTCGTTTGAGGCGGGGCTTTGCACTCCAGAGTGAGATGCTGATTGCTTCCGTGATGGATCTCTCTTTGTTTGATCATCGCGGAGCCGCTTCATGACATCGCGACAGAGGACTTCAAGAGCTTTTGACCTTGCGGCATGATTCGGATCTGCTGGACCAGTTGCGAGGATTTGTTGAAGTAGCCGTGAGTTTTGAATCCACCGTTCTTTGAGCTCATTCCAGTGTTCATCGCCAGCCTCCAGTTTGCTTGTGAAATGATCCGCTTTCAATGTGTCGTAAAATGCATTCCTGATTTGACGACTCTCTTCTGGGTTGATACCAAGGACATTTTTGGCCTCAGCGATAGTCATCCGTCTTTCCAAAGTTCTCATCCGCTTGGTGACATCCGTACACACAACGTCGAGAGCAAGAGCCTTTGCATCGAGCTGGTCAGCCCAGAAGACTTGCTGAAGGTGTGGTGACTCGCGTATTAGTTTGTCCTTTGCCTCCTGCCATCTTTCAGGTCCAGCGATAGTCTTTTTAATGAACCCGGCTTGTTCACAAATTCCTTGAAATTGATCTCTAACTTGACGGTACATGGCATTGTCTAGGTTGAGATATTTCTTACTCTCATCAATCGTGGTTTCGGATGGAAAGCGCGGAGGCCCTGGTGGATCAGCCGGCAGTCCGGCCCATCCCCGAGTACGACGGCGACGCTTCCGGGTAGCCCAACGCTCTGCACTTTCTGCTTTCAGGCGATCCAATCGCTCCTTGCGCTTCGCTAGGACTTCGGGAGATAGACCAGGTGAGGGTGAACGTTGAAGCGCTGCTTCAGATGGAAGGGTCCCTGTATCATCAAATGGCCCTTCAGTTTTGTATACTTCCTGCTGGAGGGCAAGCAAGCCCTCATCCTCAGGCTGTTGCACCGGGGTTTGCATATTGAGTTGTGACTTCATTCCATTGGGAACACGCAATAGCCACCGATTTTTGGCACGCACCCGCATAAGTTCTCTTTCTTTTATCTCAAACCCTTCATCATTCAAAATCCGTAGCATGTCACGTTGACCCGTGTTTCGCTCCCAGAGTTGCTTGACACGCGCAACGAGCCCCGCGTTCTTGTGCGCCGGATTTTGTTTCGATGGAAAGCCCCATCTTCTGAACTGGGTCTGGAAAGCGCGTTTACTGAGAGATGTTAGTGATGATGCAAAATTAATTTTTTTTGTTGGGGTTATATATATATATATATTTAAAAAAAGAAAAGGGAAAAAAGATAGAAAAGAGTAGAAAGGAGAATGTTAAGTTATTTGAATTTAGAGGCAAGCACGTGGTGTACTTACCTAGGTGCAAATTGATAGGCTGTTTTCATGTAATCCATAATCTCCTCCAGCGCCTTTTTATCTTTGATATACATCTGATAGCAGATTTCCCTCTTTCCATCCCAATCGTAGACCATGATGGGCAAACTGAGCTCACGGAGGCGCGTAGCGCCTCCAGATTGGAGGTTGCGTCCTCGAAGATTGTACCCAGCGACCGCAAAAGACAGTGGAAATCTGTGGAGCGGCAGGGGATACGTTAGGCGTCTGTTGTCGCTCTTGTACACCGTAGTTCGACTCTCAGTTGTGCTGTCCGGAACGCCGTAGTAGCAGTAGCGCGGAGGAAAGAAGTCTGGCGGAGCAGAGGTCTCAGTTGTGCACTTCTGGGCCCACCCGCACCACGTGACCTACGTATACTCTAACCATTCAAAGGGTCCATACATCATGTATCATAAGATACTGTAGCTACTGAACGTCTTAGACTTCGGAGAAAAAGGCCTAAAAGGCAAAAAGAAAAAAGAAGGATACTAGTATTCCGCACGTTATGCCCAGCTATTTGGAAACAAGAATATCATGTAGCCACAGCAATTATTCATTGGATTTTTCTTATTCTTCTTCGCAATTTAAAGACTCTGGTTCGTAGCCAGATTATGAAAATCATCCAAGTGTTTTTGGATCGAGATTTCCATGATTTTAGTGTCGACTGTTGCTGGGAAGTGGTGGTAGCATGAGGCGTTTCCGCTGTGTCAGTCTTTTCCTCGGGCGTCGACGAATGCATCTCGTCATCTCTCATCGATGTTCGCCAGTATTGCTGTTCCCTGCGGCGCGTCTGCCTCTCTTCTTCTTTCATCTGTTGTTGCTCGAGCTTGCGGTTTTTGGCTTCTTCCTTCTCCTCGAAAGCTTGACGCGCCGCCTGGATTGTAGCTGCCCGGGACACGGGGTCAACACTCGTCCGAGTCTTAGATCGGAACACAAAATCCAGTGATGACCTGGATATTGGAGAAGGGGTATCAAGGGTACTGCCGTTATCTCTTGCATATCCAAAGGATGATCGACCCGTGACGTTCGTCTGCGAGATTGTAGGCAACGGTGTGGAAGAACCGTCATGGATCTGCAGCGACAGTCGCGGAGCCTGAGCACGCACAAAGGGTTGAAAAGTGTCGGAGCTTGATCGGGCCAGAGACTCTCCCTCAAAAGAGTCCCTGTCTTCAGAGCCATCGCTTTCAACGAGCGATGGCTGATAAGACTGGCCCATATGTGCATAAGTGCGAGGTATTTGACGCGATGAATGGATGTACTTGGAGGCTGGCCTCCTCGTACTTATGTTGCAAGCCGTGATTTGATTGGTCCCACTTGGAAGTCGATTATGAGGGTCGGATTCCTTGGACCCGGTAAACGGATCACACTGCTTTCCCCTCTCAGTAGTCGTGTGGATTTCTAGACCATCACGTTCGCCCGCAGATCGTGAAGAGTTGATTAAAGTCATTGAGGGCGCATCATCCAGGGAGGTCTTCTTGGGTAGTGGCCTTGCATGTATTCTTGGCTTCGAGGTCCCTTTAGACCTATGTGACCCATGGCTACAATTTTCAAAAGTGTTCAGAGTGGACTCATCCGTCAACCGCCGCGACCATAAAGGTCGTTTGCCAGGCGTTTGATCCGAGATGACGGCCCCGAAAGACATCGAAAATCTTCCTCCTCCCTCTGGCGGGGAGCAAGGTGTCAGATGTACTCGAGGATGGAGGAGCTTCACTGGAGTTGTCAAACCTGGTATAAGGATGAACTAGCAGTGGCGTATCATTTCGGGATTCGTTCCAAGACGTTTCAATATCGGAAATTCAGGCGCGTGGGACGGGAACTGATTCCGGAGAAAATGGGGGTTCCCACGGATCCAGGACTTTGAATTTGGTATTGGTGATGATTGAGTCGATGAATCTCAGGGCGCAGTGAGTGAGATGCGTTGAAAGTCGTTCGAGGTGCCCTCGCTTGATGTCCTTCCCTTCCTTCACACTCCTCCACTTTCTCTCTCGCACGCTCTCTCTCTCTCTCTCTCTCCAGATCACTCAGGCCGGTACGGGATATTTCAGCAATATGCTGCGCAATTCATCGTCATTGAAGATAGCGAATCACCACGAGGTGAGCGGGATCAAAACCCGAAGCAAACAATGTAGTGTGGAAGACCGATTTTATCTTGTCCCTGATTCAAAGCGCTCTTGCGGACTTGAGGATTCCTGGATAATGAAGATGAATACTATTTAAGATGATAAATAAGATAACTGGTTGATGTTTCTGCGTCAGAGCTAAGCAGTCAAGATGAAGATGAAGAAGGGGGTATTAAAACTGGAAAACTGAAGCATGGATATGAGATAGATTGATGGTCTGAACAGGCATTTCTAGGGAATTATTTCGCTGAAAAAGAAATAGTGAAGGCCCAGGTAAATGAAGGAGGACGACTAGTCCAGCAACCACAGCCAGTAGTACAGCGCGTAATCAGTACGAAATGGTGGTTGCGGTGGTGAGAGTCGCAGTGCTACTGCAGAAGACGGCGGTGAGGTTGCGAGGGTGTATCGCCGTGTGGTTGGGCGGAGCCGCCGGATGCGGAGGGGCAGTACTCCGTATGTACAAAGTACATACATAGTACATATTTGCTAGTGGTAATAAATGCACATGGGTAAGATATCCGTACTTTGATTTTCTCTGTATTCCCAGTCCTTGGTGATGTTCATTGTTATGCTCAATATTGCTTGTCTTGCTTATGTACTTATATAACGGATTACTTTTTCTGCATGTAGCATCCATAAATGCGAACCTATATACTATACTCCGTATAGGTATTCTTCGATGAAATACTACTCCGTACCAGTGGTCCGTATTACCGAGCACGCCCGGGCCACGGAGTAAGCATGTCCGTACCGAGCTGACCGAATGTTCTTCAACAAACCCTAGTTACTTGTACGGAGTACTCCAAGAGGCATACTACATATTTATGCACTCTGTATGTATTGCCCTGTGTCAGCTGCGGCCAGCCCATCCAAGGTAATACATAATACTATACATACTATATAAGGTACCTACATATAGAGTATTAAGTACGGAGTGTTACTCCGTGCTTAGAGGATACAGAATTCTGGAATCAACCATGAATCTCGCAGGCGCGGCAGAAAAAAGCGCCAAGAGCACCGGCGCCATCGCCTAAAAGGCGCCAAGACACACCAATCTAGGCGCCAAGAACAACCCTTCTCCAGTGGGAGTATGTACTCCCGTACTCCGTACACAAACAACACTACAGAGTACTATGTATGGGGTACCTCTTATGTTACAGAGTACACGCTAAGAATGTACAGTATCGTCATGGGATCCTTCCATGGCGGGGTCGTCAGATCCCCCTCTGTTCTTGTTTCTTTTTTTCCTTTCCACTTCTCTTCGCAATGATACTCGGGATTCTTGATCGATTGTTGAATATATCGTTAGTATAGAGAATTTGGTCCTAAGACCCTTTTCCATTCATTTGACGATTGGACTTCATTTTGTTGTTTACAAATACATTTCCTCTGACCTATTCCAGAAAGACTTGCTGGAACCATGGGAACGCCCTTCCAAAGCCTTTGCTTTACTCTCGTCTTGGTCTTGGCCATCGCTGGACAAGCACATGCATTCGGAGCTGGCAATATCGCGTCGTTGTCTCGCATTGAGGGCCAGAATTGGCGTCATGGCGATATCGAAGACGCTCTTCTAACCCTATTCTTGGCCCGCATCGCCGGTGGCAAGAAGTTCAGCAAGCTCGATGTGCAGCGTGTCTATTTCGGAAACTGGCTTCGCGACTATAGCCAAGCTGTTGATATTGGCACTTTGAAATATGTTAGTGCCGAGGCTATTCGCATCCTCATCTGGGTGCTGGGATTCATGACGTTTGGTTATGGTACCAATGAATTCGAAGTGACGACTGAACGACTCGGATGCTATCAGCCCACGGAGCACATCGATAACCCTCTCGGTTATGGTGAAGGCCTCGACGGTCGGGACTATGATCGCCGATTGAGAGGCCCCGTTGATGAGGAGCGGGAACTAGCGATTGACCCCAGAACGGGTATGTGACTAAACTGCCAGGATGCTTTTTCTTTCCTGTGGCGTTTGCTGACACATGGTTCGCATCCAGGCCTCAAAAGCTACATAGCCTCTGAGGATATGGACCTTGCGACGTCGGCTGGCCTGGTACGTCGAGTCTTCCGCCGCTCCATCGAACTGGGCCGTCGATATGCAAGGTCGAACAACCAAGACGATCTCCACGAAGCTCTTCGACTGCTCGGTACAGGATTGCACTGCCTGGAAGATTATGCCGCGCACTCCAATTACACGGAGCTCAGCTTGATCGAACTGGGTGAAACTGACGTTTTCCCTCATGTTGGCCGTAATGTTATGCTAGAGATTGAAGGCGCACGAGATTCCGTTTACCCAATCGTCACCGGCACCTTCGGTGGTGTTGACTTTTTCCACTCGGTGCTTGGTGAGGTATCTGACAAGGTCACCCAGTCGGAGCTCCAGACCTTGGAGGGTGTCATCTCCGATTCCCAGGGCGAAACGCCCTCCCAGAGTCTTCTGAAAGACCTCCTTAGTAAAATCCCCGATGGATTACTTGCAGATAAGGACAGCGATGAAGAGAAAGTGGATGGATTTAAAGCCAAGGCAGATGATGCTAAGCAGCACAATGAACAGATCAGTCCCCGCGAGCCCGAGGAATGGACCCAGTTTCTAAACGATGTGCAACGACAAATCTATCCGGTGTTAGAGTGGCACGATGAATTGATCAAGGCAATCAACAAAGCCATCGAGAACATCCCTGTTCTACCCGACCTGATTGAACAGGTCCAAGACCAAATGAACATTTTTGTCTTCTCTGTCCTTGCCCCTTATGTCCTTCCGATTATCAAGCAGATCAAAACCGAGCTTCAAACAGGATCCTCCGAAGTGATTCAAAGCAGCAGAGAGCAGCAGCATATTGTGTTCAATGATGATGATTCGTCTAACCCCACACATTCGATGCTTTCAAAAGATCATTTCTCGAACGTTCTCAACGAACCGGCCGGTCGTGTAGCTTCCCAGGTCGTCAAGTGGACTGTCCCACAACTGATGGAATGCTGGGACAACGAAGATATCGACATCAGGCGAACTTTGGATAGAATCGTGACTGGGGTCTTCCACCATCCCGCACAGCGTGAGTATGGAAGAGATGGAGCAGCGGATATCCATGGTATTATGTTTGGAACTGTGGAAGGATGGTGGAACGAAAAAAGTGATCGCGAGCGAGACTCGCTCCGTGAGCAGCTGTCTCGCCATGGGGTCTTCGAGGGCAGGAACCATAAGGAGGGCGTCCACGACTCCGGGCACGGATGTGGTAAGCCATTGACCTTGCCCAAGCAACGTGGTGGCTCTGGTAATGCCAGCTCTGGCAGAAATCATTCACCTGCTGGTGGTATTGGCAAGGTTGCTGCAGATGCTGCAGGAGGCGGCGCTATTGGGGGGTTGGTCGGCGGACTTGTGGGCGGCATCGGTTCAATGTTCTTGAACAATAATTCGAAGGAAGATGAGGGCTCCGAAACTGGTAGACACGAGCATAGCTCGTCTGTCCATGGGCATTCCGAGAAGCACCATCATCAGGAACACCGACGTCACGAATCTCGGGAAGATTACCGGTCTGAGAGCAGCCCGTCACACGCAAGTAGACATGAATATGGATATGAGCAAAACTCACACCCGAGGAGAGATGATTACCGCCACGAGTCTCGGGACGATCGTCCATCGGCCGACAGTTGGAGACGGGAAGAATACCGTGGGCACCAATCCCAGTTTGGGGAAGAGGGTGGTGGAAATCAATATTCACGCTCGGAAACGGAGACATACAAGACCCAACATGGAGGACACAGTGAATACACTGCATCGCATCACGAGTCCAGTAACAGCCGCCCGTCTTACGGTTATGGTAATGAGGGAAGTGAATATGGAGGATATGAAAGGCGTGAACCGTGAGCAGTTACTCCTTGATACGTTAATTGATAAGTTTGCTGCTAACATATTACTGTAGGGAATATTCTTCTGGTTATGGTGGCCATAGGAGCCATGATGGCTATGGCTCCCACGGCGGATACGGCGGTGAATTTCAGGACAGTCAGGCGGAATATAGTGGACGACACCAGCGCCATGATAATGAGGGATATAGCGACAGTGGTGAACGACGTCATGAATACGGAGACGGACACGACGGTAGATGTCACCATGAATATGAGCAAAGTTACAGCAGTGAACGAGACTATGACGGCGAGCGACGCCATAGATATGGGCAAGCATATGATGGTGGCCGACACGAACAAAGCTACGAGAGCCCCCAGGGGTATGGACACGGCTACGATAATGGATATGGAGGACGGGGCTATGGTGGAGGTTATGGATATTGACGGCGCTATGATGACAAGGCCCCCCATTGGCTAATTCCAGTCAAGCTTTAAGTGCTGGATAAACCATGCTCGAAGCCGACTTCACCGTTTGAGTAAGTAGTTTGTACATTTAATGTATAGAAACATAAATCACCATTGTTTTACTTCTCCAGGAAACGGCTGCTCGACCCGAACAACTTTATCGCAATTCAGCAAACGCAGGGGATCAAAAGCCAATTTCAACTGTAGTTGATGTCTAGCGTTAGCATACAAACTCTGCTGATGATCAAACATGGGACGGGTGGTGTATAAAGGACTATTCAATATAGTTGTATAGCACTTACTCGTCGCATGGCATCCACTGTAGACTTGCCGACTTCGTGCTCGAGGTAGTCCCGTTTAATAAGACCAACCCCATGTTCCCCCGTCACGGTTCCTTCCAACTCCACGGCACGCTTTACCATGCGATGGACAACCGCCTCTGCTGTTTTCCGTTCAACGTCGTTGAAGAGAATAATAGCTATTGCATGATCAGCCTCAAATGTTGCTTTATGCAGCTGGACGTGAAAAGGCTTACCGTGAAAGTTGCCGTCCCCGACATGACCACAGATTCCTGCTAATAACCCGCTCTCGGTCATGTCCTTCTTAGTTGCTTCGATAATGTTGGGCAATTGGCTCATCGGAACGGCCACATCTGTTGTCCAGACATGGTCCTCGGATCCCCTTCGTATTGCCATTACACTCCAAAGGGCCTCCTTCCGTGCACTCCATAGCTCCTGCATTTCATCGTCACCCCGGGCAAATTCGAATGATCGACCCGAAGTGCCAGACACAATCTTTTGGACTAAACTGATTTGCTCTTTGATGCAAGCAGGCGTTCCGGTAAACTTGAAAAACAAAGTAGGCGCTTCCTTCCATTGCCGGCTCGTTGCCTGGCTGGCATTGATACATTTCATTTGCATATCATCTAGGATTTCAAGACCTGCAACCTGGATACCCTCCTCAACCACACGCGTCACACACTCTGCCGCATTGTGAATAGATGGAAAGCTCGCAACAGCAACATTTTGACTCTTGGGTTTGACAGCGAGTTTCAGAGTGGCCTCGGTCACAAGTCCCAGGGTACCCTCGCTTCCAATAAAGAGCCTGGTGAGATCATAGCCTGCACTCGACTTTCTTGGCCGTTGCTTTGTCTTGATGACTGTGCCGTCTGCGAGTACGACTGTCAACGAAAGAACCCACTCCCGCATCGTGCCGTATCGGTAGGCATTGGTTCCCGAACATCCTGTTCCAACCATGCCCCCGATTAAAGCGCCGGGGCCTGGATCTGGTGGGAAGAAAAGGCCATCTTTCGCAAGCTCTTCATTCAACGCCTCCCACCCAATCGCCGGCTGGACTATAACATCAAGATCTCGCTTGTGAAAATTCAGGATCCGATCCATGCGACGGAAATCGATGCACACCCCTCCCCTTGTGGGAGCGAAATGACCCTCTAAGCTGGTACCACCAGAATAAGGTGTCACCGGAATAACCCTCTGATGGCAGACCTTCATTATCCGCGAAACATCCTCGGTGGTTGAAGGATAAAGGATTAAGAAAGGTTTTTCGTCGTCTTTTCTGGAATAGGATGACCAATCCGATCCAGAATGAGCCTCCAGGTCTCCAGCAGCGGTAGATACATTTTCTTGCCCCAGAATTTCAACGAAATCAGCCCAAGCGGCCTGGAGATTCGACTGGGAGATATTGTGTTGAGGGGGTTCTACGTCCGAAAGAGGCGTCGTAGATGAAGTTGGAAGGCTCGCGGGCTTGACGGATCCGAGGAAGTAGGCACCGGTGGTAAAGAATACCAACGCTACAGCAAAAATCATTAGAATTAAACCATGCGCTTTCTGAGAGGCTTTCTACTAGTGGCCTAGGTGCCGGGAAATTTGCATACCGAACATCATCGCCGCATAGCGGCCACCAGGGGATTGGGTTTGGTATTGAGCAAAGCGTTCTTGTTCAGCACGCTCTCGCTTTAACCGTTGTTGCGTGCTCTCATAAAGCTGGTTTTTAAACGAGTGGCTTTTGTCATCGGCTTGACGGCGGACAGAGACCCCAAACAGCCGTTGTTGGTTTGCAAACTGAATATAAATCGGCCGAGGCCGAGTGGCACGCAATACGGCTCTCAGGGGAAGAGCACTAGGTCGGACCATGACGGAGGGCAAGGGATGACCAGGTCTTCAGTGCGGTGCGTCAGAAACATGAGAATATCACCTGAAGAACTTCGGCCGATTCAAATGCGGAGATGACTATAACTACCCGAAAAGAGGTTAGTGCCCCGGTGGTCTTGGCACTAGTTGTAGCAATTCACGTCAATCAACTTCATCTTCTTCTCAAACTTGACTAACTGACCGAAGTATTACAAGCTCAATCCATATTAAACGTTTGTTATTTGAAATATTAACTGCATGGCTAGATCAAATACACAGGAAAAAGACACAGTCTATTCGCATTGGATGGCAAATATATCGAAGCACTTCTGAGTATGATCCGGACTCGTAGCCATCTTCGACAATCATGACATCGCAGTGACACCATTCTATACTCACCTTTTTGCCTTCTTGCTTTCAATTCATTATTGTTTCTCTTTGTCTTTGCAATCTCAATGACATTTATTAGTTTGTTTGGTTTGGTATTCTCTGACGCCTGCTGGCTAGATAAAACGAGCCCTAAAGAGATCCTTTTTCACTCGTACAGCCATTATCCCCCAAGTCCAATCATCAGATCTCCTGTGTTTGCATTACCAATCTATTTTCCTCTGAATTTCGTCTATCCCAAGATACAGCATAGGCCGGCATATTAAAGAGTCATTGGTGGACAGTTGCAATCATGAGCACACAAACCGCGACTGCGAAAGTAAGGACCAACACTCATTTCCGTACGGAGAGAATTTAGGCTAACAAAAGTAATTCCGCCTTTAGAATCTTTCTTTCGTCCTTGAAGGGGTCAGTCAGGTCAAGTTCGAAGACCGACCCGTTCCAGAGCTCAAGGACCCTCATGATGTTCTAATTAACGTGCGGTATACTGGCATTTGCGGTAGTGATGTTAGCATCCATTTCTCTGTCTAGATTATGAAATAATTGCTGACACTTCTTTGACTCCGTGTTGTTAGGTTCATTATTGGGGGCATGGCTCAATTGGCGACTTCGTTTTGAAGGACCCTATGGTTCTTGGTCACGAATCCTCTGGTGTCATCAGCAAGGTTGGCCCCGAAGTCACAACGCTGAAAGTGGGTGACCGTGTTGCCATGGAACCGGGTATCCCATGCCGCAGATGTGATCCTTGCAAGGCTGGAAAATACAACCTCTGTGTTAACATGGCCTTTGCGGCTACCCCACCGAACGACGGCACGTTGGCTAAATACTACATGTTGCCGGAAGATTTCTGTTATAAGATTCCCGATGATATCTCGTTACAAGAGGCTGCAGTGGTTGAACCGCTTGCTGTCGCTGTGCACATTGTCAAACAGGCAGCCGTCAGCCCCGGGCAGTCCGTCGTGGTTTTTGGGGCTGGGCCTGTGGGACTTCTGTGTTGTGCAGTTGCTAGAGCTTTCGGGGCTTCTACAGCTATTGCCGTCGATATACAAGCCACAAGGCTAGATTTCGCCAAGGAATATGCCGCGACGGCTGTCTTCCGACCAGCCAAAACATCACATTCGGAGAATGCGACCCGCCTAAAGGAGGATAACGGCCTTGATTTGGGCGCCGATGTTGCAATCGACGCCTCTGGTGCCGAGCCTGCGGTGCATACGGGTATCCACGTCCTCCGCGCTGGCGGTACCTATGTACAAGGTGGAATGGGCCGAAGTGAAACCGGTCTGCCCGTTATGGTGGCTTGTACCAAGGAGGCGACTATCAAAGGCAGCTTCCGCTATGGCAGCGGAGACTATAAACTTGCAGTTGATCTTGTCGCCTCCGGTAGAGTCAATGTGAAACAACTGATTACCGGGACAGTCACATTCGAGAATGCCGAACAAGCATTCAAGGAAGTCCACGCTGGAAAAGGCATCAAGACTCTTATTGCGGGTATCGAAGAATAATGACAGTACTCAATGATTATTCTGTGCATCGTTTTTCTTGTTTCAAAGATGCTCGGATGACCGAGAGAATGAGATAATTCAAAAAGGATGTAAAACACTTGTATTCATTTTATATGGCAATGATAGCAAATTCAAAGTATGAGATCTATCAACCTGTGAGAATAGTGCTAGTAAAGATGGCGTCAACCGTTGCAGATGAGAGTAACTCGAGGGTATCGTGCTGCAAAATGAACGAGAGAGAGAGAATATGTCATAATGGGGGCCCAAAATAAATTGAAGACAATAATCAGCAGCATCCCTTGTTCTTGCTTTGGCGAGAGCCACTTGATCGAAACACATCTTCCCATTCACCCATCCCGCTTCTTAAGTGGGTTGCTCCTCCTCCCCTTCGCTTGGGGTTTCTCCGATGGAGCTGGACTGCGTTGTCATCAAGGGTTATCCTGCTTCGAATACTCGAAACGTCACTGGTGCCGTGGCCGTACAGGCCACCATCACCATATTGGATGCCACTTTGCGGATCATCGGGGTCGATCTCTCCAAGCTCAATCTTGGTGAGGATTATCCGGGCCAGCCGGTTGAATATTTGCTCGACGCCCTCACCTGTGAGGGCAGAGACCTCAATAGCAACGGGGATATTGGACTGAGATGCCCAACGAGAACTTTCCTCGAGGCTGACTTGGCGGCCCTCGGGGGAATTGGTTGCGGTCATTTTCGTCCCAGCCGCTCCTCCAAAATTACTAACGGACCTGAAAGAGCCACCGCCCGAGTCAAGCGGGAACGAAGACTGCTTGCTGGATACACTTGATGGTGTTTGGGGATGTTTCGCGGTAGAATCATCCGAGCCCTGGGTCTGCAGGAAGTAATCCGATGCGAGGTCAGACTTGTTCCCTGCAAGCAAGACGGTAAGGTTCGGTGAGGCAAGGGCGCGAGCATCCATCAAGAACGTAGGGAGAGCATTGAAGGAAGCGTGGGATGAGACGTCGTACACGAGGATGGCGCCCGCCGCTCCGCGGTAGTAGGATCTAGAAACGGAGCGAAACCGCTCCGTACCTGCAGTATCCCAGAGTTGTAATTTAATTCGTATTCGTTGCGAGCCTGTGCCTAGTTTGACGATTCTCGAGGAAAACTCCACCCCAATGGTTTGCGATGACAGCACTCTCCCTACAAGCGCAGCGGTGGTGATTAGCGAGCTGGCCATCCAGCTCGAGAAGAAACAGGGTCTCTTCGAGGTAAAAAGATGGAAAGAAACTCAATCAGGAATTCGAAACCGTACATTCATCTTTTACAAATCGGTGCAGTACACAGGATCTATGGGCGATGCGGAGAACATACGTGAGCGATAAGAGCAGCAGACATAAGTTGAACAGCATGAACAAGAGAGAACTCACTTCCCAGCACCACTTGGCCCAAGAAGGATAATCTTAGCCAGATAGTCGTACATGCTCTCCAACTCCTAATTTACCTCCGGGGATTAGGATCTCACCTTCTCGCGGCGGTGAACCCGGGAGGAGGGGCGCCATTCATACCTGGTTTTGGCCTGGGGAGGAGGAAGAAGAGACTGCAGAGGACGCATTCGACATTCCTCTTTGGCGTGCCATGGCTTTGGACCCAAAGACACACAAAACAATAGTAGTGGATGGTTTCTTGATCGTTTGTTGGTGGATCAGATATTTGTTATCGGAATGACATGACGCTGCCAAGCCCGACTTAGATGACATGACACTTTAATGGACCAGGTACAAATATCTCATCTATTGACTTCACTTACTTCACGACATTGACAGGTATCACTTGCTCCCTGTTGGATTTTAAGAACTCATATTTGGTATCACTGCGTACTGGTGTAGTAGTACTATGTAACTGAATTGAGACTTAGCTTAGGCCCATCATGATAAGTTACCATTGCAATTAATGATGGTAATGTGTACTTGGTGAGTAGGCAGAAAAGAGAAACCTAATAGGCATAAGCGCCGTATGGTTTAACATTGATGATGTAACCATAGAAATGTGTCATAGCCACACTTGGGACAACAACCTCCCATCGAAACTAAAAACCATCAGAAAACACCCAAACTTTGCGATATGGTGTCTTGTCTGTCGTTGTTTTCCAGGGGTCGGAGAGCGACTCAGGACGTAACGGGGGGTACGATGAACGTTACGCCTCAGGATTCACTAAAGTCACCGCCCCAACCTCCGAAAGACCACATGGCGGACGATTCAATCAAAAAGGAACCACCGAGCTATCATGATTCTCAGTCCTCATCATCAAAAGCTCTACCTCTTGCTCAAGGGTTTGCTGGTGTACCAGAAACGACCCCACCCCCCTATCACAACTGGCAGGATGCAGTACCTGACACTAGCACGTTCCCACCAGCACCAGTGATAAGTTACTTCAACTCCAACGCTGGAAATGCACCGAGTACCGATGCAGAGCGGGCTCATGCATTTTGTAATAGTACCCCCCTTTGGAGGCCTGTGAAGCCATCTCCGGCAGTCCTTCAATCTGTCCAGCAACATGACCTTCGTCCTATGTTGTCGACCGAGTTCCGCGGGGAATTGTCATCCATATCTCCTGGTCGATGGAAGGGCTCTACAAGAGATATGAATGGGGACTGCGTTGCCCTGACCCACTTGCCTCTCTATTTCCCTATCGAGGATTCGCCCTTGGTGTTGGGAAGAGCCAAGAAGACGATCTACTTTGAGGTCACACTGTTAGGGCTCGGAGACGGACCTGGGCCAGCCAATTCTAGCGGGGTTTCAATTGGCTTTGTGGCACAGCCATATCCATCCTGGCGGTCTCCTGGATGGGAGAGAGGAAGTCTCGGGGTTTTCTCTGATGACGGGTGTCGGTTTGTTAATGACTCATGGGGCGGACGGGATTTCACACATGAGTTCAAAGTGGGTGAGACTGTTGGCTTGGGGATGACGTTCTCTCTCCCAGACAAGGTGGTTTCAAGGAATATGGGAAAGAAGCTAATTGTGGACGTTTTCTTCACTCGCAATGGCCACCGTGAGGGAGGCTGGAATCTTCATGAACAAGTCGATGCAGATGCTGGGAGCGTTGAGGGCCTGGAGGGTGATTATGACCTATACGGAGCTGTAGGTTTATTTGGAGGCGTTAACTTCACAGTTTGCTTTGACCCTACAGGATGGCTATGGAGATCTACGTGATATCTATATTCATCTCAGTGATACGGCCAGGGTCCCTTTCTTTCTGGGTTTTTTTTTTTTTTTTTTTTTTTTGCCCCTCCCTCCACGTTCTCGTCGCTTAATTGTCTTTGCCTGTCAGTGCCTGCATCTAATCAGCTAATTATGTGATTACGATTAATAAAAACAAGCCCTAGCTTCTGTATTTCTAAATAATGACGCATCTGAAGTACGCATTTCCCTTTTGCATCTGCTGCGTCGATCAGCCAACACGACAGTGCCTCATAGTAGTAAGCCTCTTCATAATCGTACGAAAATCAGCTTCTGTTACTATTTATATCACATGCCTGCGAGCTAAATCGCCTGGTTCTAGAAAACAACGTCCCGACAGCCGAGTCGTGTGTGCATCCGAAGGCACATGATTCCACCAGGATTCTCGCTGATTTAGACACGGACATTAGTTTCTCGGGGGGAAGCACGCGATGCAGCCCCGTCACTAGCTGATCTGTTCCCTATAGGTATTTATGCTTAGGAGTATTGTTATTACATCGGATCCAGGGGGACAAGTACGATGAGTGGTGACATACATCTGCAGTGGGCTTACTTGACGTCATGACATCCTATCATGGGAATTGAGCCGTATTCATCATGCTACATAGTCCTGCTATGTATAGTACCTCGATGTAGGGTCAATCCAAGTGGGAGATTTGAAGAACGCCGAATATAGCATGATTTGATTCTTTAAGACAGGGATACTAATCCCATGGTCTAGAATGTAGTGTTTGCATGTCAATATGCCAAACTTGCCAATCTCGACGTCTGCTTCTTTCTCATTTGATGGTGTCTCACCACAGTCTTGTATCAAGCTGTAAGCGGCTCAAAAACACGCCCACACTCCTCGCCTTCTTTCTTCTCTTCTCTTCTCTTTTCTTTTCTTGTCCTTTTCTATGTCCTATCACACTTTTCTTTCCGGTTAAAGAGATACTTTTTGCATTGACCATGATTTCATCCATGAGTATGAATTGAGGACCGAGCTTGGAATGAAGTTAAGATACAGAACTACTGAACAGCCAATGGGATGCAAGAGAATACTGTTGACATAACCTCTGCGGAGTATGTAACTATATGCCTTGGCTATTCATAGAATACAGAGTACGGAGTACAGAGAGATTTTGAATTAGTTAATCACGTCCTCACTTTCTAAGGGCTACCTCTATCAATCCTTAGAATCACAAGTCTCTGTCTATTCATTCGTGTTATTGCCGTTGATCTAACTTGAATTTCAATATGATGTGCTACTCCGTACCCCGAGAACAATTAATTACAATAAATATTATTATCATTATCATTAGCTTTCTCCACCATTTCTGACGCTGGAAGAGTCGAGACCAGATTGACCGGAGTAAACGAGAATTCATCCGTATGTCCTCGATATCAGCTAGTAACAAGCCCATTGTGCTATTCGGGATCTTCCCCGACTATTTTGTGTGATAATGCCTTTATCAGAATTGCTTTTAAAATGAACAATACAGCACTCTTTTTGACCCATAGTCATGTAGTTTACTCATATCTCCACGGAGGTCACAGTGGAGACAGGCTCGACTCGGCACGAGGGGCTGCAGTTGCCAAGCGCCACTAAATTCTAGATACATAATTATACCAACCACACTAAACTTAACGGAGACAAGGGCTGGAGAGCATGGGCCACCAAGCTGTGGACATAAGTGGCAGGAGCTTTCTTTCTTTTTTAGGAACTGGCCAATCAGCGCTCTAGCAGATTCAATGATGCCAAGGCAGAAAGAATGGGGAAATTCTCGTACCGATAATACAGTACTTGTACGAAGACATGCCGTGTCGCAACCAACCGCCGTCACAGTCTGTCAAAAGCACTTCGGGGAAGCAATGTACAATGCCGTACAACGAACCGGTCCCCATAATTTTCGCACGGTACTGACTCTGTACTCCGTACTCCGTACGGACAACTCAATTTCAAAGTCCCACAATATCAACCAAGTAACGAACTCCACCGCGGAGGAGAACAAGCAGACTACTGAGAGGGTATGGATACGATACGACAACAGCAGAGCAATGAATTACGAGCTTATTCCTCTTCCAAGCGCAAAAAAGTACGATCTGCACGGACAATTATGGAGTACAGAGTAAGAAGATTTTCAAAACTCTCAACCTCATAGGACTCCGTGAAGGAGGGGGGAAGGAGGGGGAAGATATGACGAAAGATTGAGCGGATGCTGGGCTCTTGATCATTATCATTGCAAGAAAATAACTTTTATCTTGACTGCTGAATGTGCTCATCCTACACGAAGTGTGCCATCCGGTATGATTGATCGCCAAAAGGAACACACGGTTTGGCGTTTGGATCGACGACGTACAATGCATGTCATCGAGGACAGAGTATCTCTATTCTCTTAAAGGCTCCATCTTCCGACTTCCCGGCTGACACTATGTTCTTGTCGTCCAACAGCATGCTCTGGAGGTAGACAGAGGAAGAGAGAAGAGGCTCGTATTGACATCCCGCGAAATAAGCCCGTCAAATATGGGGTCAGGTGGACAGTGCACCGATAAGTGGATCAACTAACCTACCGCGGCCCGGTGAGTTGAAAAGTCCTCCAGCCGCAAAATAATGAGAAACTTATTGATACATGATACCTCTATGCAGTACGGAGTAGCAATAGTAACAATACTCATAGTCGCAGCAGCAGCGACGATAATAAAAATGAGTACGGGCTACTATGGGTGCAGGTACATATTCCGTACAGTGTCCGTACTCCGTATAGAGCCTGTACTATGTACGGAAATACTCCGGCTTAGTCGCCCAGTGGAATAATGGGTCTTGGTTCGGCCATTCCCGGATACGGGTGGAGCGTGTCGGGGCGGAGTCCAGTCCTGAGTCCGTGCAGCCGAGATACAGAGTACGCGTCTGTTTCAAAGCGCTACTATGTATTAGGAACGGAGGACTACTCTGTAGGGTGTGTTTGTACGGAGTACAGTGTACAGAGTATGCACTGTCTTCTTTTTTAGCTGCTATCTGTTATTTGATAACATGTGTTGACACGATATTGGAACAACCAACCCGGTGACAAGTGGCTGGATCTCGGGTTCTTTCCCGACTATGTAGTACAGAGTACTTATGTGGTTACTATCATGCATGCATAGATAGGGATGCTCGTGGACAAAAAGGGTATATGGTAGATATAGTAGATACTATATTATCATGGTTTCTATATATGCAAATCACTTTTCACATTCCCAGGGGTATAGACGATACACCGTCTCTCTCCTATCTTACACGGCTCTACTCTGGGTTTAACCAAACTCATCTTTTCTCAAAACTATCAAAGCAACCTGCTATATATGGAATACATAGCTACTAGTAGTTATGCACTCGCAATATTATGGCCGTTTGCGATAACCCTTTCCAGTAAGGTGCATGGGAATCTTCGCTTTTCATCCCTGATGGAAACGGCGCTGTTCCTCTTTGCATCCATCAGCACGAGCTCTGTTGGTCCTTGCTGGCCCTTGGCGCGGCAATGGCCTTATGCGGGTCAATTGTTGTGTCAATCACCTAGTAATTGCTTTTAATCTCCGTCGTCAAGTGAAGTGTAGGGTACTTTTTTCTTTTTTCGTAAACTTACACGACTGGCCTTGATTGGCGGATAGGGGGAAATATTTTGGTCAATGTGGAAATTATGCCGGTGAACTGGACAACAAATGGCCCGTGTGAGAGTACCTTATTTCATGAACCTACAGGTTATGGGGTTGGCTTACTCTGGGCATAAAATCAAGTCCGTTATGCACCCGTGCTCCTGACTTTATCCCGAGAACTACGGAGTGCAAGGTACTTGTACGTACTCGGTTCATGCGCATTTCATTTCAGAGATCTACTAAGCAAATATCAGACTGGAAGGAGAATCCCGCACTATGAAAATAGACTCTACAGCAACCTCCCGCGCTCTCTTGCACGTCTGGGGAATGGTCTCGACTAAATCAATTTGCTGTCAGCCTATTGCAGCACGGCCGGCATTATCCACTCAAGCTTCATGATCCATCCAGTCTACCATTGTCGCTATGCTGTTGGACGATCGCCGCTAGGATCACCGTTGTGACCGTTTTATTTTTTTATTTGTTTATTATTGTCATTTTTATTTATTTTTCTTTTTCTTTTCTTGGGCTATCTTCTGTATGTGCCCCAAAAAGGCCCGGAATCCTGAAACACCATCGATGCCGGTAATTAGATAGAGGCGTCTAGACATTACTCGGTATAGAGTTATACTAGCCGGTTAACTGCAGATGGCAATTCGTTGTTCATTTCGGACGGGGCTATATTTTGGGAAAGATGACACTTCTCCGGACATTAACGGCCGATGATGAATTGATCTCTAGTTCGCAGTGGGTGGTCTTAGCTTAAATTGCGTGCCTTGTCCAGATGGAGTAAGGACAGCCCATTTATTACGCAGCTTCTCGTTTCTTATCCCACTCTCATGCGTACTTTTGTCCTCACTTTCCATGCATTCTCTAATCTTTGACGAATAGGTTAAACAGTTCATCGCTACTGAGTTCCCCTATTTACTACATTCCGATACAAACAGGAATCTAGAACACGTATTAATTTACTCTGTTCTCCGATATTATTTCTATATGGAGTTACTCGGGAGTGAGTCCCGTGCTGCGGCAGTGCCGAATTTGGATAGTAGCCGCGAGTCAGAAATCCATACTCTACACGCGCAAAATTCATGTGCCTTACTCAAACCTTATCTACCACGACTTCTTGTTTGAATTTTGCCTATCACTTTTACTATGTAACTATGTACATATGAAGAATGTTGAAAACGTCAGTTCTAAACCTTAGTTCAGCGCATCGGCCGAAATTGACGTCGAGTTTGGACCAACATGAACAAGAAAGTCAAAAATAAAATCACGAGGTCTAGACATATGATGATACTAGTAACAAGGGGAATGTTGAAGATCATAAGAGAGTGGAATCAGCCGGGATTTTCCTTTTTGCTCTGCATTTCTATTTAAAATATTTTCTTACCTGGCCACACCTTTTTTAATCGACCCGGGCAATGTATGCTGCATGTGGCGCCCGAAGAGGAAAGGTCGGAGTTCCCGTCCGTACGACGACGCGCATAGTCCGATAGCCACCACTCTACAAGGGCTGACTACTACAGAGGTCGACCATGATAAAGGAAAGGCAATACATTTGACGAGGAGAATAAAGTAAAATGTCCGGTAGTCAGATGGCTATGCTCAATCAATTCTCCACCTGTAACTCTGTAATACTGAGCATATCTCTCCGGTTATGTACGTAGGAATATGTACATGCTCCGTAGCGTCAAAGTCTCTTGTCCTAATTTAGATTTTTCCCAATTTGCCTTCCCCGAGGAAGTAAACTAATGTCACCTCCACTGATAAATTAACCATTAGGATGTCTTCACTCGGTCGGCCCATCGGCATCTGTACAAGTACGGGAGTACGGAGTATTCCGTCTGCACTTTTACTCTACGTACTCTGTAGACTACTCTACATAGCAGTAGTAGTAGTAGTAGTAGTAGTAGTAGTAGTACAAGTACGGAGTCGTAAACGCTTCTGACTCAGTCACTCCGATGGCCATCATAGTATTTTGTTATTGTTTAAAAAAGAACAATAGCCGTCACGGGACAAAAGAAAATTATCTCCGTACTCGTACCGTACCAACAGGACCCACCCCCCGGCGGCAAACGAGTCTCTCGGAGAGCTCTGAGGTTACAATACGGTACCGCCCACCCCACTCATGGACCATGTCACTGTACATAGTCTAGCTGCATGGGCCGCCGCCAATCCCCTTCCCCACTATCTCCACTTATCAGCCAAAGTCCATCTAGATCCAGGGTCTCTCCCTCGGGCTTGACGCACGAGGCAAAAATACAGCCTGCATGACACTCAAAATGACAAAAGGAACTGGAGCTCATTATCCTGGTTATTATTTCACCAATTGGCGACAAAAAAAAAAAAAAAAAGCAACAAAAGATATAGATGCGCAGATGAAGAGGCTTATATTGAGAAGATACGGAGTAAGACAGTTAAGGAGAAAGACACCGAAAAAAAAAAAAAAAAAAAAAAAAAAAAAAAAGTGTACGGACCAGCATGTGCCAATTCCCCTGCCGCACCACTTCATCTCCAGCAAATAAAAATCGCCCAATGGATGCGCATCTGTACTGTTGATATTTCAAGTCCCGACTTTGCCTCAACTTAACTGCAATCCCATCCGGATTCTTCTTCTTCTTTTTTTTTTTTTTCTCTTTTCTGTTGCCTTCGGACTGAAGAAGCTCTCTTCCTCTTCGGTCAGACATTCGTTTTAACTTTCATTTCTCACACTTTCCTCGTTCTTCATCCCTCTCCTCTTTCTCTCTCTCCTCCCTTCATCTGCCTCCTACTCTCTTTCAATCTTCTACTATCGAAGATCATTCCAATCGCCTCTGCTTTGGAACACATTACTGTCGTCATTGAACCAGAAAACGATTGGCAAGATCAAGAATTGAGAAAACAACAGATCTATTGGTTGAGACGGGGAAAGCTCCGGGATCTTCTTTCTCGAAACCATGGCATTCCCATTTATGCGAGCTTTTCTCGCTGTATTGTAAGTAGTTTAAATACTATCTTGCCTGAGAAAAACAACAGAAAGCAAAAAATTTATTAAAAAAAAAAATTTAAAAGAGGAAAAGAAATCAAAGAAAAAGAAAAAGAAACTGACCAAGAGGTCCGCGCAGTCTCTATCGCTATCTACGTTTGATGATCAACCTGTTCTCCTTCTGGACTTTCAAACCGATTCCTCCTCCCGAAACCCCGAAATTGACCGCCCAGGATGTCACGGTAATCATCCCGACGCTGGAAGGTTGTGGCGATGAATTGGTCGAGACAATCAGAACCATTCTTGATAACCGGCCGTACGAGCTTCTGCTGGTCACCATCGAGGCCAATCGAAAGAAAGCCGAGAACATGCTCAGTTCAATGCCTGCCTCCAAGTCGAGAATCCGTCTCTTTACCGTCACTCATCCCAACAAACGCCGCCAAATGACTCGTGCTATCCCAGAAGTCCGGACGGCCATCACCATGTTCGCCGATGACGACGTGAGTTGGCCGCGCACCGTTATGCCTTGGATCTTGGCCCCGTTCGAAAAGGATGAGCGGTACGGTGGTGTAGTCACCTGCCAACGTTTGCGCCGTGCGACTTCCCCAACTTTCTCGCAGCGCATCTACAACTTCCTCGGGGCTCTGTACTTGGAGCGACGGAACTTTGATTGTGCATCTACGACGCATATCGATGGTGGTCTTCCTTGCATGTCTGGACGCAGCGTTGCCTATCGGACCAAGATCCTTCAAGATGATGTGTTCACTTACGCTTTCACCAACGAGGAATGGTGGTTTGGCAAATACCAATTGAATGCGGACGACGACAACTTCATCACTCGTTGGATGGTTTCTCACGGCTGGGAAACGTTCATGCAGTACCATCCCGAGGCCGAAGTTCAAACTACCCTCGAAGACAACCCCAAATTCCTGAAGCAGTGTGCACGGTGGTCGCGAAGCAACTGGCGCAGTAACCTGACCAGCATGTTTCATGAAAAGCATATTTGGTAGTAAGTATTTTGCTCTCTTTTTCTTCTTTCTCTCGGATCTCCGCCGAACAAAATTTTTTGAGTGATCCCTGCACTGGATGTGGAAATTATTTCCACTTTTTTTTTTTTTTTTGCCCCGTTCATTTTTGCCGTCCAGTGGATGAACACGACGCGTCTTAATCTATGAAACGGTGAAACGGTGAACGAACTGCCCAAGGAATTCGTGATCAAGACCGAATCATCATGAAGTAGGTTGACGCGGGTGTGGTTCCCATTTCTGGCGAGGCACATAATCTAAAGCAACCAAAACACGCATCTTCATTTAAGCCGCAACGCTAACGTGTCTGTGCCACCAGCCGCCAGCCTTGGAGCGCTTACGCCGTCCATTTGACAACCCTGTCGCCTCCCGCTCTTATCAGCGACTTGTTGCTCCTTTTGCTCTGCCACAAAGCCTTCGTGTCATGGGGCGAGGAATGGCATACCTTGGCAATGCAAGCCTTGGGACTGTGGATGTTTGTCAGCAAATTCATTAAACTTGTCGGTCATTACATTCGTTATCCAGTCGATGTTTTGCTACTGCCCGTATCCATCCTATTCGGTTATCTCCACGGGATTATCAAAATATACGCGGTGCTAACTCTCAATGTGGTAAGTTCCAAAATACACAGCCCTCCTTTCCCACCCTCCACATTTCTCTTGCAGCGCCCTGAGCTCTTGGGGCACTGGATGATGAGTTCTAGCCCTTGGTGGTTTACAACCTTGTCCATTCACGTCGCATTCCCGTGTTCAACCCCTCTCGCAATACACCATAATGCATGATCCTACCACATGGTTCAGCCAATGGGCTTGCTCTTGCCTAACAAAGAATTCATCTCCAACTTTGATAATCATGCATGGCTAACTCTTGGATCAACTTACAGACCGCATGGGGTAGCAGAGATGGAGCCGATGACTATGACGCAGAACGTATGAAGAAGCGTACGAGTATCGACCGCATGAAGCAGCGACCTTACTACCCCAACTTCGTCACTCAATAAATGGCTTCCGCATGGTCGACGAATGATTGGCCGGCCTCCCATCCTTTACCGAACCGCCGACACTAACATCCGTTGGTACGCTGCCTTCCCGTTCAATCAAATATCTTACTCGAACCGAACCGAGTCAATCTAGAGCGAGACAACGCAAGAAACCATGTTGCTGGCGCTGTATCAAGCCAACGTGTGACAGCTGGCCATTGATCTCTATACATGCTTACGACGAAATGCCTTGATGATGTCCTAATCTGGAAAGATGACCAACATGAATCCTCGGATAGGATTCCAGACGTCACGCAACGTTCGGCATCTTCTCCCAATTTTCTCTTCTCGTTTTCTGTTTTAATCGAGTTGGTTTTCGCAAATGGGGTTCTGCGATATACCATTTCAGTTCTACGCATTGCTCCGTCACTTTAATACCCAGACTTCCTGTCTCGTTTTCTGTTCCCCTTTCTTCTTTTCCCTTACACCTTTTTTGAGCATTGTGTTTTCTGTTTTCTCTTCCCTGCCTTGTTTTCGTTCGCTCGTTCCGTCATGAGGGTTGACGGTGTCAGGCCACCAATAACTTGGGTGCTCATTCGACGAGACCAGAAAGACAAGAGGGAACAGAGGATACGGCGGGGCCTCAATTACATGAGGTTAATCTGTAAATTACAGAGGCGTGGGCAGGTTCGCCCCGTCGCTTGGATACCACTAATACCTTTTGAACAGGGATTGATCTGTTTTCATATTAGACTGAAAAGATTATGGGCGGCTTTTTGTTTTGATTCAAGTTCTATTCTATTGTTTGCTCTCATGTCAACTATGGCATAATAGCTAATGTATCCTGTTCTTATGACTTAAATATATATATATATTAAAAAAAAAAAAAAAAAAAAAAAAAATCCATTTCAGTTTTGGTTCAATTGTCATATGCTCACTCACGTCAAAGGGATCGTCAGCGCAGTGACAAAGCAATATTCGCAACCATCAGAGTTTCTGCAATATGGCGTAAATATAATGAAATCAAGTTGCTGATGTACACTTCTCATGTGCTATGAGGCATGAGGAATAACAATAATGGTATGGATCAGAGACATCGAATTGCGGAGAATGTGGCGCTTGTGGCAATCTGGGCCCGCTGATGTTTTCCGTCGGCAACTCGACGGTTCATTCAGACAAGCTCTCTTTCAGCTACAGCATAATTACACCTGATACTTTTGTCTCACTTTTATTTATCATTTCATTTGCCAACCCTTGTGTCGCACTGTCAGGCGGATTCACTTTCTGATTGTACGAAACGGCGATGACGATACTCACTCGCTCCCCCGCGACTCTTTCATTGCAGTTGTTTTCCACGGCTGTTCGACGTAATGCATCAACAGCTCGCTTTTTCCATTTTTCCCCGCTGAGGACAGCCGTTGCCCATCCTATTACAGCTCATGGACCTCCCCCGAAAGCCCCTGCACCGGCGCGAGAATTTGGGGAGCAGCAAAAACAGGAGCAGCAACAGCAACAGCAACAGCAACAAGCAACAGAGGAAGAAGCGAAGGTTGCCGGAACTGAAAAAGAGACTCCGGCGCGACCATCGAAACCTTCTGCTCTCAAAAAACGGTTTTGGAAAAATGTCGATGTTAGAAAGAAGCCGGGTACGTTGTATGAAAGAAAGAAAAAAAGAAAGAAAGCGAGGAGCTGAATGGAAAGCTGACCATGCTATGCGCTTCCAGAGGAATATCAAGTTTTGCTTGATACCAGACCTGTCCGGACGCCGACCAAGGATATTCTTTCGATCCCGCCAACCAAGCCTCATCTGGCACACGCGATTGCTCTGGAGTGGGATGTAATGACTTCAGCCCAACAAGCCCTGAAGCATCATCTGATCCCGTTGACTTCGTTGACTGCACGGGGAGCGGACATTGCTCGGGAAGATGCGCAAGGCCAGACCACCACCAGGGAACAAATCGTGAGGACTACCATGCGATATCTAGATACCGATACATTGCTTTGCTGGGTTCCGGAGAAGAACCCGTACTCGCCACCGGAAGTGGATGAGAAGGGCGAGAAGAAGGAGAGTCTCCGTGATGTCCAGGAACGAGTGGCCAGGGACGTTATTGCGTATCTGAGCACCAAGGTCTGGCCAGGGATTGAAATCAAACCTATCCTGGATGAGGGCAGCATTATCCCGGCTTCTCAACCGCAGGCTACGAAAGACATTATAAAGACATGGATCTACAACCTCCAGGCTTATGATCTAGCCGGCTTCGAGCGAGGAGTACTCGGTTCCAAGAGTTTACTCATCGCCGCGAGATTGGTGGCTGAATGGAGCGAGAACTTCCGCCACGCGCAGAACGTGGAGCAGAGAAGGTTCGGTATCGAGGAGGCCGCTGAAGCATCGACCTTGGAAGTCAGGTGGCAGACTGACATGTGGGGTGAGGTGGAAGATACCCACGATGTTGACAAGGAGGACGTTAAGAGGCAGCTGGGCAGTGTGGTTGTCTTGGTCAGCGGGGAGACTCGATAAATGTCACGGGTCTGAAACGTTTGTATAGACTCTTGTATTCTAAATTAGATACCTTTCTTGATGAGAGACTGTAAATATATGCATTGTGTGTAATATATTAAAATTGACACATACGACACAGTAAGAATGAATCACTTCCTGAACTTCAAACGACCACCAAACTCTGTATATTTCGTAGAATATCTACCGCAATATACGGAGTAATCGTGCTATATAGTAGTACAGTGTAGCGATCCTATGATTCCATAGAAACTTGCCAAGGCGGGACCATGTGAAGATGGAGATCGCAACGGACCCCTTCGAGATCAGGGGGACACCCATCCTCGCCACTTGCAGCTCTGAGAATTATCCCTTGAAAAGGAATCATTTCTATTCATCCCGCTATTGTTTCGAGTTGCTCGTTATTAAACCTCACCCCCTTCTGTCCGTATATGTACCAGAGACCTATTGGCGTCAAGTGGCGAGTGTGAGATATGTCGGAAACAGGCGAAGGGTAAGTCATTTCTCTGGGACACCTCTCCAGTTCCATGGATCGCGATGGCAAGCCGTGTCATCGTCTGGGTGATTCGTTCAACTATATATATGGCTGCAGATGGTGATTGAGAAACGAAGCCATTACTCTCAAGGAACCATCGAACCCGTCCAGGTGGCCATTCAATGACCTTCCGCTGTGCCGTCGCGATAGATCTTTGATGGAACATAGCCTACATACCACTGGAATCAGGCGAAAAACCGCTGCTAACAATGCCCCTACCCCTTAGACACAAGCGCTCCGGGAGTTCGCTGGCCCTTTCCATCTTGCATCGGGACAAGTCGCGAAGCGAAGAGATCCCCGAAGAGGTCGCCAATCGCGACAGAGGCTCGCTCGAATCCACCAACTCCCCTTCCGCCGTGAATAACGATGGCTTCTTGGGCTCCCCCATAACCATGTCGCGAAGCAACGGCCGCCGAATGTCTCGCCAGGAGACAACTACTTCCCCGCCGACGTCCGCTGATGGCTCCCTGGACCCTGCCGCCTCTAGCCAGAATGGTGGAGATACGTTTGAGAAGTTGCCTTCGATCCCACAGGGCGCTGAGGGCGGAAGCGTGTCTCTCGAACAATCCGTGAGGACGTTCCGGTTATTTGAGATTCTGCGGAGCGGAGATATAACGGCTATTTACAAGGCAATCAAGGAAGCCAAAGATCCCCAGGGTGCGGGCACTCTTTCTGGGACCACCGTCCTCCACTTGGCCATCCAATGCGCCGAGCCGCAGGTGGTTGAATACGTTCTGTCTGCAGGGAATGACGTTGATATCAATGCGCGAGATCGTGATGGCAATACGGCGCTCCACCTTGCTGCACAGCTTGGTAGAGGTCCGCTGGTGCGAGAATTATTAAATCGACCGGCTGTCAATGACTCGTTGGTTAACTACCGCGGTCAGACTGCTCTCGATTTCGCCCGGACTCCAGAGATTTTCCAGCAGCTGCAGCTGGCACGGTCCTTGTTTATTGACAGCAAGACTCAAGAAATTCAATCCATAATTACCCAGGAGCAACATGAAAAATTGGAAAAGCTTCTGGAAGAGCCCCGGGTGGAAGGGACCATTGATGTGAACAGCTTGGAACTCGTCACAGATCCCGTCACAGCGCAGTCCGGAGGGACTTTGCTGCACGAGGGGGCGAGAAAGAAGGACACGAAACTTATCCAGATTCTCTTGATGCATGGAGCCGATCCCTTCCGTCGTGATAAGAAAGGCAAGTTGCCGCAGGATGTCACCAAGGACGACCGGACGAAAGCCATTCTGAAGAAATCACCGGCTGCCGCCATTGCGCAGCGCGGCATCCAGGAGAAAGCCATTCTGGGAAACAATACCGCACAGGCTCTCGCCGGCCGGTCATCTATTGGTGAGCCTCCTTTGGCGGGCAAGGACTCGCGCGAAATGAGAGGGTACTTGAAGAAGTGGACGAACTATACTACCGGCTATAAGCTACGGTGGTTCGTCCTTGAGGACGGAGTGTTGAGTTACTACAAGCACCAAGATGATGCTGGCTCTGCTTGCCGTGGTGCGATCAACATGAAAATCGCGAGGTTGAATATGGATCCGCAGGATAAGACACGGTTTGAAATCCACGGCAAATCGTCCGTTAAATACCACCTCAAAGCGAATCACGTCGTGGAAGCGAAGCGCTGGTTTTGGACCTTGAACAATGCCATCCAGTGGGCCAAGGACGAAGCTAAAGAGGAAGAGAGACGCCAGAACCAGGATGCCGAGGCACTTCGTCAAGCGAAACTCGACCAGTCCGAGGGACGACAGCTCGAATCCTCAGGTGAAACGAAGGGCTTGGCTCCTCCGTCGCTAGAGGTACCGAACAGCAGCGGCTCAAAGCTCAGCAAATATACATCCCGTACTACCGCGGAGAGCGGACCTGGAGACGAGGAAGGGTCCATGTACGACCCCTTTGAGCAAGGCGGTCCACACAGTGATGTGAATCGGGCAACCAGTAATGGGCCTGATGGGGAAGAAGATGATTACGGCGACTATGCGTCCAGTCGCGAAGTTCCTGCTGGCGACAAAGATGCCTTGAACATCACCGCGCAATCCGCAAAGATTCAACTTGAACTGCTTGCAAATGTTGCATCCTCCTTGCAAACCGAAAAGTCGAACAATCCGGACATGACCATCTCGGATCCGGCAGTCGAACAAGCCCTGGCCGCCTATGATGCTGCTGTGAGCAGTCTTAAGAGTCTGGTTCAGAACCTCCTTAGGATATCCCGCGATCGTGATTCGTATTGGCGCTTTCGATTGGGCCGGGAGGCGCATCTTCGCAACATGTGGGAGGAGAGTATGGCTCGAGTCGCGCTGGAACATGAAGAACTTCAGTCGAAGATGGGCGAATCCGAGGAGAAACGACGCCGGACTAAGAAAGCGCTCAAGGAAGCGCTGGAGGGTGCGTCGGCCAATAACACTCGCCTCGCCGCGGGCGTTTCGCCTCAGGTGCAAGTCACCAGTGAGGATGAGGCTCCTGCCAATGCTGGTGACCAGCAAGTCAAAGCCGAGGAAAACGCAGAAGAGCTTCCGGGCCATATCGAGAATCCCAAGAAGGGAGGGCGCTCCCGGGTGTGCAGTCTTTACGAGTCTGATTCTGACGAGGAAGACGAATTCTTCGACGCCCTTGATGCGGGCGAGATTGAAGCAGAGGATTTGACCAAAGCTGACGAGAAGGAGGAAAAAGAACAGCCTAGCGACGCAAACGGTGAGCTTCGGGCTGTGAAATACAGGGAAGTCCAGCCTTCATTCAAGGGATATGAAGCACCCATTCGGGAGAGACTCAAGTTGGATTACGACAACAGACCAAGGATCTCTTTATGGGTAAGTTACCCCCCAGGGCAAAATATAAATCGAAAATCTGACGTTCGTTTTTCAGGGAATCTTGAAATCCATGATTGGCAAGGACATGACAAAGATGACGCTCCCTGTGTCTTTCAACGAGCCAACTTCCTTGCTTCAGCGTGTGGCCGAGGATTTGGAATACGCGGACCTCCTTGACATCGCATCTGATCGATCTGACTCCATGGAACGTATGGTATATGTTGCTGCATATGCGGCAAGTGAGTACGCTTCCACCATCGGTCGTGTCGCGAAACCATTCAATCCGCTCTTGGGTGAAACTTTCGAGTACGTGAGGCCGGATAAAGGTTATCGTTTCTTCGTGGAACAAGTCAGCCACCATCCTCCGATTGGGGCTGCTTGGGCTGAGTCGGCCAAGTGGGATTACTATGTAAGTAGTGGTGTCCCGAAATCATTTTGCTTTCTTTCGACTCAAGACTAACGTTAGTTTTTCTGCACAGGGTGAATCGGCTCTTAAGTCGAAATTCTACGGAAAATCTTTTGACATCAACCTTTTGGGTACATGGTTTTTGAAGTTGCGTCCCGTCTCCGGAGGAGAGGAACTCTACACGTGGAAGAAGGTTACATCTTCCGTTGTTGGTATCATCACCGGGAATCCCACAGTGGATAACTATGGATTGATGGAGATCAAGAACTGGAATACCGGGGAGGTCTGTTACTTGGACTTCAAGCCCAGAGGTTGGAAAGCTGCATCCGCATACCAGGTGACGGGCAAGGTCGTTGATTCCAGCGGGTCTCCCAAGTGGAGTATCGGTGGCCGGTGGAATGACAAGATCTATGCTCGCCACACTCCCGGTTTTGAGGCCCAAGTGTCTGCTCAAGATCCAGAATCGGCCAAGACGCTGTTGGTCTGGCAGTCTCATGAACGTCCCACAGGCATCCCATTCAACGTGACTCCCTTTGTCATCACGTTGAACGCGCTACCTGAAAACCTGAAGAACTATCTTCCTCCCACGGACACTCGCCTGCGGCCTGATCAGCGTGCTATGGAAGAAGGTAAATATGACCTTGCTGCGGAGGAGAAGCACCGGGTCGAGGAGAAACAACGTGCGACTCGAAGAGAGCGGGAAGCTAATGGAGTGGAGTACCATCCCAAGTGGTTCACCAGAGCACAGTGCCCTGTGACTGGTGAAGAGTACTGGGCACACAATGGGAAGTATTGGGAGTCCAGAGAAGCGCAGGACTGGAGTGCCAGTGAGGATATTTTTTAAAATACTATACAAAGTACGTAATAAAACAACAAGGAACGAGGACTTTGTCTTGCCTTTAGTCGTGTGCCTGCGGGTAAGACTGAGATATCTTGTTCTGTAGTAGTAGCAACAGTAGTAGTAGTAGTAGTAGTAGTAGTAGTAGTAGTAGTAGTAGTAGTTGTTGTTGTTGTTGTTGTTGTTGTATTTAACGTCGGAAATTCGGTCGCGTGTCAAATCTAGATCACGTGTCGCGGGGTCCCGGAGCGGAACATACGACGGGCGAAGCGGAATCGCCTATCTAGTAGCTAAGCTAATTCTATCATACACATTGGCAACACTCCCGCGCGGGAGCTCACATGGGAATTGGGCCGCAGGAGCGGAAGTATATGGTTGATGGGAGGTGTGAAGGGAGAGGAGGGAGAGGGTGTGTGAGGAAGGGGTTTTTGGTTAATGTGCGGGGCAAATTTTGAGGTAGAAGTGAGAATTCTGAAGCCATTCATGGAAGTCCTTTATCCCTGACTTGGATCGCAGGATCTCATCAACCTGTCTCTGCCCCCATGGGTGGGGGGATGCCTTGCGGCCTTTTCGGCAGTAGTAGAAGTGGTGGGGGGACTTTGGGCCTCCACACAAGCATTCTATCTTCGCGTGTTCATGCCCAAATCGCTCATGGCACTGGGCAAAGTCTTCATGGCCTGCCCGGGCAGCAATAAGTCAACCGAGGGTGGCTCTGGGGAGGGACAATTCATGGGGTCGTTTATCCAGGACGATGGAGAGGTCCTGATATTGTTGTGGTGCGTTTTCAGCCCAGAAGGACACAAAACGCTGCCAGAAATTCTCCTTCAAGGTCGGGCGAGCCCAGGCATATCTTGTGGGAGGGGGATGGCTCTATGGGATAGACCAAGCTCATTTCTTTGCTTGTTCGTCTGCCGTTTCATTCCCTGCAATGCCAGCATGTCCAGGAATCCAGCAAACATGCACTTGTCTGGGTGGGATGGCCTGGCATCGGAAGGGTCGGTTGGGCCAGGCCTTTGCGGCTTCTTGAAAGGCCAGGATGGTGCTTTGGCTGGAGCCTCTGGGGCAGCCCTGTAGCTGTCATGCCGCTTCCTGGTTATCAAGGAGGATGTATAAGTTCTGTGTGAAGGGGGCTTGGGCACTATTGATGGTGGCCTCTAGCCCTTCACCAGCTGCAGTGGCCTCTGTGTTGAAGACCTCATGTTGTGGGAGGGAGAGATGGCCCTGTACAGACTCTAGCTTCTGTGCACCCCAGTATCCATACCAACCTGCACCAGCCATAGTGGCTGAGTTGTTCAAGCGGCTGCCGTCAGTGAACAGGAACATGGAGAGCGGAGGGCGAGTGTCAGCCCACTGTTGGAAGGCCACATCTGCCCTGTCTCGTGTAGGGCAGATATTCTGGGTATTTCTAGGGTTTTCTGCCTGCCATGGGGGGTAGGCCAGAGGATCAGTCTGTTCTATCCTCTCCAGCCATGGCAGGCGACTGCGGATTAAGCGTGTGTTTGCAGGGAGGGATTGTGAATGGGATAGGCGCCTGAAGACTGGATGTTGATCATCCAATCTAGAAGTCTGCAGTCTGGCCGCAGCGCGTTTCTGGTCAAGGATGATCTCTATATGGGGAATGGCAGTTTCCCGATGGAGGACTGAGGTAGGGGTATAGCGGTATACTGGGAGAGTGCTTTGGGGGGGCTTCTCTGAGCACCCGATCCAGCCGGGACAGGGCAGAATTGACTCGGTTTGATATATATGTTTGGTTCCGGGGCCTGTGTCGTCCTGGCCACCAGGCCTCAGCCCCATAGCATAGAACTGAGATGACACATGCAACTGTGGCCTGCCGCAGTAGGCGTGCATTGGCCCCTTGGACTTTGTTGGCTATTGATTTGATCCCAGCAGCTGTTTGCTTAGCTTTTGCTGCAAGGGTCCTGCGGTGTTTGCCAAAGCTCATCCGCTGGTCAAACCAGATGCCTAACCAACACGTTGCACCGCCGGGAGGGGGGCTTGATTATATGTATGTCTTGAGGGGTGTGTATAGAGCATGTGGGGTTAGGGTGATTAGCTCCCCGTGAGAAGTGTTGTAGTTCAGTCTTGTTGAAATCAAAGGTGAGGCCCTCCCTTGCTCCCCAGTGCCTGAGTTCCTCAGTGCAGTGCTGAAGTACAGTGCAGTTTTCTTCCAAGGAATGAGAGGCCACCAGTTGGCAGATGTCATCTGCATATCCAAAGCGACCGCGGCGGGCGCGTATGGAGCCTTGTTTGAAAATGGGTTCGATAAAGAGCATAAATAGGATGGGGGAAATTGGTGAGCCTTGTGGTAGACCTGTAGGAACCTCAACTGTGGCTCATGTGATTTTCTAGGCACAGGCTGGCTGTTCGACTTTGGGTAAAGCTGGCTACCCATCAGACCATATTGGTAGGCCATGCTTGCTCTCAGAGCCGTCCAATCAGTCGTCCTGGTAGGACAGCATCAAAGGCGCCTTGCACATCCAGTGTGAGCATGGAGGATTTCAAGCCCTGTGACCAGGCCTCCTCAACATCGTGGACCAGTGCTGCAGCTAGGTCTGTGGCAGAGCGGAGTGGGAGGGCACCAAACTGTTGTGGATGGAGGACCTTATGCTTGATTGCTATCCATGCCAACCGGCGGCCTATGAGGCGCTCTAGGCCTTTTCCCAAAACTGATAGGAGGGAAATCAACCTATATGTCCGGGGAGAGCTTCGGTCCCTTTTTCCGGGCTTTGAAATGGCCACCAGTGAGGCGTCTCGGAAAGGGGTAGGATGCCAGCCTTGGGCTAGGCAGTTTCGGTACAATGATGCGATAGCAGGGCCTAGGATGGGCCATGCTTTCCTGAGAATGAGAGTGGACACGCCATCTTTTCCTGGTGTACTGTTTTTGGGCCTTGCTATTGCGTTATATATCTCCTTTTCTGAGGTATCAGGGAAGGGCAGGCGGGGTTGTTGATAGGTTCCAGGTTGAGATCCAAGTCCTCTAAGCAAGACGCCTCCTGGAAGAGTGCACGGACTAGATAGCTTGTATCTTGTTCTGTATATATACATTGCTTCTGGAATATACACTGGTTTCGTATATTCATCACGTGATATACCGCTACCAAAATAATCGCCGATCCCCGGCAGCAGTCAGTCATTGTCCATCACTCGTCCACAAAACTCACGATGACTGGCGAGTATACCTGTGGACGCTGTCTCCAGGTACTCCGTCGAGGGGTCAGACCCCGTGGCCCTGTCGTTCGGCCACAGAATTGGACTAATTCGAGGCGGGGTTGCAACAACACTCCCGCATTTTCTGTCCGGAGCTTTAGCTCACACTCACGGGGCAACAACGGCAATGAGCGCAGTTTACCAACAGGCACGCAGGAACCGCTCAAACGAGTAGCACCGTCACAGTCGCAGCCAATTACGCCCGCCAGCCAATCCCTCGTGCAAAAAGCCGCCGCCTCTACAGCGTCAGGGAAAGGGGCCCGGGAACTGCTGAGGCCCAATAACCTCTTCCATCCCTTCTCCAGGTCGCCATCACGAGCCATTCGACAGCGTGCGGAATCCATCAAACAGAATGCTTTCTGCCCTCATCCGAGCCACCAACAGACCCGGCTGCCCGTGTCGCCGCACGACCCGGAATCGCGCAAGAGCACCCAGCACGCCAGTCTCCCGCCTGCCCATTCGCATTTCGAATGCCCCGACTGCGGTGTGCCGATATACTGTACAGAGGGACACTGGATGGATGACTTCGAGGCGCATCTGGAGATTTGCGAAACCATCCGCCAGATCAACGAGGATGACCATGACCTACACTCTGGGCGGTTCTTCCCCGAATTCTCGTACCCGGGTGTGCAGGATGATACCTATGTCATCAACATGACCAATTGGGATACCTTTCTCTATACGCGCGAGTTCGAGGCCATCAACGATGACCGTAGCCTGCGCCAGGTTTCTCGGATGTTGACATATCCGATGACCATTGGAAGCGTTCTGCACGAATTGAGTCCCTACAGCGTCCGAAAGAATGACAGGCTTACGGTTGAGGGTCTTAAGAGCTTGAGCGGTGAGTTCATTTTCTCTGAATTGAAAAAGAGCCAACAGACTAATACCTTGCTTTAGCTCTGCGATACACTTTGCACCCCCCTAAGACCGGAGAGGGAACCGATATTCAAGGACTACGTCTTAAAGCGCCCCCGGTCCGAATCTTCATCCTCGGAGCTCGTGCGGAATCTTCCCTGCCCCGCGATGTCTGGCTTCAGCTCAGTTACATCTTCCCCCGTACCCTGTTCCACTTGATCTTCATTGGACCTGAAAGCATGGCCAACCGGGACGAAGAATTCCCGCTCCCGGAGCGGACGCCTGAGAACCCCTTCGGAGGCATCGTGGAAGACCGACTGGGTGGACAGATGAAGATCACCACCTACGTTGACTACTTCCATACAATGTACAAAGCCAACTACTTCCAGCCGTTCGACCCTTACCTGGACCTTGTGGTCCTCTTCCACCCTGGTCTGGGCCACCCAGCCAGCTCTTTTGAATGGGAGGAGACACTCCCGCAGTTGCTGGAGACCAAGGTCCCGATCATCAGCACGGGATACACGCAGTGGGACATGGAGCGAGACATTAACTGGGTTCGCGAGAAGTGCGGGGGTGAAGTCGATATCCTGCTGGAACCGGGCGAGAATATCTTCCGTAGTCTGCGGTGGGATTTGAACGACCTGGACCCTCATGACGTTTCCTGCGGAAATTGGGGATTGTGGGCTTTCAGGGGAAAGAGGTACGTTATGTCTTCTCTCCACTGTTAAGATAGAATATGAACTAACCAGCCGATCCTACAGATACGAGGCAACATTGAAAGACTGATTGATGGCGGTGTGAATTTATCTTTCATCTATGGGATTGTTTATGTTTATTGTAAATTGTACCATATACACTTCTATAACTCGTTAAACCGGGCAAAAGCAATGGAATGGAGTAACCTATCTTCTCTTATCTATATTTACTATAGTATCAGCTGCGTGCCGGTCATATCTACAGTATTTACACTTGTCTATGAATAGGAAAATAGTGCCAAAAGGTCAAAGGCACGTGCAAGATTATCAATTACCAACAAAGGCAAAAAAGGCAAGGTATCAACCGTAGAAGACATAATAGGGGCATGGCATGCAATGCACACAAAAGGTACAAAAAATTAGAAAGCTGCAGTTTCGTCAAAAAAGGTTCAAAATAGCCCTACACCCATTCATTACTTCGGAGGACATGTGAGAAGGAGTGGTGTAAAGAAGGAAAAAAAGGGGAAAAAAAAAAAAAGAAAACTTGTTAAAATGGTGAATCAAAAAAAGGGTTTCCACAGGGTATAAGAAGAGAAATGGTTTAATACATGGTAAAGGAGAAAGCGGATATTTTATCCATCTCATAGTTGGCAATGTTATGTATCGAGAAGATAATGAAGTCATATGTGGGCCGGACGAGCAAGTGGATATAGAATCCCCGGTTTTGTGCAGGAGCTTGCTTTGATGGACGAGGATACCTGTATCGCGACTCATCTCATTCAATAGTAGGGCAAACCCAGGGATTCTTTTTAAAGGCACTTTGTCGACTAGAACATGACCAGACCCGCGACAGCCACAACACCGGCCGCCATAGCACCAGAGTACTGGACAGGGGAAGCACCACCTGTAGCAATCGCAGGCGTCGAAGTCGTAGCGCTGGCAGTGGGCTTGGAAGCCTTGATCAAGGCCGAGGTGGAGCTAGCCTTGGCGAAGGAAGACGAGCTAGGCGTGTGCGAGATCAACCACGAGCTGCTGCTCGATGCAGGAGTCGAAGACGGCGCCGGGGTCGACGAGGGTGTCGCGGTCGTGGAGGGAGAAGCCAGGATGACCTGGATGGTGGTGGTGGAGGTAGGCGCAGGGGCATCGGCTTGCTCAGCAGCGAGCGCGACAGGCGCGAAGAGGGCAGCGGATGCGACCAGAAGAGCCTTGGTGAAGTACATCTTGAATTCTTGGGATTTCCTTTGATAAGATCGGATATGTATTGAAGATCAGGTTGATCAGATGTGTAATCTTGGCTGGTTTGCGTCCGGTGTTTGCTTGGTATTGTTGATTTTTGGATTGTCGCGACAGCGATTTGTATGTATGTATGATAAGTAGAAATAGTGTTGTATGTATTGTTTTTTTGTTTTTCTTTACTGCGATCGAGTCAATCAACCGACTTGAGATATAGCGAGCGAATGGAGCTGGAAACGAGTGACAGCTCTTGTGAAGAGTGAATAAAACGAATGACACTGCTTAGCAGGAGGGGAAGAAAGAAAAGAAAGAGAAGAAAGAAAGAAAAAGAAGCGACAGCGTGGGAGGGAGTCAGTTGGTAATTAAACTAGAAAGAACTTTTCTTTCATGCACAACCAAACAAAAAGAAAGAAAATAAAGGGGCAGAGCCTTATCACATCAAATGCAAACTACTATTCGTTAGTCGGAGACTGCTAGTAACATTTTTAAAATTAAATTAATATAACTTCAGCCATGGTTACTGGCGTGTGTCTCTGTCGTTCGTCTTCCGTAGGGAGCAATCCATCTCCGAGCCTATTGACTTTTGGAGCTTTTGGTCGCTGGACAGCCCAGTCTAGGGTCTCTGAAGGTTTTATTGCACCTGTCGATCGCTGTGCCTGCGTCAAGACCGCTTGCTTGGCACAATCCTGCAGTGACCACCGCTGTTCCAGCAGAATTACAGAGTTGTTATGGTGGTGTTCCTGGCTAAGAGCGCATGTTCTGTGGGTGCCCCGGGAGAGCCCGTTGAGGATCCCTGAGTTCGGTTCACTGACCTGTTGCCAGTTATAGTAGTCCTATCGAGCGTTGTTAGCGTTGTATACGAGAATAGTGAGAACAAAATTGTGTACCTGCATGAGCACGGAGTCCAGTGGTAGTATTTGCAAGGAGTAGGACCAACTACCCCATACTCCTACTCCGTATCGTATTCAGTGGGGTTTCAACTTAATCATATGTTGGTTCGAGGCACTCAACATCTTTTATTGCATAATTAGCCGGACATGGTTCCGACAGGCAGAGATGAATGTGGGAGAAATTCTCGTTCTCCGTACGGAGAGAAGGAGCCGAGGAGGTGGAGGCGGAGAGAGCCAGAACCACCGGGACGTCTATATTGAAGTTAATCCTCGCCATCCACGCGAGCAGGCAATAATCATTTGTATTTTCAGGTCAAAATGCATACGAGAAAGCCAATTTTGTCGTATTACTGACGTATACCGCGTATTAAACTGTCATAGCAATCTATAAGAGCGAGAACCATACCAAGCGAACATCCAGGGGTATCTAGGAGTCAAACTACACTAATAACAATGAAAAAAAAACCACCATCCCTCATCTATCCGTGATATGTCTATAGTAGATATGCGCTTTGACATAAACCATATTTTCGCAGGGGGCAGAATCACAGAGCATAAACGGCACTCAACGCGATAGCAGCCATAGCCAAGTATCCGCTGGTCTGCGCCATCTGGACCGTCGCTGGCGCCGCATTTTCCGCAACGGTCGTTCCATTTGGCAGAGATCCATTGACATAGATCTTCTGCGTTCCGTTGACATCGACGACGCGAACGTTGGTGCCATTCTTTGGCTCCGTGCCGTTGAAGAGGCTCTCATAGAAGGCGCTGTTGTTGTTGTCGTCGCAGCCACATTCCATGTACTGCTCACAGACACAAATGACAGGCAACGACTCTTCCTTGTGCGAGTGCGAGTCCGTGTAATTGTAGTCGTGCCCATAGGGATAAGCGTACGCTCCGTAAGCCAGAGCACCTCCCGCGAGACCCAGACCAGCTGCGGGCAAGAGGTACGGTGTCAGACCTCCGGGGGACCGAGAACCCGCAGAGTAGGGCGTCCTGGAACCTCCAGAGTAGTACGATCCGCCGCCATACGCGGGAGCTCGTCCTGAACCACCGCGGCTGGTACCTCCTCGGTTGCTGCTTGAGCTAAAAAGAAAATAGTCAGTTTAGAGTCCATACCAAGAGGGATCACTGTCAACTCACCTAGTCGAACCTCCACTGCTTCCTCCACTGCTACCGCCACGACCGCTGCTGCCACCGCGGCTGCCACTGCCACCGCTACCACTGCGTCCTCCACTACTGCCGCCGCTGCCACCGCTAGAACCTCCTCCTCGACCACCTCCACCTCCACCTCGACGCTTCTCCAGGGCCTGCCACACCGAGAGCTTAGGGGCAGGCGTGATGGTGGTGGGGTCGATAAGGTCCGTCGAGTGCCATTTCGGAATGACAGCAGAGTTGGCAACCGAGGAGAGAAGCAGCAGGGTAGAAGCTCCAACAGAGAACTTCATTTTGCCGATTGTCGGGAATGTGTTTGTGCTTGTTCAGATATCCAAGAAAAGCAGTAAGAGTATTGAGGGAAGCATATAGCGAAAAAGGGATGTGAAGGAATAGTGTATGAGAAGAAGAAGAAGAAGAAGAAGAAGAAGAAGAGGAAGAGGTAGAAGAGAAGAAGGAAGGAAGATATAGTAGGAACTATGAGGCAGCAGAAACTGATTGTCGATGATGTCGATAGGAAGCTATCATCGGAACCGAAAAAAAGGCTAGTGTGACGGGAGACTCAGCGCTTATAAACCACGGGTCGCAGTCAAAGTTTGCTCTTTCCTTGAATGCGTTAAAAGATTAAAGAAAATAATACCTACCGGAGAAATAAGATTTCCAAGGCGCAGCAAATTGGTGGCATGTTGCTCGGATAAAAGACCCTGAATGGCGCAGATCATTATTATTGTGAAGCCACAATAATAATGATTACCTCACTGCCACCAACATTGTTACTCTGATTGTTGTCATTCTAAGACCATTTGCCCACTTGGGATTTGAAAGTGAGCCTCATGTTTGCTCTCATGCATCCAGCGCCTATCATTACTGTATATATATATATATGACAGGGATGCATCGCCTCCATATGTACTACAAAAACGTGATAATAACCAACTTATATATGCCCAGGACATAGCAAACATTTCAATCACTGCTTCTGAACAGGTTACACCTTCTTCAATGGATGGTACACGGGATCCCACATCTGCACCTGAATCCATTCCTCCAACTCATTCGGATCGGTCGGAATGTCTTTCTCTTCTGCATGCCCTTCCTCCACTGCGGTTTGGATGACGGCTTTGGCGATGTCGACACTAACTGACCGCGCCTCCTCGACGTCGGGCAACAAAGGTCGTCTAGCATCCTTTAGCGCCGGCGATCGAGCTGCCAACGCACTAACAGCTGCAACCAACATTCGGTCAGAGAGCACCCGGGCACGGGACAATACGACACCAAGACCAATCCCAGGAAAGCAGGTGGAGTTGTTGCATTCCGCTAGGAAGAGAAAGAAAGTTAGGAACACAACTGATCAGTTAAATAGGTAGACTTCACTCACCGATCTCATATTTGCCCTCGTCCCGGTTCACTGGTGGAAACGGGCTCCCAGTGGCCATCAAGGCGCGACCGTCCGTCCATTTGTTAATGTCGTGGGGATCAGCTTCGTGTAGACGGGTTGGGTTGCTCAATGGCAGTATAATTGGGCGTTCGACGTTTTTGGCCATTTCACGGATCGCTTCCTCCGTGAAACTCTTGGGCTTCGTTGATGTCCCAACCAGGACGTGAGGCTTTGCAGTTTTCACCACAGATAGCAGGTCTAGTGTTTCCTTCGTGTCCCATTCAGAATTATCTCGTGCATACGGGACTTGAGCCGTAGTCAATTGATCACCCTGGGACTTTAGAAGAAGCCCTTGCTTGTCCAAGCACCAAATCTGCTTTGCGGATTCTTCCTTGGATTTGCCCGTTTCATTCGCAATGGCTCCGCATATCTGGTCCGCGATTCCTGTTCCGGCAGTTCCTGAGCCGAACATGACAAACCGCGCATCACCCAACTTGACATTGCTCACGCGGAGGGCTGGTATGATAGCGGCCAGCGTGACGCATCCGGTTCCTTGAATATCATCATTGAAACAGGGCGCGCGTGACCTGTACTTATCCAGAACCCTTTTGGCATTTTGGAGGCCAAAGTCCTCACTGATGTGTGTCAGTAAATTGTGCTCACACTCCTTTTCAAGGATTGGCCTACAAGTGAATATACGCCTTGGGGAATCGCTTCCGAGCAATAGTCACGAACTTCTCCAAGAACTCATCGTATTCCTTTCCGCGGGCCCGAGGCTGACGGAGACCGAGATAAAGCTCGTCGTTGAGAAGGGTTTCATTCTGCAACTGTCAGTTGGCATTTCCTAACATTGCTTTATTAGGCATTCATACGTCTGTACCGCAGTCCAGCACCACTGGGAGTTGTCGAGATGGATGAATGCCAGCACACAAGGTGGTAATCACCAACTTGGCCGTGGAGATCAGAATAGCCCCAACTCCCTGGTCTCCAATTCCGAGGATCTACTGAAGTTAGACCACTTTCAGAGCTATAGGGACATGGGTAATGCATACCTCTTCACCGTCGCTAACCACGATGTAATCAACGTCTTCACCACCGCCAAAATTTGACAGACATTCTTCTATTCTGTCCTGGTCCGTAATATTCAAGAAGCAGCCTTCCGGTCTCCGGAATATTCGCGAGTAGTTCTGTATAGCATCACCTTCAGTCGGCGTATAAATCACCCCGAACATCTCTTTGAAGTGGTCTTGAAGTAACTGCACATCAACCCAGTCAACATCGTTACCACCAATCTAGGGAAACGAGTATACTCAACAGACCCTATAATACAACACCTCACTCTGCATCTTCATACTCGCCATAAACGTGTTCTTTGCCAAGTCATCCTTCCGGCTGCTGTACTGCTCGTATGCCCTCCGGACTTGTTCGTCCAGCGTCTGGATATTGGGCGGGAGCAGCCCGTGCAGTTTGAATGTCTTGCGCTCTTCAGCAGGAAATGCAGAGCCCTTGTTGAATGCAGATGAATGCAAGAGACTTGTTCCCTGACTGAGTCAATCACTGCTATATGGCCAAAATATGGAAATATCCTACCTCGAGTGGGCATTCCAATGGCCCCGAGATTGTTCTGGGGAGGTTCTGGAACTTGGATGTTCCGTGTGAAGTCGACATATTCCGAATTGAGCGAATTGTCTTGGTGTTTCGAAGGTTCTTGTAGCAATGGTTGTTGATCATCAGAATGATTTTCTTACTGCTTAACCCAGGGTTTCTGCCAAGCTTTAAGGGCAAATAAAAAATGACGAGTGTGAAAGAGGATAGGAATGAGATCTTGAAATCAATATATATGATGTTGCTTCAGTGGAGCTGATATGAACTGCTAATGACGTAGACAGGTTAATTCTCAATGCTTGTTAACAGGCAACTGAATTACTCAGTAAACCGACTCTATATGCTCATATTACTTTTGACATATCTTCAAAACCATCGGTTAAACAGTTTTGCATTTGACAGATGCAGAGAATGCTTTGGGTTGTCTTCATGATGTCACCTACATCCATACGGACAAATCGAACGGTCGCTGGGTAAAGGATACATCCCAAGACATGCTGTTTGCATAGTACACAGAGCACTAATTATACAATTGATCTATCCTTCATTTACTATTCAAAGTAAAGAACAGAAACACAGAACCTCTACTATGTAGAATCTCGATAATGGCACGTGGTGATAAGATAAAGCTATTGACTAAGCCAATAAGCGAGACAAACAAAACCACCGCAATTTCTGCCGATTTCTGCCAATTTCAACACCCGCGCATACGGCGATATCTGACCAACGAGGAGAACTATGATTGTTTTGAGAAGTCTCAATTGTCAAGATGATGTTTTTGGCAGATAATGAGTCAGATCTACAATGCGATGGTAGTGGATGTCTACGACTCGAATCAACATTCAACCAGGGGGTACGAGTGCACAATGATATTGCACGATATAGAGTACAATTGATACGAAAAAGCAATTCCGCAATCCAGCTGTCCCTGTCCATCTCCATCATGCTATCTCCGGATAGACCGTGGAAAGGACGCCACGGACTCTTCTCGCAAGAAGGACGGTCGAAACGGTCACGTCTTGTGTCTGTCGCTGACTGGAGCTGGGGTTGCAATGGGATCATGTGAGCAATCGCGTGGTTTCGATGGTACTTGGTACCGAGTTGCAAGAATGAAATACAGGGCCTTCATAGTTCATGCGTTTGCTCGCGTTTTTGTACCTTCTACGAGAGCATGACTCCTTGCGCACCTACATACTTTGATTCGAATACGTATATAGTTGATTAGTTATATATCAAACAGAATAGCTCGAATATATACATTTACAGCTTGCTCTTGGCTTCATCGTCGATGACTTTCACCACAACCTTGCCCCAGGTTCCTCTTCCACCCAGAGCCTGCAAGGCCCTGGGAACACTCTCCAAGCCGACGAAGCTCTCATCCTTGAACGCAGTACCCTTGAACTGACCACGAGCCACCAGGTCAAAGATTCCCTGCCAAACAGGCCCAACCGTCTGCGGCTCGAGCTTGGCATACTGTCCCCAGTGCACACCAACCAAGCTAACATTCTTCAGCAGCACCCGGTTCAGCGCGACCTTCTCAATCTTGCCCGCAGCAAAACCAATCACCAGCAGGCGCGCATTCCACGCCACACACTTAAGACTCGCCTCAATCATACCCACAGGGTCATAGACGATATCCACACCAGCCTTCCCATTCTCACTCCGATTCGCCGCACACAACTTCTTCACCTCCTCAGGCCAGTTCTTCTCCCGGTAGTCAATGACATAGTCCGCCCCAAAGTCCTTCGCAATCTGCCTCTTGCGCTCCGTCCCCGCCGTCGCAATAACAGTCGCCCCCTTACCCTTAGCAATCTGCACTGCAGCCAATCCCACACCCCCAGCAGCCGCATGCACAAGCACCCAATCACCCGCCTGGACATTCGCCCGGTGCACTAGACCCCCATATGAAGTCGGCGCCGTAACAAACAGCCCAGCGGCATCCTCAAAGCTCCACCCCTCGGGCACAGGCAGGAGAGCCTGCTCCGGCGCTAGGATGTGAGTGGCATAAGCGCCCTGGGTAGCTCCGAAGACGCGATCACCGACATTGAAGCGACGCTTTTGATCCGAGGCAGTTGGGACGGCAAGGATGGTGCCGGCAAACTCAGCGCCTCCGACCCATGGGAAGGGCGGCTGGTGTTGATACTTGCCTTGGATCTGGAGCAGGTCGAAGAAGTTGGTGCCCGCGGAGTGGATTTCGATTAGGTATTGATCGGGGGAAGGCGAGGGAGTGGGAAGGTCAGTTACGGTGAGGTCAAGAGGACCCTATTGTTTAAACCGGTTTCGTGATTAGCTATGGGGACGACAAATGGAGCACAATAGAAACTATTGAAAAAAAGCAAAGGACCAAATTAAAGACACGGGTTCCTTACCTTGACATATTCCCGAAGCTGAATAGCTCGCATCTCGGGATTTCCGATTAAGATCCTCAGATTAAAACTGATAACGGCGCACCCAAAATTGAGACACCACGTTGGCGGTCAACTTCACTTGGGAAATAGTTCCGAGAAGAAAGCTCGCGATAATACCAAGCCCAAAAAGATGTCAAGACTGGAGACAAGAAGATGGAGAATGGGAAGAACTAAGTAAAAAGAAGAAGATCAAGATGCGCAATGGACGAACTGCCCAGTAGAGCCATCCCCGCGTTACTACATCGCCCGAAGGGGTAATCAGCCGAGGTTTATTTTCGGATAAGGCTCCGTGAGGGTTCTGCGTCCCTGTGGTTAGTTTGATAAAATGATGGCTGGTTTTTGACTTTTCTTTTTTGCTTTTGTGTTTGAACGGCTTTTCTCGCATGGCTGAGGCTGTAGATCATACACATGTGTTAACTATCTCGGGGCTGGGACGTTTTCGGTTTGATGTCCTTGTCACCATTTAGAGTTGCATTGCGAGACAATGATGAAGTACGGCGACTCTGTGACAGAAAATACAGGGTTCTTTGGAGGATTGTTTCTTGTCAATCAATGGAGATTATTCTTGCCGTAGTAGTGACGGTAGTAGTAATAGTAGTAGCTAAATGCAGTAGTGACATCCCGAACTCCTGCTTACTCCATGGATATGGTTTAGACATGATACATATATACAATGTTCAATAAATGATCAATGGTTTTCTTCCCATACGCCAAGGACCCCGTTCCTGTTGGGTATCCGCCCTTTTCGAGCATATTCACAACAAAGGAAATGAAATGCAACCAACCGCTTCACATGCCACCCAAACATGGATATAGATAGATAGATAGATAGATATAAGTCGAAACAGTACAGGACCATCATGCATAGTCACAAGGCAGATAAAAATAAAAACAAGGTAAGAGATCATCCAACCGTTTGAGGTATCAATAACTGGAAGACAAAGACAAAGGAAAAGCAGACATAAAACAAAGGGAAAGACAAAAGAAAAACATAAAACAGAAATTAGAAATTAGAAACCAATACCTGGGGGCTTGTGCACCAAAGACTCTTGGTCTGGATATGGGTAGAGAGGTGCACACATTATTGGATGCTGCCCACCAGGAAAGAACTGCGAGGACGGATTGCCCATGTCGTAGGCATGCGAAGATGTCTTTGCCGGCATAGAAGCCTTTCTCTCCATGTATTTTCGTGCATCACCTCGTGCACCGGTGTTGATACCGCCGGCCATAGCCTCTGGGCTATTGCATTGGAGGGACATGACACGCTGCCATTGCTTCGAATCTCCCATGAATTCCGACATGCCACCGTGCGGCAACATTCCATGATATTGCATGGGCTGAGGCGAGTAAATGCGACCAGACGGGTCCGGAGAGCCAGCTACCGGGGAGCCGATGGGTGGTGCAGCAGTGTAGAAAGGAACTGAGTGATGCTGGGAAGACATGGGATCGAGAGAAATCGAGAACCACGGAGGAACAGACCATGGCACTGATGCGGGAGAGGTTGTTGGCGCAGAGGATTCTGGCAAGCACACATCGGGTGCCATTGTGTAGGACGGGCTGGAGTAAGGCGGAGCCATAGTGACAGACGGATTGAGCAAAACACCGTCAACGGGAGTAGAAGGTTGCGATGGATCGTAGGAGCTGGTGCTAGGAACCACACTGGGAAATTGGTTCATCACGGACGGACTGTTGGAGAGGTCCCGGTGGCGAGGGTGACCTTGAATCCAAGCGCTGGAGAAATCCTGCTCCTCGAGAGACACCGGGTGCCAGTCTACCTTTGACATCGAAGGGTTCTTCGCAGCCGGCTGCGAAGACTTTTGCGTGGTGGGGGAGGCGGTCGAGGTGCGGTCCTTGGTCGAAGCATCGTCTGGGTCACTGTCATCCCCCGTAGCTTCCTGCTGACCGTCGTGCGACTTTTTGCGAGTCTGACGAGAAGGCTTGGTAACCCGCCATTTCTTCAACCTGCTTCGCAACTGGGTTTCACTGACGCGGGTTAGCACGGAAGCAGTTGTTGTGTGTATGCAAACAAATCGTACCTAGGATTGAAGTCCTCCGAACGAATCTGCTTGATGACCTGCTTGAGCGGCCATTCCTCATCCTTGTAGAGTTTGGCAATCAATGCCCTCTTCTTCTCCCAGACATCTGAAGGGATTGAATTTTTCATTTCTCACGATGGCGGACAGGTCGGTATTGGGAAAGGAAAACAAATCAAGAAAGTTCCCTTGAGGGGTTTAAGAAAAGATAAATACAAGTCAGAAAGACCTGGTCCGTGAGAGAGAGAAAAAAGGAAGTCAAAGAGAAAGACCGATGAAGATGGGAAGAGTCAGAAAGAGCGAAGACAGATCTATATGTACCAATGCACTAATTAGATGGAGATAACGACCGGACCCAGAACAGACGGACCACACTAGAGAGCCTCGTGCGTGATGATGGATGGGGCAAGTCGGGGGAGGGAAAACAAGAGGTCGATCAACCGTAGACGTGCCCAGGGAATATGATATTAACTCTCGGTGGTCCTGGTCCTGGCGCTGGCTGAACCAGAAAGTGCTTGGTTATCCACTTTGCCTCCCCCCGTTAAATTAAAAAAAGAAAGAAAGATTGACACTGGGTAGACTAAATTGCTCCTAGACTAACTGCCCTCCGTTACATAGTTACCTAGTATGTACTCCGTACTCTATAGTAGTATGGAGAGGAAGATTTGCCTTGGGATGGAGATTGTCCACAATAGGGATAGTCTGATACGGTAACGTACCACGGAGACCATTACCGCCTACGGTAAGGCTCCGAGAGAGTATGCTTAATTGGTCCGTCTAAGAGGGGAAAAGCAGGCATCTGGAATCCCGGAGCCAACCACAAAACGGCAGGCGGTGGAGGTGTTCAGTTCTGGCACAGTCCATTGTCTCGGGTCCTGTCAAGCCGCTTATCCATGCCCTCGGAGAGGAAAGTCTGTCTCCGTCTATGTACGGAGTAGTACTTAGTATAGTAGTAGAAGGCCTCTATACCACTGGCAGGCAGATCCTCGGAAATGAAAGAGGACTATGTCTGTATGAATATTCAGAATTGGACTATCATCATGTGATAATGGGAGATTGACATGATTTCTATCATTTATCTCGAGTATTGTAATTATCTATCTATAACATTGTAGAGAGCATCATGATCGACGTATCATTTCACGGATATAGGTAGGATTCTATAGATAAGTGGTAATATATAGAGTTGACTGCCGTTATTTATCTATTTTGTTAATAGTTGAGGGGAAATTCTCCTCCTCTCCTCTTCGACCTCGAACCATGTTTCTATTGTTTCCTCATCCATGTAACCCATGCTTCCATAGAGAATTCTACACAAATTCTCTTTTTTTTATTGTTAATACGCTTTTCTTATTAATCTCTATCTATCATTTCGACCAGTCACCTGTCTTTTCTGACAGCACATGGCACCGACCTTTTGTCATGGTCCACCGGAATCCACCTCCGTACAGGGTGCAATGTGGTCATGTACGGAGGACTGACTCTAAATGTCACCTGAGAGGATTAAGCCCGGTTCAACATGGGGTATGTAACTGCCGGTCCTGTGTCATTGCATGATTCTTGGTTACTACAAGTACTCTATCTATAGCATCTACTCCGTACCTCTTATCATAAAGTACCTATTATCAACAATCCTGGACAGCATCGTAATCCTCTGTAAATACTGAATCAGGTTGATTGACCTGACTCGCTCATCACTGCACACGATCCGGGAGGAGGCAAGAAGCTGAAATGACGATGAGAGAGATCCTAGTGCACTACTTAATCAAACGATCAAATTAATCTATTTAGTTGACGGCTTCCAGATTTGCTGCCAAAAACAAGGCCCTTTCTCCAACTCCAGATTGCCAGACGATGATCCGAACTCAGCAGGGTAAATGCAACCACACTCCAACTTGCGGCCGTTTGAGTTGACTAATACCGTTTTGGGAGGGGAGGTCATTTTAGCGTGACTTAATTGGGTAAGGGCTCGGAATTAGCCACTGCTAGTCACCCGTAGTGGAAGATCAGGTTCTCCGGTCATAGCATTTCAGCATGGGGCATTAATTACGGGAGAGCTGCGAGATGGACATTGTTTTCTTTTTTTATGAGGTATTAATTTAAGCATGGATATCGATCGATCATTAATTAATTTGCCTGGCAATAATCGACAATACAGTAACAATTCAAGAGGTTATTCTTCAACAACTGCAAAATGCAAGCCTGACCATGCGGTGATACCACCTCCACAGTAACCTGTTCAGGATTGGTCCGGCCGAAAGATTCGGAGCACCTGAAGAATACTCACTAAGCAAGAACTGGTCCTAGAAAGGAAAATGTGGAGGTCGGGCTGATCAAGACCAGGTGTAATTGGTCCGTGATGAGGAAATGCTATACTAGTGATAACCCCGTAGATAAACCTTCTTTCAAGAGTGGGCCACAATTTGCCCCTTTCACTCTCATTATTGGACGAAAATAGTGACGCTGTTGTATTTTTGTATGTAATCAATACGGACCTGTTCATTCTTTTAATCTCCACTTAGGGCTACCAAGGGAACCAGATTAACCGGGGGAGCTAGCCAGATCCGGCAACACGTGGGCCAAACCTAAGGGATCTCCCCGGGTCCTCACGGAGGTTGAGCACGTTCTTCACCAAATGTCTGATAACATATTGAGAGGAAATTACAGGGTAAATTTGATATGCAAGATTTGAAAAGATAAAAGTCAGAACTAAAGCAAGATAATAATAACAACAATGTTACTTGCTAGCATTGCTAGCCCCTGTTATCCCCGTATTAACTAAATACATACATATCTCCGTTTTCTCCGTACAATAGTCCTCGGGTGATCAGCTACACTTGCAATCCATAGTGCAAAAAGAAAATGAGGAAAAGTACGTCCTAACATCCGCAAGGGCCACGCTGAGATCCCTTCCTGATTCGCCCGCTGGCGAACTGAGTCAGTCGAGTCAGTGATGACAGTTCTTCTGGCACCAGTCAGGATTCATCATGGGATTGATATCAATTTGTATTATATACAGGGATCTCAGTGTGAGTGACACAATGTGCGTCAGTGATTAATCAATCAGATACATGTCGGTAGTTGTAGTCCATCGGCAGTTACGTTCCTTTGTATTCGGTGCCGAGGCTCTCTATAAACATGAGGCATTTGTTCATCTACTGAAACTGGAACAGGCAGAAGGAATGGAAAGCCTTTTCGAAGGAATCACGTTTGTTATCCTGTATAACCGGGATCATCAACGGTTATACTTAATCCAGCACATGGGTGACTATTCGGTAATCTGTAAATTCCATACTGGGACTGGACCCAGACCAAAACGAACCATAGTTCGTTTTTCGGTTGCTATACCAGATATGGCGAAGAGTCCGACGCCCTACCAGGCCTCTGTCCACCATGTGTCCTCCTTTTTGCAACTCCTCCCAGCTGAGTTTGGGGACGGACGATGGCAACGTCTGTCTAATGATGTTGCTTCTTCCGGAGGAGGGTCTGAATGGGGAGTAGTGCAGTGTAGCATAACTACATGCAGTTGTTCCTGCGCATCGGTGAATGAAGATTGTCATAATGCCCCAGTTAATCCCCCCTCTTATCTGTACGCTCTATGACGGTGGCAACCAGTATCTCAAATCATGAGAGCTTAACTTCTATTTGCAAAAAGAGCCTCACTCTTTCCTGTCTGCTGCCTGTCGCTCGACTGTCACTTCTCCACGGGAAATGAACGGACTCGGTCTGTGCCCAGAATAGAGCCCACCATGTCTCTCCGTCCCTGTCTCCGTACGAGTCATGTCCTTGCCCCCCTCTCCCCTTTTTGGCAGAAACAAATTCTGAGCTGATCGAGGATGGCTGGTCTGTTCATGTCATTCTAGACGATCGGGCCTTTGACATAAGTCTAGACATTTGTCGACATGACTAGTTATGGGTTGATTCCGGACCATAGAGCCGGAGTATAGACAGACATACATACATAGTACATCCACACACATTTGTAATTCAGATAGAATTTTCATCTCTAACATTTCCTGTACAGGGTACTATGACAAGCACTGCGGACTACTCCTGTAGGATTCGGTAGAACATGAAACGAAACCCATACTGAGACAGAAACAGTCTGTTTCAAGACCCCGGATAGGGCAAACTCCTTCTTCCTGCGTTCCTGAAGCAGTAGTCAACAACAGCAGTGATGCAAATCAAATCAGGTGGTAGAGCACAAAAAGCTAAATAAATTTTACAGTTTCCGGATCCTTCAACGGTTGTCACCGAAATCTGTACAGAGTACTCCGTACATACTCCGTTCGTTCTATGCAACACTAGTGCTGCACGTGTAGTCCTGACTAAGATTCCGCACTGGTTACCGAATCGGTCGAATGCCCCGTGACTAGAGAATCATTGATCCGCGGTGATCTTTGGTATTTTTTGCTTTTTTTTCTGCCCTTTGCTCGGGTATGGAGTACAGTAGTACAGCTGTTGGAGATTTAACTTTGCTTGATTGCACCATCATTGCCTCCGCTCCATTTGTTTTTGTAATCCTACATTGGTTATGTCATTGTGCTTGTGGAGTGCTGGGCTGGGCTGGCTGGGCAGATGCAGAAGTATTTGTACGGAATTTATGTCTGCATTATGCACGATGACTAACTGCATGAATTGATCCTCGTCCGTACTCTGTACTCTATGCAATACAAACAACACTTTGCTCTATCTACGTTCGATCTATCTACACTCAAGCGTATATTAATTGACTTGTAAGACGCTAGACACACCATGACCCCGCTAACGGCCGTCATTCAGCACGCGGATGATGGGTCAGAAATCTTCTCGTCGTTTCCGTGCCATCGTTTCAGGTCAGCTAGGGGAGGGCTTCAACAAACTTATTTACCCTTGCTGAGACCCCCACCGCACAACGATGGCTGGCTAACCCTGTCAATATGGTTATGGTTATGGTTACGACGGTCCACCGGGGCGCAACAATGTACTTTGTTCGCGCAGGATCTGACTTTCTACTCCGGAGTGCTATTCTTGTCATTCTAGACGAGTACATAAAAGTACCTATCACCCAGAAGAGAGATGCATAAGATTAGGTTTTGGTTGTTGTTTCAAGTGGTGTGGGATTGATCAAACAGGTATAGCCAGAGTGTGGTAGGTTTGGCTAAACACATACGAGGAAGTGAAGTGAGAAGAGAGAAGTCAACACTTAGACGTGCCGTGAGGCCGTCTGTCCATCATGCCATTCATTCATGCCAGATTCGGCTTGGATATCACAAAAAATACAAATAGAAAAACACCAATATGCTTGCTCAGCCCATACAAAACAAACACACGCAAGACTCCAGTACACAATCACAATCACAATCACATACAGAGTACATAAGATCCCTCCTCTTTCCAAACAAGAATAAGCACCCGGGATCCATCCGACAGACTCAGAACCAATCAAGCCAGTGTATCTTACATGTTTATCCACCAGGACAGAAACAAACTCATGCCTGAGCGAAGGACGGCCGTTGCCCGAGTCGTCTCCGGTCTGCACGGTGTTCAACGGCGTCGTTTGAGACGGTGCTCCTTGCCCTTTTTGGACTTTTTCTTACTTTTGTCTGCAGGCAAAACAAGTGGCTCATCCTTCATGAGCCACTCCATGAATCGGATCAGGTACTCGTCAATGTCACCCGGTTGGAACTCCACGGCGGCCTCATCGTCCGGTCCATGCACTTGCGGTGTAGTCAGAAGCTGGGCCCCAGGCGTTGTTCCGTCCTGTTCCGGACCCGCCGTGCCCGGTGGCGATGTTTGCCCTGGGCGTCGTCCAGGCACGTTGTGCTCATCGAAATCGCCCTCGTCCGCGTGCTCCAGTTCCTTCTGTGCGTTTTTGGCTGCGTCGATGTCCTCCTTGTCCTCGACATGCTCGAATCCCCGTGACGGCCCGCCACTTACTCGAGTCTCTAACACCCGGTCCATGGCTGCTGTCGCTTCGTCCTGATGGCCGTCAAGTGTGTCATCCTGGCCGAACATCTCGCGCGGGTCCAGTTTGGTCATATAATCCGTGTTGAACTCTCCCTCTTGGATCACGACGTCGTCCAGCATCCGCTTCTGGTTCGCTTTGCGGAGGATGTTCGATTCGATCGTGTATTCAGACACAAACCGGTAGATGTGCACATCGCGCGTCTGTCCGATACGATGGCATCGGTCCTGACACTGCTTGTCCATTGCCGGGTTCCAGTCCAAATCGTAGAAGATGACTGTATCCGCGCCCGTCAGGTTGATACCCAATCCACCAGACCGACTGGACAGGATGAACGCCAGAATACGATTATCGTTATTGAATCGATCGGTTAGAATCTGGCGCTGCTCAACCTTGGTTGTGCCATCCAGACGGAGATATCGGTGCCCGTGGATATTGAGGAATTGCTCCAGAATATCCAGCATCTTGGTCATCTGGGTGAAGATCAACGCCCGATGGCCACCCGCCTTCAGGTCGCGAAGCAGCTTGTCGAGTCGCTGCAGTTTTCCGCAGTCGTACTGCAACAGACGCTTGTCGGGGAAAGCAATAGACAGGCGCATCTGTGCCTCGTGGAAGGGGTCGTACGGAGGGAGCCTCTCAGCTTTGGTCAGGGACCGGCTTTCAATGGGTGTAAGAGCAGCATCGGTGACGCCAGCCGCTATGGCAGCGGGAGTGACGCAGGCAAAGCGTTGCACGTAGCCCTCCATCATCTGCGACCGTTCCTCAATAGACAGAATCATCGAGGCGAGCACAGAGGATCGATTCGATAGCCAATCCGCCAGGGACTGCTTCCACAGCGGACCGTTCGAGGTCGGTCGGTCTTTGCTGTCTGCTGTGAGGAACTCGATAAGACTGTTTCCGTACACTGGACGGCGGCCGTGACGGTTCGACTCGAAGTACAGACACCGTTCTAGCTCGGCCATCCGCGCCTTTCGGCAGTCGTTCTCCAACGACTCCAGCGTAGACAGTGCGGTGGAACCGTTGAACTCCATTTCCCAATTAGTCCGATTGTATTGTCGTTCCCGTAGCGTGCTGAACGGAGCGTAGGCCATCAACCTGGTGCTATCATCCGCCAGTCGGCGGGAAATATTCTCCCGCGAGATGGGGACTAAATTTAGAAAGTCAAGATCGAGCTTGTCAAGGGGATGCTCGTAGAGCAATCGGCGTCGTACGAGTGACTCCTTGATCCGGTACTCCGTGGCGATCGATCTGCGCATGGCAAAGGAAGTTGAAATCTGTCTCGTCTCGAACAGATCCGGGTGGTTGCAGACCTTGCGCAGCTGCATCAGACAGTTGATGATGGACAGGTAATTCCCCGATGCCAGCGTCTCCTTGGTCTGCGCGCGCGACATGAACCCATCGTAGAGAAAGCGTTGCCGCTTCGATAGTCGACAGTAGACGACATGCTCATACTTGCCTGGCATTTGCTTCTCTACGTCGGCCTTGAGCCGTCGCAAAATGTATGGTCGCAGCACGGTGTGGAGCTTAGTGACGACGCGTTTGGCTTCGTCGTCCATCGTCTCCCGGCCGTGCTCAAGGATCTGCTCGACAGGCCGCCTGAACCATTCAGAAAAGTTCCTCAGGTCCGCGAAACCTTCGATACCCATGTCATCGCCGCTGTCATTCGGCATCAGAAAGAACAACAGAGACCACAACTCAGTCAGGTTGTTTTGCAACGGCGTACCCGTCAGGAGAAGACGCGCACGCGTCCGGAACGTAAGCAACGCTTGCCACCGCTGGGAGCGGAAGTTCTTAATGTTATGCGCTTCGTCGAGGATCATGTAGTGCCAATTCCGCCGCTTGAGCACCTGCTGGTCTTGCAAGACCAGCTGGTAGGAGGTGATCAGGACGTTCCAGCTCGTATCATCCATCCAGCCTCTCCGCTTCTGCCGCCGCTCATCTTGGTTGCCGTAGTAGGTCATGATCTTGAAACCGGGACACCACTTTTTGAACTCCATCTCCCAGTTCAGGATGACACTGGTCGGGACAACGACCAAGTGCGGGCCCCAGACCTCGTTTTCCACTGCGAGGTGCGCTAGCAGCGCGATTGTCTGGATGGTCTTGCCCAGACCCATCTCGTCCGCCAGAATGCCGTTGATGTGATTCGAGTATAGTCCTGTCAGCCAGTCCAGGCCGAAGTGTTGATATTCACGTAGATTTCCCCGGATCAACTGCGGGATGGGTGTTTTCATCCCAGGCGGTATTGTGCCATCGCCGCCCGTCACTTGCACAGACTTCTCGACTTCCTCTATCTCCTCTTTTTGCTCTGGAGGAGCCTCGTAAGACGAGACGGACTCGGGATCAGATGGCTTCGTCGCCAGTGTACCTGGAGATGCTTGACTAGAAGCCTCTTCTCCGCTTGGTTGTCGAGGTTTAGGGTGTTCGTTATCATGGTCCACCTCCATGTCTGTAGGAAGATGTGAATTGGGTTCAAGAAGAGGTGTCTCATGCTCAGCGGGCACAGCCGCATCGACCATTTCAGTCTCCGGGAGTTCTTGCTCTTGTTCGGATTCTGGTACTGGTACAGGATCGGATTCAGGTTTAGGTTCTTTGGCTGGTTCGGGGGTAGCAGACGGGGGAGGTAGTGGTGTGTCGTCAGGAGAATCATGTGGGATGATATCTTGGAAAATAGCTTCTGGTTCTGCAGGGGCGTTGTTGGGAACGAGAAAGACTTCATCAGCATCTTCGGGCTCTTCTTCATCCTCCTCGTCCTCATCCTCATCTTCCTCATAATTAGGAACTACTGCGCTGTCATCACCATGAACATCAACGTTATCATCATCACCGCCATTATTATCCACTTCTATGTCTTTCGAAGAGAAAAAGCCCAGTAACCCTGGACCGTCATTGTCTTCCTCCTCTTCAGAACCGGTATCCTCAGATTCTTCACTATCCCCCATGTCGTCATCCATATCGGTTGACGCGTCGCTATCATCCATGAGCATGGGATCAACTTCATCCAATTCCATCTGCTCCGCTGATGACTCAAGGTCAACGGGAGTACCATCATCATCTGGCAAAGTGATCTCTGCAGATTCCACGGATGCCCGGTTTTCTGGGATATTAGCGTATTTCCGCCGAAGTTCTTCTGCTGTCAAGCCCTCATCATCGTCGACCCCAGCAGCGCTCTCTTCGGAATCAGAATCGGACATATTGCTTTCATCATCCGCATTGTCATCGGATGAATCATCTGTTTCGGCTTCTTCGCCTTCACTTGAACCGGGCATGTCGCTTCCTGTTTCACCGAGGATCTCTTGTCGCCTCTTTTCGAAAAGCATCGTGGATTGTTTGATGGCACGATCTAGGGCCTGCTGGTCTTCAACCTTCCGCTCTTCCTCCCAATGCGCCAAACGCATCCGATCCACTTCTGCTCGGGCAAGGTCGAACATTTTCTGAAGATCCTTAGCCAGTTGCTTGCGTTTGCCGCGCATCTCCTCCTGCTGCTCTCGCAGTATATCTTCCGGGTCCTTGTTTCGCTTCCTCCATGCATCCGCACACCATTGCGCGAAAAGTTTGGCCGTGTGCCGATGCCGTCGATGTTCCTGGTCGAGAAGTTTTTTGAAATACAAGGCATGCGCGGCGAGGTGATCTTGATGGGAATACTGCGGTGGAGGCTCCTCTTGCGCTTCCGGAAGGTATGCGGAGCAAACCTCTTCACTTAGAAGACCACCAGGTTCCGCGGCCTCCTGTATCCGACGCCGCTTCTCAGCCTCCCCTGCAGCTTCTGCAGATGTAAGAATTCCATCGTCCTTGAATTTCGCATCTTCGCTCTCGAGCCATTCCCGAAACGATCCGTATTTTCGCGGTAGTAAAACATGAGACGGATGCTGCGCACTAAGGGAAGGCTTCTTAACCTTGATCCGTAATCTCGGAACTCGCTGTCCAGTTTCATCATCTTGGTCCTGATCGCCGTAAAGACCCTTTTCTATGTCATCCAGCCTACTAGGCGTCGACGGAGACTGGCGGGACCGACCTGCATTCGGGCTGGAGCCGTTGACGCTCTCGCTGAGAGGCCCGTGAACTCCAGAACTCCGTGACCTTGTCCGTGAATGCACTTGCTTCGGCAATGGAGACTGTGAGACGCGTTTACTCCGACCATTTGTTCCCCTTGTTATACCCGAAGTCAATGGCGATCCGTTTGCTGAAGCCTTGCTCCCACGAGATTTCCCAAACCTCTCCAGCTGCAACGGCGAGGACGTGGCCGTCCTTGCTCCCCCAACACCGTTCTTACCCGTAAAGTGTTTTGGCACCTCCTGCGTTGGTTTCTTATCGGACGGGGGTTGCATGCTCAAATTGACTCGGGAAGATTTGCGCCTTCCATTTTCAATGAACGTTGTCGGTCCATCGACACCAGCTTTCTTCCAGGGAGGCGACGGTGCTCGGGAAAGGGAGCTTCGGGACCCGCCAAGTTTCCGCTTCTTCGATGGAGGCCCCTCGGGCTCGGTTGTTGGGACTGGATCATTTTTAAGCTCGGAAGGGATCGAATCGCGGGTCACAGGATCGGTAGAATTGGCGGGCGGAGGTTGTTCGTGGGTGTCGGGGTCCGGTTGGGAAGTCACACGATCATCTTGGTGGGAGGTGCCATTCGCGGTGCCGTTTTGCATGTCTCGTTAACCACAAACGAAAGGGGCCCTCTTAACAGCTGACCCCAGTTTTCCGAATGAGGACGCAGACGGATTGGAAAATTTTGACATCAACGGATAGCGGTGAGTGGGTAGATATGCCATACAAAGTTTGGCATAGTTATCGGCTCGATGGCGTGGCTGGCGAGTAAATAAACACAGTCATGCAGCAATAGAGAGATGGGCGTGAAAAGTGGTCTTTTTTTTTTCATACGTGACGAGGAGAGAGGCGTGTATGTAAGCGCGTCTGTAATGTTGCCTGAGGTGTCAGTGTTAGATAAGCAGCCGTCATGGTTGCAATTCCGACTTCATCACTGGCCGATGGACCGTTTCTTTTCTTTTGCTCTCAGAGATACTCCCTTTTGCGCTGCCAGTACTTCATTTTGGCAGAACGGTAAGTCCCTGTCTCATTTACGGTGTCGCGTGAGTGTCCGATTGAAGTGTCAATACTAACGTGTGAGGAGAAAAAGATGCTGTCCCAGCGAATCTTGACCCGGCGCCTGCCCCAGCTGGCTGCCCGCACGACCGTCCCCCGCGCTTCTTTTTCGCAAGTCCGGAGCCTCGGTGCTTCTGCTGAGCTCGACGACCCTTTGCAGGTATGAGGTGTTATTCCGGCGATACTATTTTGTTGGTATCAGATCAATTGACGGTTCCGGTGCTTCCACCCTTTCAGAATGGCAACTACCAGAACCCTCCCCGTGTGAAGCGTCAATTCAGAGATCCCTATGGCGGCTGGTGGGATCAGCAGGAGCGTCGGAACTTTGGCGAACCCGTTCACGAGGAGAACGAAATCCTCGGTATCTTCAGTCCCGAGCAGTACACCCACGTCACCCCTCGCAAGGGTCTGTTCCAGATCGGATGCTTCATCGCAGCTGTCTTCGGTTTGAGCGCTGTTGTGGCCCAGTTCTACCCGGACAAGCCTAGTGTCCCCCGGACATTCCCCGATGGCTTGGAGAAGGAGCTCGGAGGCGCGCACGCTGCTCCGGTGAGTTCTCTGATTATACCTTGAGATAGGTCTCTGGTCTCTTTATTTCTGCATGCTAACACTGCATCTCAGGCGCGCAAGCCCGGCCAGGAGTCCTGGTAATGGCCATCTGATGTTTCCATTTCTACATGTGTAAATAACATACTTGCAACACGAACTTTTTGTTTTCTTCCCTCGGCGTCACTCGTGGATCGGATAGTCGATGCTCCAACAGTCGGGCTCGCTTTCATCGGAATATCATTGAACATTGATTGTTATACTATTGATATTATGATCGTGAAGCAATCATATGGTAGCGTCAGGCAAAGCGGTCCAGAGTAGTCTGCATCTGGAGGGAGTAGGGGCAACGAACAAGAGCAGGGGCAAAAGGGAATACCACGTGAAAGCTGCTTTGTCTGCTCTTTAATGCGCCAAAGTGGACAGGAGTCTACTAAAAATATAAAAGAATAGTGGGTATGTCTTTGTCTCATTAGACGCTCGGGCAGCCACAAACAACCGTAGAAAACACCAGATAAAAGGACCAATTGCTCTTTTCTGTTAGGGATACGTTTTGCAAGCTTGTAACTGGTCCGGACAAATAATCCAGACACAAATAACTCTTTTGGGTCACTGTTTTACCTGGCACCGTGGTTTGGGCGCTGGTGGTTAGCTCTTCTGTTGGTTGTTTCGGGTGCGAACAAAAAATAACAATCCCGCCGCAGGACAGCTTCCAACCTCTCACTCTCCCCTGGTCCTCTTACTCTACCTTCAACAGAACCCTTCCCCCAGCATACTATTGGGTTCACACATTCTTCTCCTGTCGACTGCGTTGTCTACCCCTTCAAATATTACAGCACTCGTGACACAAGGTCCTGGGTCGATTATTCGGGGATCCTCCCTTATCCATGGTCCCACACTCCGCACCTCCCCTCTTCCCGAACGCTACAGTGTTATCTGGATAATACCCCTGAGAGAAAGAAAGGCGAAAAGACTCCATGTCGACAGCATCTAACCAATCCCGAGGCATTAATCGACGCATCAACAGCCTCCAGAATGAAGCCCGACATTCGCGCAGCCTCTCCGGGTCACGGAGGCGTCCTGTCAATTCCTCCGCAGCTTATAGCTATGCTCTCCGTGTAGCTTACCTGGCATACCTCCTCCAGCCTCGATCTCGCCGCGTACAGAATGTACAAGCGCCACAGAAGCCGAAACGAGCGTCGACGTCTTTCCATGATTTGATGAGCGACTTCTCTCTAGTCAGGGACTCCAAAAGTACACGGTTTCCGCATGGATTCATCGCAGAGCTCGAGAAGCGGTTGACGGGCGTTTTGATCGGGAGGGAAAAACGGAAGGAATATCAGGATGCGTTGGTGGTTAGGACATTTGCTGCGTTCTTGAACACGTTGAAGGAGCAGTCGTTTAAGAAGCGGATGGATAAAGATCGACGCGCTGAAGACCTGGTCCTGATCTTCTACTCGAATGCTACCAAGGAACTTAGCAAAGGCAAGGACGCGGACGATGATTCCTGGAAATTCATGGTCGATAGACATGTTGCTCTCTTCGTCCGATTAATTTCGCTCATTCTGAAGGATAACGACTGGTCGAGGGACCGGCCCGAGTTGTCCAATCGGTTATCGATCCTTGAGAACAAGTTGCTTTCCCAAGACCAAGACTTGGTCCAGACAAATGGATCTGACCAGATGACAGAGGTGGTGGCCCCGCTGAGCTACGACGTGAAGGACATGCATCTTGTGCAGCACGTCGCCAAGGTATTCGGCATGGCCAACTCCCAGGTGCAATCGGATATCGACAAGAACAGAGCGGTTTGGACCGCGCAGGCAGCCCTACAGGATTTGAAGTCCTATCAAGCCCACCTAAGTCTCAAAACCCGAAAGACCCTGGCGCAAGAGGATTTCGAAAACGACGAAGGGTATGAACACTGGAAGAAGAGCGAGGGTCCTGATCTGTCACAGATGATGCTTGCCATCGTTCAGTCCAATCCGGAGCTTGCTAAAAATACACCGGGTGTGCTTCCGCGATTCAATCCTGGTGCAGCGGATCACAGTTCTGATTCGAGTCCTGTGGAATTGACCAGGACGAATTCCGACAGGCCAATTTCATACATCATCGACCAACCCGTGGACCTTAGCTCGTTGTCACTGAGTGACAACGGCGATGCCTCGGATGAGTCCGACACCTACACATATATCCCATCAGATCCACGGGCCGCATATAAATTCATTCTTACTCAGACGCTGAATCATGACCTGAAAGACCGTGAGATTGAAGCTAGTCAAGCTGATTCAGACACTCCATCATTCAAGCTGCTTTCTAAGCAGTCTACTGAGCTCTTGAACGAAATTTGTGTTCGCTGGCGACTTCCCAATTTCTCAAGGATTGCCTTGTTCTTGGACGTTGCCCGAGAGAAATTCGTGGATAATGAGATTGACTTGGATACCCTCGACTCAGCGTTTACCTTTGTCAAGCAGTCGCCTGGGTCAGAGGGCAAGAAACGTAGCAGTTACATTGCTTCGGTTCTTTACGACAGAAAGAAATGGACGATCCATGATCTTCTCTTGATGCAACAGCTACTTTCCTCGCTTCACGAGGCTTTACTGCGGGAACTTTACGATGTCATGATGGATTGCTTTGAAGCAAAGCCTCGCCCGATTGGCCCAGTTATGTACGTGCTAGAGAGCCACGTCCAAATGGACCCTAATTATACAGAGGATGCCGAAGATATCGATCGTTTCCGCACATACGTTCAGGAAGGGCTCTCCCAGAAAGCGACGGAGAAGTATCAGGATCTCCTTGGTGAATCAGTGCCTGTGGAGCAGGAAACCTGGCAGCCAGACCACGTTATTCAGCTTGGCGAAACCATAATGAAACTTGGTCAGAAAATTCGAAAGCGTTATAGAAATAATCCGGAAATCATGCGGTAAGGACTTACCTAAACTGCTTCACATTTTGTATCCATTCTGACAGATTGCAGGGTGAATCCATATACTACTTTGCTGGCGAATGTGCTCCCTATTTATGCAGAGGATGCTCATGAGATGGTGGTCAGAATCATGGAACATACAAAAGCAAAGGGAGAAGAAATGGATATGCAAGATGGGTTTGACCTCTATAAGCAATTGACAGCGATACGTCGCGTTTTTCTAGAGACACTGCCTGAGTAAGTTCAAAAAGCTGTTATTCTTTCTAATGGTCGATACTAATACTTGACAGCGTTCCTTTCCCGTTCCATGTGGAAAGCCTACTTGAGGACTTTGTATGGCAGTGGCTGCGCTTGACAGAAGCGAAGATAATAGACTGGGTTGAGCAAGCGATCAGAAAAGACAACTTCGGCGTCCGGGGCGATGGCTCGGAAGAAGTAGTCTCTGAAGAGTACAAACACAGTGTTTCTGCCATTGACATTTTCCGCTCGTTCAATCAAGTGGTTGAGCAATTGGTCCAGCTTGAATGGGACGACGACCTCCAATACGCCAAATTCATGACTGCTCTGTCTAAGTCAATAAGCAATGGTATAGCAACATATTGCGAGTCGCTGGAGAAGATGTTCGCCAGGGAGATGGATCGGCTGTCGCCCGATCAGGAAGCAGCTATGAATCAAACGGCCCAGGAGAAACTGATGCAATTCGCCAAAGATACGTGGACAAATAAGGAGAAGATTGAGCCATTTCAATTCTTCCCTGAGGTTCGTATAACTGTCTCCCCTTTACCTTGTTCGGACACAGCTAACAGTTATTCACCAGTCCATGGTCAAATTGAATAACATTGAATATGGTCTCACCCAACTTGATAAGCTTGAGCATGAGATTAACGTCGACGGGTGTGCAGAGGTAATTGCACAGCATGCTCCTCCGCAATTGAATAAGATCCGCAAGTCGACGACCTACGTCTTCACGATCAAGGTTGTGGAGGCCGAAGACCTTAAGGCGTGTGACATGAATGGACGGAGTGATCCCTATGTCGTTCTGGCCGATGAGTATCAAAGGCGCATTGCCAAAACTCGTATCGTTTACAACAACCTTAACCCTCGATGGGATGACGCAGTCGACATCACAACCCAAGGACCCTTGAACATCATCGCAACGATTTGGGATTGGGATGCAGTGGGTGACCACGACTATGTGGGCCGTACATCTATCAAGTTGGACCCTGTGCACTTTAGTGATTTCCTGCCAAGAGAGTACTGGCTGGATCTGGATACTCAAGGAAGGTTGCTACTTCGTGTCAGTATGGAAGGGGAGCGGGACGACATCCAGTTCTATTTTGGCAAGGCTTTCCGAAACCTCAAGCGGAGTGAGAGAGATATGACACGCAAGATCACGGAGAAGCTGTCTGCATATATTAGTCACTGTCTGTCACGACGGACGTTGAAATCTCTGCTGTCCCGCGGCCTTAGTATCAGCACTGTTTCCAATTTCCTGAACCGAAATCGTGGACAATCGAACACAGTAATCCCAACTGCGGCGGATGTTGAAAACGCATTGACTCCGTTGTTCGATTATTTCAATGACAACTTTGCAATTATGAACAAGACACTCACGTCGGAAGCAATGAAGATGGTCATGGCCCGTCTATGGAAAGAGGTACTGGCTACCATTGAGAGTTTACTTGTGCCACCCTTGTCGGACAAACCATCACATCAAAAGCCTCTTACGATGCAAGAGGTAGACATCGTATCACGCTGGCTCGTGCTCCTCCTCAACTTCTTCCACGCCATCGATGATGAGACCGGCGAGGCGCACGGCGTCTCGATCGACATTCTGAAATCACCCAAATACCACGATATCCAATCCATAAACTTCTTCTACTTCGAACCCACCGATAACCTAATCCGCACATCGGAGCGAATGGCCTCAGTCACAGTCTCCCGGCAGCAAGCCAACAAAAACCGCGTCTCCGCACCACCACACCCCAGCACCGCAGGCACTGGCGGCTTTCTAGGTGTGGGTGTCCCCAGCGTCCGACGCGCCAAGAGCATCATGCTCTCTCGGAACCTGGGCACGATGAAGAAACTCAAAGAGGAGAAGTGGCGCGAAGCCCAGGCAGAGCCAAACGACGACATGATCCTGCGTATTCTTCGTATGCGGCCCGAAGCAGCTGGGTATCTGCGTGATCGGAGTCGTCAAAAGGAGAGACTTGCCGCAGCAGCGGCTGCGGACGCCATTGTAAAGCAGAGTCTTATGGCCGGTGCGGGTGGACGAATGACGGGGACGCTTGGGCGGCGGTGATTGAAGTGTTTGTTTGAGAATTTATTCCTTTGAAGTTAATACATATGTTTTTTGGCAAGCAGAGGAGGATCATGGCGTATGCGTTGTTGTCGTTTTGTTTTGCCCGCCAATTCGTGAACCTGACGGTCGATGGTACGAGATACGCAGCTACCAAGTTAATGAATCTAATCCAGTAATACTCTTCACGATATCCTAGTAGACTCTTGATAAGGTCAATTCCTAGTAACTATTCATTCGTTTTATCTTGACATCGTTTACTCCAAAGCAATGCACTCAATCTCAACGGGCACACCCTTGGGCAACTGCGCAACAGCCACACAGCTACGAGCCGGCTTGTGCGTAAAGAACTTCTCATACGTAGCGTTCATCTCCACAAAGTTTACCATATCAGTCAAGAAGACCTGCGCCAGCACCATTAGCCACCATCACCAACCCAACCAATAACCCAGGAGAAACGAGGAGCACGCACATTAACCTTAACAATCTTCTGCACACTCGAACCAGCAGCGTCAAGGATAGCCTTGATGTTATCGCAACAAGCCTGGGTCTTGTCGCCAATGGAGCCGTCGATGAGGTTGGCGTTGGCGTCGGCGGGGATCTGGCCCGAGACGAAGATCTGGCCGTTGGCCTTGATGGCTTGGGACTGCGTTGTTTAAGATGGATTGTTAATTGGTTGTTCTTGGGGTTGGTTTTCATGGGGTTTATTTGGAGGGTTTGCGTCATGAGCCTTGGATGAGCGTGGAAGGACTTACGTAGGGGCCCGCGGCTATAGGAAAGAGGGAATGTCAGTAACAGTTCGATTCAATTGACCAAGTTTCGCATTCTGCGTTCTGAATAGTAGGTGATGACTTACGAGGGCAAGCTTCCTTAGCAGAGACAGGAGTCATAGACATATTGACGGATGTGGAAGAAAAAGGCGACTGCTGGGTACGAACAGGAGGACGGTAAGAGAGATTGCGAAGGAGGAGAGAAAGACGAGAAGTGCTCCGGAGCATGAGTAGTTGAAGTAGAGAGAGAAGTTCTGGAGGGGTTGAAGAGTATTCCGCGGGAAAGTCGTCCGTTGCTTGCTTGGAGCCCCGCTATCGGTGGAGTCAGATGACTGGAGGGCGTACATGAATTACATAGTACCAGGGGTACAGTGATAAGGATATGTATACAGGGGTACAAGGGTATCATATTATTCAATGTATTGTATGTACTAGTGACGATAAGCTGGTTTCACAGCTTCGTATCAAAAATATGTCCAGGAGAAATATGACTATCAATTATGTTTGGCCTAAACCACCAAGCTGTTGTAGCTGCTGTAAGAAAACAGCCGTCTGCTCGGGAGAGAATCCAAAAAATACTGGGCCATTGAAAACGATATTCGCAGGCGCAGAAGGTTTCGAGTTATTCGGCTGAGGGCCGTCGGGTGGTTCCCCAGGGTCGTTTGCAGCATCAGGGGCCTGGCCCTTGCTGTCATCATTCCGAATCGTCTGTGTCTCCGGCTCTATTCTTTCGGGTTTAGGTTCAGGTTTAGGTGCAGGAGGCTTCGGTGCACCGTGGCCAAAGGGGCATCGACGAGGTGGTGGGGCTGCATCGGACTCATTCGGGGTGGTTTCTTGCAGGGGTGCGACAGAAGCTTCGTCCGTGACAGCATGGTCTGGAGGTTTGTTCGACTGTGTTTGAGGCGGAACTGGAGCAGGTGGGGATTGGAGAGGAGATGTTGGTAACGGATCTAGCGGAATGGGAACAGGGATTCCCCAAGGCCTGCTTGGAGATTCCCCAAGACGGATATCACGTAGTGGACGATCAAAGTGGCCCTGTCGTTCCTCCTCTTGGTGACCCTCTCCCTCTTCCTCCTTGATGGTAGGGTGCATCTCCTGTTTCGGTGTGCGGCCAACATCTTCCGCCCATTTTTCCACTCGCTCCGCAGAGGAGCTGGAGCCCGAGGCACCATTCTCAGCACCCGGGAGGAACGCTTGGTGTTTCACCGACAGGCCTCGGATCATGCTGATGAGATTACCGTACTTTGCATCTAAATGCCGCATGCTTGACGAGTCTCTCTGGTATCGTGAAACGCATATCGCATGGCTTCTAGGTATTTCGTGCTTGTGTCTCTCGACATATTCAGCAACTTCTTCCGGAGTGTGCTGGTCCAAAAACCTAATAGGGCATTTGGAGATGGGGCATCGGGCCGTCGACGATCTCGCAGAACCGGCCTGACTGGAACGCCTTTCGTTCTTTTCGGCCTTGATGGGATCGACATCGTGTCCACACGCGTCATGGTTATGGGAGTCAAAGGCATCTTCGACCCCGTTGAGGGCCCCATTTTCAGAGGCTTTATTGTTTAGCTTCGCGAAGGGGCACCGCAGGCTTCCCTGCGTGCCCTTTGTCGTGAAGTCTTTTTCTAAACGGGCAGGTGTATCGGCCCTCGTCGCAACGACGCATGGATTGGGATTTGTGAGCAAATTATCATCTGGAGGACGTGGTACTGATTGGTAGCAGTCCAGTCCTTCCCTAATAGCGTTGACAATCGGTTCTCCTACGTGACCAGATTCTGCAAGAGTATTGACTACATCAGAAGCTTTGAGCGACTGTTCATGAGGTGGGATGGGATCTGGAGAGCAGCGAAGGATCTTCTCCGCGACGATCTTGGTATGGGTATCGGTTCCGCCGGGGATTCGACCTGCTAATTTGGAATACTGAGACGTATGTTAGCATGTCTCGACAAGCAGTCTGCATGAGTGTAAAATAAACGGTGTGAAGTCTCATCAGATAATACATGACTAAAGAGTCATTGCCGCATATAGCGACTCAGTTCTAGAGCTAAATTTTCTCATCCTTTGGAGACAGGGGTGGGTGAAACGGGAGAGGGGGGTAGGAGGGTATTTACCTGTTCGTTGGCATATTTCAACCTTTGCTGCAAACTCCTCTCCTTGTCATTCAGCTGGTGGACTGTCAAGAGAAGAGCCTCAAACGCTTTAGCCAACGTCTGCAGCTGCGGATTTTGCTGCGTTTCGGGGATCACAGGAGCAGGCGACATTTTGCCTCTTCAAGCAACAGGATTACAAGGGCATAGACGTTTCATCTGTTTTCAATATGGCGCTTCTGCTTTGTTGCAGAAGCGCAGCTGAGCAAACATAAAGAGCAAAGAGAGAAAAGGGAAGAGAAAACTGGGGGGAGAAAGAAGTTGGGATTAAATCTGACGGGAGAGAAGCTCCTTAAGCGAGTTGGCCCGTGTGAGGTCACGTGGTGTTTCCGAGAAACGGTCCGGGTTGGCACCAGGCATCCTGGTATGTACGGAGTAGTAGTATGATCCAATAATCAACCAATTGATGACATGGACGAACATATATTGGCATCCTTTTCTAATCTATGACTGACAAAATGGAGAAAAATGAAACGGAGGATCAGTGATCAGACCACTCTTTCAATGCCAACAAGCCTACTGGCTGCGGTTATCCCACGCCGAGTTTCCAAGACTAGTCAGGTGCTTCCTCATTATGTTTGACCTCACTCATCGGTGTCTCAGTTCTGGAAATACCAGCGGTTGAAAGCGCCAATGAGCGCCTACTGTTCGTCATCAAGATGGTGGATGGAGGGACTGTCGTTATTGAGACAGCTGTAAACCATGGCCTGGTATGTATGCGCTTCACAGTGACATTGCTCAATGTTTGATTGGCGGGGCCCAGTGTAGCCATTTTCGGTCCCAGTGACGCATTTTATGGACTCTCCACGGTGAAATAGGTAAGTCCACACAGAGACGCCGGGATGAAAGATAGACGAAGTAGTAGATTAGGAATATGCCTTTCACGTACTCTCAATTTATTGGCTCGTAGTATTTGTCAATTACTATTCTTCTACTGGTAGATATCCGGTGAATATTTCGGCATCGGGGGATTAAACGCTTTGTATAGCTAAGGAGCCGTGGTTTCGATTAAATGGCCAAACTTGCATGCCGTTTATTTATATATTCGGGTCCATGTAGAGTCCCAACATTGATTATATATCCCTGTGCCTACTAACAGAATGTTCCTAAATCGTATACAATGAATGGGACGAAAAATATGTGGTTGATCCACTGGAAAAAATGGGATGCAAGAAAATGGCAACATAAAATCAACAATAGCAACACAGAGAAACATCGAACCACATACCCATGCATGCGAGTGGTGCCAAAGTACCTACGGAGTACATTAGTGTGATGTAGTAATTCAAGCTTTATGTAACACTAAAGGGAAACCACTCTCAACAAGCCCAGCCGGGCTAGCTCAATCGGTAGAGCGTGAGACTCTTAATCTCAAGGTTGCGGGTTCGACCCCCGCGTTCGGCTTCAATAGAAGACGATCACGATTGATCACTTTTTTTTTTTTTTTGTATTTTTTTTTGGGGGGGACCAGATGGGGGAAGTTCGGGACTGAAAATTTTGGACGGGTAGGGTTTGTGTGGGGCAGCGGAGGTATGACGTCAACAATACCAATGGTGTAGCCCTCTGTTCACCTTAAGCGCTACCAGATGCTTGATTTTTTGTTCCATATTCATATAGTTAGCATGACGGGAGCTCACTAAACAGCAACAGCAACAGCAGCAGCAATGGTGATCCTTGGATATCAATTTATCGTGTGCAGACTGGAAGAACCCCAGCCCAATCGCTCAATTTCATCGAAAGCATTGACCCTAGTGCCGAAGAGCCGTCTGCTTGAACGGGTTCGTCCATAGCCTCGATCATTCTTCCGAGATATTCGCCTGCTCTCGACAGATGAAGAATATGGACAATGGTATAATGAATTCGAAGAGGCGGAGGAGGTTGCAGTCTGCCTTCTGTGAGTTCCAAGAAATTAGAAACAACCTCATCGTATGTATGGGGGTGTCCGTCGATCTCCCTGAAGAAGATACCAAACTCGTCAAAATAGTAGCAGTATTCACTTGCCATACACATGAAATTCCTGGGCTTGTCGATTTCGCTTTCATTGGGGTTTAGTGATATGCCTGCGTCAAACATATCCAGAATTGAGATCGCAAACTTGTGAGACTGACTCTGGAGATACAATCAGCAATGCTCATGGAAATCTGTATACACTCCGGGGAACATAGCACTCACCTACTCCTTGTCTTTGAATTATATCATAGAAGAAGAAATGATTCGAGCTACAACAACTTCGGTGCAATATTTGCGAAAAAAAAAAAAAAAAAAAAAAAAGTCTTTCGCCGTCATCATCTTCTGCATAGCCATTCTGCCTGAATCCTTTCATAGCCGTAGGAAGGTCAAATTTGCAAGAAACTACACAACGGTGGCGGCTATGGGGTAAGCAATCCTCCCTGAGATGGGCCTCTCGCCTTGTTTCCGGCGCCGCACTCGATGACAGCTGACCTGGAGATTTACAGGTCATGACCTTTGGCCGGTCCATCACTATAATAGTATAAGAAAAGCTCATTTATGTACCAGTATATTGACCTACTTTTACCGTAAAAGTTGATGCATAGATATTTCGCAAAAGAGAGGAGCTTCTCCTCTGCACCAATCGTAGGGTCCTTGGAGTCAAAGGCGAACACTCCTCGAGCAAAATCTTATGCCCCCCTTCCCAGGAAGGCAGGGAGTCGATATAGGTGAAGAAGAGTTGTAGAAATGCGCCTTGGTCGCAATGCTCATATGTCAGCCGAATCAGTGTGATTCTCTTGTAGTTATTTTCCGACTGATGAGGCTCATAGTAACGAATAAGAGTCTCGAAGACCTCTTGAGCTCTACCCAAAAGCGGATGCTTGGTATTGAAAAGCAGTTGACATATCCTCGACCCTATTCGCAAGATCCTCGGTCCAGATAGATTAGTTCTGCGACTGATTGGATCGTTAGATTATGTTATCTTTCCCTGTTGCCTGCCCTATATCGGCGAAGGAAATGATACCACTTATAGTGATGCCTACATCTCGGCAGTCTTGTAGCAACAGTGACGAGATTCGAGTGTTGCAGCCTGAAATATTATAGGTCGCAACCGCGACAAAAAGGTGGAGACAAACCGTTGTCAATGACTTTCAATTATTATGGAGTTGCGAATCAAAGGATCGTTATGCACTTCATGAAACAATTGTCATTAGGCTCCAGTTTCACTAAAATGAAGCTCTTTCAACAAGCCCGGCCGGGCTAGCTCAATCGGTAGAGCGTGAGACTCTTAATCTCAAGGTTGCGGGTTCGACCCCCGCGTTCGGCTTCAACAGAAGACGATCACGATTGATCACTTTTTTTTTTTGGTTTGTTGCTATTATTTTTATTTTTTGCCCAATCGCTCAATATACCGACTCTGTGCAAATCCAATTGGAATGAGCGTGTTTTTGTATCCGACCGGATCATCTGTTTGTTATCTGCAACACCACGGCCTACATGCAGAATCCCTCGACGATTGCGCCTGACGATCAATGCACACCGGAGCAGACCTATTGGACAACATCCGGTTAAACAGGGCAACAGGCATCATGGACCAGTCCAGACAACGGAGACCCGGTATTGGGCATTGGATTGAGTGCGGTACTTTCAGTCGCGCCACCGAGGTACCGCAGAGTCAGTAACGGATGTCCCTGGCTAATGTGATGGAGCCCGGGTGAGGCGATGCAGGCAGGCTGCAGTAGTCGGCATGGCAGGGATCTATACTCATTCGGAAGACGGACGATAATAGCCAACCGTATCGAGCTGCTAGATTGGGTTGCTAAAGTATTGCGGAACGATATCCTCCGATGTTACTTACGGCTATACTCTATGTGTTTTTCTAAATACCCCGAGTGTAGTTGTGGTATAGAAGGGAGGATTCTAGTCTGGAGGGGGTTGTATGGCGTTATCATAAGAGGGGTTATGTAGCACTCACCACCCACAATAATACCATAATCAGTGTTAATAATGATCTTGGAAACCCTTTTATCTCAACTTTTATATGAATATTTTTTATATGAATATTCAGAATAATTCTTTCCTCTATATAAACGTGTATAGCTACATAGTACAATACCAGCTCATACCGTCACGTACGGTCAGATCTTCATCTTTTTTTTTTTTTTTTTTTTTTTTTTTTTTAACCCGCTTATCAATTTCCTCATTTCTCACCACCACCAGCACTACTGCCGCTCTGCTCAGGTCTCCTCGTTCAGCCTTTCTTTATTAGTGCTCCTCCTCCTCTCCCTCCTTTTCTCCCTCTCCTTTCCTTTATTTTCTTCCTCTTCCCTCTTCATCATGTCCCAATCTACCGCTCCCGATGCCACCACCACCCAAGTCTCCGGACAGCCCCCCGCCCATCCCTCCCGCACCACCGAACTCGCCAGTCTTAAGGTAAGACTGCGCTCTGCCCTGCACCAATTCCCCGACTTTCCGTCCCCGGGTATCCTCTTTGAAGACATCCTCCCCATCTTCGCCGATCCCTCTCTGCACGAAGCTCTCCTGCGATGCTTGGAATTGCACATCCTCGAGTCCGCCGGTGGCCAGAAGCCCGATGTCATCGTTGGTCTTGAGGCCAGAGGCTTCCTGATGGGCCCTAGCTTGGCTCTGCGGCTGGGAGTTGGCTTTGTTCCTGTGCGGAAGCAGGGCAAGCTGCCGGGTCCTTGTGAGACCCAGGGGTATGAGAAGGAGTATGGGCAGGACTTTTTCCAGATGCAGGCGGATTCGATCAAGCCTGGTCAGAAGGTTATTATTGTTGATGACATTATCGCTACTGGTATGTTCCTTTACCTTGTCTCTTGTTTAAAGCGCGCAATGCTGACTGAATAGGTGGATCTGCATGGGCTGGTGGTGAACTCGTCAAGAAGATGGGCGGAGAGCTCCTTGGATTCGTCTTCCTGCTCGAACTTGAATTCCTCAAGGGACGCGAGAAGCTCTCGGCGCCGGTTTACACCCTTCTGACTGGTCAGGAGGAGAAGTTCACGTCGTGAACTCCTTAATACGAGATATGATCGCATACGACATTCACCCGCAATAGAAAACGAAAATGAGTTCTGATGCTGGATTAATCTCCGGTCACACAACCGCCGCCGATAAGTTTGGATTCTGACTACGACAAGTCTAATGAGGGTACGAGGCTGCGTCGATGTGCAGTACTGCATGCATTTTGCAATAATTTTATGCATTGATACAACGTGCTTGGCCGCGTTTTAATCCTGTGGTATATTTTATATAGAGTTGATTTTAAGCAATGACATGCCTTTGCCTGTTATGAGCACTTCTTTCGCCAGATAGAGTAACGAGGGTGTCCTGAGAATCGAGCATAACCATCTAAAAAAACCTCCTCATAACCTCATCCGCCCACTTCTTTGGAAACCCCAACTCCTGCGCCTCGCGAATCGCCCGGTCCATCCGAAAAACATACTCCTTCTTCGACGGCCCAACCCTCAAACTCTTCTCATCAACATAGACCAACACAACCTGCTCCTCCTCCCCAGCCCTCAACCTCTTCTGATCCTCATCCAACCACTCCGTCACCCTAGCCCCCAAATACCACTTATTATACTCCCCATCCCCCTGCTCCCTCGGCCGCACACTTACAGGGACTTTCCCATCCTCTCCAGCAGGCTCACTCTCCCAATCAACCCCCTCATACCCATCAAGCAACCTTTCATCGTCCCGCGCCATCTCATAAAGAACCCCATAAACCGTATCCTCCTCCCCAGACCGCGGGACATCGCTCCCATGCACGATCCTCAACTCCTCTGGCGGAAGAACGTTCGCATACCCCCGGTTACATATAAACCACCTCCAGGAATCGAGTCTTGCGAAAGCGACTGGTTTCGCGGAGAGGGAGGGGTGGAAGGCGCAGCGGGAGCGCATTTGGGTTGGGGAGAGGTTCGATCCGTAGGCGAAGTAAAGAGGGGTCGAAGGGTTTGGTTGGGGGGCTTCCTTGGGCTTTCGTAGGGGTTTAGGAGGGTGGACGGTGTTGTCGTGGGGTGGGAGGGGAATGGATTTGGGGTCTTGTGTTGTTTCTGTTGTTGTTAGGGTAATTTTTTCGGGGAAGTCGTTTTGGGAGGTCATTTTGGTGGTTTTTCGGTTTGAAAAAGGTATGAAAAAGGTATGTGAAGGGTTGGAAGATATATGAAGAAAGAGAGTGATGGAGCGATAACTTTCTTGTCGATAAGCCCGTGGACATTGCCTGATTAGGCAGGAATGGCATCCGCCTCAGCTATTATCAACCGATACATGGTTCACTCAGGTCCATAGTACAGTAACTTCAATGCCATTATTTACCCGTGGTATATGCTCGTATGTAACCGAATCTATCAAATAATATACAAATTACTTATCGGAACCCCCTGCGAATGCACTGTGTATCGTCGCTTAATTCCCACCCCCGTCGCCTGTCGTAGCAGTTCATACGTCTCCTGCCCTCCCCCGACCATTGCCATGCTGATCAGATGTCGTCGTGGAACTCCCCCGGTCGTCATTTGTACTTCGTCTAAATACGGTCGTACCAGATATGGTTCCGCGCGTAGGGCTGCCAATGAGCGTGAGAGTAGGGTCGCTGATCCACCTGGACCAGTTGCAGTAGCATCTGGACCATCAAGGTAGTCGTCCTCCGATACCACGATGACGAGTTTCAAAGCGGACCGCGATGGCGGGTAGGCTGCGATGTTGCGCAGTTTCTGGGAGAAGCTGCATCTGCCGCGTTTGACCACGAGGACTTGATGGTTTTGCACGATTTGTCGTATTACACGTTCGTCGCAGAGTTCATCGGCAAAGTAGATCGTCGACCAGGAAAGCGGTTGAGAGGAGAGATTATCTGGCAGAGACACCGTCGATGCATCTTGCACGTCTGGCAGCGGAGCGGAGCCGATCCCCGTTGAGATAGCGGCGGGAAGTGTCAATCGTAACGAAGGTACTTTCTTCTGCGTGGACGATGACCAGGTGAAATGGCCTTGCATTTCTTCGCGGAGGAGGGAAGACACGGAGCTCATCAGTGACGACCACGCTGCTTTCACGCCAGACGCGGCTAGGGGCTCGTCGTCATCGCTATCGATGTGGCTGCCGTTGCCGTTGCCGCTGTTGCCGTCGCCGTCATCGAAGGAAGGATCCTGCCCTGCTTCACTTTCATTGGCACTCGATTCTCGATGAGCATCTGGACCATTTCGCCGACGGGGAAGCTCTGGAATAACGTCAATGACGAGGTCAACCATGCTGGTGTCGCGGATCCGGGTGAAATTCGGATCAGTGGGATCCAACACGTCAAAGGTGATATCACGCGAAAGGTATACCTTCTCATCCTTGCCCAGCGGCACGTTGTTGAGCACTTGTACTCGATATCCATCCTCGTCCGTGTTGCCTGCTCCGGTCGGTAAGGCTACGTCCTGGACCATGCTTAGTCGGAGTCCTCCTATCGTTTTCACTAGGATTCCATCTCGGAGTCGTTCCAAAGAGCCGGGGCCCATTATCATTCCTGGGAGTGCGGGAAACGATATGTCTAGTGTTGGGCGAATCGTCATCGGTGAGCTGGTCGCGTTGAATGGCACCAACTCTGGTGGTAAGGTCCAAGGGTAGAACGTGTAGTTGGTAGGGGATGACAGGTCAGATATCGAGACGCTGGGATGGTCGCTCGCATACTCCAGAAGAGCACCCTCAGCGGCTCCTCGGCTGGGCATGAAGTGCAGTCGAGCCAAGCTCGCCGCGTGAAACACATCGGGACGCGCTGCGGTCGACGATGTGCCCAGGTTCGGAGTTGGAGGTGCAGTTTGGCAGGTCAGCTCATTTAACCGATCGACAGTTTGCTTCTGCTTCTTGGGTTTCTTGCTTGAAGTACTCGTAGTACTCTCGGGAATGATGAGCGGGTGACCCTCAGTAGAAAAGACAAATGGCTTGTCTATCTGATTCAAAGGATGCTCAGGGTCAAACAACATATACAGATACTTGGCCGTCTCTCCTAGGAAGAAACTCTCCATTCGGTCATTGAGCTCACCCGTCCGGACATCCTGGAGACCAGCCCAGCCGCACTTAGTCCAACATCTTCGCTTGAGGTCTCGGAGGACCATTTCCCCAACGTGCAGGTACCAGGGATCCTTGGTCGCCCGATACAGATAGTACGTAGACTCCGCAAACTCTGGACGTCCCCCATACCATGAGAGGCCGTTCTCGATATTCCCTGTAGCCACGTTCCACCGTTCCGGGAGGCCAGAGAACCGGGTCCAGACTGCTGTCGCCAGCAAATGAATACTAATTGCCTCATCCAACTCTCCAGTCATACTTAAGAGACCGGGGTAAAAGGCACTCAAGCTATCGATCCAGAAGGCTCGCGTGGCTCCTGTGAAAACGTCTCCCTGGATCAGATGCGGATGCTGATACCCCTCTCCGCGGTACAGGTGCCGTGAGATCGATGCATGCGATTCCTGCCAAACCTGCAAGAAGGCATCGGGCGAATGCTCGTACTCGCTCAATGAGGGATAATGGTAATCCAAAAAATGCCACTGACTTTGGTTATCGTGGGACGGACGTTCCCCGGAAGACAAGAGGATGTAGGACTTGAATGCGTATTCAAAAAAGCTGTCAATGCCTGCCCCGATCTAGGTGTCCAAAGTTAGTTCCTCGTCCATTGGTCGTATAGTCTCATCACTTACCCCGGTATAAGGTTGTGTCCACCGCCCCGACTCCGCATCAATCCCCGATCCAATCAAACCAATATCAGTCCTCTTAGACCAAACAGCCCAAAACGCTCGTTTCCCAAGTTCTTCGAACCGACCATCTCCAGTAAGCCGGCTCAACGTCGTAAGCTCCAACACCAAACTGCCCGCGCCAGCGCTGCAGTTCTCCGTCGTCTCTGCGGAACGAGACGTTTTCCCACAGAATCCCCGCTCAGTCTCGTCGCAAGAGATGCCCGCGTTTAGCGGAGATTTCGCGTAGAAGGGGACGCCATGTCGCAGATTCACTCGAGGGTAGGGCAGGCCTGTATCCGTGTAGAAGGCGGGTAGGAGGCGGTTTCCGAGGTCAGCGGCGAGTCGCAGGAACTGGCCGTCGTAGATGAATCCGTTCTTCCATTTGATTCCGCGTGCTTTTTTCGAAAAAGAAGATTTGTCCCATGCTTTTGCGAAGGCTGCTTCAGTATCCGGAGGGTTGTATCCTCTAATCGGAAGCTCACCCATCGCAAAGAGATGAGTGCTCAGTAGACCACCTAACGCAACCACTTCGTCAATATCCCGGCGCAGTACTGACGCAAAGGGAGAGGACACCAACCTAACCCTCTAATAACAGTCTCAAAGACCTGCACTTTGCTATCCACATCAAAACCCCTCTGCCTCTCACCCTGACCAGCAGGGCCGTCCGATCCATCCCCATACAATCGAACAAAATCCTTCACCCCATTCTGGAATTCACTCAAAGATTTCTCCCCATTCTCAGGACTCGACGACAAAATTGCAAGGGTGGATAACGTATCAATCAACGTAAGGCTGTAGTTCCCCAGAACATCGTTAAGATCGGCGCGTCCAGGATTATCACGGTCGCGGACGAGGGGGGCACAAGTAAGCGGGCGCAGTTCGTCTTCGGGGTATGCGTGTTTCATGTAATTCTCGAAGCCATGGTAGAACATGTGTTCTGTTTCTTGTCTGGATGCCTCCCCCGGGGTTGTTAGCTCCTGCGCGCAATACAAACAAGGGGAATGACGTGTGAGGGCGGATATAAGAGAGAGAGAGGGGAGAAAAGTACCTGAGTTCCTTGATCTGGTTATCCTTCATGCCCTGGGCCAGGGGCAGCCATAGCGATAACAGCAAGACCCAGGCCATCCATGCTAAATGAAGGTCGAGCATCTGCGAGTTCCAACATCGCGTGCGCATTACCGGAGAGGCGATTCGGCCGTAGATGGCATGGGAGCATTCGTACAAAAGCAATTGCTCCGGGGGTGGATAGAAATAAAGAACAAGTCAATTAGAGGCCAACGAATCGCAGGATTCGTTATGCGTTTCCTGTCAGTGGTTCAAGGGAGGGTTGGTGGGTTGTCTGTCAGCGCAGCATAGATCGTGGCACGTGAAGTTGTAGCCAGATTGCCGCTTTTTGACCGATACCTATACATCGACTACGGGAAATTAATAAAGTAAATATATCTACAATGCATTATGGCTCAGCTACTATCAACAATACAATATGCAATGTCAAAGAAATCAATTTGTCCGCCAGATGAACTCCCGCTTATAAAATCATGAATAACCTGCCCACACTAACACCAGTGGATATCTCAAGAGAACAGAATGCATATACAGAGTACGCAGATGTACGCGGAGAAATAGATGATAAGCAAAAAGGTCGTGGAAAATGATCACAGGGTGAGGTATGCTGTGTTATGGAAGTTCCGAGATCTCAGGAATGCGACTTGGGCCGGGCTGCCCTCGATTTGGCACAAACGACCGTGGTTGTGCTTCAACCACATAGTCGACACCGTCATCGGATGCATAGCTCGGGGGGCGTTGATTTGTGACCTTTCCACTTGGGGTTCTTCGAGGTGTTGATGACTCGTTTACACGTTGCCAGTGCAGCAGGTCGGGGTTGATTCTCTGTAAGGAGACAGTTAACAAAACGTTCTTGCACGAATGAACAAATTGGCAAGTTTATACTTACCACACTGCTTCTCCAGAGCCCATATGCCGGAGGCGGACTTGCGAGTTTCTCACGGGCACTTTCTGCCATGATCTCTTCATCGGCTGCAAGAACAACAGGAATCGGCTGATCTGGCTCAGCGTATCCTCGGGGCCCTGACCGACTTGGAATGTGACTCCTCCTGTGACTAGGTCCTCGGGCGACAGCCAAAATAAACCGGACAAACGAGTGGCAGAATACAATCGCGAGAATCAAAAGCATGAAGATCAAGAGGATATGGAGTTCCCGTCCTATTTTTGCATGAGACGCAGTGAAAGCAACATCTAGAAATCAGTTAGTGAAAGTTATCTAAGAATATCGGACAGGAAGTCTCACAAATGGAGAGAACGACAATGAAGAACAGACCGGCCGTGGCCAAGGCGATCAGCTTCCTTCGGAGGTGATTTGCTTTCAGAATGGAGGAACATGACCGTTCGTGAAGTACGGGTTGTTCTTCCTGCCTTCTTCGTGACCGTCTGTCATGCGCTCTCTCAGTACGGTCTCTTTCCCTTGAAGCTTCATTCGATGACGATGGTGCCCGATCACCCCAATGATTCTCCATCGCTAGCGACTGCATATCAATCTGAACGTACGATCTGCCAGACGAGTACTGCGAGCCGGTCGGTTCAGTTCGCGACAGCATAGGTATCCTGGTGGTACGGGGTGCCAGACGCTCAGCGTGATTCCCGAATAATCCATGACCGCGACGACTGTTGGATCTCTGACCAGCAGAGGTATCCTCTATCGCCGTATAAGGTCTTTCGCTGTCGGCATATGTGTTTGTCTCATTGCGATTGGTGTTGAGTGAATCGAACAGGATTCGTTGGCGGGTGGAAGCCGCAATGATGTTCGAATGCGATGGCGCCGGTTGAGACAACAGGGCCGAATCCATGTCGAACGAACGGGATATGGTCATGCGATTAATGTCATCTGGACGGGGTCGGTAGATATAGTGCGCAAGGAGGTAGAGGTGAGAGGAATGTCTTTCTGTTTCTGTACAATGCACTCTTCCGGGAGTTGCAGTAAGAAGTAGACGCTTTTTTTTTCTTTCTTTCTTTTCTTTTTTTTTTTTAACTTCTTCAAGCTAAATCAATGGAATGTGTCATGCACACCCCGCACGCAAACGCAAATGACAGGCGGAATTGAAACGAAATTCGGAGGGAGCGATATATGTTTGAAACACTTTCGGGAATGCGATGCTCGACTATACAACTGAAAGCGGAACGATTGTGAAGAAACGAAGGTGACTGTGGCTAGAAATTCATAATGAGCGCATCAGGAAAAGAGACCGATTGACAGTGCCAATTCCCAAGGGCAAAACATGTGGCTGCAAGGAACCGGACTGTTTGCAGTTGGACTCCTCCGAAAAGGGAAAAGGAGAGGACCGATATGCTTTTAGAGATTAGGGGGGGGAGAGGATGGAACGACAGGAGTACCACCAGACCAGCTAGCAGAGTTGAAAACGACAACAAACGAGAGTAACTAAAATAGACAGTGTAGAATCCGGTAAATGAGTGAATGAAAGAAAAGAAGTGAGTACTAAATAGAGAGGAAGCAGCAATTCAACAGGAGTCCTTCAAGACGGATGTAGTGCGCCAAGCCATGAGGATACATAGTGTGGTATTAATTACAGTTATCTGCAGCAAATTGGGGAGAGTAGCCGGGGTAATTTCCTGTCATGACGGGTAATCGCCTTACCCCTGGATGACCCACTGTCCTTGTGTGTACGAGTAGACTTACGTCTGCAAAAGGGCTGAACTGAAGGGACTCAAGGGATTGGAAGCTGGAATTAAAGAGATCTTTTTATTCTAGCTATTGAGCTTGATTCTTTATCTTTTACTGTGGCAGAATAGTGGTCACTGCACAGTTTCGGAGCCATCGCCGAGCTCATCTATATGAAGCTTACGGAATACGGTAATTTACAAGTACATACCAAGAATAGCATCGACAAAGATCAGCATCCAAGCTCAGATCTAATTTTATCTCCGACCCTACAATTCCAGGCCTTCAATACAGACACCAAAAACAGAAATAGTAATTATAAGCTTCTGATATCTATCATCATGATGCAACTCAACAGCCCTGATCAGCAGGAGATTTAAGATCGATTTACAAATGCCCCCGTATACAAGAATTCTCCGTAGCGCATTGGAGCTTTTCTGTCCCTGGTATTGTTTGTAAGGGATCATACCCCGTACAGGCAGATAATGTAGAAGCGATAGCTATTGACTACTCGAAGGGCCCCATATAAGTTAGTTGTCCCGGAGAGAGGTGAAATAGGGAACCTGTTCTTTGGAGCCAATAATGTTTGGGTCTAGATACAGAAAACAGTTATCAAGATTTCGCATAGTGAATGACTGAGAGTACCAGACATGCTTCTATAGGTCCATTCACTCACCACTCTGCTCGCTCATCCACCTCATCCAAGTCATTCATCATCCTTGGTGTGTATCTGTACTATTACACCCACCTTTCAGAAAGACTTACTCTCATAATGAGGTCTTAGCTGCAGGGAACAAAAAAACTGGTATAGCGTGGCCCAACCAAGTTATTGGGTTAGTCAAATGCCTTGCCATGCATTGGGAATAAGTTTTATCCTAATTGAATTGAGAATAGGGCTTGTGTCGCAGATAACCATGAGATATTTACAGTGGGACGTACCAAAGCCCTAAATGTGGACGCCGGCAACGCCAGAAGCCAGTACAGCAATATGTTGGGGTTAGCTGCAGGCTCCAGCACTTCAGACCCATCTACTTTCAATGTTGGAAGGTAATCGTCGGATTCCTCTCGTGTGGGGTAGTGATGACGGGAATGTTCTGTAATGACCAACAGATGTGAAATAATTGGACATTGACTTTTTGAGTGCCAGTGGCATGCATACGGAGATCCAGGAGGGACTGGATGCCATTAAGGTCGGGAATGACAGTATTTGAAAACTGCGGTGTGACAGATCGATAGATATTGACGTCTGATAATCATTAAATGTATGGTATCATTCGAGCTAAATTGTACAAATACAGAAAAGATCACTTGCCCAATTCGCCGAGCATCAGCGACCGGTCAGATGAACCAGAAACAACTGATACGTTGTCAGTAAACACAAAAATAATATAAAGAGTCAAGTAGGGGCGACACTTACTGATAGGCTCATTATTCGGCGAAAACCGCACATCATTGACAGTGCCCTTGTGACCAGGAAGCTTGTACAAGAGCTTCCCTGTCTTGGCGTCCCAGACGACAACACTCCGGTCACCGCTTCCCGTCGCAATCTTCTCACCTGCCTGGTCCCAGCTAGCCCGGATGAGGTTCTTTTCCAGCCCGACCGGAGCACCGTCGTACGTGCGCACGTGGCGGTTGGTGGGCGCAAACGGCCGGATATCCCACGTGCGTACTGTCGAGTCGTGAGAGTTGGAGAGGAGTGCTTGCGAGTCTGGCGAGACCTGGAGGGATGTAATGGTGTCTGTGTGTCCGGCCATGGAGTAGACAATGGCTTTCTTCCGTATGTCCCAGACATGGATCATGTTATCGATACCGCCACTGTAGATTTCGTTGCCTGCTTCGGACAGAGCAACCGCTGTGATTGGGAGTTCCGTCTCCAAATACTCAAGCGCATCCTTTTGGCGAGGGTCCCAGATGCCGATACAGCCATCATCGCTTGCGCTAATCAACAGCTCCTGTCCTCTCTTGCTGATGTCGAGACAGTTGATGATTTCTTCGTGTCCCACGTGTCGACGTATCCGTTGTCCAGTTTCCAGATCCCAACTAGCGAGCGTCGTGTCCGCCGACGCGGAAAATATTGTTCGAGAGTCTCGTGACCATTGCAGGTCGAGAACCGCGCCTCGATGGCCGGATAGTATGCCGTAGTTTTCGCATTGACCGTAGGTATTCCAGAGCACTAGTAGCCTATTAGTATGTATCTCCATCACACAGGTTAGGTAGCTGGCGTACAAATAGACCGATCCATCGAGCCGGATGCAATGTGTTGCGCGGTTGGGTCGAATCGCACCGAGAAAACTTCACCCGAGTGACCTGTCAATCAATCCCATGTCAGCTGGTGTGTTCTCAACAATCGCGTCCAAGCTTGCCATACCATTAAGCTCCATAATGGGAGCATCCAGCCCGCTGGTACGCGGAACCTGCTGTCATGTTAACCAGAGAAACTTTTTCCATCGGAGACGATTTCAGATGCGCGTTGAAAGGACCGAGGACGTACAGCCTGTATTAAGGATCCATTCTGAACTGAGCTCTTAACGACCGAAGTACCGGGATTAAGTTCATTATCGGACTTCTTGCGTTTCACGACGAGCTGGTTCGATGACCCGAAGGCTGCTTGAGCAGGGCGCTTCTCTCCCGACATTATTGTGAAGAGATTTCTCGTATCGACAGCTGAGAAATGGATGAAAAGAAGCTAGGGTGAAAGAGTATTGAATAAAGAAAAAGCGATATAAAGAGTAAAAGACCTTCACAGCAACTGGGATGATTCTGCTAGCTCGAAGATAACAGCACCGCGGAGCCTGTCTGCCGGCGGAGCGGACAGTCGTAGCGGACAGCCAGCCGCGCTAAACGCCAACATGCGCGAATCCACCGCAGCTCCTCCGCCCGCGATGTCTCCGGCGATCCACCGACTCGGGCGGGGAGGAAGGAATGCCAATCGTAAACTTTACAATTTGCGGCAAGGAACGTCAAGATATATTTTGATTCGATCCAGGAACTTTTGCAGAAAGCGATAACTCTCATACTATCGCATATCTCACTCAGATAAACACCAGCCATGTCATCCACCACCAAAACAGCAAGAATTGGAGAAGAGTAAGCCCCTTATCGATTGCTGTTTCGTGGCCGATATCGAATCGCATCAACTAACTACTTCTCGCAACTATAGGCTTTGGAAGTCAGTAAGCTGAATACCGCCGGTTGCTGTTTCGAGAATCGTCCCTCCATCGTCAGCAGCGAATCCCGTCCAGAGACTAATCCGAAATGACACCTATAGAACGAGGGTTGACAAGGTCAACGCGGAGCTGGTAACATTGACGTACGGAACGATCGTGGCACAACTTTGTCAAGACTATGATGGCGACTACACCGAAGTAAACAAACAGCTGGACAAGATGGGTTACAACATTGGGTTGCGGCTTATCGAGGACTTTCTGGCCCGCTCGAACGTAGGCCGATGCGCCAACTTCCGGGAAACGGCTGATATGGTCGCAAAGGTCGGTCTTGATTTTCAGTATGATAGTGGTATACTATGTGGTAAATCTAACAGTTTTACTATGGATAGGTCGGGTTCAAGATGTTCCTCAATGTCTCGCCGACGGTCACGAACTGGACAAGCGACAACAACCAATTCTCCCTCATCTTCGAAGAAAACCCACTAGCAGACTTTGTGGAATTACCCGATGACGGAAGATCCCAAGATGAACTGTGGTTTTCCAATATCCTGTGTGGTGTCCTCCGCGGCGCACTTGAGATGGTAAGAAGGCCGACTCGCACAACTACCGGGGAGTTGATAAGCTAACTTTGAATCTGACAGGTCCAAATGCAGATCGACGCGCATTTCGTCAGCGATGTCCTGCGCGGCGATGATACGACGGAGATGCGGGTATCGCTAGTGAGATACATTGAAGATGAGATGCCACCAGACGAGGAGTAAACGGGGCCACACTTGGGAGGACCAATGCGTATTTAGAGTCTGTCGACCATTGAGGCGTCCGGTGTTTCTGGGATGTGCAAATTTTAATTCAAATCTTCGTTTATACTTGTCGCGATGGGCCCACGACTATGTCGTAGCGTTCAAACTTGATTCAGTGGTTGTTTATAGTTCTAATCAAGAAGTGACGTCTCACAAATCTCCTTGCGGTCTATCAAGTCGCTTCTTCCATGATTCCGATCGCAGAGTTTGCCACTGCGCCATTACGGTTTTCGCACATACCATGAGGGCGCAATTCTACGAGATCCCTACAGTGATATGGGACATAAAGCACCTCCATCTCGGACCTTTTTGACACTACGACGCGGATCAGATAACTCGGCGACGCGCCATATGATGCGCTAAACCCAAATAGGATGTCTTCCGCCATGCTGAAAAGTGCGCGGGGAGTAATGGTTGACACCTGAAGTCGGTAAGAATACGGTACTATACAATATCATGTACATGATCGCCCTCAACCTCCGATCTCTATCAGTATGTAGGAGTATGAACTGTCACCATGGCACTTTTAGGGCATTGTACAGCGCAAGATATGGTCAATGTCAATGAATGGTAAAATTGATCTGGTTGAAATGCTTTTATTAGGTGTGTATCGCGTGCTGTTCCCTTACTAGTCTGGTTGGTGTTGAGGTGCAGATTGGGCTTTACTTGTATGGTTGGTGGTGTTACAGTTAATACCGACAACGCACATCACATCTATCATTTTGCCAGCAATTCTTTAAATTCATTCGGGCAGTTTCTACGAGCATAGTTATAATTATAATATAGATATAATAATGTTTTATTCTATGTCTTTTATATTTATTTTCCTTCTATATTTTCCCTTCTGAGGTTCTTATACTTGTAATACCCGTACGGGCATGCTCACAACTACGCGCATCTGCAGCCCTTCCGCCGAAATCCGCACAGGTTTATCCGGGCCGAGCAAGCGACTTCGCGCCAATCCGTTAATTGTCGCCGACGCTTGAGACCAGCCACTGCGCAGCGCACCCCGTCGAACGACGACGAGAAGTCGAGCAAGACGACTGTTGAAGAAGGATACCCTGGAAAAGTCGACTTTATACTGAGGCAGACCGGCAACTGGTTGAGAAAGACGATCTCTCTCTTTCTCTAAACCCCGAGTTTCGCTCTCTCGCTCTCTCTCGCTCGCAGTATCGCTGCTAATCCACCGAACACCTACTCTCTGATCCACCACCTCTTACTACCACCACCGCTCTAATACCATCCTACCTCTTTTCGCCTCATATCTCCCTGTGTTTTTTTTTTTTTTTTTTCTTTTTTGTGTCAGGAGTCATTCGCAGTCTCTGCTTCCTCTCTCTCTCTCTTTTTCTTACTTTTCTGCTTTCTTTTTTATTGTCCCTCTCCGTTTTCCACATCTCCTCCCCTCTCTGCCCCTAATTGACCACATCTCTCTTTCGCCTCTTTCCATTCTTTCTTCTTGATACCTGATCTTTCTATTCTGTTTCTCGTGGGGTTTCGAATCGAAATCATCTTGCGATCTTTTCGTTCCCTCCATTTCCTTCTTTCTCAGCTAAGCGCCGCTTCTCGCCGCTGGTGCCGCTCGTCGCCTCCCCCGGTTGATCCTACCGCGCTTCGCTCTCCGCGGTGTGTGCCTGACATTTACACACCACACCACCTCTTCATCTGATCGTCTTTCCCCTCCCGATCGGCTCATCTTCCGACGTTGGACTTTTTTCCGCGTCCTTTTTGGTTTATATTATATTCCCGTGCCGGTTTGGTCTCTGGTCCTCCACATCCCCGTCTCCGCAATCTTGCGCCCCCCCCCCCCCTTTCGCGTGTCATCCGTCTTCGATCGCAGGAGAAAAGAAAAAAGTCGTTACACTAGGCACTAGGGGGGTTAGAAGCGCCGGTCACTTCGCCTTTCTTCTTCCGTCTCTCGTCTGGTTGACTCAACTCATCTCCGCTTGTCACACAAACTTGACTTGCATCTTGCGGTGAAGCTAGACTCACTGCAAGAACGGTGGATGCGCGTTGACAACTTTTGATCTTGGACAACCCTCTTCAACAAACAAGCGAAACGCGAGGGTGGCAAACACGCTTAATCGCCTGTCATGAATCAAATGAATATGCCCGGGATGAATCCCGGGATGGGAGGCCCCGTCGGTGGTGTTCCCATGATCAATAACGGTTCGACGGCTCCTCGTAACGATGGAAATGTGAACAATATCCCCGAAACTATGATCACCAACCTTAATACATATATCTATGACTATTTCTTGAGACGAGGTTACCACGACTGCGCCAGAGCCCTCGTCCAGGACGATTCGTTCAAGCTGAACACCGATCCGGCCGCCAAAACAAGTCCGGGTAATCGCGATATGAATGGTATCGACGGCGATGCAATGATGACTGATGGCAAGGATGGCGACAAAGTCAAGGTCCCTGACGATCTCCCTCGACCTAGTCTTTCCAATGAATCCCAACATTCGTCCTTCCTCCTTGACTGGTTCAGCCTGTTCTGGGATTTCTTTTGGGCCCAACGCAACAAAGGGAACCGCAATGATGTGCGACAATATCTCCATCACACTCAGGTACAATTTTTTTCTCACTCTCAATTCCTGGTCTATCTAACTCTATTATAGAACATTATGCGCCTCAGAGAATCGCAACAAAATCCGTTATTACGACCTCAACCCATGATTCCGGGGCAGATGAACCAACTCAATAACATTCGTCGGAACAACATGGTTCCTCCAAACCTTCAGAAAACCGTTCTGCAAAACAATACTGCTGGCCTGTACGTTGATTGTGCAACTCTAGTTTTCATTGCAAGCATTTTTTTCACTGATTTCTGATACCCCTTCACAGTTCCCAACAGCAGATGGCTCACCTTCAGAGAAGCCAGCAGGCCCAGATAATGCAGATGCAACGCGACCAGTCGGAAATGGATATGAACGGGCATCGTCCGCAGTCCCCATCGTCCGCAGACAATGCGCCTTCCCCGTCGAAACGACCCCGTCTTGATGGCGGACCGATGAACGGACAACAGTTGGCACCCAACGGACGAGGACAAGGACAAGGCATGCCCGGTCAGCCGAATCCGTTGATGATGCAGAACGGACTCAATGCGCGCATGACACCGCAAGCCCAGGCCGCGTTCCAGCAATCGGGCCCTGGGGCGCAACAAAAATCCATCCAGGTATATGCTCAAAATCTGGCTCTTCATCACACACGCTCAGCATTAAATAACCAGGGATTGCCGAATGGTATGATGAACCCCGGTGTCATGCCAAACCAGCCGGATCTCGTAGCGATGCCGGACGGTCAGGGTATGTACCCAATGGGCAGCGATTACTATGGCGCGAACGGTCAAATGCCCCAGGTTCGGGCTGGGATGCAGACGCCTGGCGGTCAGCACGGCAACCATGCTCTCCAAGATTATCAAATGCAGCTTATGCTGCTTGAACAGCAGAATAAGCGGCGTCTGTTGATGGCTCGTCAAGAGCAGGATAGCATGACCCGTCCCGACCAGCCTCCCATGCCCGGGCAGCAGGCTCTGCCTCCAGGCACCTCTCCCGGCAGCAGAGCGGGCGCATCACCGAACCCGAGCGACCATATGAAGAGAGGTACCCCGAAGATGCCTCAGACCGTACTTCCCGGATCCCCGAGCGCCGCCGATGCGATGGGCCAGAATCGTGCCTCACCAGCTTCCATGAACTTCAATCCCCAGCTAGGAGGCCCCGAGATGACGGGCCAGTTCTTCAACCCCAACGGTATGCGACCCCCTAGCTCTAACCCGGCCTTCAGCGCTGCGCAAATGGGCCAGGCGGTTCCTGCCGGAGCGGCCAACCGTGTTCCTAGTGGCAGTTGGCCGCCGCAAGGCGGCCCTCAGGGCCAGCCCATGGTACCATCGCCCGCCAGTCAGCCTCAGACAGGAACTCCGCAGGAACGGGGTGCAATGCCGCCGCCTCAGGCACCCCCGGCGACAGGCCCCAATGCCGGTCGTACACCTGCATCCCCTCAAACGGCCGCGCCCCCGACTCCCCAGCAGGCTAATAAGCCCGCACCCAAGGGGAAGAAGGACACGAAAGATACTCGGAAGGTATGTTTTCTCCCTGTCCCTCGTTTTTCTTTCCCTTTCCCCTTTAGTACCCGTTGGTTTTTTTTTTTTTTTTTTTTTTATTGAACATTTTCTTAGCGCCCAACAAAGAAGTCGGCCGCTGCCGCTGCGAACGCCAACACGGCGGCTACTCCATCATCGGAAGCGGAGCATCCCCCCACGCCCACACCCTCGACACCGATTACTCCTCAACACCCCAACTCGTTTAACAAGAACGGGATCAATGCAACAACGAATGCTCCACAGCAACCGACATCTGCACCAGCGCCTCAGCCCATGGTGCCGCAGCAACAGCCGCAACCACCTCAACCGCCACAGCAGCAGCAACCGCCGCCGCCAGACCCGAACCAGCCGTTTAGTGATCTCAATACTCTTGCGGATGTACGTTTCTTCTTATATCTCTACCAAAAGAACATTTCCCCACTAACCTGGTTCAATAGTCATCTGCTTTCAATCTTGACTTTAGCGCACTGGAAAACCCAGATATACTCGAAAACTTCGATTTTGACACGTTCCTTAATACCGATGCAGACACGGCCGGGTTTGGGTTTGATCCAAACATATCCTATGCCACAGACGGTGTAGAGACAGGCGCCGGCGATAGCCTGTGAACAAGCCTGACGGTGATTCAGTTTTGAAGTTCCATATACCCACCCTTGTTTGTACATTTGATCAATTCAACTTGTGCTGTTCGGTTGCTCATTCACCCTCATTCCCCTTTTTCCGTGTTACTGTCGAGTTATTCTTTTTTTTTTTTTTTTTTTTTTTTGGATATGTGCTGTGAGACAGGCGTTGGTGTATCTGCTGTTGCATATCCCCCTTCACTTTTACATGAGGCCGGTCTGGTGTCGACTGGTCTATGATGGACGCTATCTTGCCGTTGGATTTTTGTTTACGTTTGGATGTCTGGTGACCTATGTGTCTATTTTTGACCTATTCCCTTTCTTTTATACTATTATTACTTATTTGGTTACTTAATCCTTTTTCTTCCTTTCTTTAGCTTTGGACTGGGCGTCATACTACTATATTCTAGTATTTGTCGATCTCATCGTGTCTGTTTTGGTCTCGATTGATGCATACTTGGGTTCTTATCAAAGCTATGCTTATGCCCTTTTTTCTTTTCTTTTCTTTTCTTTTCTTTTCTTTTCTTCTCTTCTCTTTTCTTTTCCTTTCCTTTCTTTTCCTTTTTCTATTCTCCACTTTTTACTTTCTTTTCTTCATTTCTTTTTCTCTTTGTTTTTTTGGAAAACATTTGGTTTTGATTTCAATCCTTTATGGCGTTTAACTTGATGAGTGAGTGACTTGAACTGACCTTGATATAATCATGCGAGTCAATATGGGTTTGCTTTACATACTTGTTCGTCCTTCTTTTTGTTTTTGAAAAGGTTCGGCTGTTGTTTGTTTACTGTATGATCCATTCGAATATACATGGATGATTTTGATATTCTATTCTTGATTCGGTTGTAGTCGGTCAAAGGTAGGGAGGGGATCGGACTCCCATGGCGAAGAAAATCCATGCAATTCTATTTGCAAGTCTATCCTCATCGTTGTAGAGGATCATTCCCGGGAAGCTCGTCGACTGGACCGTAATCTGCATATTATGGCAGAAAACAGTTACAATACTAATGACAGCAGAGATATTGATGATGCTTCAGATGGTTCACTTTGCGCGGAAGCCGTAGATTTGGTCGATTATTTCTAGTATGGAAGTATCAAATAAGCCTGTGCCTTTGATCTCGACCCCTTGACGGCTTCGATTTCGCACGAGAATTCAGGAATAAGCATCGAAAAAAAACAAGGAGGATGAGAAGTGATATTTGGAGCAATCAGACATTTGCGCATCTCATTCAGAGAATGCTCAAAGCCTATTAGTGATTAAACCAACGACTAAACAATCATTGCTTCTCCAACGTTTAATTTAGGTGGAACGAGGCCCTGCATCCACAAAAACTGTCTTGTTCGTTCCGTCCATTGGTAAATCCCTTCCCCCCGGGCATTCCCTCCTAAAATAAAAGAGAGCAAAAGAAATAAGGTAGAACCACCTGTGGTTCGTCTAGTTCGCTCTTTGGTTCCACGTGACGAGCGAAGTAGTGGATCCTTGCGGAATCCAGTTAATACATGGCGATACATATCTATCTATTCAAAATTTCCGGATAACTTGGCGTGAATGAGGGTTACAAACCTTTCCCAGATGTCCACGGTTGTCTGGTGTTTCGAGGACTTGCACTCGGCATATATCAGTGGGACGTAAGCGTACTTAAGTCCCGATGTCCCATATATGATGTCTCTACCCAGAATCTCTCATCGATAATGGATTATAGAGAATCTACCATGTGTGGAGTCCTTCCCAAGTCTCCAAGACTCCCTCGATGACCAAATTCTGTCTTCGAATGTGACTTTAAGCTAGACGCGGACAATATGAGCCAAATCCATCAGATCGACCACGAACTTTGGTTCAACGATAATTGTTCGGGACTTGACATCTTGTCTTTTTCTTTTTGCTTCGCGTGTCGTGCATGTTGAGTAAATAATGGCATGAAGGTGTACTTTTCTTGTCTTTGCTTCCTCATGTGCCAATAATACTATCATGAAACGCAAGTCTCTGTTATCTGGTTCTGTGATGGCTGGAAAAGCACATATCCAAGCGATTTAGAAAGCGACGGCAGTTCCTGAACCGGCAGAAAAGAACAGATCTTTCCAAATAGCAACACTCTTCATTAATAAAAATGCAATACAACACTTGGCTTGTGGGATCAAACGGATGCCCGGGTCGATGCCCAGGTTGGGATTAGGGGGCTAATGCGTTGGCTTCATCGTCTGTATATCGGATGCCTATTGTTTGAGCATCGAAAAGTTGTTTTGGGCAAAGCCATGTATGGCGTTTCGACAAAGTACCTTCTGGTATTGTTGGGGTTTGAAATCCCTCACAACTGTGGCCACTGGCTGGTGTGAGTGTGATTACTGGAGGATGAAGAAGAAGCAATGACCACTTATACGCCTCGCCTTCAAAATCACTTGGGAACGTTAAGAGGGAGCCCTATGGGGATCAGGAGAAGGCCTTCGGCATTGTGAAGCCAAAATCTGTGCCAATACCACATATAAGTCGGTTAGAATAGTAAAGTAGCACTGGCGAGGACGAGTATGACAATAGTCTCCGGCGGAACCCCAGCGTCATGGAAATCCCGACGGAACCAGAAAATATCATCTTACAATCAATTTTGGTTTTTCGTAACGCAGGAAGCACGCCCTATTCCCAATTGAGTATCAACACCTTGACAAGAGGGGACAAAATTGAGTGAAGGGGAACTACCTTACGGACTAACCGTCCATCCACTAGGACGAACACACGGTTCTATGTCAGGTCAGATAAAAGGGCAGGAACTTCTCCTCCCGTGGGATATTATGGTTATGTTGAAAAGGTAGGTAGGCGTTTTGCCCGTTGCTGAATTCTCTGTAAAGCAAGCCAGCCTTCGAAGGGTGGTGGTTCTATCGAAGAGATTTAATTTTCTCAACAGCGAGGGTGTGGTTTGTAACGTCGGCCATTGTAGATGTCCTGGACTCACCGGCTCCTCATATAGTGCAGTCTTGCGACACTTGTTTTCCCGGTCTATTCTTCTTGTAAGCACTGCACTGTATACAATCAGTAAAGCCCCTTAGTATAGTACTATATGGGGACTTACTTGTTCAACAGCAAAACCAGGAGAATCAGATCAGGCAATCCGCGAATTTCAGAAGTTTCTCCCACGCCTCTATCTTCTCGTGCTCTGCAGTAGGAGCTGCGCGAAGAATAAATCCATGTAGGCGATAAAGCTGTAGATATTCACCTCCAAGGGGAAAGAAATGTACCCAGTGTGCTTCCCGTGAATTATCATGCTGTGATTTTCAAACAAGCATTCAGAAAGTATCGCTTCAATTAGGTGCCGGCATTGTGCCAGTTCATATGCATATCTTGCCATCGCAGGTCCTGCTCTATGCATTGATTGATATGAGAAATCGCTCATTGTATGATAATCATACCATGTATAAAATCCATGGAAGCTGACGTATAACCTCCTTCGCATAGGTTCAGTGCCTGTGGATGCTGAGCCCCTAAAGCTTTTCCTTCTTTATAGGTCGGCACGTCGAGGGAGAGACTCATTCCTGAATAGAGCACGAAGAGTGACAATCTTTTTGGCTAGTCCGGTCGACGAAGATCAATGCTGATATATAAAACGCTCTTCTTGCTGGCAATGGCGCAGGACATTGATATATCAGGTACCAGTGCGTAGTCTGGGTGGAACAGACCGATTAAAATTGGACATCCATGCTCGGTTGGCTCTTTCTAGAAAGTGCCTTTAGATGCCGTGCTCGTCATCGGTTTAACTTCCAAGTGGAGAGAATCTAGGTATGGCATCTAGAAGGATAGGTTGTTTAGAGCGAGGAAGATGAAGAGAAAATGGAAAGGAGTGGAAACTTGCTACTAGGTCCTCTGAAAGCAGTAAATATCCTATAGTACATACTCTAGTTCACAATAGCTATCGAGAGCACGTTGTAGCCCCAAAAGCTTCAATAATAACCACTCCAACACATATATGAACAGACTAACACCTGTATGCGCATGCGCATACATACACATCACATATCCTCATCAACATCCCACAAACCCCTGGCTCGCATACATCCTGAGGGTATTCCTCTGCCAGTGCTCGGGCTGCTCGCGTTTCGCAGCTTCCTCCTCCTCCAATTCGGTATCCTCGTTGACCATCTTGATCAGGTATCTCACCACTTCAGCCGCACAAAACTCCTTAGCCGCCATTTTACTCGCTCTCCGACCCTTGGTGGAGCCAATGGCGCCGGCACGAGTGAGGAATGGGTCGCCTTTAAAATGAGCGGATGTCCTGTATTCACCTTCGGTTTCAACTAGGTCGTTGTCAAGACGTGTGATGCGGATTTCTGGGGGGTGCAGTGACAAGAGTCGGCATGCTTCTAGAAGTTTATATGGTGACGGCAATGTTAGCGAGACAGAACATGAAAGACAAACGAAGGAGGATGGAATGGGGTGAAGCATTACTCTTGAGTCGTGCATCCTGAGTGGGTAAGTCTTTCAGCCGATTCTGAAGTTCACCCGGAGTGATATTCCATCGTCGCTTCTCCTCCCCAGGGCGGATCTCAAGATCAGGAAGCTTGCTCTCAGCGAGAGGTAGCAAGTTTGCATTCTTTCGGGGCGACAACTTATTTTGGTGGCTCCTGAATCTTTGCTTCTTGTCTATACCCCCTCTTTTGACGCGCCGATCCGGAGACTCAGGACTAGAGCTGGCACCGCGCGCCCTTGACGGAAACTTGGGGACGTGTGCAAACAGACTTTCTCTGGACATTTTCATAGTAAACGGCCCGGGAAAGTTGTATAGGACGCTGTTCCCGTATACGAGCAACACATGCAAAGCCATATGTGCTGCCGCATTTTTCGACCTCAAGGCATCAGAATACTGTTTCTGCAACCCGAAAAACGAACCACCCTCCACCTCGACCTCGTGGCGATAGTTGCCCTCGTGGATATACTGTGTGTACTGCGGCTTGCGCAAACTGTTCTGAACGCAGTAGTCTGTCATGATGCGCATCGACAAATGTCAGTCAAAGCTAATGACGATACCAGGAAGGAAATTCACCCTGCAAAATATCAACCCAATTCCAGCCAGGACTGTTGGAAACCCCCTCGGGCTCGCTCGGGACAAGCCAACCTGGAAACTGAGATTGCAGCCCTTTTAAAGCTTCCCAACATACCTCAGTCCTAGCCTCCATCTGGGTCTCGAAAAGAAAGGACCGTACAATCGTACGTCCGTACATGATCAGAGTGCACGCCCATTTCTTACCATCATGGTCCTTGTTGTACTGGAACCTGGGGAGGAGCAGCGACTGGACGGCTAGGACACCGAAGTAGAAGATTGCTTGACTGCAGGTAATCTCATTGAGATTCAACGAGGCAAGACGCGGAGACTCGGGGATAGCCTATACAAGAGCAGTTCATGTCAGGCAAGTCCTGGACGAAGACAAACAGGCGAGCAAACAGAGAAAACATTGGATCAAAGAAAAAGACAACCTACCTCGCCCCTCTCAAGGTTCTCACCCACGCCAATATTAGTCCTAGCCTCAGCCCCGGTAGACGAAGCATTCTGAGGCAAGGGCATTAAAGCACTTATCAACTCATCCACCTGCAAGCTTATCGAAGACCGACGACGATTATAATCCGTTTCCACCCCATGCTTCAACTCTGTGGGCTGCACACTCTCAACAGTAGTGCTAGGATACGACCCTCCGACTGGTAGTTGCTGCTGTGTGTCTGACACGGTTGTAGCGGAGGAAGAGGGGTAGACGGTAGCGGACGAAGGGGAAGGGTAGAAGGTAGAAGGCGAGGATGAGGATGAGGCATATGCTGGGAGTGTCGTGCCTCCAATTCCAAGCCAAGGAATGGATGCGCAGAGAACATTCGCCGACCACGTAGGGTAACCCCAGTAATAGGAGCCTTGCCGGGCTTGTTCGTCGTCTATACTGGCGGTTGAGTTAAACGATTCATATTGCCAATGATTGTTCATCTTGGAGAAACCTCAATTTAGAATGATATTGAGTTAAAAATGGATGGGAACAATTCAGAGAGAGAAGATGAAGTTGGGAGGAAGAGAAGAGTCGAAGGAGAGAGAAAGAAGAGGGAGTCGCTGACCGCGACCTGCCTTCCCGATTGGGAATTCACTACACAAATGACGCTATACAAAACATAGAAACAACACAATGACGGGACAGAAACGAGGTCTCTTTCTGCAATATTCCTGTAGACGGAGTCTCAGAGTTGAGGATGCCATGGTAGATGATTGTCGACTTATGTGTTGTGGTTGAAATAAAGAGGGCTGTCAGTTAATACTGGGTTTATCCTAGCATTATGCCCTATTGAGGGATTATCTGGGCACCGTAGAGCAAGAGAGAAGAAAGGAAGCCCTATCTACCTTTTGGTGTAGGATCGAAATTGTCACGACTCGATAACCAGTAGATAATAACGAAATAATATTCCTATCTAGACTAGGTAGTAGCCTCTCGACGAGAATATCGAATCTGGGGAGGAAAAGAAGAAGAAAGAAAGCCGTCTGGCAAGACAAAGGAAAACTATCTACTCATCGTGCGATCACGTGTGACGGGCTATCGCTTGTCGTTTGCTCATATTGCCCCGTTGGCAGTTGGTCATTAACCGTTGACCGTCACGGAAATCGGTTCTAGTTTGAGTGCAGGAGATACTAGTACATTGATTTTGCCTTGTGGAGCGTCCCTGCAATAGTAGTGGATAGAAGAACTAAAAGATAAGGGCCAAAAAATATATATATATATATATAAATATAAGCAAAAAGAAAACTCCCCGACTGGGAATCGAACCCAGGTCTCCCGCGCTTGCAGTTATTAAGCTGACAAGCGGAAATCATGACCACTAGACCATCGAGGACTTGTTATTGAAGGGTTTCTGCTATTGTGCTTTACAAGCTAAATTTGGGTTTATGTCTGCTATAGCCGGTACTGGAAAGGTTGGACCTTTGGTTTGCCGAATACTCCAATTACTAGGTTCCAGGCTTGATTTGGAGAACTCTCGTTCATCATGTTCCTTGAATTGACCATGTTGATGGACGATATGACTAACTTTGTCGTGCCTTGATATATATATATATATATATTTCAACGAATATGCGCTGATGCCGTGCGACACATAAACCCACTGATGGTTCACTCCCACGCTGTTCATCAATCCAAGCGAAATATGACCAAAAAGCCACTGTCCTGCTATTATTTTCTTTCAATCTCGCGACTGTTCCGTTCGCTCATATACAAGGTATATCGTATGCGAAGAGATTGCCATGGGCAGTCGATGAGCATATAGCTGGGCCAACTTCACAATAATTTCCTTGAGAATTCATTGGGAGACCTTTCCGGTCGGTAAATTGAAAAAATCTTTTTTCTTTACTATAATGTACCGATAGAACAATTACTGGAACGTATGATTAATTACAGAGCTGGCTTATATTTTTTGCCTACGTAAGAGATGTCAACCAGTTAGCTCGCATAGCTCAGTGGCAGAGCGCTTGACTTGTACGGCAAGGTCCTCGGTTCGAAACCCGAACACGGACGACTTACAAATTAATCAAGAGGTCGGTGGTTCAATCCCGCCTGTGAGCATTTCTTTCTTTTTTTTTTTTTTTTGTATTCTCTGTACGGAGTCAGTCCCCCGGTTATGTATGTATCGCGTCGACTATAACAACAGCGACTGAAAACATCACTTGCTACAATAATGTCGTTTAAAGAAGCTCAAGAGGCCGCAAGTAAGCCTCTCTCGCCCGTCGACTTTCTTTTACAATTAAATCCCACTAACCCAGCCGCGACCAACGAAGACCGAGCGAGCAAGGCAAGTAAGTAACCGACGCAATTCAAGCAAGTATTTCGACTCTATTAGTACATCGCAACACTCTTGCATCTCCTCACTCTCCCTCCAACCTCTGCTTCAGACACTGTGCGATACTTTCGCGATCCAAGCGTACCGCATAGTCAATCGCAGTGTGTCCAAAACGATCAGTCTCTGAGACGCAGGCTCCTTTCTCCAAGAGCATCCCGATAATCCTTATGTGGCTCTTATCTAGGTCAACGTCTTAACCCAGTCATCATAGACATTCAAATGCAGCGATACTGCACCTACAACATAATGCAAATGTCTGAGCCCATCCTCATCAGGCGCAGAAGCATCGGCTCTATTAGCCAAAAGCAACTGCACAACTTTCTCATCACCAATATGTGCTGCCAAGTGTAGGGCAGTATCTCTCTTAGTGCTGTGCACCAACACGGGATCCCAGCAATAATTTAAAAATCGACCATTGGCTAAATTCCAATGCCCTGCAATATGCAGTACGCCCGGGACATGAAGCTCCACGCTCCAGTAAAACCTGCACCATAGCCTCATGCCCATGGATTATTGCACTCTGCAAAAGAGCCTCGGGCTCAAACCACGCACCATGCTTATATAGGACCCGAGTGCATTCCACATTGCCCTTCGACACTGCATGCCGCAGGATTCGACCGTCAATAACTCTGGTACCGTTTTTGCCAACCCCCTTTTCAAGAAGTACTTGCACAGTACTTAGGCGGCCCATATTTGCTGCTATGCTGAGACAAGTTTCCAACTCAACACGCGTGCGGTTGTTATTCAACGCATATTCCAAGGGTGTTAGATATCCACGACTCAAGGTTCCTGGTGCCGCGCCTCTCACGAGAAGGAATTCTAGCATAGCTAGCTGGCCATTTTTCGCCGCCAGTTGTAGTGGCGTGTAATGCGCAAACGGGAATATAAAAGGAAGAGGCAATAATTCAGCACCCATACCTAGCAATGGATCAACGTGCCGCAAGTGACCATTGGCTGCGGCTAGACGCAGGGCATCATTCTTTGCGTGACATGGAAAGTCATGTTCCCTTGGTCGAGCCTGAAGCCCTTGAATCACAGCTGCATAGCCCTCCTGCGCAGCCCATTCCAATATGTTGAGTGAGTTAGTCATGGGGTTATGCTGATGTTTCCAGGCACTGGATGCAAGATTGTGAAGTGGAATACGCAGAACATTTTGCAAGTCAGGGGATGCTTGGAATAATACATCTAAAGCCCTGCAGGTCCAGGTAGCTGGCGATTTCGAGAATAATCTCATTTGAGCATCGGAGGAAGCATTTTGGTGATCGTGCTGGTGCTTGCTTGGATTTTAGTTTTGGGATTTGGCATCTTGACGAATAAATACGTCTAAAATGACATGCACAGCATTTAGTGAGTTGATGGTGTTCTTTAACAGCCTCAGTAGGCGCGTCATATAACAGTCATACATGTGCCCTTCCTTTGGGCTCGAGGGAGCCCTAGATGTGAAAACAAGAGATGACTACCGGCATAACCAATTTCTTCCTATGGAGACATGTTGGACCCTACTGATTTCTCACATCCTGACGAGCCTGCTTTTCGTTGAACCATTTGTGAGAGCTCGTAGAATATCGGGTCAGGTAACCGCCAGTTTCATGGTAAACATTCCAATTGAGAGCTCTCTGCATAATTTTCCACCAGTTGCCATCCATTTTTTCCAACATTCTTGCCACGGTATCATCAAGCTCGGTTTCTACATCCGCTCATCCGCTCATCCAAGCCTCGTCCATGTCCTAGCACCACCCTTCAGGCAATTCATCCGTCGTCCCCCGTTCTTCGATGCCAACGGACACCGCATACCCAGGGGCAGCCCTACATTTTTCGACCAACCGAGGGAAAACCGCCAAGATCGGCCCGACCTCGGCACGGGAATATTACCAGATCGGGATGTGGATGTGGATAGAATTTGCCATAGGTACGCTCGCTATATTATAAATCAACGTGGCTTATAAATAAGGGAAAATAGTTAAGCTAAGAACTAACATGTGTGTTTTAAAGGAGCTTAAATAAAACCTTAGATCTCCTCTAATTACCCGGAAAAAAACCAAAACGATCAAAACCCCAAACAGCAACATGCCCACAACCCGCTACGACGCAGCCCCAGCCGACCCGAGCCCCCTCGGGCAGCCACTCAACTTCGCCTTCTCGGGCCGAACAGCCCCAAACCGCTTCCTCAAAGGCGCCATGAGCGAGCGCCTAGCCTCCTTTACCATGGCCGACAAGCCCAACCGCGGCATCCCCTCCCCAGAACTAATCAACCTCTACCAGCACTGGGGCGAGGGCGAAATCGGCCTCTCGCTAACAGGCAACGTGATGATAGCGCCAGACCAGCTCGAAGCACCCGGTAACATGATCATCCCGTCTGATGCGCCGCTGTCAGGGACCCGGTTCGAGCGATTCTCTGAGCTCGCGGGGAAGGCGAAGGCGAATGGCTCTTTGATTGTTGCGCAGGTGTCGCATCCAGGTCGTCAGACTGCTGCTGCTGTGCAGCCGAGCCCTATTAGTGCGAGTGAGGTGCCGCTTGCGGGGTCGCCGTTGGGGATTGAGTTTGCTACGCCGCGCGCCGCGACAAAGGAGGATATTGCTGGTGTTGTTGAGGGTTTCGCGCATGCCGCTGAGTACCTTGATAAGGCTGGGTTTGATGGTATTCAGTTGCATGCTGCGCATGGGTATTTATTGAGCCAGTTCTTGTCGTCGACGACGAATAAGCGGACGGATGAGTATGGTGGGGAGTTGAAGAACCGGATGCGGTTGATTCTGGAGATCCGGGAGGCTGTTGCGCAGCGGGTGCGCAAGGACTTTGTTGTTGGTATTAAGGTGAACAGCGTTGAGTTCCAGGAGCATGGGTTCCAGCCTGAGGAGTCGCGGGTGCTGTGCGAGGCTCTTGAGGAGAATGCGTTTGACTTTGTCGAGTTGTCGGGTGGGACGTATGAGAAGTGGGCTATGGATGAGAAACGGGAGACCACCTCGAAGCGTGAAGCTGTAAGTTCCCTCCATCCCCATTTTGGAAAAAAAAAAAAAAAAAAAAAAAATCTGACAGCCCAGTTCTTCCTCGACTTCGCTCAACTCATCGTCCCAACCCTAAAGAAGACCAAGTCCTACCTCACCGGCGGCTTCCGCAGCGTCTCGGGCATGGTCGACGCCCTGAGCGTCGTCGACGGTATCGGTCTAGGCCGTCCCCTCTGCCAAGAACCATACCTGTGCTCGCACATCCTGGCCGGAAAAGTTCCCTCCGCCGTCTCGCTCCATCTGAGCCAGTACGACTTTATGACCACGGCGACGGCGGCGTTGCTGCACATCAGGCAGATCGGGAACCACCAGCAGCCGTTGAACTTGGGGCTGAGTGAGAATACAGCTAAGCTCTATGAGGCTGTTGGGGAGTATATGGCTGCGAAGGCGCAGGATACTACGGGGGATATTTATGCGCCGCCTCTTTTGCGGGGGTGGAATGAGGCTTTGTCTTCCGTTGTCATGTAATTAGCTTGTACATACGGAGTAACTTAACGGGGCTATAGATACTCTAATATAGACGAATCAATTATAGAACAACGAATTCCATATCTAAAACATTCTCAACCAAATTGCACCCTCCACCATATATGGGACAGCGTTGTTGGAGACCGGACAGACAATTTGATAGATAGTTCTTGGAACCCTAGCCCTAGCTTGCAGCAGTATTGATTGCTGGCTCTATATACTTTGTCTATAAAAGATGAGGAGTTGGAAATCGAAGCGCCTCATGCAATGAAAATGCATTCATTGTACAAACAAAATGCAAGCACTATAAACTCGCCCTCCCCCTCGACTCATACGGAATCAACATCACCACCACTCCCGCTGCAATAAACAACACCCCACTGAGATACACCGGCGCAGCAGTGTTTAGATCCGCAAACATGGCGATAATCGGTGCCATAATCCCAAAAACCCGATTCGAAGACGCCGTCAACGCATTTCCCGTCCCGCGGTCTTTCGTAAGGAAGAGTTCAGGCGTATACGCGTACAACACGGCAGATTCGATGTTGCTCATGAAGTTATACGCGCAGTTCCAGCCTAGTAGTGCGTTTGATGATGTTGCCGTCGTGGACGCTAACAGAAATACGCCAGTGAGAACGGCAGAAAGCATGAAGGTGCCCTTGCGGCCGAACCGGGGCATTTCGACAAGCGCACCGCCTAGCAGACACCCCGGGATCCCTAGAACCGCGATAATGAGCGAGTTGCGGTAGGTGATGTACGTCGAGCCATCGCCAAATTCGGCGCCTCGGGATTGCTGGATGTAAGGTAGGAAGGCATTGTAGAGGGGGTATCCCAGGCCAATGAATGCCCATACCAGCATGATCATAGAGGTCGACCAGGCGCGACGGGGTGTATCGAAGAGAGCCCGGACATGTTCCAGACTGACCTTTTCCAATCGTATGCGGATAAGGTCTCGCGTGCCCAATGCTGGCGATGTATTTAGCCCGAGATCCTCCTCGTTCTCCAGACCATCGTGATCTTGCAGATCGCTCAAAGAGAAAGACGTCCGGCGTCCATTCCTCTTGGCTATCTCGCGAACCACCTCCACAGCCTCCTCATTGCGTCCCTTACCCATGAGGTACTTGGGCGACTCAAAGAGCGTGAAAAAGACAAATCTGCAGATAAACATAACCACAGCCAACCCACCCATCGCGAGAAGAAAGTACCTCCATCCCATATTACTCGACTTCGAGCATGGCTTCCCATTATCCTCGTCGCAGGTCATACTCCCCAACAACGGCCACGCCACCAACGTCGCCAGTAACTGCGCAAGCGCCCACGCAACCGACAATATCGTGAGAAGATACTGATGCGACCCAGGCAAAAATTCAAGAAAAATCGCCGAATCAACGGGCAAATTCCCCCCAACGCCGATCGACCACAGCGTCGCAAATGCACATACCGCCGCGAAACCAGGCGACGCAGCAGCAACCAGCCCGAACACACCCGTAATCCCAAGCGTGAGATTGAACGCCCACTTCCGTCCAAAAATATCACATCCAAATCCCCAGAAAATCGCTCCGATCAGCAACCCGATATTCTGCGCCAGCGTCAAAATCGGCGGTTTGCTTGCGTTGAACTCGTACGAAACCGGCGGCAGGATCAACGACACTACGATCGGCCAGAGATTATCGCTTGCCCAGCCGAATCCGATCACAAAAAATAGTTGCCATTGGTACCGACCCATGCCAATATCCTGGATGGCTCGGTTGAGCGCGGTGGCTTTGGCCGTGTAGGCGGCGTTGGGGCCATTGTTGTTGCGGGGAAGCGACGGGGAGGTGGTGGACTCAGGATCGAGCTGTTCGGGGGGAGAAGATGGTGATTCTTCGTCTTGCTTGGGAGGAGACAACATGGTTCTGTTGTTGTTCCATTGAGAAAGAGCGATATATCCCGACGATTGAGGACGAGAGGTGAGTAGGGAATGCATTCCAGTGGCTGGCTGAGCGGCTGATGGTGTGCTAGGTTTTAGCCCACTGCGGGGTTAGTTCGATTTGAAAGCAATGCCAGCAAGAAGGACATGGAATAGATAAACGATATTATTCAAATCTACATAAAAATACCTCCCGTATAAGAAGCCGTCAAGTCACGTTTGCGGAGATGTCACCTGATGCTTTCCTAAAATAGCTTCGGAAGTATCCGTATTATCCACAGAATCAACGCTATATAAGTAATATAACCGTCGAGCCCGAAAACAGGAAAGACGATTGTTTGAATCAATATGAAGGCGCCAACCCACTTATTCAACCTATAAATCGAGACTTAAACTCAGGAAAGTCCAATTGAGTACTAAGACATGCATCCCCATGACTAATTCGATATATCCTGTGACCCCCTATACAATTCTCCTGCGAGTAGAACGCCATGGTGAAGGGGCCCGGTTTACCTTCAGCAGCGTGGACATTGACACGAGTAGGAATATTTTGGCAATCGGTTTTCTTGGTATTAGCCTGACTGAATACCATGTCCCTGCCGCACTGGTGCCCAGCGTAGAAACCAGTGAACCATTGACTGAGGGCCGGGGCAGCAGAGGCAGAAGCTGCGCAAAGGAGGAGAGGGAGAATACTAGAGGCACGCATAATGATAGAGAAGAAGCTGAGACGGATGGCAAGGTTCTTGTTGAACACTCAGGTGAATCCGGATCTTAGGGATTTATATTTACGTATCATGGATAGACAGATTGTGTAAGTGTATGACCATTAATGTGACATTCGGGCTGTACAACACTACTTTACGATATCAATAGACATCGAGAGCATGATACTTGAGATGAGCTCAGTCAAAGATCCCTACGAAAATCGTCTCGCAGCTCTTCTCACCATCCGATGGTTCTTGCCGTGGAAGTCCGGATATGCACCAGTCTCCTTGGGCATGAACCGTCTCTCAACCATCGAGCTAGACGGCGTGGCACTGCCGCTCGCTGCACCAGCCAGCGCACTGTACGGCGTCGCTCCGGGGAAGAACGAGGTCGGGATAGTGGGAATCGGAATGGCGGAGTCGGTGCCAAATGCGGTGGACAAGTCATTGGGCATGCGAGGTGCCGCAAAGGCCGAAGGAGTCGCAGTAGCAGTCAGCGCGGTACTGTAGGAAGACTCATCGTCCGAGTCTGATTCCAAGCAGAAGCCAGACCCGTAAGCACTGCGGCAGGTGTAGGACTGTTCGTCGCCGGATTCGGTCCACATGTTGAAGTCCTGGATGGTGATGTCCGTGCAGGGAGCGGCGTCAGGGCACTCAATCTTGATGGGACCGCGCTGAGTGCCGTCTTCTTCGGTGCCCTTCCAGTTCTTGAAGGTGAGGTTGCTGAGCTGGACACCGTCACCGCTTCCTTCGTCCATGCTACTCCAGTAGCTGTCGATATCGAGAGAGTAGGCGTTGCCGTGGCCTGGATGGTTAGCTTGAGTTTATGTATCCGGGTCAGTTATGACATACCGATAAAGTTCTCAAAGGCCGCGTTTGAGACGGAACCGCTGCCGCCATTACTCTTGATCATGTACATCTGGTTGGACTTCCAGGTGTAGATGTTGCGGTACATGATGTTGCTGATGTCGGTGTCGGTTCCCAGCGAACCCATACCGCAACCGCCACTCCAGTTGCAGTAGATGTTCTCGACGAGGATGTTTTTGGCAGGGCTCTGCGCAGCGTTAGCATTATCGAGAGATCTTGCTCTACCAGAACGTACCTTGACAGTCACGCATTCGTCTTTGTTGGTAACCTCGACCTGTTATCGCAGTACAATTAGCATCATCCCGAAACCATGACCAACGAAAGAGACACATACATCGTGAATCCAGATATTGGTACTCCAAACATCAATACCATCCAATCCACCCGAATCACCACCCCGAATAGCCATGTTATACACCTCTCCATTCTCACACGTATCCAGAGAGAAGTGAAACGCCGGCGCATCAACCAACGCAACATCATGCACCGAGAAATCCGTCACTTCATACAACCGCAAGATCCGAGCCCCACTCAACGAGCCCTCCTTATGGAACTCATACCCAGATCCCTGCACCGCACCCTTGGAGGTACTACTAAAAAACTCAAAGTCCGAACTGTGCTCGATCATAAACATGTTTCCACCATCAGAACCAGTCCGGTAGATGATACCATCCAGCTGCAACGCCCAGCCTTTACCACCACTGAGGGTCACCCAGCTCTCCATGGCGTAGTCGCCGGGAGGGATGTAGACGACACCGCCGTTGGAGCATTCCTTGAAGGCGGAGTCGATGGCGGAGCCTATGTCGGTGGATTTGTCTGCTTTGGCGCCGTAGTCGAGGACGTTGCAGGTTTTGGTGTTGGCTTTGGTGCTTGCTGATGATGAGGGCCCGACGCTGCCGGAGAGTTGGGCGGCTGCCAGGGGCACAAGGGCCGAGAGAATAAATGGATTAAAGTACATGATGAATCCTGCCAGAGGATTAAGAAAGAAAGTAATGAATATTAACAACAACAGAGAACAGAATTAGAGAATGTCAATTGGCATCAATGCCGCAAAGAATGTACATGGATGGATAGAAATCAGACACATAATAGGAGGCATAGGCATAGATATAGGAGTATCAAACTGCATTCCTCAAGTCCCACCAGCAACTGTCACGAAATAAATTAAGAACTGAAACGCCGCATCGGCCGATCCGTTTGACTTTGATATACCAACCCCATACAGAAAGCCACGCGGACGGCACAGAAGCTTTTGACCCACCGGGTCCGCTCCGGTCTCGCTAGCATGCTCCTTTTGGCCATAGCCTGATCCACAGGTCACTGATAGATTAACGCTCAAAAGCTTCAGATTCAGCACCCGCAAACAGCCTCGCATATCGGGACTTTTCCGGGTTGGCTTATCGACGGCGCATAGATCAACAGCCGATCTGTCAGAAGTTAATGGACCAGCCAGATCTATGCGATGCAAAATACAACGGCTGAGAAACTGATATGGTATGATGAATAGGTACGACTAGATACATACCTAGTAGTTAAGTCTCCTGCTTACCCCTCAACCACGCTTTAATTACCGGAGAATATCTTTGTATGCTTATATTATCGACTCAAATTGGAGACAGCATAAAAATATGTGAAGATAACAACATGGGGAAGTCTCAGACTGTTCTAGTCATTGGTGTCATCCACATGACCATTAAACTTCTCTCCAACACAGAATCTGCCAATGTCTAATCAGCATGAAATCCTCGAGACTTCAGGAGGCCGTAGTCCATGAAATATCACTGACCGTGGTTGTAACTTTCCTCTACACAAATTCACCTGAATCGAAAAGGGATCTCATCACACCACCAGCCTTATCCATATGGAGGCCTGCTGCACCGATTTCCATTGTCGCAACCAGACTTCCTTGCTTGCTGACTTTTCTTTGGCTTGCAAAACTGGTCCCATGTGAAAGCGAAACCCCAGCCCAATTGTAATAGGCCCCACTTCTCATCCACGAGTCCACGAAACTGCTCTATATTTAGTCTGTCCACGAGGTTGTTTCTTCCGTTAACCAAGTAAGAAAGCCCGTCTGATGCTTGCTAGTGGGTGGCCATGCCACTACTTGAGCTGTGACTATGTGCTCTTTTAATAGAGACCAGTTTTCCTGGCCTTTCTGTTTCCCCAGTAGGATGCTGGCTTAAACCTGTAAGGTGACGCTAACCCATGCACTCGCGCTCTTTTGCCTTGGACTGGCTGTCAACATTTAGGTCAACAAAAAGGCTGCATCAAGGTTTTGAGAGCCATTGGAGTGTATGCATGACTTCTCTATATCACGCATAAGCTTCTAAATGTACTATCCGGCTGTGGACATTCGTAGAACTCCCCAATAACATGGTGTAACCTCAAGAAGTTAGAATATGAGTATACGACTGACCGAAATCCACCCCCTGTGGGTGTTGGACGCCATGGCCCACTGAATAGGCTAATCCGGTTGAGTCTTGATAGCCGGGAAACACGTATGAGTACCCATCATTGCAATGGGAAAAGGAGTCAACATAACCATAGCCGGCTATGCGCATGCAGCTCGGTCGAACATGTAGGCTCAAAGTGTCTTTCTCCAATTGCTAAACAGGCAGTTTTAAGGTCGCAATCTGTCATGCTCGCATGGAAGTTGGCTGGACCTTCTGATGAAAGGAAGTCTCATAGTATAATGCTCTAGAACCGAGACATAACAGTCAGTACGGAAAGACAATGGAAATATGCAAAAGAAAAGCCAAAGAACGACGGTAGCGAAATTAAAGACATGATAATAGTCTCAGAATGACAACATGAAGCACTATTTTGACACAGGATCAAACATGGCGTACTTACCATAAATCCCCCCTTAAATAACGAGCTGAAAAAGAAAACATTCCATCAGTGAAGAACGTCTGCCATTGGAATAGCAATTTGACGCCGGTTATATAGGTACGTAACCCTCAAGACCTGCAATTGCTCCAGCCACTGTAATCCCGATATATGTAGTCTTTCCGCAATGTCATATACATTCATTGAAAAGGAGTATAGGCATAAATAGAAAGATTTTCAATAAAGGCTGCTGGTGTAGGGGCTTGCACATTAGCGCATGTCAAGTATACAGAAGAGCGAGTTTAAACCACAGAAGAGCAAAGACTTACATGCAGTATTTGCTTTGCTGTACTGCATGTACTAATTTGCGGCGAAGAAACGATCCCCTGTTACCATGGCATATTAGCAACAACGGAAGCCTAGCTTATAAACTGCGACAAGCGTTGGGAAATATGGAGGCAAAGTCTTTTAAGAACCGCGCGATCACCTCGGACTGTTCAAACGAGAATAACCGATCACTCGATCCCTAGCATACAGCGACGTTTACCAACAACGACGGAGAAAATATTGCAACCCGCTTACTCCTCCGATCTGTGACCTTCCTCTCCTCCTTTCTCTTTCTTGTCCTCCCGCTTACGCTTGCGATTGGCCTTATCATTCGGGATCTGATCGGCCGGGACAACTTCACCGTTACACACAGAAAGCCCAGTTATCGGATTGTCTAATGCGACTGTAATACCCGCGTTAGTCGTTGGGCCAGGATTCTGGCTGGAACCTGTTGCCGACGGCTTTAGATCTTGATGCCGTAGCTGAACTTGTTGCCCCATCCTCAACAGAATCCTCCAGCTTTAAGGTCAGAGCAGTATCGGGGTTCATTGAGACGTCAGCCTGTACACATGTCTTCCATTTCCCGCGTCACTTTGGTAATAAAATAGCCTGCAACAGATAAATGTAGGATATAGTTTATCGCGTGATAAATGCGCAGGAGGCTAGGGCAAGGGTTGGCGGTGTCAAGGATGATCCATCAGACAGCCGTGTTTGACCCTCCTTTATATAGGGCGCGGTTCAACTTGCGCTTCGAGTTAGTTGCCAATTTGAAGAAAGGCTGCATGGTTTGTGTCGGAATACCCAGGAAGTGTTCATGTGTCTCGCTTGAACGTCCAATGTCATTGTGTGCCCCGACATACTAACGGGGCATTTTATTCGCCTTCCCTGCATGCTTCGAGAGGCTTTTAGTCAGTCAAGGACTGAATTAAGTGACCGTATCAGACTTTGGTATCTTAAGCACCATGGTCTGGAACACATGGGGCCTGATTTATGATGTTCAGAAGTATCCTGCGCAGACTTTGACCTGGTCTTTTTTTGTTAGCAGCTTATCCTTATCGGTATATCCCGAGCACTTACAAGACAAGTATGCTAGTTATACCATGCAAGTAAATTCACAATTGCAATAATGGAACGTCCGCTCAGCGAGCTGCTCCAGGGAACCTAACAGGTCTCCGTTTTGCGACAAATTCGCCGTTTATATAGTCAAAGTATTGGCGCATTCAATGTTGTGTATCAGCTTGCGACACTCGGACCAGGTAGGCCGATGAGAGAGGTAGTGATTCGATGACAATCTGCACTGTATTGCCGCATCGACTTTGCCGCGCCATTTCTGAATCTGACGGGATCAGCCGGTCTGATCCTGTTTCAAACAATGAGTTATAACAGAAGGACTAATATGTATATAGAACAGATATTTTGGTAGAGTTAGGGCACCAAGCAAGACCACCTATATAACGACCTGTGGTAAAATAGCAGCTGTAGAAGAAGACAAGAAAAAAGAGGAGACTGAGAAGAAACATCAATTTATATTGAATTTAGCTCAAAGACATGACAGTGAAGTAGCAGAAGTCTTTGTTTGCTTTGACTGCATCATGTAGTCAGTTCCTTTGTCGTACCAACGACTTCTTTCCCTACTTTCTCGAGACCGTAAGCTGCTTTGTTTAGCGGTCCTTTGTTTCTGATATTGAAGGAAGCTGACATTATAATATATATAGATAACCTTATAATTTGGCGAATCAGAATGGTGCACGAATTGGGGGAGAACAATCAGATCAATCGAGCCCATGTATCAAAAGCTCTGGCTTCTCCGTGCATGCGCTGTTGCGAGATATCTACCAGGTAAAGTAATGTAGAGCAGTTTTCGACAGGATCTAATGAGAACGGAAATACTGATAATGATTGAGGAATCTTAGATATATACGTCATTAGTTGTGGCTGATAGATATTAACAATTGAGCTGATCGGTGAGTTACTCCCCGAAAAACTTGGATAGTTCAGGAGCAATTTAGTAGTAAGACATCAACAATATCTTGCGAAAATCTCAAGCTTCCTCCACGTTCTTCTCCAGACGCTGTATAATATTGTCACAACTCAAGCGCCTTGCATAATCCAATGCAGCGGAGCCACGATAATTAGTATCCAAAACACGAGCCCCTCTCTCTAGGAGCAATTCGACGGTTCTCAGACGGCTATCAAGGTTGCCTTGATTGATGTAGCAATACAGGCCACTTATAGCGTAATGCAGAGGCTTGCGACCTTTATTGTATGACGTGGAAACGCTCGCTCCTTTTTTTTTTTTTTTTTAAAAAAAAAAAGTGCCAATACAAGTTCTTCATCGGTAATATATGCTGCGAAGTGTAGTGCAGTGTCTTGATCAGATATCTTGACACAGTCAACACGGGACTTCAGCAATGGTCTCAGTATAGGGAGTTGGTGGTATCTGAATGCCTCGTGGTATGCGGTACGTCCAGCGAATATAGCGGATGAGGGATCAGCCCCGAGATTCAGTGATAGTTGCAAAACAGTCTCGTGCTGGTCTTTAATTAAAATACGCATTAGTATCTTAGCTTTAGCACTCGCACTCACGCCATGCTCATAGAGGGCTTGACAGAATCGCATATCACCCTCTCCGAACACATACTCAACAAGAGCATGAAAGTCCAATTCCTTAGGACCTACATCGATTTCCTTTTCAAGAAGCAGCGGAGCCAAACCTAGACGACCTTTCCTTGCTGTCTTGGCCAAATATATTATTAAGGGGAGTTGTCAATTCAGCACGCGCACCTTTTTCGATGAGAACTTTTGCACAGGCTTCATCATGCGCCAACGCAAGATCCAAAGCTGTTATACCCGCACGGCCCAAATATCCTAATTTAGCATCTTTCTCAACAAGAAGCTGGGCAATAGCTAAGTGACCCTTTCTCGTCGCCCACTGCAGTGGTGTGAAATGGTTGATTTTAGACAGCGGAGGCGACATATCTGCCCCCATAGCAAGCAATGGCTCAACACAGTGCAAGCGACCTTGACGTGCAGCAGATCATAAAGCACTAGCTTTGACCTGAGATAAAAGAGCCTGATCTCGTCCTCGAATTCGGAATTCTTTAATCACAGAAAGATAGCCCTCTGCTGCGGCCCATTCCAGCATGGTGGCGGGCCAGCGATTGACGTAGGTATGTCTCGATGCGAAATCATAGAAAGAGGTACGCAGGACAGTATAGAAGACATTTGATGTTGGCAATAGTGCGTATATATGCGTCAACTCTAGTTAGCTGGCGATTTTGAGGATTATTTAGTTTGGACATTGGAGGAAGGCGCATTTTGGTGCTGGTTTGAATTTTTCGAGGGAAAATAAGGCGCCAAATAGATCTCTGGCGACTTCATAATACATATTTGGCTTATTTAGGGCGATACTGGAATGGAGTAACTTGTGACTCAATGTTCCATGTTCAATGAGTAGAGCCACGCGCCTGGTAAATTTTTAGCAGTTTTTAAGCGACTTTATCGGTGGTGAAGTAAGTATTATTGTTAAATAGTAAGATCATTCCAAGCAGTTTATTATCGAATTAAATCTAATACAAAATCATCATAACCAATCTTAGATGCCGTGCCAAACACTAATCCTGTGCCTCCTTCTGCTTGAGACACTTTATGGTGCTCTCATAACCCAAGCGTATTGCATAGTCAAGTGCGGTATATTTATCATCGTCAACATCCGAGATGCAGGCTCCTTTCTCTAAGAGCATCTCAATAACCTTTATTTTTCTATCAGACATCTCATTACGACTCTTCTCGAGGTCATCATAACTCATAACCAATTTATCACGAAGATTGTAACGCGGCAATGCTGCGCCTGCAGCATAATGAAAAGGTCTGAATCCATCTAGGTCTGGCGTGGAAACATTGATACCATTGATTAAAAGAAGCTGCACAGTTTCCACGTCACCAAAATGCGCTGCAAATTTTAGGGCGATATCTTCCACAGGGCCCATAATAGCATTTGCTTCAAGTCGCGATCTCATTCATTTGCATGACTGCTGTGTGCAATACGATTTCGGATCCGAAAATCGCCTGGCCCTCAAGAAGGTTTCGCAAGCACTTCACCCTACCATGCCCTATCGCATACTGCACGGCAGCATGATCATCCGAGTTGTTGGTGAATATGTTCACTCCGTTTTCAACAAGCGTCCGCACCATGCCTTGGCAGCCTTCGCTTGCTTTTTCAATCAGGTAGGTTTTTGCTACCACGGGTGCTTCGACACGCGTGCTTACGCCGTGATCAAGGAGAAAATATGTGCATGCTTTAAGGTTATTTAGTATCGAGTTTTCCAGGGCTTTCATACCCATCAGGGTCCCCGGTACAGCGCCTTTCGTGAGGAGGAGCTCCACCATGGCTGGGTGACCATTTTCTGCCGCGTACTGTATTGGCGTATAGTATTCAGGCCATTTAGACCATTCAGATTGAGAAAACTGACATGTCATTCCCGCATATGCACCCATGGCCAACAATGGCTCGATACATGCCAGGTGACCGTTGGCTGCAGCCAGACATAGAGCTATGTTTTTTGCTTGAGGAGGGGACTTTCTCCAATCTCCAGGTGATTCTTGAGTTCGAATCTCCCAAATCACAGCCACGTAGCCTTTTCCTGAAGCCCATTCCAGAACACTGGCGGAAGAACGATTGTAACTTCTTATCGAGGTAGTACATGCGCGATTGTAGAATGGAATGCGTAGAGTAGCGTACAAGGCGCGGGATGTCTGGACGAACGCGTATAAATGACTAAGCTCCAAGTAGCTGGCAACCTCGATGATGATCTCACTCGGGCACTGGAGGAGTAAACATGGTGTTCGCTCGATTGTCGTTGTTGGTTTCGGTTTGGGCATTTTTGAGGGAAAGAAAAACGTCGACTAAACAAAAATTTCCTGGCGACCTCTTTTATGCTTGTTTCTTAGACTATGCAGTACGCTTGGGTCGTGATTGCATTATAAATTGTCTAAAGGAACAGCAGGCACAGGAACATAAGTCTGGCAAGGATTTAATAATGCAATAATCGAACCGTCCGAAATTTATTCTTCAATTACACCCAACCAATTCAGACCAAGGAACATAACTACTTCATCAACTCTCAATGAACGCCTAAATACCTAGGCACCGGCATCCTGATCACGTGGCTCTATGAGGTAGTCATGTCATTGAATCACTTCAAAATTTTTAACTTTTTTTTTTTTTTTTTTTTTTTTTTTAGATATGACTTTCAGAACACATTACCTCCCCAAGATGCCTAAATGCGGCTTTCTTCAGTGCCCAGACAAGATAGTCTTCAAAATCAGCAGCTATCTAGGGCTGAAACATATATACGCCCTACTACAAGCATCACACGACTTGCATAATGCTTGGCGTAGTCTGTTCTATGATCGCATAGCTGATTATTGCAGGGGTTGGGCTGGCGATGAACTTACTATGTTGGAATGGGCCGCGCAGGAGGGATACATAAATGTGATCCAGGAGCTACAATCACGAGGAAGAGAAAAGGTCTTCATGTGCGGAACGAAAGATGCAGCCATATGTCTAGCTGCAGCCAACGGGCATTTATCTTGCATTGAACCATTAATCGCCATGGGCGCAGAAGTATCGCAATACCCTTATAAAAATCGTGTTCAATGCTACTCGCCGTTAATGTGGGCCGCCAGAAACGGCAACCTGGCCATGATGAAGCTTCTTATCTCCAAGGGCGCAAGAATAGAGACAAGAAGTCTTCAATCCTGGACGGCTTTAGAATATGCGATGATGAATCACCATGGTTCATGTGTTCGATATCTCCTTGGGAAGAGCTCGCGGGGTGAGTTATCGACTTACCTGAACAGAGCGGCAAGGTCAAACCTTCCAGACTTCGTACAGCTGCTGCTTGATAAAGGCGCAGATGTAAATGTCAAGGATGAGCATGATGGAAGAACTGTTGTGCAGCGTGCAGTAATGAGCTATGACTGGAAATGCATACGAATACTTGTTGGATATGGCGAGCGTTCTAGTCCCGAAGTTCTATTGCATATTGCATTGCTATACGGAGACGAAGATCTCCTGCGGCGAGCACTGCGCCTCGGGGCCAATCCATTGGAAGCTAAATATGCCGGGAACTCTGCCTACCATGAGGCATTGGTACATAAAAAAAGCGGGATCTTGAGAATATTACTCAAATACTGTGCCGAGGACCCCGCAACTAATAAAACCATCGCGCTATACTACGCAGCACATATTGGCGACGATGAGATTGTGCGGTTACTTCTATCTAAGGGAGCCAACGCTTCCGCACCAGATAAAGCCGGATTCAGACCTTTGCATTATGCTGTAGGGGCCTGGTTGAGGTATTTTGATGACCGGAATCTCCTGATCGAGAGCCGTTCAAGAATAATTGAGATGCTCCTAGAGAAAGGGGCTCGGGTCTCAGATGCCAATTATCATGGAGATACTGCACTGGGATACGCAGAGTGCTGGAGTTGCCCGAGAATTGTATGTTTTTTGAAGCAAAAAGAGGCCGAAGAGTCATATGTTTCTTAATAGCTGTACACCCTTCCTTTGGGTTTTAATGTCGTACCCATTTTTCCTGGAATCTAATTTAGTTTATCACTTGCTTGATATACGATTGGTTTATATTGCTCACTCTTGCTACTATCATAATAATAAGCCATAAATAACGGATCTAGTTTGGTGACTCACGAGGACAAGATTAACCATATACTTGGACTTTCAATTCCAGAATGGACAGCCAAAGTAGCATAGAGTCATTTATCAGTAGCACCGATCCTCCTGTTCACCTATACAGCATCACAGCGTATTATAACTGTATCTGTATGTTTGTATCATGGTGCCTCCTTTCTCCTTTACATTTAGTTAGTTATCTATTCCGAGTTAGTAATTATTATCCCAACTCCTTTCTGAGGATGAGCCTTTTGGTTCTACCAACAAAGAAGATGACTATCGCCAACGAAGATGGAGACCTACCACCTTGCCCATGGGAGCTCTTGGATTAGATGTATTTCTGTGTGTAAATGTTGTATGATATCAGGGCTACTAGATTCTACAAGATTGAGATTCAATTTCTCAGAAGTCACCCCAGGGATAGGTTCATTGAATGGTGGTGGCACATGGGATCATCGTGCGGAATAGCCACAGTAGCTATAATCTCGTTGCAATTGTCCAAAGACAATAGACGAGGTTGAGAGAAAGAGGATAAAAGAATAAGTGGTTGACAGACTGCGACCAGTGTTCCTGTTGGATCGTTCACTACAATGCAGAATACCCTCGATAATCCTGAGCTGACCAGAAACCAGTCGCAATAATATTGACAGCAAAATCAAAGATGCTTCAAATGCCTACTGTTAGTCGTATCATCCACTTTTTTTCTTCTTTTTACTCTTTTTTACCACGGCCCTAAGCGAATCGTTGATATGACGTCGCGAAGAAGAGCTGTTTTGTGCCTTTTCGAAAGCCATCGTCCACCCAGTTAACATAAATCCTTCCACAATTCAATACCATCAACGAAACGAGACAACAAGAATCGCGCGCCTGTTTGCAACCCAGCCAGCAAGGAAACTGACACCTTTTCCCCAAAGATGTCCAAACCAGAACCTACGACAACAACCGAAGCACTAGCACCGAAATGCTACCTCCTCAAGTGCCCAAACGAAATCATCATCGAAATCGCCAGCTACCTCGAACTGAAACATGCACATGCACATACATTACTGAACGCATCAAATGATTTGCAAACCATTTTACATATCCCATTCTATAATCGCGCATACAGTCACTGGAGAGATCCATACTACGACATAAAACCCTCTTTCTACGTCAAAGTGACCTCTATGTTGGAATGGGCTGCAAAGAAAGGTTACGCAAATATAATCCAAGAGCTTCAGGCTCGAGATGAGCAGGCTTTGTCATGTGAAATGAAGAATATTGCCCTAGCTGATGCTGCTGCTAGGGGCCATTTATCCTGTGTCAAGGTATTGTTGGCTATGGGTGCAGAGGTGTCTCTGCCTGTTTTTAGTCGACGTTTATATTACACACCACTACAGTGCGCGGCATTTATTGGTCATATAGCCATAGTGGAACTTCTTCTGAAGAGAGGTGCCGCACCAGGGGAAATTGCTGGGGATTCATCAATAGCCGTGGAACATGCATTCAAAAATAATCAGGAAGAATGTGCAAAAAATATCTCTTCAGAAAGAGCATACACGATGAACTAGAATCTTATTTGATTGCAGCAGCAAGGAAGGACAATCCGGGTCTCCTGAGGCTTATTTATCACATGTGTTCGATATAGGCGCCAACATCAACGGCCAAACAGTTCTACAATACGCGGTGGCAAGAGGTAAAATAGAGTGTGTACGGATTTTCCTTGAGCACGGTGTGACAGCTGAGCTTGAGAGGCTTTTTTGCACCGCGAGAGTGGGTGGCCATGAGGATATCGTGCGACTATTACTCGAATACGGAGCTGATCCATCATCCACGAAACACACCACACACTCTGTATACCACTATGCTACGCAATGCTATAATTATCAATCTCCATCCCCAATCTAGAAACTATTGCTGAGATCTCGTGTCGAGGGAAACACCAGGATTACCGATGGAGACACCGCACTACACTATGCAGCGCATATGGCGGATGTGGAAATCGTGCATTTGCTTCTAGCCAAGGGGGCTAGTGTTTTTACTCCAGATGTAAATGGGTTCAAGCCTTTGCATTATGCTGCGGGTGTGGTACCATCGGCTCTCTATGATAATGATAATGTGCTTAAGAGTCGTATAAGGGCTATCGAGTTGTTATTGGAACATGGAGCTCAGATTTCGGATATTACTAATAATCGTGAATATACTGCATTTGAATGCGCGATACGCTCATGTCACAGGGATATCATACCGTTTCTGAGGCTAAAGCAAGAAGAGGAGCATGTTTAACTGTTTGCTTATGATCATTCTCGGAGGTAGTTTATAATCTTTAGATCCAATAACTTATGCTTATGGCTTAACTCATTTATTTAGAACCTTGTATTAACCAACATATATACTATGCAGTAGATTCATAAAATCGCTCATGATAGCCCTAGTACCAGCCAGCACACTACAAAGTATACTTAAACAACGGCGACCTATCCCCCAAATCCAACAACTCCTCCTCACTATACATCCCCCTAACCTCCCCCTCCGCCAACATCCCCTTCCTCCGATTCGCCCAAACATAACTCATTTCCAACAAAAGCACCAAAATCAACGACGTCCCCCCAAACGCCAAACTCAACCCAAACCCCGTATAATACGCCGGCGCCTCGGAGTCCAAATACATAAAACTCCCAATAATACCCCCCGCATTACCAATACATATGTTAAACGCGACTCCAATAGCCCGTCGGTTCGCAGGAGCTAGGTTATTCGCCGTCCAGGAGGTCGTGGCTGGGTGGGTCGGGTAGATACCGATGCAGGTTAGGATGACGGCGAAGAAGGCCGGGCCGATGTTCTGTGCTAGGGCGCCGTGGAAGGAGATTATTATGCTGTAGCCGATTGCGATTATAGTGACTGGGATTGCGACGAAGGGCATGCGCCAGTAGAAGCGGTCGGAGAGGATGGAGAAGAAGATTGCGGAGATGGCGCCGGCCACGTAGGGCGGGACGGTCATTAGTTGGGCATTTGTGCTGCTGAAGCCCATTGCTTTTGTAATTGTGGGGAGGGTGAATTTTGTTCCTGCGTCGTTAGCCTTTGCAATTAAGAGCCCAGGCGCAGGGGGGGGGGGGGGGGGTACCGTAAGAACAAGCAGACTGACACAACAGCACATAAGCCTGAATATACAACCGCCAATTACTCAAAACAGCCCACAAGTCGTTCCACCGGAACCTCTTCTGTGCACTATCCTCCTTCAACACCCCACCCTCCTTAATAAATCGCTGCACCTCCAGAAATCGAATCTCATCTGCATCCAACCACTTCGACCGCCGCGGCGAGTCAATCAACAAGAAGAACGACACCACGCCTAGAACAATAGTGGCCAGGCCCTCGATGATGAAAATCCAGCGCCAGCCCGCGTATCCGCCGACACCGTTCATTTTCGCGATTGCTGCAGCGAGGAGGCCGGAAAATGCGCCGGATAGGGCACTGGCGCAGTAGAAGAAGGCGAGGCGGGAGGAGAGGTTTTTGGGCATGTACCAGAATGTGCAGAGGTAGACGGCGCCGGGGAAGAAGCCGGCCCTATTTTATTAGTATCTGTTTCACAAAAAAAAAAAAAAAAAAAAAAAAAAAAGGATAGAAACATACTCGAAAATACCCAGCAACACACGAACGACCAGCAAACCAGCATAACCCTGCACAACCCCGGTAAGAGTCATAATAATGCCCCAGCAGGTAATAAGAATACCCAGGTAAATCGACGGCCGGGTAAAGTTCTTCAGGAGCATGTTACTCGGTACCTCTGCATTGCAACCATCATCAGTCTGCACTCTCGTATACTGCAATGGAAACATAAACATACCCAGCAAAACATAGGGAATAAAGAAAATAGCCAACGCAGTATTATACTGAATTCCACTCAGACCCAAATCATCCAACATCCCCTCAATCTTCGCATTCCCGATATTCGCTCTGTCAAGGTGCGAGATGAGGTATAGCACGGCTAGCATAGGGACTAATCTGACATCAACCTGCGCACGTTAACACCCCAAAAACAGAAGAGCTAGGGGAAAATGTGTACCTTCCGAATAACACTCTTCCTCCTCTCCTCCGCAAACCCCATATAAAAGCTCGCATCATCCGGATCCAGCCCCAGGACCTGGAAATTGTCAATGGTAATGACATTCGAGACTTTTTCCTGCTGGCTAGGTTCGGAGAATTTCTCGTCTCGCTCGTCGAAGATGTCTTCTTTGCCCATGGTGTCTGCTATGTTGTGGCTTGGCGCATGTACTCCCAAATGCAAGCAAATGGGGCAAGACCGGGGTTTTTATATCGATGCCAATAGCACCCGGACTCAACCTAGCGGAAATGTAATAATGCACAGCATGCATCTGACCTCCAGAAGTCAACCCAGTCCAGTGCAATCCGACATGACTCGACACCTACCCCCCACGAATGGGATGTACAGACCTGCACGACCGAATTCACCAAAAGCGCATAACTCACCCACGCCCTCATCTCAGACACCCATGTCCGTGCGAAACGCGGGGAAATAAGCATAAGCAGTTAGACTTGGAGCATGTCATACCCCATACGAGGAGGCTACAGCTAAGCGGATATTATTAACTATTACATGAGTATGTACTAGGTAATGCCAAGGGGTCCACCGTGTGAAGCTTTCATATGGCAGCGGGGGATTTCTGGGGCCCCGGATTATCGCGGGGAAGTGGGAATTGGTCTTGTCGTGAATTGCGTGAGAAGCGGAGTGAGGGTGTTAGTGACAATGACAGTGTCCTGTCCGGAATAGTATGGGGATGAGGGTAGTGGAAATGATTCCTGCTTCGGAAAACAAACGGCCTTGAGGGCGTTGATCAAAAATCAGCTCCCGTCTGCTATTATCTACTTGTCAATGGAATCCACCTGTCTCGTATAGAGTGTCATATCCGCTTTCATTTCCGGATTCATGTACTACTTATCCGACTGGGTGTCGAAATCCGACATTGATATTCGGAATATCCGGGGGTTGATTGCAAAAGCAAAACATAGTCTTGTACATCAATGTACATCACGGGATGATATTCTTAAGATGCGGAATGCATGGAAATATGTACGTACAACATTCATTATCAACTAGCTCATCTGCATACCACGCCACCAACTGAAACACGCTTGCAGAGCAGACATCTGGATCAACCATGACGAGTTCACTCCCGCTCATGAGTAGCCCGCTCATACCACGTCCGCACCTCATCAACTTCCACCTCCTTACCCTCATCATCACTATGAGACTTCGCCGCCAGTCGCTTCGCGACTTCGTTCGCCTCGTACAAAGTAACCAGCTTCCTCTTCTGACCACCAGTCTGCGCCCGTTCACGACACAATTCGCAAATGACCCGCTGCACATCTTGAGCTTTCTTCTTCTCAACAAAGTACTCGGGCTGCTGCTCCAACACTTCCCTGTACGGAGCGTCTTCGCCACCCCACCATGAGGGTGTCTCAGGCGGGATGTGCGGCGGGCCTTCGGTCGCTTTATGGACCCATTTGTCAACTGCCATTTCGAACGGTGTGGTACCCGTGGCACTCTCGCGATGCAAGAGGTCCGCGCGACGGTCGACCATGAGCTCTAGCGCTTGCGGCAGCTCGCCCTTGACGGCGTTGTGAATGGGTGTGTTGCCGGCGCCATCGAGCATCTCAAGGTGCTTCTGGCCGGATGGCTGGGCGAGATCCAGAATTATACGCAGTACGGCCGTTTTGCCGTCTGTTTCTATGCCGTTGGACTGATAGGAATTGAAACCATACGCTCGGAGAATCCAGCGAGCAAGCGGGGTTAACGATCCTGGCTGCTCTGAAGACCGCTCCGTGAGCAATGACGGGATAAGACGAGAGTCGAGCAGTGCGAGTAGCGACTCTATATTGTCGGGTTTGTCTCGAGCTTCACCATTCTTATCACACAAAAGCAAGTGGATCAGATTGTTTCCGCTGCGATCACGGGTTGTCTGGTCTGCTCCAGCTTCTATCAAGATCTTCGCATAGCTCGTCCGGTGCAAGGAGAAAGCAAGCGCCAAAGGCGTATGTCCCTCCAGGGACTTGGTCTCCAAGCCGCCTGGATATTGTTTCGCGAGATATTCGACCAATCGTTCAGATTCCTCGTTTGGCTTGGACAGAACAGCACAGTGTAGAGACAGTCCACCTGATACCGGTTAGCCATGATTATACCACAAAAGACAAGCCACTTACTTCTCGACTTAAGCCAATTCATCAAAGCCCCCTCAACACCCTTCGCAGACTTCTCCAGATGCTTCAAGCGCTTATCATGCTCATACGTCTTGGTAAAAGCAACATACTGCTGCCCCGGCTCCTTGCCCAGGAACCACTTGGTAGAATCAAGCTTTCCGTAAGACGCAGCAACCAAAAGCGGCGAACTCTTGCTCTTCTCTGGTCGTCCCTGCCGTTCGGCCCTAGCCCAATCCGCGCGTTTCTTTCCGCGGATGGTAAGTCCTTGGTAATAATCAGGCCTCTCTGCCACCTTCACGCCACTCTTCTGGACAAACTCGTCGATCGGCATGCCTGCACCTGTTCGCTTGATCAGTTCTTCAAGGCAGCGCAAGCGGCCCAACCCGATAGCCATGACGAAAACACGTTCGGGGACTGTGTAGATTGTAGAGTCTTTCTCCGTGTCCTGGCCGGTGAGCTCCTGTCCTAGTTCAAGTAGGAATACTAACAAAGGAACATTGTCGGTCCAGACTGCGTAATCGACCACATGTTGGGGAGTACGCGATGCCTCGCTATCTATGCGCCAAGTAGAGAAGTAGCCTTGGAGGACGGATTCGATTCCGGATTGAACTTCATATCGTTCCGACTCGGATATGGCGTCGTTCTCGATGAATAACCCAGCAGAGCACCCCCATTCGAGGACATCGAGAGGCTTGATAGGACATTCCACCTGCGTGGCCACCTCCCCTATGTTGTCGACGGTGAATTGATCATCGATAATCTCACTGTAAATGCGAGGCTGATCGGTGTCATAGTCCGCAGTGTATCTCGTATGTCCTTTTTGTTCCTTTGGCTTATACTGAGCCTGAACAATCTCGAGAATTGCCTTTGCCACGCTCAGATGTCCGCGTAGCACTGCAATGGAGAAAGGCGAGAACCAATGCCAGTCAGTGACGGCAATCTGAAGAGGTGCCTCTTCGTTGTCGGGACCCCACGTGGCAAGAGTAAGGGCCTTAATAGTTCCCAGGTCTCCGTTCCACGCTGCATTATACCTGTTCAGATAATTAGTTATACACTTTCGCAGCAGAAACGATGGTAAAGAACTAAAGAACCCACAATTCAAGGTAACCCTTCCTCTTAGTATCCGTCAGATCCGGCACGTTGAACTTGTAAGTCACCTTGAACTTATCCTTCTTCAACGGCTCCTTTTCCTCCTCTTCCTCCTCATCTTCTTTTGGCGCCTCGATATCAGGATACAGTTCCGCGAACATCTTTGCACCCTTCTCGAGCAAGACAGCCTCCACCCTTTGGAATTCTTCAGCAAGGTCTTTGGCCGCTGCCAATTTACGATCCACTCCCTTGCAGTTTTGCGCTTCGTTTACTGAATCCTCGTGATTCTTTAGAGCCTTTTCGTACTCCTGCCTGGCGTCCTTCACTTGTCCCCGAGCAATAAGCATCGCATAAGTTCCTTCCTCGATGCCGTCGAGGTAAACCTTATCATCAGTCTCGAGTGGACGTGGCGGCGATGAAGTGCATTCTTCACCCTTGTACGCTTGAAGACTCTTGATCTTCTCACGAACATAGTCAAGCAAGGATGAGCCCTTCTTGTAATCGCGCACGTCCTCATCATCAACCACGGAACATCCCTCAGCAGTCAACGGGTTGGGATCCACACCGCGCTTCAGAAGATCGATGACGAGCTCTGGCAATTCCTTTTTGACGGCTAAGATGATGGGCTGAGCCACATTGTAACGGAAAATGTTTTGGTTTTCCTCCGACGAGTTCGATTGGATCGTGTCGAACACAGCCTTGGCGGATTTCACAAAATGGCTGAATTCAAGCGTCGGTTCGGCGCCAGCTTCGAGCATTTTGATTGCTCCGATGACATTCTTTGCGTTGATGGCAGCGGCAAACGCAGAGTACGGCTCAGGATTCCAGGAATGTCCGGCAAATGCAAGATGATCGATGGCGCGCTTAACTGCTGGTTCATCATGGTGATGATAGAGGTCCAGCAGCTCCGAGTACTTGGAAGCGGCAAGATAATGCAGTGGCGTGTTGTGGTTGAGATCAGCTTGGGCAGGCGAGGCGCCCAGCTGCAGAAGCTTCTGGGTCATTGCCTTGGCCTTTTCCAGCGGTAGCTGCAGCGCCAGAACCAACGTGAGAATGGCAGCCGTAGGCGTGTTTTCGGAACTCAGCAGCTTGATCGGTAGTAGGACATCAGCGCCAAACGACGAAACCAGCTCCTCGACAACGTCGACATGACCGTTAAGAATGGCGAGATGAAGAGGCGAGGTGTGGTTATCCCAGGCCAGCACGTTGACATCGTAGATATCGGGCTCGAGCTCGTTTTCGGTTCCGTCGAAAACATCCCCAGATCCCGGTGCTTCGACTTTGACAAATGATCCGGAAGTGCGAGAGCTGCCATCATCATTGCCGACCATATCGATGTCATCGTCTTCTTCAGACTGGTCCGTGGGCATTTCCTTTTCTTCCTTTTCTTGCGCCGGCTCGCTTTTGCGAAGATCTTCTTTCTTCGATTCTTGCTCCTCGTTCTGCTCGCTCTTAGTGAGGAGGACCCGGACAATGTCCAAATTGCCTCTGGTGGCCGCGAAGTGCAGCGCAGTCCGGCCATCGGCCACACGCGAGATCATTCGGGCACCATTGTCAACCAGACACTGCACGATCTCTGGAGTGGAAGTCAAAGATGCCAGATGCAAAGGCGTTCTGCCAGTGTAGTCACGGGCGTTCGGGTCGGCTGAGTCTCGTGACAGCCATTCCTTCACAGCCACGAGGTCGTGATCGACGATCGCTTGACACAACTGCTCCGTGTTTCCAATATACGCCATTTCTAGTATATATTAGTATTGTAGAGCAGGTTGCAGGGGTTGCAAGAAATACCCACCTGTCCAGTCGGTATCTGTGATGGGATTGAAACTGCCAATCTCCTGACGGCCAGGATCATCTTTGATGAACGAGACATCACCAGAGATGTAAATCTTGCTCTCTTCCTCAGCGACCTCCTTTTCTTCGTCCGTGACGGGCTCAGGACAGTAGCCGCAGCAATCATGGATCACGTCTTCAACGTCACCGAAGAAGGCGGGGTGACGATGAAGCCAGACAGTCCTGTCTTTCGGCCTGTTCCACTCCGCATTGAGCAGCAAGTCCTTAGTGAACAAGAGTCTTTCGATGCGCTTGGCATGATATCTCGGTCCGTAGGGAATGGACTTGTAGACGAATTAGTGATTGGTCGGTGTATTAGAACCGGGAAACTCACAAAGTGATTGTAGTCGGAGATTTCGTCCTCTTCCTGCCATTCAGGAGCTTCATCGTCCCAGTCATCCTTGATGTTACCGGGAAGCTGCTTCATTCTTTGGGCGTATCTATTGGCAAGTGGCCGGCCACGCTCCGCCCGTCTCTGCATGAGATAATTCTCCCGGTCTTCAGTTTTTGGAAGCTTCTCCAGCACTAGTAAGCGTGCAAGACCAACTGTCCTCGAGAAACTTCTTTCGAAGATTGTCTAGCAGAGTCAGCAAAGGAACAAGGTTGAGAAAGATAAGGAAGAAACATACCGGGTCAATTCTGGAGCGGTCAAGCGACGGCCAAAACACCTCGAATCCGCGGTGCGAATACTTTGAAAGACGGTTTTCATAAGAAGGCGAGCGCCTAGTCATATCAATCTGATTGATCTGCGTAATATACGAAGCCAGAGCACGGGGCGAGGCATAGACTTGTTTGCCATCATATGCAGCACAGGAGCAGTCAACGTCGAAACCAGTCAAGATCTCCGCGACCGACTTGTAAATCCGAAGAACAATCTGGACATGACGAGTCGGATATTGAGACACAATGGTGATCGTATTCTTCGTCCTGACGGTGGTGGTCTCGTAGAGAATCGTATTCTTGATCCTCGACTCGATGTGATTGATCTTCTCGACGGCTTCCTCATCCGTCAAACCATACAAGAACAGATCCACATCCGACGCCGGAGCGAACTTTTCATGGTAAAACTGTCTCAACGTACGCTTCGAGCCACGATGTTTTTCCGGCACGGGTAAAAGAGAAGTCACCACAGCACTTCCGGCGGCGACAACATTGCTCCAATCCAGATCACTCAAAGCACCCTCGGAGAAAAGTGTGAAGTTCTTCTGGAACTCTTCGAGACTCGGAACCACGGCGGGGGAACCAGTGGGTCTCCGATCCTTATTCTTCAGGGGCAGTAAATACTGGTCCCTGACCTCCTGGGGTTCTGCGTCCAGATTCCGCGCTCGAACCTGGACATTGTTTGTCCCTGTTGATTCGTCGTAGAGAGGGACGAGGTTGAGATGGTTGTCTTTCAGTGCGGGATGGGACGGTTCTTGGGCGAACACTTTTCGCGTGATGGCATCATATTCGTTGTATGGCCGGACCAGGTCTTCAATGGGCTTGTCTTGGTGCGATTGGACGTAGCTGACGAAGTCCTGGTGCTTCGCGGGGAGGTTTGGGAGGTTGTACATAGTCGCGGGGTATGTTGTATAGCGAAAACGGAAACTCAGATAGACAATGTTCTTCTTGTAACCCACGTCCAGATGCCAGTTTTCCAGACGATGAGTTCTGTTTGAAGTCAAGAGTCAGGAGAGAGGACAAGCTTTATATGTGGCTGAGTCTGATACTCTGAGCTGGGTGTGCATTTCCCGATTAGGCATGGGCCAGGCCACACACGGCAGAATCATCACCGCCGTAGGCAGAAAGGGTCAATTAAAGGCAGCAACCGCCCCAACGGAGAATTCCACGTGGCGATCCCTCGATCGAGCGATCTGATGGGTCTTGTAATATCTTGGCATGGCGTCATGGCGGGGTCCTTCAGCTAGTCTTTGATCCGCCGAAAAGGGTAATCATAGTGATTCAGTCTAAGGATGGTCTATGTCCTATATACAAGTACATGCGTAGACATATGTACAGTAGTGTCTTGGTTAAGCCATGTTGATGATACTGCTCTGAACTCCTTCACCAGGCCAGTAATCCGCTCTGCGTGCATCAATGTGTATCCATCCAACCTGTCTAGGTATTGTAGTCCACCCCAGGCCTCGTCTGGTAACGACAGTCAACACAATATCGGCGCATTACCCAAGGACCTCTCCGACGCAACGTGCCGCAACGTAGTCGAAAGTCTCTCATTCGCACAAATCTCCTTCTGAACCCGACTGGCATTCTTCCGAGACAGTCTCTCCGATATCCACGTCCCCGTCTCGATCAGCCCCGAAAGATCAACACCGGTCTCGATACCAGCATTGTCAAACATACACACCAGATCCTCAGTGGTGACGTTACCCTTAGCCCCGGGTGCAAATGGACATCCTCCTAGGCCGCTGACGCTGCTGTCGAACACGCGCATTCCGCACTGGTATGCTTGCCAGACGTTGGAGGCGCCTTGGCCGTAGGTATCGTGGAAGTGGCCGGCTATTTGGTCGATGGGGATATCGTTCTCCACGAGGTAGGTCACTAGACTGTGCACTTTGGATGGTGTTCCCACGCCTAGTGTATCGCCTAGGCTGACTTCGTAGCATCCCATGCCTAGTAGCGCACGCGCACAGTGCAGCACCGCGGCTGGTTCTGTCGGACCATCGTAAGGGTCGGCGAATATGCAAGACACATACCCTCTCACAGCAATACCATACTGCGCCGCCTTCTCCGCAACACACCTCGCCCTCTGTATCCCTTCTTCCACAGAACAGTTGATATTCGCCCTACTAAACCCCTCCGTGGCGCTCACAAAAACCGCAACCTCTCTAACCCCGTATCGGATCGCGATATCAAGTCCCTTCAGATTCGGCACGAGCACCGGGAACCGTCGATCAGGATCCGCTTGTAACCGCTCCACGCTCTGATCGCTCAGCACGTCCTGACAATCAGATAACTGGGGAATCGCGCGCGGTGAGACGATCGATGTCAGTTCGATAGTGTGCAGACCCGTCCATTCAAGCCGTCGGATTAGTTCAACCTTTGTGGCTGTTGGGATGGGTTCTTTGATGTTCTGTAGGCCGTCGCGGGGCCCGACTTCGACTATCCGGACTGCGCTGGCGGGCATGGTTTGTCATGGCATTATCTGGCAGTAGGTGGGAGTGATAGAAGAAAAATTCATGTACTGTTAAATAAATATAACCAAGTGTAATGATGTTTAAGCAGATGATGATTCATCGCGGGGACGATGTTCTCGGAAGAACGGACCGCGGCATTTCCCGATCGGGTAAGTATAATGCCCCGGATGCGGCCATTATCGATACGACATTCACCGATAAGATCGTTTCAGTTGCATGTATGGAATCTTATGTAGCAAGCGATAACAAAAACAGTTGCAATAAACAGATTGTTGAAAGTGTATACAGTAGTATCCTGTTTGATCCAACTATCTGGCCTAGATAGGGCTCGACTCACCTGAACGGTGGCAAATGCAATAATCTGAGGCCAACAGCCCTAATAAGGGCCCGGATTACAGGCATTATGCACCCATACCTGATCTGCCCCTAATACGGCCACATCTTGTATCTGACAATTAGCCAAGCTATCTTTGCTACCGAACCCAGCCTCGGATATACGCGGGACAAGAATATGTGAATAACCGAATAAATCATAGATGCTGTGTCTATTCACTGCTATACAGTATGGCATAGCACATGCCTTATCAGACCAAGAAATATATTAGAGTGGTAGTTTCACTTATCCTCACAATCCATCGTCCCCCATCTTGGTCAAATCACCTACTACATGTACCACTCCGCTCACATACATATTATTCTCTAGTACTACTATACAGCTCTGTGAGAAGCGTGGCTCTCAGCAGCCGCAGTAACCCGAAAGGGATTATGAAGATGCCTTCAATGGGTCAATAGACCATAACAGAACGATCAAGACGAACAACACAGCCTTTCCAGGGACTAGGTGTCGGCCTCTAAACCGTGTTCTAAGGAGACACCAAACACATTTCCGATTTAAAGGTGAACGAGGTTTGTCATCTTAATTTGCCCAGAGCTCTCTCAAAACCCTTACTATCAGCGCGACACCATGGATATCTTCTCACCCAAAGCTTAGAACCGCTATCTTCATCCAATCCAGACATTAATAGCACCATAAAAAGGATGTGTTCCTGCTTGAACCACCACTGAAAAGTCTCAACAGACTACGCTTCATCATGTTTGGTACTTTTTGCAGAGAATACCACAATTGTACCAACAACCTTGACACCTCTATCGACAAAAGCAATTTGAGGCAACACATCAACTCATTGCTCAATCAAATGACCCGAGAAGGAATCCTGACGCGGGGCAGATGGTATGAGAGAAACTGGTTGGGATTTCGCGTCGTTGATCACATTGTGAAATCCACCATCCGCGACGCGCTTGATCAGGGATGCCATTCATGGGATCATGTCCTCTTTCACCTCAGCACTCTCATTGTGCAGACAGCTACTTGCTGCTGAGCGGGAGGCATACTCCGTTCTCATAAATGGCATGGCAAAGAGCACCTCACTTGGGCAGACGTTGACCTGTCCATGCCTCCCGGTGCTTCTTCAATATTGCCATGCACAACGAAGCAATCGTTTCAGCAGCAGAGCATAAGCTGCCTAACAGCGAGGCAGTCATCCCTGCAATTGCAAAATGTCGTATTATTTCAACATTTTGCTACCAGCATTCCAACTGACATAACTTCCTAAGGAACATATCTGCTACGCCTCCCTGATCCATCCAACGCAGAGAGATCATACCAGGCCCAACCAATCGGCGTCAATTGCACCGCGACCAAATCGGGAAGCCTTCATGCTGCAGTCAAAACGACATGTTGCAGTGGCAGTTGACGACTGATTACTGGAGCGGATCTTCGTGAATCGAGACTTTCTGGAACATGAGCTGCAGAGGTACGGGGAGACGTATTTCATGGAGACTATATGGTTGGATAAGATGTATGGGGTCGAGGAATTCGCGGTTCGCAGGATGGCAGGCACTTTGCTTCCATGGCACGAGATTCGTTGGAGTGGTATGTCGTTACCGTTAAGTGAGACTACCCAAAGCCCTAATGTAAATGCTGACAGCAGCCAAGAGTCGATCGATATGACCCGCGTACAAATGTCTATGGTGTTTTATCACTCGGATACATTCATAATCATGGTGATCATCAAACGGTCATCAGATTTAGAACGGAGAACGAGGTCGAACATGGGGTTTTCCTTTCGACTAAGCATCTAGCAGAACGGGCTATCTCCAGAATGGATCCAGTGAGTATATTCTGATGATTTTAAATACCAGCTATCTGACAAATCAGATTTGGATTCATGTCATGACTGACTTCCTTGCCATGGTAGATGGTATCTTTGGCCAACAAATATGCTGACCTGGTGTGGGCTAACCACATCTCACAAAACGAGCAGTTAGGACGCTAGTGGTATTGTTCTGACAAAATTCTATGATGCGAAGAGAAACAGCTGCTGGTTAAAACATGCTCTTAAATACAACACAAATGGCCCCAAGGCCTATTTGCCTTGCTGTCGAAAAATCACTCGCAATGAGAAGCAGTCTGTCATCCACCTCACGGCAGCCATTCCCCGCCCTAGAATCACAAGGTATCGCAACGCTCAGCGCAAATCAGCAGCACCTTGAATTCACGGGACGTATCTGGACTAGGATCGAATAGTTGCTTTGTTTACTGCTGCAGCTAAGACGAGTGTCATGACAATTACTCGTACAAACGAAAAGGCCCCCCTTCAGCCAGGCGTTCAGACTGGAAAGCCTGGAGCCAGAACGTTTTGAAGAAACACACATCTCGTGAGAAGGGCGCGAGACACTATTTAGGATGTGTTTCCAAGTCTCGTCGAAAATGGTGTAGACAAGTGGACCTGATAAAAGTAGCGTCAGCGTCATGTGACTGATTCATACAGTTCCTGCCTTTGTGTACCTCCAACTTCAAGGAACATCAATATCACCAGCCTCACTTCATACAAACTCCCACAAATCAACTAATACCAATACCAATTACCAATACAAAAGTCACAAGCTATAACTACATCTCGACATGTCAGACGTCTACCCTACCCCCTCAACCCCAACCCAAACAATCGGCCTCCGCGAAATCTGCCAAGTAAACAACCATCACTTCCGCCGTCTACGAGGCACAGAAACCTGGATTGAATACACTCCTTCACCCACCAGCACTATTCAAGAGCCAAAGCCAGACAAACCCGAGAAAGAAAGTACAGGCCCAATCTACCTCTCCCTCTCTCTGGAATCCCAATCCCCCTCCGAACCAAACCACTGGTCCCTCTTCCTCGCCCGCGAAAACGCCCCAGGGAAATTATACCAAGTTACCGGCGATGCGGAGTCAATGACCTACGAGCCCTCAATTCAGGATGTGGATATTACGACTGCAGAGAACTTCTTTACTTTGTACCAATTGGCGGAGATTTCGGAGGAGCAGGCTGGTATTGTGAGGGAGATTGCGGAGGGGGAGATGCCGCCGAAAGCGGAGAATAGGGCTGCTGTGGGGGAGAATTGTCAGGGGTGGTGTGTTAGGGTGTTGGGGAGGATTGTGGGGAGGGGGATTGTGGGGAGGGAGAAGGTTGAGATGGCTAGGGGGTTGATGGAGCCGGTTTGATTTTCATGGGGGTGTTTTGCTGGGATGGCGTTTTTACTGGGATATGTGTTTTGCTCAGGATTGAACAAGTTTACAGTTCGGTTGAATCGATCATATTGCAGGCTTGCTTGTGTGTATGCATAGATCGTATCATCATTATTCGTAAATACATAGTGCAACATTCTGTATAGAAAGGAAAGTACCGCCAAGTTGTGTTGTAGTTAAACCGTCGCAGTGTAGATGCGAGTATATATTGTCATACCAGAAAAACCCGGCGAGATAGGAATTCGATGCCGCAGATGATGCGAAGAAATTCGAAATCAAGTTGGGACGTGGTTACTAGAATAAACAAGGTCATGCTGTTCAATCTGATATGTTAGTAGTATCACCTATACACCCTTCTCGGAGCCACATATTCCATATCCGGCATTGGTGCCGGGACATATGCCGTAGGTGGTCCTTCATATGCTGTAGGTGGTCCTTGAGCAGAATACATCCGCACAGGAGCTTGCGGTGGCCAGGGGCTGACTCCCGGGCCCGCAAATCGAGGACGTTCTGGAAGACTGCCACCACTGTAACGTCGTCTTGGATCTTCGATATTCGGATCTGGGGCGTGAGGTGGCATGTAGCCAGGGTTTGCATATCGCGGATGGACGGGAACGAATACGGGTGATTCAGGACTGGAGGGAACCGTTACTGGCTCTTCAGAAGCGTATTCGCGAAACCTGACCCCTGAGTGTTTGGGTGGGGGTATTTCCTCCTTGTATGCCCAATGGACCCTTGGGGGTACGTTTGCGTCACGCCATCCGCCTGAATGTCTGTTACTATGGTGAGGCGCATAGTGTTTAGGGTAGTCTGGGGAGATGTCTCGAGGGGGCCTTCTTGAATACGCATCATGTGAGTGTCGACGCGCACGGGATCCTCGATGAGGGGACAAATACCGACGATGGTACCGAGGTGATGGTTCTGGTGCTGGCGATTGAGGTTCAGAAGATACATCAGAGGGGTAATATCCTGGCATTGCTTCCGGAACAACTGATTCGGGAATGCTTGATGCGCGCTGCCGGCGTCTGCTTTTAGCCGGTTGTTCTGGCCAGACCGGCGGCGACGGGGCTCGTGGTTTGATCTCTGGTGGCGGCGATAACCTCGGTGGCATCTTGTGCGAGGGCGGCGGTGGATGCTCTGCGCTGCTGCGTTTTCCATTTGGCACACGGGGTGGTGTATCATTTGCCTCAACGTACCGATACTGCGGGACGGTCCGATGTTTGGTTCGAACAAGTGCTCTCTCCTCCTCTGGTTCCTCTTTTCGGACTGGGACTAAAGCCGATTGACTGGGAAGAAAACGATGTTGATATTGCTCAGAGATTGGCGGCGGCGGCGATCGTGGCACGCTTCTTTTCAGGTAATCATACTCCAGTCGCCGGCTGACCTGCTCATGCCATTGAATCATTTCTATATCTGGTCCCGGGGGAAAAGAATCCCTAGGGAGGGACTTGGGAAAGTACCCCCCGAACGGGTTGCGAATATCCCACATCCTGACAGCATTTTGCAGGAAACGCACGTGTTCATTCGGGTCTAACAGGATCTGGATTGTTTGCCATCGCACAAAGCCACTCGGCAGCAGGGCCGGAAGGGACGGGGGTTCGAAGGCATTAGTAGATGGCTGAAGGCTGTGAAAGCAGCCTAGCGACTGGTATATAAACGAGAGGGCAGATGGCTTCGTTTCGAGAAACAAGGGATCATAATTGCCGCCGACTTTATGGTAGAAGGCTGCGAGTCGCTCTGGAGTGAGATCGGTGGTTCCGCAATCGTGGAAGCTGATCTGCGCATCACTTGTTGGTGAACACTCGTTTCCATTGTAGAGACAAGCTTACCATCAACTCTGCAATGCCCAGACAGAGCTGCTCCAGCAACGGAGCCGGGCTCTTGTCGGCATTGATAAGCGGCCCCCAGAAGTAACGATCGTTGAACGACATGGCCGGCAGGGAATTGGGGCCACAACGAAATGTGGAAGGGTCATTTGAGGGCAGTTATAGCTGAGTCGCATTCACAGCAGCAATGCCATAGCCCGCGAATGCGAAAATTCGAGGAAGAAAATGTCGCGCTGTCGCAGTTGGTGGGCACAAGGCAGAGGCGGGGCGGTCAGGCACACACTGCGGGGGCCCAATGACAGGATGACAGGCAGTGATGGTACGCTATGCGCTGTGGCGGATATAAAAAGAAATATATGGAGTACTAGGTAAGTATGTATAGAGAAGGAAAATAGAGCATATTTCATTCAAGGAGTAGAGGAGAAGGTGGTGAGAGACACCTGACTACCCCTCTCATGTGACATGTCAGGTGACACCCCGCTCAGTTGCCTAATTGGTCACAAGTAAACACACTACCATCTCTGTACAAGTACATAAGATACTTTACCCCTGTAGCTAAGTGGCCGTGACATCTATCTTCTGTTCTTTAGCCAGGTAACCACCATAATAGAGCTGGTCTTTGGTCAAGAGGCCCCACTATATCCCTGCTAGGGGCGTATTCGAGTTTCTTGGAAATAATCCAATGATCGTTCACAAATGGACTTGAGCTGTTTTACAAGAGTATCAAATCGTTTAGAAGCGGCACGGATTTCAAATCGGCAGCAGTTCAACGGTTGAACATTAAGACAGGAATAGAGAGAGCAGTTATAAAGTACAAGGAGGTCAGCCATCTGATTTCATCCAAATGATGAGTGCTTATTGACACTGTCGCAGGTTAAAGAAGCAGCATTGGATTTCCAGAGAAATGCCCGGTTGAAAGACAAGCAAGCGTCAGAAGAGAATAGATGATTGCTCGATTGATGTTTCTAGGGATTCTTGAAGCTGGCGTATACACTCTCACCTGTATCCTGACACCCTATACTACAGATACCTCAAGCACACTAAGAATAGACCCTGACTTCTGAGCTTTGTTGTACCAATGCTATGCTACGTACTATGTAGAATACCTATGTGATCACTCGCGACTTCTGATTGGCGGAACGTGGTGTAAACCGGAAGAATAAATCTCCCTTCGAGCTCTCATTGGTCAGTATACTTAATACTACATCGCCATTGGCCAGAACTTATAAGTCCCACATTCCGCATTTGAACTCATTCCAGGGCTGTTTGGAATCTATACAAAAGTATTCCATCGAGAATGTCCGCAACAAGTATTGCCGACTCGCGTTGTATACTCAACTATTCTCAGTTGCCTCGTCTCTTTATTCCTTCTGTTCCAACCCTCGTTCGACCTATCGCCAATGTCCCCGTAGAGGTGCTGTATCGTCACTCTTTTATCTGTTTGTTTGCACCGATCACTTTGACACTCCTTTGTTTCTATTGCCTGCTGTACACTTCACTCCTTCGTGTACAGTCCCAGCCACTCCTCGGGGACATTTTCGGGTATCTTCAGTTCCGAAAACAGCGCGTCATTCACTCGCTTACTCGATAAAACATTCGACTCTCGTTGTTATTGTTACTGTTAATATCCAACTACCTACCTTCTTCTCAGCTCTTCGTTAAGATCAACGACGCTTTGTACACCCACAACTAGGGAATGGCTTTGGTACGGGACCCGGATTTCTGGCGCCGTTTCTCGCGCGCCATCCGTCTGGACGAGGAAGCAAAGGGACCTTCTGAGAGTGCAGAAACGGTGGTATACTCGTACGAGCTTTTCCCCTGTCTAGCTCCTTTTGAGCTCTGCAGTCGTTCAGTTGGCTAACGCCTGGTGTGATCATCCAGACACGAGTGGATTCAACGTCAACAACACAAGAAACGAAAGACCTGCGCCTGTGGCTTCCTAATCGCCTTCCTCGTGTGTTTCTTCATCGCAGCGGCCGTGGTGGTGATCTGGTGGTTCGCTACGCACAACTGGCTACGTGAGCCGGCACATGAAAAAGTCGATTCCCAATAATGGCCCAGGCTCATGCACCATGGCCTTTCGATTGTCGATGAGCGTCTCGAGAGAGATCTTTCCTATCTATACAAGAAACGTGAGAGGATCCCTGGACTTCGACAATCCAGCTTGACGGACATAATCATCTATGTGACTAGGTTAGCAGGTTTCCTTTGTGGCGTTTGGGTGGTTGATTTCAAAAAATACCCTTTCTTTTGGTCCCGCTCTTGAGTATAAGCTAGAGCCATTCAGGTCATTCTTGGTGTTTGGCGTTAGGTCGATTAGTACGAAATAAATTTCATACAAGTACTTTTCGGCGGTCCAGTAGAAATCCACGTAATATGTCCGCATGTACCTGCCAAAAAGAGCTGGCCAATCACGCGTATCATTAGTTATCAGTAGACGGCTTTGGACTTTGCGATACTAGTCCCTCAACTGGCTATTGTACCTATTGTGATGTCGTATAATAACTGCTAAGTGCTAGGAAAGTGCATAGAAGAGCACTCAATAAGATATAACAGTGATATCTCACTGACCTCCATTGGAGTGACAACAACCCAATCGGGAAGGGCGCTTATCAACGGCTTATCGCTTCTCCACCGCTTTCCCCGCAGATACCTCAGGTACCGGTACTATTAAAGCGCTGCAGTCCCCTGGCAATCGCTCGTTCTTGTGCGTGTCACATTGTGCTGGTCAGAGATAAGTCAGGATGTTTCCTCCATTTGACTATTTTTCATATCGTCGCATCCGGTAAGTGTGAGGCCTTCGTTACTACTTTATACTCGTGCGGAGATCATACTTCAGACACTGACAATCACTCTACAGCGACTCCAAGAGACAAGCACGGGCAAACCGTATTGCCTCGCTCCCACCCGGCTACCACGCCCCATTTTCAGCCTTTGACAAATCTACAATCAACAAACCAATCGAGAAACTGGTGCAAGATGTCCAGGACGATTCGGTATCTGCCGTCGATGTTCTCCGCACGTACGGCAAGGTCGCTGTCAAGGCTCACGAGAAGACCAACTGTGTAACGGAACTACTTGTTCCGGAAGCGGAGAAGTGGGCTGAGGAGGAGGTGAATCTGGAGGGTCCGTTGGCTGGTGTACCTGTTTCTTTGAAGGATACGGTCATGGTTAAAGGGTTTGAGACTTCGGTTGGGTATACCAAGTTCTGTGGGCAGCCGGAGAAGGAGGACGGGGTTATGATCAAGCTGTTGAAGGATGCAGGTAAGCAAGCTTGACCCGATGCATTATCGTTGTGTGTTGGCTAATTGAGTAGGCGCCGTTCCTTATGCGAAAACCGCACTTCCGGCGACTCTTCTGTCATTCGAGTCTGCCAACGCTCTCTGGGGGACTTGCAAGAACCCCCACGTTCCCGCATATAGTCCAGGAGGCTCAACTGGCGGAGAAGCGGCTTTGCTTGCCCTGGGAGGTCGTATCGGTATTGGCACTGATGTTGCTGGCTCCGTTCGTGTTCCTGCTGCTTGGAGTGGTATCTATGCCCTCCGTTGCAGTACTGGTCGATGGCCCAAGTCTGGTGGTAGGACCAGTATGCCTGGACAAGAGGGGGTTCCTGCTGTTTATAGTCCTATGGCACGCACATTGAATGATTTGACGTACTTTTCGCGGTCTATCATTGGGTTGCAGCCGTGGAAGTACGATTATACAGTCCATCCAATTTCATGGAGGGAGGAAGAGGAAAACGAAGCTAGAAGTAAGAAGCTGCGGATTGGTGTGATGTCGAATGATGGTAAGTAGTTGAGTTCTGCTGGATCATGGACCCAATACTAACAGATCAGGTGTCGTCCCCCCAACCCCAGCAATCGAGCGCTCCCTCTCGACCACAATCGCCGCTCTCACTGCATCCGGTCACACTGTGGCTGAGATTACACCTCCAGCCACTGCTGACACCTTCACCGGCTTCAACCTCGCTTCCCAGCTGCTCAACTCTGACGGCTGTGCCACATTTAATTCCTTCTTCCACAGCTTCGAGCCGTCCGACCCAGGTGCTGACCAACTCTCCCGAATTGCCAACCTCCCCCGTCCCCTCCGTTATCTCTACTACCTCTACGTCCGGTACATCAAGCGCGATGTGAAATGGGCCACCTTGATCCAGTCCTTCAGCCCAAAGTCCGCTGCGGAGAACTGGAAGCTCGTCTACCAGCGTGAGACATACCGTGCCACCTGGCACGCTTGGTGGGATGCCGAACCCCAGCAGTACGATTTCATCCTATGTCCCGCCAACGCAACACCAGCTCTTCCGCACAGAGCCATGCGCGATGCTGTTTCATCGTGTGGATACACTTTCCTCTGGAACCTACTCGACTACTCCGCGGGTGTGATCCCAGTATCCCACGTGGATGCCGTAAAGGATGCGCTTGTCGCTCCGTACAAGACGACACTGAAACGCCTTGGATGCAACCATGCCATTGCACAGGGTGCGTGGATGCACTACGATGCGGCCAAAATGGCGGGTCTTCCCACTGCAGTCCAGATCGTTGGGAGAAGATGGCAGGAAGAGAAGGTGTTGGGATACATGGCTGCCGTGGAAGAGGCGTTGGAGGAGTATCGTGATCCCCAGACCGGAGAGGGCGGGAAATATTCTCTGCTTGAGATCGATTGATCCCCCAAACGTGCATAGTTTAAATACCACGTGTAGATATCTACCACATACCTCACTTCCTGCACACTTTCTGCAGCTCGTGGTAAAAGACAACCCTTACCTCGGTGACGATTAGCATTTCCGCAGCCGCCCTCCGAGTTCGGCGATGTGTCCATATCTTTAGGATCTAGCAGAAAGAAGCAAGTAGAAGCATTTCAGCCAAGCAAGCCAATTGTAATTCTGCGAACCTCAGAATCTGCAATCTGCGCTGTCACCGATCGGCTGATCACATGGCCACCTCGTTGCCTGAAACTACAGGCCACAAACCACACTCCGCCTCCATTTCTCTCTCTCCACGCTTTCCCAACACTTTTATCATCTTCTTGTCCTCTGGTTTCTGGGCTTTACAATTGCCAGCATCTCATTCGTCCTGGCAGCTAACACACTGTCCGATAGTGACTAAGTGTGTGTTCATTCGCAGCGTTGCCATCTCGCAATCGCCTCTCCGACGCCATATCCGTCAGCCGCACCATATCCGCACCGCACCAGAACCGCAGATACAAGACAATCAGAACAGCCTAACCTAGGCCTTACGCATTCCTAACTGCCCTCTGTCTTTCCGATCTCGCATAACCGCAGGATGCCGGCCCTGGAATCCGCGCCCTACTGCCTCCAGAACCGTCTCTTATATTCGTGATAACTAGCAGCGGAGCTAGTGATGCTGATGCGCGCTGCTGGGATGGAAAAATGGCATCCTCATCCTCGAAAGATGCTGCGTCGTGGCGAAAAAAGAACCAGAACCAGAACCAGAACCAGAAGGACCAGATCCATTTTGTTAATGCGCGACCGTCGTCTGAGACGGAGAAGTTGAAGATTCAGCGCATGGTGCGCGCTCATGTTGGGAAGTGGATTTCGGATCAGACAAGGGATCGATCTGCTGAGGGGTCATCTGCACCCGGGTTGGACATCGGTATGGGGGGTATACTACAGGAAACTGGACGTGAGGAGGGGGCGAATGACGGGACACCGGGAACTTCCAGAGTGACGTTTTTGGATGAGTATGAGGGCTTGTCGCGGTCTTCTTCGTCGCCGGATGTTGTCGAGTCATCATCGCGCTCGTCATCGGAATCTAATGCGCCGGTTCCTGTCACTGGTAGCAGTTCTGAGCAGCGCCTAGCCCATCGTCCTGTTGTGAAACCTCAGTCCCATACGCCGCACCGTACCCCTACGCCTCAACAAATGAGTACCAGCATTCACGAAATCCCTCATACCTATAATCACACCCCGGAAGTCGCTCGACCGCGTCTTCCAACACCGTCTATTGACCGTATCGGTATTAGCTCCTGGGATCCGTTTCACACCTATCCTTCTCGTTATTCACCAGAATTCATCCGTCTACATGAAGGCTACAGTTGGTGCCCTCTCTCCCGTGCCATGTGAACCAGGCTAATTGTATAGGCTTGTCGGTGGTCTGGCCATTTCTAACCCCCGATTCTCCCAATGGATCAGGGATCATTGGCAATTCGACATGGTTCCCGCTTTCTTTGACGGATGCCACATTGTTCACGGCCTTTTTATTCAGCTCATTATCTCACCAGTGCGCCCGGTGGCGCAACCGCTCGATTCCACATGGCGCATTCAAGCCTCAGGACTTGCGGACTCTGCAAATGGTCGAGATCGAAACAATCAAGTTGATAAACGAAGCGGTTCAGGATCCCGCTCGGGCTGCAAGTGATGCCGTTCTTCTGAGTGTGCTATGCATGGCGCACAATACGTCGAATGATAGTTCTCAGCAACGTGCCAATGGAATGCCATTCACGGCACCTTTGCAGCGTTTGCAATGGCTTGATGTCTATGGGAGTTTGCCTCCGAATCTTGTCCATATCAAGGGCTTGATTCAGATGGTTATGCTTCGGGGTGGAATTGAGAAGATCGAGCTTCCTGGTCTTGCCTCGATACTTTCTTTGTAAGTCGCATTTCTTCTGTAATGTGAACACTTGCTGATCCGATCTAGCTCCGACATACTCACCGCAAGTTCGTACCTCTCACGACCGGTCTTCGCCTGGATGCCCCTCGAAAAGCACCGCGGAGGCCACACATTACAAACCCTACTCAACTTCACCCCCCTCGACATCGACCACGGCTTCGGCCGATTCTGCGACCTCGGCTTCACCCCAAAAATGGCAGAAGCCTTCCAAGCAGCCCGCGTCTACACCAACATAATCGCAGACTACCTAAAAGGAAAAATGGTCAAGCCAGACCTCACGATGCTCGTCGACCAACGCAACCTAGTCCACTACACCATCCTCTCTCTCCCCACCGCCACCGAACTCCAACAACGCCACACCTACCGAACACACGAAATCATCTACGAAGCCTGCCGTCTAGCAGCACTCATCTACAGCGTCGGCGTCGTCTTCCCCCTACCCTCAGGAAGTACACCAATCTCCGACCTCGCCCGCCTCATCCAAACAATCCTCCAATGCCCCACTTCCTCATGTATTTGGGACTACACCGACGCCAGCACAGCACTAACATGGGTCCTCGCGCTGGGCGGCATCGCAGCGGAAAACCTCCCCGAACGAACATGGTTCGTCTCCGCACTTGGCCACACAGCACGACAGAATCGGATATCCTGCTGGAACGACTTCCGCAATGCAGTGGGGGCATTGCTTTGGTGTGACGCTGCTTGTGAACAACCGGGGCAGAGGCTGTGGTTGGAAGTGGCGAGGTCGTTTCAGTTAAGTTATTGATGGATTTTCCAAAAATCCCCCACTTTGAAATAAACAGAAAGATAAAAGGATATGAATTATGACGCCTACGAAGGGAGCATGAATGAGCATGGTATGGTATGGCAAGAGGATATATATATAGATTGCACATCTGGTGTCTAGAGGGTTTTATATTGTTTAATGTGTATGCACGAGCATTAATTCGTTATTTCTCAAGATAGAATATGATTATGGATTACCCGTACTTTCGTACTGATTCTCAGTGACCGAGTCGACAAGCAATGGCGCCCTTTCCCTCTCCTCTACGCTCTCCAAATCCATCCTTTCAATAATACAACGCACTCTCCACCAGATAACACCCATCCACAACACCCCCAGAACCCCGACAACACCCGTAAACACCCAATTAACCACAATAACCCCGTTTTCTTTTTTCCAAGCAAGGGTATCCAACCCAGCCTGCGCGAACCCCACTACCCCAGAGATAAAAATAACAAGCCCGTACACCGTCCCGAAATTACGGAATCCGAAGACCCGCGCTGCGTAGTCTGATATACTCGCGTAGAAGAAGGGGCGGTAAAGGGTCATGAGGGCTGTGGTTATGTATGCTGCGGGGAGACTTGGGATGCAATTCATGATACCCATGCTCGTTCCCGCGATGACAAGAATGAGTGTGATAGAGGTTGTGGGAAATGTATCGAGTATTGTCCCTGTAAGGGGTGCGACGAGGATACCGCCGACGGGAAGGAGAATTGTGAATGTTTTGGTTATGTGGCTTGCTAGAGCAGGTGAATGTAGGAGAGATGTGTACTGGTGGTGGATAGTAGCGAGGAAGTAGTTTATGCGGAGGGTAGCGAGGGCCGTGGAGAGGGTGTAGAGGATGAAATAGGGGGATAGGATTTGGGCGTGCGCGGGGAGATTGTGGAGGGTTCCACGGATGGGATCTTTGTCTTTGTGATTCTGGGTCTGGGGTAGGTGATTATTCTGATTCTGTGGTAGATGGGTTGTATGCCGTCTAATTGAAGAAGTAATTCTGTGTGTGCTGTTGGGGAAAGTGAGGAAGGAATGGATCTTGATGATGATTTCTCGATGATGGCTGGCCTCATGGACAGTCTGGTTTGCTTCTGTGGCCATATGAGCTTCTGCTTGTAGGACTAGTTCACCCACTGTTTTGTATGATGTTGCTGGCATGACTGTAACTTGTGTGGCGAGTATGGATAGTGGGATAACCAGATATATCAAGAAGAAATGCCGCGTTGAGAACCCATCCGTATACTCATTAATCAAATTGAATGCCAGAAAAACCGCAGTAGACGCATCATACGTCCCCGTTAACATAGCGAGAATCAACCCCGAGCGCGTGGGAAATGTGTTTGACAGATGGAATGAGGAGATGTAGATGAATGGTCCGGCAAGGGCTAGGGAGAGGTATCCTGTGATGTATGCGTCGAAGGGTATGTATCTGCCAAAGACGAAGAAAAGAGAGCCGATGGTTAGGAGGCAGCTGCCGATGAGTCCGCATACTCGTGGGCCGTAGGTGTCGAGGATTGTGCCTATGGGAAGTGCGGAGAGGTTTGTTGTGATGGCTGCTGTGGTGAACATTAGGTTTAGGCTGGAGTAAACTGTCAGCTCTGTTGGTAAGAGGCTAAGGGGGACGTACCGGATTTCCTGTCCGTAGCATACTGATACGCCTTGGCTAATTTCATGTTGGGAGCATAGATCTTGATACACGCCCTCTTTGATCAGGATTGGTTTGATGGCTGCGAATCCGAATATGATTCCACCTGATAGGAAGCAGGATAGTACCGCAATGCAGACCTGTGCTATCCGATTGTGGCGGTCTACCTCCCAAGCACCAGTCGTATTCGGAAGACCTGGTTCATCCAAGGGCAGGTCTTCCGATTCCATGTCTGTTCGCTCTCGCCCAGAACCCGGTGGACCAACATCTGCTGCACCATCCTCAATAGACTCATCCCATCCCGGAGCAACTGTTTTAGTGGGTCGTCTTATAGAAACATAGCTCAACGACGACGAAAACGAAGACGCTATTGAATCATCCGGAAGGTCCAGATACGCCTCCGCATCCGACTCAGTCATGGAAGCCCGATCCACATCCTCACGAGACGCGCCAGAGTTACCTTCCCACCAGTTGAGATAGCTCAGCGACATGGCGGCGCTTGTTTCATTCCACCTGCTTCGTTTCGTGTCGTGATCATTCACGCGGCCAGCCTTGATCCATACTGGTCACTGCGGCCACTAGTTAGCTGGGATTGCTGTGAATAGTAAAGGATAGACAGTGGACTCCACTGTTTGTGGCGATGTGCGAACCTAACCAGATGAGTGCATATCTCCGGGGTTTCTATCTGTGTTTTTTGAAGTGTTTTCTCAGTGAGGTATGTCGAGCTCAACGGTGATCTGGCGCATCACATGACCCCGCACTCTCCGCACGCGCATCTCTTCCACTCAACCAGGAGCTGTTCAACATATACTCTGTATAGATGACAATGGTGTGTTGCCAGTGATACGACTATAATATTAAAGACATCGTGTTCTGGCGGTCAACCTAGAAGGGTCCAATATGCATATACACCGTTAGTAGGTGGTAGGTGGCAGGTGCCCGGATAACCAAATAGAGTAGTACAATGGCCGCGAGTGGACTGACTCGACCGGAGATAACGAGGCTATTTTAGCGCGGTGATATACCATAATATATGCCTGCTCTGGGCCAACCAGAAAATTCCCTGCCGGAGGAAGAATACCATTGGATGCTTTGTGCGTAGCCATTGGTACGATGCGTCGCGAAATACAAGCATCCGATTACGTTGGTTGCATATCTACGGAGTACTCTGTACTGGGGTCACCAGCACGTTCCGGGTACGCTATACGACGGTTCTACTGCTACACCTACGGAGTAGCGAACGAGTAGATGCACCGGAGTGCTCTTCGGAGAAGGCGGGACTTGACAACATTTGCGATGAGAATAATCCGCTTAGTTGGTTCGAAAATATCAGTCGGTACTTGGATTTGGTGCGTCACCGGGGATTGCGCATGAATTGGAACCTGGCCATGTGTTGCGGGGGTTCAACAATCATTACTTTCAAGAAACGGATCCCGGATCCACAGGCGAACCACAGCACTTGATAGTTATTCGGATAGGTGAACCATTCAGGCGCTCGTACGAGTTGGGTCCCTTGCCCAGTTCGAATGGGGCATGGCTTGACGGAGTAAAAAGTCAGTCATTGCTAATTGTCAACCTTAACCTTGACTGATTGACAGCCAGACAGGGCAGATCGTTTTCAATTTGCCGACCGACTTTGCAAAAACGGTTGGAGAGTCGGGGTTGGTGACGGTGTGTCTGGCAGGGGAGTCTAACCACTCACTAGCAGGTTTAGTGGCATCACTAGGGGACTTGGTGGTGAGGAACTCATGGGCTAATCAACGGCCACGATGTACGCAACAGGAATAGCCGGCGGTGCAGGGACGTTGGACGCTATTCCGAAGCGGATCCTGGCGGTAACAGAAAAAGCATGATATTTGTTGAGGGGGGGGGGGGAACCGCGACAAACGACGATAGCTACGACGCGGACGATGATGATTACGATGCCGAACCTGCAGAAGCAAACCAAAAAGAGCATCCTGCCGGTGTGCATTATACCCATTTTATTCCCCTTTTAATCGTTTCTCCCGAGGGTGTTCTCCGCCAATGGCTCTGGGAGAATAAACTCCTCGAGGATTTTCTAATTCGGGCAGTGATCAGAGCGGGAGTGTCAGTTCGCCATGCTTTGCCGTCCGGAAGAAAGCAAAAACGGAAAGGCAAAAAGGCAATAAAATTGTGCTCGTTCTTTTACAGGCTGAAGTCGGCACATACTATGTATGCATGAAGATTATAGGGGACATGCCGATGATTGCTTCTCTGTACGTGCCGGAAATGTTGCTTGCTTGCTTGCTGCTTGCTACTAGTCTGCTTATCATCGCCCTTGTTGTCCCCGGCTTTCTCGGCAGATTCTTAACGGTCAACAATTGCAGGACCACTGTCCGGAAGTATCCACATAATGGGCCTGTCACTTATGGGGGTTGTTTGGCACACGATATTTCTTCTGCTGGGGACTGGACCACTTGGAAATCGCTCAAGTCGATTGTCCACACCAAGCACAAAAAGATCTTCTTCTTTTGCTTTGATAATATTTTTTTTTTTTATCATTTTTTTTTGTTTTTTTTGGGGGGGGGGCTGGACTTTGTCCTCAGTATTGTCTATCATTCCCCCTCCCTCCACCTCGCACGAACCATCTTGTTATTGGACATTTAATACACCACTTTCCCCCGGTCATAATCCTTGTTGATGTTGGCGATTCGGCTTAGTTTCAAAGAATACAACTGGTTTTCGCTTGCTTGTCTTGCGCGATTGTTTCTATTGTTGTTTCACTCCTTTTCTTCCCATTTGACGTTGTCTCTATCCATGGCTATTTCACTCGCTGTTCGATGACCAACTGGATACCGTGATGAGGGGATGGTCAGTTTCTGCGATTGAATCGGTTTCGTCTCCTGGTCGTGACTCGCTAACATCGTCCTCCCCGCTATATAGTCTTACTTGCCGCCAGCGCCATTTGAAATGTACGCATGCCTTTCCTACTATATTTGAATGCGCCAGACCGTGTTTTCGGCATATAATTGTCTTAGGTTGTTTCTAATACCCTGCGCAGGTGACAAAACCGGTGTCGAATGTTTACGGTGTCAGCGCTCTGGACGACGGTGTATACCAGCGCCGGCAAAACCGGAAGAAATCACTTTTCGACACGGCCAGAATCCATCACTGAGAGCTAAAGGGCCACCTCGATACGGAGAGAGCGATTTGGCATTTCCGGGCGATCAGACTTGGGTTGACACACCTCCCGACGGTTCGTTCATCGCCTGTGAGATAACAAACAAAACAGGCGCGTAGGTTGACTTGTAGCAGTCGCTTTCGAAGACGAAACAGACCGCACAGCAGCGGATTACCACGTTATAGCTTCCGAGATGATGCCATTCAGTGCAGAAGCAACATCTGACAGCAGATCTTCAGCATCTTTGGCCACGATGACTCCTCCAGTTGTTCCCAGCGGGTTACTGCCTTCGTTTTCGCCGGGCGATTTGGCGCATCCTAGGGCTTTACCTGCATCTCGACCTAGTTCCGTCAACTCATTGCTTCCGGCAGATACCCTGGTCGCTCGTCCGAAGCTGGCCAGTCTGAATGAGGCTTTTCTTTTGAGGCATTATCGAAAGGCTCTTGGTGCATGGGTACATTCCCTATTCCTTATTGACATTGAGCAAGAGCTAATGAAGATGACAGCTTGACGCGTGTGACTTTGAAAGACACTTTTCGAGTGAGGTGGTTGACCGCGCACCACTATGCCCCCTCCTACTTTATGCTTGTTTGGCAATATCTGCCCGTCATCTTTGTCACACTACGAAATCGGTACCGCCACATGTTGCGGACGAATACCACGAGCGATGTATTGCGATTCTTCTCCCGGTTTTGGAGAATAAAGACTACAACATTAGTATCGAGATTCTGCTTGCTTCGACCGTGATACTGCGGTTCTTCGAGCAAATTTCCTGTGCGTGCCACCGCGACTATGAAAAGAGCGTTTGAAGCTAATTGAACCAGCCCAACATCCTTCCTGCGACCTGCAGCGACACCTGCTAGCAGGATCCGTCTACATCAGCTCACACGTGGACTGCGCAATCTCCGGCGGCCTCGCAGAAGCCTCCTTCTGGGTCTTCGTCATGCAAGACATCCAATTCGCATTAGCCTACCAAAACCCCCTCCGACTGACCTTCAGCCCCTTCGAAGAGAAACTCCGACAAGCATGGGCTTCCCAAACCCTCCTAGACGACCGATACTGGATCCATCGGGCAATCTGGATCCTAGCAGAAACGATCAACTACTGCTACAGCAGCAACGGCCCGAGCCAACTTGACGTTATCGATGGCGACGCATTACGGGAAAAGATTTGCTCATGGGAATCCGAACACCCAGCTGAATTCCAGCCGTTGCACTTCTCCCCGGCCGACCCGAGAAATAACCGACCGTTTCCTGTCGTGTGGTATACCAGTCCTTGGCATGGTACGTGGCATTCTATCGACGTGTTAATTTTATGGAGGAGAGACTTCTCCCGATTTGTTTATGGGGGGGAGAGGGGGGGGGGGAGGGGGGCAATGCTAACGGTTTTCTCGGCTGCAGCGACTGCGATCCAGCACATTTGTATGGCTAAAGCCCTGATAAGGGAACATGACTTACGAGTCATGCATATGGGTCCTGACTCAGACCGGCATGCCAGACGATTAAAGGTACTGCTTCTGGAAATCACCATGTCTTCTTCTTCTTTTTTTTTTTTTTTGGTTCTGCCAACGAATAATCCCCGAGGGAACAAAGTCACTGACATTCGGACAGGAAGAAGTCATGGAAAACCTCAGCATTCTCTTCGGAATCGCTCTATCGGCAGACGATGATCCCTCTGCACGCACCATGGCGTGTCATGCTCTTTGTGCCTGTATGGAACTATCCCGCCCCCTTTTATGCGGATTTTCAACTGCAATTTCAGAATCACCAACTAATCACTATTATTCTGGTTAACAGGCGGCTCCTGGATCCGTGATCCCCAAGCCCAAAATATCCTCCTCGACCTCCTCCGGCGAACAGAAGCCGAAAACGGCTGGCCGTGGACATTCATGATGCAGAAACTAACCCAGGACTGGCATCTAACAGTCCGATGATCTACACAGAAAAACAACGAAAAAAAAAAGACACACAACAACACCAAAAACAAAAAAAAAAAAAAAAAAAAAAAAAAAAAAAAAAAAAAAAAAAAAAACCAAAAAAAAAAAAAAAAAAAAAAAAAAAAAAAGAAAGAAAGAAAGAAAAACAAGGTCGTCAAACGTCAATGGCTTTACCGCCAAACTTCTTTTTTCCGCACTCTTTTCGGACATGCAGTAGTCGCTATGCTAGTGCGGTTTTGGCGTTCCCACAAAAAAGGCCCACAGTCTACAGCACAAATCCACTACCCGCTTTGGCTGTTACTGTTTACGGGAATAGACAAAGAGACAGGGTGGCATTTTATTGTTGAGCCTTGGTTGACCCGCGTCTATCGAGAGCGATAGCACATCCAATCTCCAAATCCAGCCAACACCGAAACGGTTCGGCGTTAAGCCGGTGGGACCGATTCCGAATCGAAAGCGCGATTGTCAATAATTTCACCACACATCCATCGCTCATAGCAGACGATCGTCCCATCGAGCGGAAATCATCACAGCATGTACTCCGTACGTTCTCCGATATCATGACATGACGGCCGTTGTACGGAAAAGCAATTGACGCTTCCGGCGGCTACGAAGTTTATGCACGGCGGATGATTCCTCCCAACCCATTCCCGATGGCCCACGGTTAGCAAAAGCAAACAATAATACATCACTCCGGAGGACTACTAGTCTATGGAGCCACGCTTATTATTTACCGCCGTGGAGATACATATCACAGTGGAGTGCAGGTCTGGACTGGGCTGGAGATGATATGTCGGTGGCCCGTTATGTAGAGGACAGGGTTGTACTATGCTGTATGTAGCAATAGCCTGTAATAGAGGAGCCTGAATGTTTGATAGTGAGGCTACAGGGATATTCCTTGTGCATACTTGTAGATTGAATGCCGGCAATTCTCGATTTGGGAGGCTTGCATATGTGGGTAATATTAGCGGGCCAATGGCATAGCATACATAATATCCATCATTGTATACACTAGTCCAGACAAAGTATACTAAGCGAGAACGTCCTCGACTCGAGTATCATTGTCTATAGGCGCAGACTCACTCACTCGTACCCGATAGCCCTCGGATACCTCACAAAAGCAATCTTCCCAGCAGCCGCCAACGCCATGCCCTCATGCCCCGTAACCCCGGGCGCCTCACCAAGCATGTTCTGCGGATATCCAACATCCAACGGCTTCACGCTCTCCAAGAACCGAATCTGCTCCTCCGACGGCCGGATACTCAGCGCCTGGCTCATACGAATCTCATCTTCAGACTGCGCATCGCTGCCCATCATCTTCCGTAGACTGCCATCCCCGACTGCTTATACCCCCGATACGCACGAAGGAGGCGTCTTTGGCCATGCTGCCCATTCCCGCGGACCAGGCGGAGCCGATGGACATGGCGCCGAGTTGGAGGAGCTGGGGCGAAGGCTTCCATTTTTGGTTTCTGAAGAAGAAATAGAGAGTGTGAGGAGAAATATAGTAGGAAGAGAAAGAGAAAATAAGGTAGGTCAAGGTGAGGATATGCCAAGAGTAGGTGAAGAGGGAAAGAATTGGCAGAGGACGGAGGGAGGGGACGATCCATTTCATCCATGGAAACCTGTTACTAGTCGGATATGATATGCATTAATGAGAATTGGAATTGCCAGAGCCTTCCCTGTAGCCGAAGGTCCACCGGTTCTCGAAACGGTGGTTGTGGTTTCGCCCGGTTTGGTGTAGCCCTAACTACGTATTTATGTCTAGAGTCTACATCCTTATCTGGCATATTACCAGATAATCATAAACAACCCAGTCATTATTATTATTACACAAATCAAAGTACATCAGCCATAAATCACAAACATATAACACACGTAAAACAAAAACACATTACCAGTCCATCCTATAGGACCGACGATTATGACATACCATTAACAGTCAACCTCTTCACATTATCCCATACATTCCCCGTACACTGTAACGCCTTCCCAGCAACATATTTTACCTTCTGCCCCGTCGGACTGGCAACATAGCCCGCCTCAACAAGGAACTGCACGTTACGCCGAATAGTCGCCTTAACGTGCATCTTCTGCGAAGGCGAGATCATCTCCGACGCACCCAGCATGGGACCTTGGCCTAGTCTGCCGTGCATGGAGTCGAATACCGGTGCCACAGGCCACAGCGGGTGCGCGTTTCCTTCTTTCTGAATGGATATCCGCATTGTCTCGAGCCAGGTCTCATGGGGGACAATTTGGAGCGGGTACCTGAGTTCGCGGTGGAAGATGTCCCAGAATTCGTGCTCCGTCAGGCCGTCAAGCATGTGTGTGACGGTCCGCATTGTCTCGGCGGGGCAGAAGGCTTGGTTGATTATTTCTTCTGCCACGCGGGTGCTGCTCGACACGAAGATCCAGTTGTTGCCGTATTCCTGGCTGGAGACGCGCGCATAGACGACGGCAGATACTAGTCGCCAGACAAAGTCGTCGGTGTTGGCGACGCCTTCCTCCGGTGTACCCAGGATAAGGCCAGGCTTGATAATAGCGAACTGGTCCGGCCGCGACGATGCAAGCTGTTTCACCAGCAGCTCAGAGAGATACTTGGTCTGCGCGTAGCCGTTGGCACCCTTGACTATCTCTGCCAGCTGGCGCAGAATCTGGGTGCCCAGGAAACCCGTGACACCGGTGACGAAAACCGTCTTCTGGACCTTCGATGTCTGCGCGACGTTTTTGACCAGAGAGTCGGCTTCCTTCATGACATCGAAGGCGGGTACTTCCTCCTTGACTCTGCCCGTCAGTTCGGTGTCGATGTACGAAACCAGCGAGCGGACAATCATGTGGCCGTCCATAATGCGGGAGATGGGCATATTGACGCCATAGTGCTGCTTGATGAAGCTGGCCAAGCTGATGACCTGTACCGAGTCGATACCCGTTGCGGCGATGTTAAACTCGCGGCCTTGCAGCGGGTTGTCGTCGTGCTTGATCAGGGCAGCGGTCTTGTGGCTGAGTGCTTGGGCTTTGCTCTCATCGGCGCGCAAGATTGATATCGCTGGCGCCTCGCGCTTGATGCCCATAGCTGGCTCGAAGTCAGAAGGCAGACGAGCTAGCTACTGGTTTACGGTTCTGCGGTCGACCTTGGTCGATGAGGAACTGGGAATCTTTTCGACAACAAACCAGATGACAAGGACCATATGCACAGGCAGGGTCTCGGACAAATGATCGGCGAGAGAGCTCAAGCAGAAGCTCGTACGCTGAACGCGATCGTTCGAAACGGGAACAAGGTCAGGACCAGCAGTCGCGGCCAGCTCAATGATACCGACCAACTTGTTGGCATAAACACCCGCCTTGGGATACGACACCACGGCCTGAGAAACCTCGTGAGGCAGTGTCAGATGGTACTCGATCTCGCCCAGTTTGACAAGCTGGCCACGGATCTTGACCTGAGTATCCTTGCGACCAAAGAACAGAAGCAAGCCGTTCGGCACGTACTTGACCAAGTCACCGGTCTTGTACAGACGCGGACACCGGTTGAACGGGAGCCAGTCGGGTTGGGAAATAAACGCCGCTTCGGTCTTCTCCTTGTTGCTCAGGTAATGGCGAGCCAACGTATTGCCTTCGATGAGAAGCTCACCAACGGCGCCGATCGGGGCGAGCTTGTTGTGGTTGTCGCGATCGACTACCCAGCAGTCGCAACCAACTGCTGTACCGATGCCGTTGGGCATAGTACCGGGGAGGACTTTGCGGTTCGAAGACGTGTAAACACAGCACTCTGAGGGTCCATAGCCGTTAACCAACTTGACATGTGGCATCCATGCTGCAATGTGCTAAGCAGTCATGGCTTCACCAGCAAGGCAAAACGTCTTCAGGGTAGGAACGGTGGTAGGGTCAACGGTGTTCACGAAAGATGGCGTGAGTACAGCCCAGTCGACATTCATCCGTGTCATGGCCTCGGCAACTTTGCCGCGGCGTTCAGACTCAGTTGGAACGCACACGCATCCACCTTGCACGAGCGTCGACAGAATCTCCAGGATACTAGCATCAAAAGTGTAGGAATCAAACTGGAGCACACGACGGCCCATCTGAAGACCTTCCTTGTGCGCAATAGCGCCCGTGCTAAAGGCGCGATGCTCGACAACAGAGCTCTTTGGCGTCCCTGTGCTGCCAGAAGTGAAGATAACATACGCAGCGTTGGACGGACTGACAGGAGTAGAACGATGACGGGGAGTCGCAGCTTCAGTTATACTCGGACCAACAGCAATAGCCTTCTCGACAAGACCAGGGTAACGGCCAAGCTGCTCGTCAGAGCACAACATGACATGGGCACCAACTTCCTTGATCACAAACTCCATATGGCTGGGAGGCGTCCATGGGGACAAAGGCACCGCCCGCATTCATGGTGCCCAGCATGGCGACAATGGTCCACATGGATTTCTCGAAGCACAGCGGAACAAAGACCTCGGGCCCGACACCAGCGTTGATCAGATGAGCGGCCAGCTTGCTGGAAACGGCCTCTAGTTCGTGATAGGTGAGTGATCCATCCCATGCGCAGATGGCAGGGGCATGTGGCTGTCGGAATTTCTGCGTGACAAGGCTGTGGATGCAGTCGATGACCATATCGGGCATCGTCGCGTTTCACTGCAATAGATCCTCCTTGTCTTGAGGACTGATCATCTCAAGTTCGGTAATTGTGCCAGCTGGTTCGGCAAGCTGATGGAGGACGTGCTCGAACTGGCGCACGAGACGGGACACTTTAAGTCGAGACAGAACAGCGTTATCGAAGTGCGTGTGGACCTCGACCGAGCCATCGGCACCCAGGCTACATTTGAGCATCAACGCCACGGTACTGAAACTGGCACGGGGCGCGGAGAAAGACTTGAGGATACCGTTCTCAGGCGTGGAGCTGACGGGCTGAATGACGATCAAAGTCTGGAAGTTGCAGGCTGCAGCAGCACTTTTGGAGATACGAGCGATGTTCTGAAGACCGAAGTTCTGTGCCGGAGTCATGTCCACGGTGTGGGATTGGATCCGCTGCAGGAACTCAGTGACAGGCTGCGACGCATCGACCTGCGCTTTAATGGGAACGGTGGCAATTACAGGACCGACAATATCCTCAACGCCAGGCACCGGGGCGTTCCGACCACTCAATGTGTATCCGAAGACCGTCTCCGGAGCATCGCAGTAGCGCGCTTGGAGCAACGACCAGGCGCCCCAAATCAAAGTGGCGGCAGTGAAGTCGGACGGGCCACGGTTGAGCTTGAGATTGTGCACGAGCGACTCGTTGGCGAGGTGCTTGTGGGTAGCGGAGGGAAGAGTTGGGAAGGTAGTCAGATCATCCTCAGAGAACGCAGCCCGCCAGAACTCTTCCGTGGCATTGTCAGTGTTCTTCTCCATGACATGGCGAACAAATTCGTGGAACTGAGCGCGAGCTGGCGGAAGATCCCCTTGGAGCATCTGGAGAAGATCATTGAAAATCATGTCGAGAGACAGTCCATCGTAGATGGAGTGGTGAATGGTTAACACAAACAGATTCTTCTCGGCTCCGGTGATGATACCGTGTCGGGTCAGGGCATCGCCCATGTTCATCGGTGTTTCCTCGTCAGATTGCAGGTAGCGCTCCAGGTCCGTGCCGTACTTCCACTCAGCACGGTAGCGGGTAGCCACCTGTACAGTGCCGTATGCATTAGTATCGACGATAGTTGTCCACAGCACATCGTTGCTGCTGACCAACATCTGCCAAAACTCCTAGAAGCGGTCGGTGGACAGGCTAGCAGGTAGTTCAAGGACGTGTCGGGCAACATACGAGCCTGGTATGGTACTCGACAGAGCCATAAGTCCAACCGGGAGCGGGGTTCATGGGTATGCATCCTGGATCAAACCTGGCTCGGTGCCAGTAGCCGCCGCAATGTCTGAGCAGACGGTCTCGATGTCCTGTCCAAGAAGTTTTAATGGACGTGCTGGACTTGTCTCAGTAGATCGCGCGGGGACCATGGCCTTGGCCATGCCATCAAGAGTCAAATTCCCCAAGATGTCTTGGACTTGGAGCTGGAAGCCCTCCGCTCGGCAGCGTCGAGTGAGGTTTATCGCTTCAATGAAGTCACCACCGAGATGGAAGAAATTGTCCTCGGCGCCAATCCTTTCCTGGGGGTAGTGGAGGACGTCGGCCCGGAATTCGCAAAGCTTCTTCTCGGAGGAGCTAGTGGGCATGCGACGGTTGTAGCGGTGCCATTGCTGGTGATTACAGAGCTCCGCCAGGGAAACGCCATCACCGAAAGTGGAGAGCATTCGGCGGTCCGTCTTGCCCGACGCAGTCAAAGGCAAGTAGGCCAGAGGCAGGAAGGCCGATGGAACCATGTAGGAAGGTAGTCTTCGAGCTAGCTCCTGGCTCATTTGTGCGGCGGGAGCCACCATTGCGGACTTGTCTTTGGGAATGGCATGGAATGGATGGGCATGCTCGGGGCCAAAGCCGCTCTGGCTAGAAATGAACGCAGCTAGGATTGACTTGCCACCGGGATGAACCATGAAAACGGCTGTCTTCACAGTGCTTGGGCTCGAGAAGCAGTGGGCTTGTGGTAAAGGAGGGTCATGGAGGATTGTAGCGGATCGATATGGAGGACATAGTGAAACTGTAGACTTGTTAGAAGAGGAACTAACTCGAGCTTCCCATTTTGGAGAATGGAACTTACTGTATTCTCACCCACAACATCGTTCTCAGAAAGATCGGTCTTGATCAGAGGATCCTTCAGCCAGATAGCCGTGTTGCAAGGCTTCGGGTCCAATGACGAAAAAGCCTCCAGGGCCTCGGGCACTGAGACCAGAGAATCGGCCTCGAACAAGCCGACATCTGCCGTGTGATCCAAGATTGAGATGACGGCGCTTTCCTGTTCGCATCGTGCCCGGTAGATAGAGGTATTGCTCCACTGTTGCTTCAGCGACTGACGCTTCGTGTCAATGCCAGCGAACATGATATCTTCAGAGCCTGAATATGAGCGTAGGACAGTTGCCCATACGGTCTGCACGACCTCCATCGGAGAGAGAGCCCATTGCTTGCAACAAGAGTTCAGCATAGAAAACTGCATCTGCACCTCCAACCGTCCCAGCGGTGACCGGGCCTCTCGCTTGGAGAAGAGGGCGGACGGAAGGTGCGACGGAGTCACATCAGTAGTGAACTCCGTCGACAGCTGGCGAAGCCGTCCTGCGTCGTCGATGTTTATTGACGGCATCTTCAACAACAGACTAATGAAAGTATTAAAGCCGGCAACAAACAAACGGATCTCACAATCTATGGAAAGAAAAGAATGAATTTCATGGATACGAGGGAGCAACGGAAGAAAAGGAAAAGACAAGAGGCTATCAAGATCTTCACCGTAAATGGTACGTATTATGTGATATTTTCACATGGATCAATCTTCATATTGCCGGAATCTACCTAGGGGTGGTCCTACGTACTCTGAAGTACTCTGTAGTCCGAGTTGGAAGCAAACCTATCTCCACTGACTCAGATCGGGACAGTGTAAGCCCAACCATTCAGCCGGTACGAGGAACGGACGCTATCCACAGGACAGGGCAAGCTGGAGCTCGTATTAAGATGGGACATCAATGGGTCATGGAACGAACTCTACCACCGTCTGTATGTTGATCCCAGCTCATCGGCAATCACCGAAAAAGGATAATCCACGATCCTCCCCGAGGACTTCGTATTCCATCAACACCACGGACAAGTCGTGTATCTAATCTGACGTGGACCCGTGGACCCGTGGTGCCCGGCTGCCTCGAGTCGCTTATTGGAAGCTGCGACGCAGGATCATGATAAATTGCCTTTCCACGATCCTGGCACTAGGTAAAAGAAAGAATCCTTGACGTGGGCCACACACGTCTTAGCCTGATTCACTCCGTGTGTCATGCTTTGCCAGTTCTAACAATATCCGTAGAGGCTTGCAATATCATTCCTCTACTGATTCAAACAGATCTGATGCATACCGGGCCCGTGCAAAGTCAGGTTGAACTAGTTGGGCGTGGAGCCTCATCTTACCCGCTCGCTTACCGGGCGCTAATTTAGCGTATCTTACTGTACCATTCACTGTATGTACCGTATTACATACCATACGAGTAAGCATTGCCCTAAGACAGAACCCACTCTTCTTCTTGAATCAAGCTTATCGACCACTGGCGATGTTAATAAAACATAAAAGCTCGCATACCTTCCCGCTACAGAACGCTTTGCGATCCAACCACCCTGTAACAGACTGAACAGATTATGATACTCCTCTAAACCGAGCATTCAGCAAGCTTCGGGAGGTTGTAGTCACTCCAGAGCCATTGATCCGTTCGGTTGTTGCACCATGTTCCAGGAGAGGAGCTCGTACCATGCGGACTTCGTAGCTGAACCCGGCTCTGGGACCTAGTTTTAGCATATAAAATAGTTGGCCTTGATCAATTGCTTCTCATCGATCATAGTTCCTTATCCCATTGATATCCTCGGTTTCTGCGTTATCCATCTCTTGAAACCACTTTGTCCGATATGCCTCACATCGCAGACTCCGGCCCTATCCTGGAAGGCTCCAACATCGACCTCCGTCAAAAGATGGCAGAGGACGTGCGCAGTACGTTCACCTATATCATTTTCAACCCACAAACAAATCTTGTCCAGCCTAACATAACCCCCGGTCGAGAAAACGCCCCTCCCCCCCCGAACTAATCCAATACGAAGTCGGCCTCACCGCCGACTCCCTCCTAACAATCCTTAACAGCCGAGCCGAAGCCCGTCAAATCATTCGCCGCGAGTCCGACAGACTCCTCGTCCTAGTCGGCCCCTGCAGCATCCATGACCCTGAGTTTGCGCTTGAGTATGCATCCCGCCTGCGTGAGCTGGCAACCGAGCTCCGCGATGATATCTGCATCGTGATGCGCGCGTACTTCGAGAAGCCTCGGACGACGGTTGGCTGGAAGGGACTGATATCACGAACCTGGGTGTTCTGGTTGCGTGTGAGATCCTCGATACCATCTCTCCGCAGTTCACGGCTGATTTGATTACCGTGGGTGCGATCGGGGCGCGGACGACTGAGTCGCAGCTTCATCGGGAGTTGGCGTCGGGGTTGTCGTTCCCTGTCGGGTTCAAGAATGCGACGGACGGTACTGTCAAGACCGCTGTTGACTCCCGTAAGTCGATGCGGGCTCAGTATCACTTTATGGGGACTACGAAGCGGGGGTTAAATGCTATCACCACCACCAAGGGGAATGACGATGGCTATGTGATCTTGTATGGTGGATCTCGCGGTACGAACTATGATAGCGAGTCTGTCAAGGCTACTCGCGAGCTCCTGCGCTCCAAGGGCGAGCGGGACGCTCCCATGATTGACTGCTCTCACGGTAAGAATTCCTCCTGGACCATCAGTATGCAATACACTAACTTTGATAAAGGCAAATCCCAAAAGAACCACCTCAACCAACCCAAGGTTCTCAAGGTCATCGAAGACCAGCTGCGCCAGGGCGAGGTCAGCATCATCGGCGTCATGGTGGAATCCAACATCCATGATGGAAACCAGAAGTCCGCGCCGGGTCCGCAGGATTGCGAGAAGGGTGTTAGTATCACCAATGCGTGCATTTACTGGGAGACTACCGAGGCGTCTATGCGGTCTTTGGCACAGGCTGTTTGGGACCGCTGGGCTCGTGCTGCGTTTGGGAAGGGCCAGACATAAAGTGGGGAGTTTTTATTAGATTGGATACGATAATGTCTAATTGTTACGAATTTTCTAAGTTAATGTACTAGTGTTGGCTCTTGGATATTGAAGTATGTGCTAGGAGTAAGATATATATTTCTTATGGTAAACTTCAACTTTGGTTAAGCGAAAAGGACATCTTGAAGATCATTGCATTATGTACGGTCCAAAAAAAATCAAATACGGGTCGTCAGTATATATTCGGTAATAGTGCCACCGATTCGTTTAGGCAATAATTAAACAAATCACAACTCAATTATCAGCATACTGCTTAAGAAACACAATTATTGTATGCAAGATTGTCGTCGCTAATATAAACTACAATAGAAGCGTCCTGGAGAGAGATCTACACACGATAATAAAAAAGAACAAAGGATCTCCGATCCCATTGTCCATTGCCGAAGTAAAGTATTATAGACAAAGCCTAGGCCACTACACCTAGCTCCAGTAACAACTGCGCCTTCAATTTTCCCCACGATGCGCTCTCGAAGCCCTGTATATATGTCAACACTCCAGTTCGAGTATCAGTGGATCGGGCCCCATTCTACATACTTTTTAGCTTGATACTCTCTTAACGGTAGAGACGGAGGAAAGAGACGTTGTTCGTGACATCGCTGTTGTTGACGGGAGCAGTGTCGCCGTTGGGGTTGATCACGTTGGAGCGCTGGATGGTTAGCAAATGGACATCTGTTCCGATGTCGGTATGCTTACCTTCTGTCCATGTGATTGTGGGTTAGATATCAGCCAGTTCATTTGACTCAGGGAGGAACACTTGGAACCGCCGAGAGACTTCAGATCTAGATCCGAGCTTCCGTGCACACTATGTATGACGTTCAGGATCCCATGGAAAGGGATTAGCGCGAACGTGGTTCATTAATTCTCCGGTGGTCTGGTATTGTTTGACATGGCAGAAAAAGTCGGTCACTTTTCACTCTACTCCGGAGTAAGATAAAGACGCTCGAGAGCAAAACATAGTAGCAGGATATGAGCGCAACAATTGCCTCGAGGAGCTGATACTATGCCAGGTGGGCAGGTGGCACTGGGCGTCTCGGACTTGGCCATGGCAATTGCAATGCTATATCATTCATGGAGAGCCTCTTTTTTTTTTTTTTAAAAAAAAAAGGGAAAAAAATGCTGTAGTTTGGTTCGACCAATTAAAAACGTCCCGGAGGCGCGGAACGTCTCTTTTAAGGCAAGTGCAGATGACCCACTTAATTACAGATCCGCACTAAAACCTAATCTCGGGTACCTGTATGTAACAACGCACTTACCGTATGGAAATACAGAAATACGAGTATAAATAACAGCATTGTAAACAAATGGGATCCTGCTACCAACCGGTCGATATTGGAAAGAAACAGTGTAGACTTGAAGTCTGTATGGAGTGAGCAGCTACAGGTTTGATATGAAAGAGATTACGAGAGCGCTAACTCGAAGACCATAATCAGAAGTTGTTGACTTCCGTATAACTAGTTAACTAGACTTGACCCATGGCATTCTCGCAGGAGGCCTCTAGCGTAGGATCGATCCATAGCATCATAAAGAACTCCAGGAGTAAACCGTTGCTAAATAATAGACGCTCGATGAAATGATATTCCCATTATCCCAGCTAGACTAGCACCAGTATCATCCTATATCTTCACCAGATACATATCATCATAAGCACCCCTCTCATTCCTCAACCTCCCACCACACCCGACAACATCCACACCACCCTCAACCCTCCACTCCCCACTCTCTCTCAACTCCCGTAACAATGCCCCAACAAGCAACCCAATAATCCTCGGCCCAAAAGTCGGCTTCGCCGGACAAACAAACGGCGTGCTCCCAAACGGCATAAAAGCCTGTTTTTGCTGAAATGTCAGTCCCGTCCATCGGCCCGGATTAAATGCCATAGCGTCGGAGCCCCAGATTTCGACGGATGAGTGGTGGGCTTCAATGTCTGCTACTAGTATCTCGATAGGGGAGTCGTGTGATGTTTGGAAAGAGCGGTAGATGCGTCGGGTGGGTGGGTAGAGGCGGAGGGCTTCGTTGATGAGGTTTTGGGGGGATATGTGGTTCTTGGTGTCTGTTGTGGTGAATTGGGGGTTGTTTGCGAATTTAATAAGCATATCTGCCCATTCGGGATGCGTCCGGCCAGTGATGAAGGTGATCTCAAGGAACAACATGAAAACAACACGCCATAGCGTCTCAAAACCGGGCAAGATAAGGTTCAACGGGTTCTCTTCCGGATCTGAGAAGTTCGAGTCCGGGAAGATGGTTGCAAGACATTCTTGCAGCTCGATATTATCCTCAAATCGAGGTATGACATCTGTGTTTTTCGTCCCCATCCAAGCACGATTAATTACCTCAGCAAGATCCACGAGATGTCCATTCGCATCATCAGCATCGGAGAGCCGAATCCTAAAGAAAACCGACAGAACCACCCTCAACGAGAGTGCTTGTATCATATTCGCCAATTTAATCCGTTTCTGACCATCCGTCCAGGTCCCGACAGCATCGCAAAGAGAACCTGATAGCCCATTCCAGCCCGTGGATGACAAATTGACGAGATCCTTCGCATGGTTCACAAAGCGTTTCGCGTGCACTTCATCGACGCTCGTAAAGGCATTCTTGATCCCAAAGGCGATCTGGAGACGGTTGTTGGGGAGGGCTCGGGAGGAGTGTGGTGTGAGGTAGTTTGGGAGGCCGTTTGGGTGTTTTTCTGCGGTTATGATTGAGCGACATTCGCTGGGGTTTATGGATTGGTGGGGGCTAGATTTCTTTGGCGAGGTATAGTAGTGGTAAACAGCGAAGGCTATCAAGCCCAGGACTGGGAAGGTAGCGAGTTGGGCAGTCATATATGCCGAATCTGAAGGATGGGAGATGGTAGATATAACATAGGAAGAATATCTTAGTGTTTCTGTGACGGCTCAACGGCTCAACGCCAGACAAACAGCGCCAACATATCAAACGATGCCATACAAGCAATATGGGCAAACAAGGGCTTAAGCCGCACCACACAAATGTCTATAAAGACCGTTCATCGCCTAGATAGATTTCCTTTTCTTCTTCTTCCCCAAGATTCGATATTCTCGTTGATGGCTACAATAGTCTAGATAGGAATTCAGTTCGTTATTATCTTCTATTCCGAGCCCGTGACAGTTTCCCCTTTTTCAAACAAATCAAAACAAAGCATTTGTGCCACCTGTTTGCTGCATGTTCTCACCCTTATCAATGTGAATGTGTGATTTGACAGTGTTTGACAGCAGCACGTCAATTGGACATCAGTAGACTTGCAAGGTAAGATGGCTCTTCACAAAAAAGCATGCTTAGGGTTGTTTTATCTTTCAGGTAACTAGGCAATACGAAATCAAGAATTTTCAGATATGAGACTTCCTGAGCGCAATTAATTCCTAGTACTAGAGACCAATTCCGGAATCGCAAGAGGGGTATAAAAAAAATTGGGGGGTTTTATGTACAGCCAGCCATATACCCTGTCACGGGCTCGGACCAGTAGATAATAACGAATTGATATTCCTATCTAAACTAGTATAGCCATCGACGAGAATATCGAATCTGGGAGAGGAAGAAAAGGAAATCTATCTGGGCGATGAACGGTCTTTATAGACATTTGTGTGGTGCGGCTTAAGCCCTTGTTTGCCCATATTGCTTGTATGGCGTCGTTTGACATGTTGGCGCTGTTGGTCTGGCGTTGAGCCGTCACATACCCCCCCCCCCCCTTTTCCCAATTAGGCATAGCACTAGATCATCAAGACTGCTAGTCTGCTAACTACTATGTACATTAAAGAGCTACCTTAGTATTAGCGGAGGGCTCAGAGCTAGGGGTAGGGCTCAGCGAGCAGTCTGAGCAAGAAAGCCAGCAAGATGGCCATTTGATATCACGTGATCTAATACCTTCCCTAATTAGGAAATAAGGGGTATGATTAGATCAAGGGGGCCGAAAAATTATCAACATAAAGAATCACTATAAACATTCATCAAAACCACATAAAATACCGTACCTACCAACCTTGCCCCATATTCCCATCCACCGTAAACGGAAAATTAAAAAATCCATCCCCAAGCATATCCCCCAACGTAAACAGATTCTCCGACTCAAACCCCACGCCAACCGGGAGGCCTAGTTCGGGAATGAACCCTGTGGCTGTTGTTGTCGGAGCGGCGCTTGGGTCGGGGTATGTTGATTGCATTTGGGGGTATTGCATCCATGGCTGTTGTTGGTGTTGGTCCATTGTTGAGGCTGGGGGGGGGAGGGGTTGGGAGACGAGGGAGTCGATGGATGTTGGGTGGGGCGTTGATGTATAGTAGCCTGATGTTCGCGGGGGAAATGGAGAGAGGTGGGTTGGATTTGAGCCTTGTCGGGTTTTTGGCTCGCCCATGGCGACTTCACTTAGGAGGTGTAGAGGGGTTGGTCCCATTCGGTTGGTCCCCTCCTGTCCACCTTCCGCAAAATTATTGGCGGACGAGGAAGCAGACCTCCCCCTTCCATCCAACACATCCTTCAAACTTGGTGGCTGATCCCTCTGCTTGATGAACCAATTGCGAAGCATATCCAACACAACCGAGAACTTCCCCGGTGAACGCCCGCCCACATGTCCCCCCGCAGCCTTGTAATGTTCCACCACTCGGCCTAAGTAATAATCGATTTTCAAACTGGGTGGGTCTATAACCTGTCCGATTTGCGAGTCAGGAGCGCTCACGATGGCGTATAGTCTGATCAGCGCGACCATTGCATATGACGCGCGGGCGAGGACGTAGGTGGGCAGGTAAAGGATACTGGCCGGGGGCATTGATATGATGACATCCAGGGCGCGGTGGGTGCATGTGAGGCAAGTACTTAGGGCGTTGATGTAGGCTGTGTTGATTGTTGGGCTTTGGTACTCGTTTTCGGGGGGCTTGTATTCGTTGCCGTTGCAGTTGATATGCATGGTTGGTTCGTGGATGTAGATGTTGATCAGATAGTCCGTTTGTTTCATTATAACTAGACAGTCAGCATACCCCTAAGACAGACTCAGAGAACAGAACAGTAACTCACCAGAAAAATGCTCGGTCGGGGTTTCCTTCCTCCATTGCTCCAACTGTTTCTCAAACACCTTCAACGTGTACTGAGGCTTGGGTTCGGCACATGTGGCATTCAAGTCCGGATCATCACCAACAAAGTGAAAGCAAATCTCCTCCATAATGTGCCCAAGTTTCACCCAGTGAATCAATGCTTTGTCGGACGGTAACGCATCGGGAGATGTCTCCAGGATCTCGACACATTCATCCATATACGCATGCCAACGGACAAGAGGAACGCGTCGTAAGGCGGCGGCTACTTGTACCGAAAGATAATAAAGGCCCAACCAAGTTCTTCTCGTCTCTGGCGAATCCGGGTCCAGAAAGAATGCCTTCTTCCCAATAACATCCCTCATGAGGTTGAACGGTCGCTTGGCGGTTTTTGTCCAGCGGACCATCCCGATATCCATTGCGAGGGTGACCGCCATGTGCGTAAGCTGGTAGAACTTGAGCTCTTCGAAATGGTCGGGAGGAATGTACCAGATCGTACAGACTATAATAGCCTGGACTAGGTCTAGTGACTTTTCACCCTTGACGATCACGCGCTCTGCAATGATTTTGTAGAAGTCGTCGATCAGGGGCATTTGGATCTCGGGCTGGATAGCCCCGATAGACACAGTGATAATCGCGTGAAAGAGAATCGGCTTGGTCCGTCGAACCTCGTGCATCGGCGTCCCTGGAGGAAACACAACGATCGGAAGATGCGGTGCCATTTCGTCCATATACCGGTCGAACGCCTCCGCGGCCACCTCAGCAGAAACAAATCCCTTGTCGATAATATCAACGAAGCTGCTGCTGGTGGGTGCTTTATCGAACCCAGCCCAGCGCGACGGCCTAGCCGCAGGTCTCGGATATCCAGAGGATCTGTCTTCTTTCACCTCTCCACTAAACTGCCTCTTAACGCCGGACAACCCCAGTCCCGCTCCATTAGCCAAAGGCGACGACGGATGCACATCCTGCCTCGCTCCAAGCCACCTCCTCCCAGCACCACCAACACCCTGTTGCCCCTGGCCTCCTGTCGCTATCCCCGATCCGGTTGTGAATGAAGCACCCGGCTGCAATCGCGCCGTCAGCGCATCAATCTTCTTCTCCAACTCCGCGACCCGACTATCCGTCTTCTTCTGACGTTTCCGCGTCGGCACAGTGACTACACACTGCCTCCCCGACTTCGCGCACCGCTTACACGTTCCATCGTGACCATTCGGATCCGGCTCACACCGGACTTTCAAGTGTCGACAGGCTTCGCATGCGCGCGGCCGTTTAAGGTCGGAGTAAGGGTCGTCATTCTCATTTCCATCGTCTGCAGGATGGTGGGGGTAAGAAGTGTGCGCAGGAGGATCGGGATATTCATGGGGACTAGGTCCGAAGCCACTACCGGTGCCCGGGCTGGTACTACCGGTGGTCAAGGCCGGTGAAGTGTAGTTCCCTGTCGCCGTTGGTGTGGCAGTCGGTGCGTTGGTGGTCGGCGGCGGAGGTCGCGCATCCGATCGGTGGTGAGGGAGATGAGGACTCTGGGGGTGTCGCCCGTCCAGGCGGAGTCGTGGATCGATGTCCATCTAGATTAGGGGCATATTTAGATAGATTAAGATAGTATAAGATAAGACAGTAGCATGTATGCAGGGTAACTGTACAGAGAGTACAAAGTAGAATTGATGAAAGAGTCGGCACGGATCAGTCGGGCGCCGATGCCGATGGCCACGATAAGATACGAGTGGGTATTTATTGCAATCCCCCGAGTAGATAAAGAATACAGGGAGAAATGTTGTTTGCGATATTGATGAGATTAAGATCAGTTGAATGAGCTGAGTTGAAGACCCAGCCGTACAATAATATTACAGGGTACAGGCATAAACAATAGGGAATAACTAATATCACAGGAAAGGGGTCTCTCGTCTGTAGTCAATACACGACACGCATTCCAGCACCATCAAGGTTCCTTTTATAGTTGTCAAGCTTGCTCTAAGCTGCGGACCATCTTAGCATTTGTTCGCAGTGAGCCTGATCGCTATAAAGACTCATCAGCCGCCCCATTCGCCTTCGTGTGGTTCCGGATGCCACAGGGCCCATGAGATAGGAGTAATCCGGGGCATGAATCAAAACCGCAGTCCCGCTGCGTTCCATGTCTCTTCAGCAAGCTCATAAATGCGTTGGCCAGCAGATTCGGTTCCAACACCCGACGATGCACCACGCTCTACCTCTAAAATTATGGCGCATGGGGGTAAACGCCAGAGGTGGAGGCTTGACTGGGCCGACTTTCTTGAGGGACCCATGCTCGTTAAAGACAAGGCCATGCTGCACTGCCTCTGCCGTCATCCCCACTCCCACAACATCTCCCCCGATTGCCGCCTTTCGGTTATCCATGGAGATGGTTCCTCATCCCCGCAGGCCGTGGCCGCTCCTGGTGATGCGCTTGATGATTTCCCGGTTTATCCGGTTGGTAAACTCGGGGAAGGAGATGGCCTTTGCTGCCATCTGCACACTTCGTGCAAAGTTTAGGGATGACCCCATGTATGCCAACACTATGTCAGCGTTTGCCTCCCCCCCCCCCCCCAAAGCGCTCCCTTATTATTCTCTGGATAGTCGCCATCTCTTCAGCCCTTGTTTGGCGAATTTTGGCCATGTTAAGCTTGTTGGTGGATTGTGCAACGATAAGAGAGTTCTGAAACAACAGGACATTAGCCCGGTTCCCCTATAGCTGCCAAGCTTGCTGTAAGCTTCTTGGAGCACATTCGCGATTTCAAATTCGCGATAAGCGTGATCGCTAGAGATTTCTCATCATCTCCGTGTTATTGCAATTTGCATGTTCTCCAGGGCCTTCGAGCCACCCGCTCATTGACCTTGAAGAGTATAGGAATCCATTTCTTGTATGCACTTGGCATTTCTGGTACTCTGCTGGAATTGCGTCTTTGACCATTCTCATGCGCGGCGTGTTGTTGGCTCCGTGTCGAGAAAAATATGCAATAGCGAATGCAGTAGAGCAATGCTTGAAAGAATAAACCGTAACAGGTCTATGGAGGTTCAAAGAATCCATGGGCAAATAAGCCACGGCAATGAGCTGCAGTTTGGCTTCCTGTTAGAGCCTATCATTGTAATTGTATTCAGATTAATTGATTCGATCTGAGTAGATTGAAAGCTAGTCTAGTGACAAGCGGAATATTAGCCGGCTTTTCGCATCGTCGAGCAAATTCTGTATCTGTAGATAAAGTAAAGGAGACGAAAGGAACGAAAGGAACGAAAGAGGGGAAACTGACGGTCAAGGCTTAGACGTAATAGCCCTACATTCACTGACCATAGGGTACTACTAGATAGTAGAGCCAAGTCATTGAATCAGATCAGATGATCACCGCCCAAGAAATATCAGATCTGCATCAACGGGGATGTATAAGCCACATCCAGCAGCCCAATATCGCAAAGTTCGCATCCAAAGACCAGAAAAACCGCCTCTCCATCTTCGTGTATATGAACGAGCCCAGAATCACACGCCCAAACCAAGGCACCTCTGCCATGTGACGGTGAAAACGTTATATAGATATACTAACGCAACTCCATCATGAGGATTCAACTCGTTATCAAACGGGAAAGAGAAGAAGTGCGAGAAGAAGGGCCCACGGCCCCAAGTCACTGAGAAGCCTGTTTAGAGGCAGAGCGCTTATTTCCCTTGCGCTGTGATGTTCAGTACTCGAACAGTCTTTGTATATATTCCAGTTTGCTCACCTGGTGCTTGAGCCACCACAATCCACCCATAATACCTTACACAATAAAGGGGGCGCACACCCACTTCCTTCCCAATCCTTTCACATTTGCTGCTGTCAGAGCAACTTAGGATAAAGACTAAGTCGATACAGTTAGTTAATGCGCCAACGCTAATGGAATCAATGTCAGTAAGAGTATGGAGAAAGGATATGGGGACAAACACACAAAAAGCTTAAACGAGGCGAACACGCCACATCCTTGGATAAACACACGAGAATAACCCTTGATCCATCCGCCAAGCCTGCTGTGTCATTAAGCATACCATTATGCTAAGTCTCCTGGCTCCCCTATCAGAAAACCCGCATGTTGCAGCAGGATATTCAGTTCCAGTCCTATCTCACTGATTGCCAATGCAGCCTTTGGTTCGTTTTCAATCGAGGCTTCGCCGAATATCCCATTGTAAATATCTGTATTGTCAATTGGGGGTTCGTTGTGCCGGGATAAATGGAAATATCCGCATACTTGTTATCAAAACCACTGGGTTTGTCTGGAAGGCATTCGAAAAAAAAAAAAAAAAAAAAAAAAGGTAAAACCCCGAATCCATCCGCAAAGCCTGCTGTATGAACTAGTACCACACACCCATCTCTGCGCTCCATTGCTTGAAGAAAAGCGCACATAGCTCAGCAGAATTTCAAGAATCCGACTCCGTACGTCTTATCGAGCCACGTTGTATCGCGCCGATAAAAACAGTGCAGCCTCGAATTGCAGAATGGTACTTCTTAAACCACGTGCTCTCGTTCAATAGCTCCACGGTAAATTTCCCATAACAACATCAATCAACAGCACTTACCGAGGGAAAACGCCTCTCATGTGCGCCTGGCATTAATGCAGTATTCTTCCATTCAACAGCCTTTGGTTCTCATTTGACGTTTCGTCAGATATTCCATTGTGAATATCTGTAACATAAACCGGGCTGACTCCTTTGTGGTACGCGGAAACTGACTTCATAGTCGTAAGCGACACCGATTTGAAGACCAGGAGACAAGCCGAAATCGTTTCGTGGCAGGAAAAAATATGCCTGTCACTACTGTCGTTCGCTTCAAGTAAAAGAGTCATAGGGTTGTTTTTTCACCCTATCTATCAGGGAATACATGCACGACCTGCTGTTGAAAGCACGTTTCACTTCATGCCTGACGCATCTCTGCTTTCGTCTGTGACATACTTAATATGCTATTGGTTTCACTCTGGAAGGGGGATATATTCGTGCAAGGACAGATTGTGTGGTTTACGGAGGAATACTCCGTTCTGAGCTCTTGGACAAGTAAGTCAAGTAAACGAACTATCATGTTTTCAATACCAATGGCAACTTCCCTTTAACTTCAACTTGGAGGTTGACTGGGTATACAACCCTATCTCGACTCTCAGGGCTGGTAGCAACCTCCCAAGACAGACAACGCACCACATTTCGCGTGGGTAAGAAAGCATTGCATTGTGGTGGGGTATTACCCCGTAGTACCCCTTCCTGCACCTGAAACTGACTCGCTGTCCAGACGGATTGACGGATATTTGGAGCTTCGGAAATAATGTGGGTATCATAGCATTTCACGTTTTGCCTGTTCGATGTTTTCTTGTGTCTGCGGTGTTGAATGTCTACCATTGACAAATCGCTATTCTTTGATCAAGGTAGATTCATTATTCGATGAAGGATGGATTCAATATGAAGAAACCGATATAATAAGCTGTTAAAAATAAGTAGCTATTTGCCCGTCGAGCGAAGTCTAGCTCCCAGGGGGTGGATAGATGAAAGGAGAATAGAAGAGAAGAAGAAGAGAGAGTGACTGCCGGAGAGAGATAAGCTTAGACGTAGCCCTACATTCATTCACTAACCCTACAAGTACTACATGACTACATGACATCGCTATACATAGTAGAAACAATCCATTAATTCAGACCATCTAGCAACGCCAACCACCGCTGACAAGGGCAAAATAGAAAAATAAACATAACGCATAAATCAGGGAATATATAACCAAACCAATTCAAATCCAGATCCAGTAGACGCAAGCAACCAACATCGACAACAGGGGAAAACAGAAGACGGAAAAAGGCAGGTATATTCTATATCGACAACGCCATCCAACAAAACCAAAACCAAAAGAGATCAACTCATGAAACACACGAGCGAAAGAGGGGGGAAGTCAAGACTTATGCACCGGACACTCCTTCTTCCTCTCAAACCACTCCACAATACACCTCTTGTGAAACTTGCACAAACACTCCAGCCTCACCAGCGGCTGTCCAACTTCATATTCCTCCATGCAGATCGTGCACTCCTGTGTCTCAGCATCATGACCTAGGCAATCCTTCTCCGTCGCCGTAAACGCGACCATTCGCACGGGTACCTGGGGTTGTATCACCGGACCTGGACCGGTACGCCCGGTGCCAGTGCCAATGCCAGTGCCAGGACCACTGGCACTACCGGCAGCAGCTAGAGAAGATGATCGCACCCGCGGACCATTGTTCTCGATGCAATCGCGAATATGCGCCTCGCGGGCTTCTTCGTTGCCCTCGCTTAGCGGTGGGAATTGGTTGTTGCAGATTGGACATATATCGCGTTCGCTAATTTGGCGGCGCGGACGGGATGGACGGCTGTTATCGCGGATAGATGGCAGACGCTGTTGCGAACTACTGGGCAAGGATCCATACCGCGACGGTCGTTCTTGATAACTGCCACTTCCACCGAATAGATTTCCCAATCCACCAAAGCATGGATAGTCGTTGGACCCGACAGTCCTCCGCCCCGGGCGCGAGGAACTTTCACCAGCGGGTATGCCAACGCCAACGCCAACGCCACCGCCAACGCCATACGACGACCGCTGTCTCGGCACAGACATCGAATGATACGAGCGATGGCGCGGCGGATTCGGCTGCACAAACACGCGCGGCGGCTCAGGATTCGGATCCGGCACGCATGGATTACACAAGCGTACCTCCTCGCCTCCTCCCAGCGCTGGATTGATCGCCGCAGGCGAAACAACACCACCCTCGCCAACAGCATCACCAACTCCAGTAACAGTATCCCCATCTCCATCCCTATCTCTATTCCCATCCGCATTCCCATCAGCCACACGAATCGGCACAAACGTCGCCGACACAGACGGCCGATGCACAACCGGCGGCCGAACAATATACTGTCTCGGAATTGTAATCCGATGCGGCGAGCACGACGCACACACCACGCGCCCACATTTCCGACAATGATGCTTCCGGTACCAGAAACTAAACGGAGCCTCACATATCGGACACTCGTCTACCTCATCGTCTGGCTGCCATCGCGGACGCACGTATTCCATGTAATCCGTTCCGTCGCTGGGAGACCATTGGCTTTGGCTTTGGCTTTGGCTTTGGCTTTGACTCGGGGGGCGTGGAGGAGCACGCGGACGGGGTGGTTGTCGGGGTGGCGAAGGGGAAGATGAGGTGAGATCGATGGGTGTCGTGAAGGATGATCCTGCCCTGGACGACGACGACGACGACGACGACGACGACGACGACGATGATGATGATGGTTCCCCCTGCGAGAGAGCTATCCTCGATCTCTTGCGATCCGGCGCACCGAGGGTATCCGCTCTCCGTCGTTCCATGTTTATGTTTCCTGCATGCCTTGTTTCCAGACTCGACGACGTAGACATGAATCGTTCGTAGATAGAGACTTCGTAGTATACTGAGATCGTAGGATAGCACGTATTATACCAGGGGTTATTTGTTATCGCAGGAGGATCAGTCTCCGCCGTTTGTCGGGGCCGGGGGCGTCATCGACTGGTTAGGCGACTCGCAGGATAATATATCGTCAATGTCTGTATTGTACCTGTACCTGTATATATCTCCAATCAATCAAATAAAAACATAAGAAAGTTGGTTGTTGTGTGGTGACGAGTCGGTGACCACCGATAACTCAAGCACGAGGGGATATCAGAAGGAGTCGGAGATCTCGTGACGCCAGTCAGCAGTCAGTCAGCAGTCGTGATCAGGAAAGATATTCGACATATAATAGAATAAAAGAAAGGTAAGTGGTAAATAGGAGTATTTACTCCTAGTATTAAAAGAGAAAGAAGGGGAAAGAAGCTGTGGCGTTGTATCGCCCAATTCGTCGCGGGGTTCTATAATATATGGAGATCTCCGAATGATAACCAATAAAGTACAGCAATATACAATTATTCTAGCATAGCATAGCTAACCCGCTAGTTAAAATCCCTATTCCCAAATTTCATACAAGAATCAAAGCCTCTACACTGTACAATGACCTTGCCCCCCCCCCAAGAATGAATACACACAAGTGCTATAATCAAGAAAAGAAACCCAATGTATATCAGGGTAAGCCAATAGATCACAGAACGCCATCAAGCAGATTTCTTTTGTTTTCCCGAGATCGATATACAAAAGAGAATAGATAGTGAAAAAGATTCGTTACCTTGACATCGAGGAGCGGTGATAAAGGATATTGAGAAGAGGGAGGATCGAGAAGAGGAAGGTGTCATCCAAGAAATGCAATAGAGTGATCACCGTTCCGTATCGATGGAGTGCTGATGCTGATGTTGATGCCGTAGCCCGTGTTGATGCCCATGTTCAGGCTCATGCTCATGCTCCGGCTCAGCAACATCCTCATCCACCCACTCCGCCGCACTCCCGCTAAACGACATTTGATCCATACTCGCTTCATGGATATTATCCTGCGTCCGATGCGACGTCACATACCCCATACTCGACGGCCGCCCCCCGCGCGATCGTCCACTATCTCCCCGTCCGATAGCACTCGACGAAGTCGAATGTGCCGTCGACGACGCGACAGAAAAGTCACGATCTCGCGACGGGGAACTGGTGGCGCTGAAAGGGAATCGACCCATTCCAACGGTTGGCTGGAGTTGAGTGGGATCGTGTGGCTCGTCTTCGGCAACGGCGCCAAGGGGTCCGGTTGATGACATTGAGGGTTGACGGGTGGAGTGTTGTCTGGAGATGGATATTGAGGGGGCGTGTGAGCTGTGCTGGGAATTCATGCGGCTTGGGAGTTCGATACCGCCACCGGAGTCGACGGGAGGTAAACTGGGTACGCCATCGACTGGCTGTTCATTGCCGTTGTTCTCAGCGTTGTTGTCGGTGTTGTCATTATTGTTATTGTGACCTTCCCCGTCTGAATCATGGTATGACGGATCTTGATCTGGAGCTTGGCGAGTGGCATTAGCAGCACCCGACTCGTCCGGTTCATCCCGGTACGGTTCGTGGAATTCCTCGCCCTCGACAAAAAGACCCTGTGGTGGTGCTCTGGCACTACGGACCACTTCGAATCCCTTGCCGCTCTCTTTAGTCTTGCCCCTGAACAGGCTTCGGAACCATCCAGTCGCCGAGGAAACAGGACCAGTAGGATCCGCGGGACCCGTCTTGAGTTTGCGGGTGCCCGTGTGAGATAGTGGCGGACCACGGACTCGATAGTAGAAATCAACTTCACGGACAGCATAGTCCTTGTCTTTCCGTGGTGGTCGAGGGTCATCCAAATCGAGATCGTCCTTGGGCCCAGAAAGGTAAGCTGGCATAGGTGCCCCTCGATTACTGGAGGGACCATCAATCATATCCTCAGCCGCCTCAGTGAAATGTGTCGTCCGTGGCGTGTTACCAGCCGCAGACCCAGAAGCATCAGTGTCTAACGTCTTCTTCCGTGGACGGGGCGGACGATAGTACGGGTCATGCGAATGCATACTGAACAGCGGACTGCTTCTGGACACACTGCTACCGGCTGTTGAGCCAACAGGAGGAAACGCCGCGTTGGCCTTTGGTGTGATGGGTGATTGGAGTCCACTGCTGTTAGCGCGGCTGCTGTTTCCGCCTTGTGCACTTCCTGTGTCGAGCATTGCACTGGCTCTGCCGTCGCTGGCACCTGCTCGACCCAGTAGCAGGGCTGAACTTCCGGACATGCTTCTAGCTCGTGAGTCTAGTTGAGATGATAGTCGACCGTCGATGGGCGTGAGCATGCCTGCTTCCGAGCCCATGCTTTGACGGGTTCCGAGATCTTGACGGGGTTCACGACGGGACAATTGTCGCATACCGAAGACCTATTAAATTAGCCTGTAATCCAAGAAAGCGTGGGCACGAGAACAAACCTTGACCAATCCACCACGGGTGATATTCCCTTCATTACCACCAGCACCAGCAAGCCGAGCAATAACTTCAATCAAGGTCTGCAAGGCATTCAAAAAGAACCCGAACACAAGAACGAGAGCATGAAGTAGAAGAATAACATATCCAATCCAACCGCGCGCAGCCTCAGGCACCCCAAGAGACGGAAGAAAAACAACGCTGAGCAGGATCGTCAAAAACCGAATAATAGAGAAGCAGATATGATACAGGTTCATAGATGTCGGAGAGGGGTAGGGTCGGAAAGCCACGAGCGTCAGTATAGACACAACCTCGCAGATGGCCAAAAGAACGACCTGAGCGATCCCTGACGGCTGCAGAGCACCAATGGCAACGCCCCGGGCAAAGGATATAAAGATAGGGACAACTGCATACGCAGCTGCATCATCATTAAACGTATTATAGAGCGGGCCGTACAATAGCACGGTGGAAAGGTCGTCAAAAAGGTAGGATTTCGGGCGGGTGGTGGCGATCAACCGGATGGTCCAGATGGAGAATGCGATTAGGATTAGAATAACCACGACAGCGAAAAACACGCAGTATGCGGGAGAATCACCGGCAATAACCAGTTGAAAGAAGGAGAGCGAGATAAGAGGTAGGAATAGAAAATTAAAGACGATGCGGACGACGTTGCCTACTGTGAAAGGCATGTTCTTCGCGCGTAGATCTTCCTCGGGGATGTTGGCGATTTGGTGATGAACCCAGCGTAGGGCGAATGCTATCTGAATCAGAAGCGTGATGCTGACCACGATGACTAGCAGCCAGACCATCATTCCTGGCCAGATATCCTGGGCAGACGCCATGCCGACAAGATGTTCCAGTCGATCCAGACCGTATGTTGCGTTGACAGCGTAGATCCCATCAACCACAGGGCTCCGTTCCTTTCCAGGGTTTACGAAGCTCTGGTTGAACATGAGAGCCGACCAGGCTGGTTGGCTCATCACGGGCTGATAATACCCGGGATAGTTCAGGGATAGACCTCCTGTCAACACGGCAAACTGGATGTACTGCAGACAGTCCCCGAATCCTGGCGTGACCAGACGAAGCACATCCTCGTCTCGACCATAGTTACTCGTCCAACGGAACGAATCCGTCGTACCCCATGGACTGTAGATGGCGGCAACGACTGTCGCGAGCCCTACTAGAAGAAGGATGACGAGAGGCACAAAGGCCAGGGTGTTTCGCAGAGATGAACCAAGGTCGGGGGTGATGTCAACCGATATACAGGCTAGCTGCACAGCCGAGGCGTCGCCCGTTTTGACCACCAGCCGTGACGATAAGGTTGCGAAATGATACGACGACTGCATGTCTTCTTGGAAGGTAAAGGCACGTAAATCGGGAATGTCGCCCCTATAACCATGTCAGAACCATGCCAGAATGAAAGATTATGATACCCCGGACGTATACTCACGAATTCGCATAAAAGACGGGTCCCAAAGGACACTCGCCTTGAATGACGGAATCACAGAACCTAGACGCATCACTGTACGGAGTGAAACTGACGACGTCGACGGACTTGAGCAGCGTAGAATACTTGTTATTCGACGTACTAAGATCCGCAATCTTCCCGACGGTATTGCTGGCATTCAACCACTGCGGATCATCAGGAGCAGGATAGTCGGAGCGCTGATCGGCCGTTCCAGAGACATTGCCGTAGACGGTGATATTGAGCGGACGAAGGGGATCGGTCAAGTCGAACCACACGTCCACATCGAAAGGCACAAACTGAAGCTGCAGAGGACTCGAGTGGGCGATAGTGTCATCCAAGCAATTATCGAAATCCAGAAACACCGCACTTGCCGGAGACACCAATGACAGCATCACCATTATTGCCATCACCACCGTCCAACCCATCCCGAATCCCAACCGATGCAATCGTCTCCGTCGCCTCCGTCCTCGTAATGGATCCGGCCATTCCCAACTCTGTATACCACCACCACGTACATTCCGCATGCCCGAAGATGAGATCTTCTTCCGCCTCTTCCTATCATCCTCCTTCTGCCATCCATCGTTGTCGTGGCTGGTAGACATCACGACCGTCGTGCGTGACCGGGATGACCTCCTCGGGGAGGTCAGCCCCTCGTAAGCGATTCAATCCACGTTGCGCGCTGCGACTATTCGGGGAGTGGGAGATGTGCTGTTAATCGTTCTGCCTGATTCCGGCGATGCGATACGGAGATGGGAAGATTTGCGATCGAGCAGTCGGGAGTGTGCGGAGGACAAGTTCGACAAAGTTCGACAGGTATTCCGTATTCTCACAATCTTTTTTTTTTTTTTTTTTTTTTTTTTTTTTTTTTTTTTTCCTATGCCTTTTCTTTTCTTCCCCGGAGAACCAAGGGACAACTCTGGTTGGTCAGGGGGTGCGACGCATCACTGTGGGAACCGGCGGGGGAGGTCAAGAGAAAAGGCGAAACGGCGAGAGAAAAGTTGGATGAAACGAGAGACAGAAAGAGTAGAGAGAAAATGGGTAAGAAAATGAGAGTCGAGAAGAAAAGAGTGAGGGAGTGACAGCGAGAGAACCAGAGAGAGAGAGAGTACTCCGTAGTGTGAGCCAGAGAGAGCTCCAACCTAATGGCCTAATCGGGAGGCGCTGCGCCTCAGATTTCCAATAATCGAGGCGGTGTTCTATACTTGGAACATACAAATACTAGAGTAGTTGGGCACTATCAATTAGCACTCACTGTTAGATAGTCAACTGAGACATTCAGTCTGTCCTTATTCTATTCTTATTTCTGTGCAATTCTGCGGTGTTACGGGGGGATGTGTGACAGGCAAGGCGATATTACACCAATCTACAGAGTACTCAGGCAATAGTTCTCCGTATTATTCTCGAAACTATGTTTCTGCTACTATGCTATTGCTAGCTGTATCTCGTACTCTGTACAGCTGTACGAACACTAAATGCTGACATCGGATCCTCCTCGCATCCTGACAAGTCAGCAAAGGGATGTGCCATTGAACAGTGCCAGCGCTATTGATCGTCTCTTGAACGCCATTCCGAAGCAAGGGCATATCAACTTGTATCCAGTGTGCTTGCAGACCAGATCTTCAATACTTTTGGTCTTGAAATCATGTGATACAGTCACATGACTGAGCATGTGACTTTTCTGCCCAATAAATCAGGCAGTATTATAGGTTAGTTAGTTAACTAGTTAACTACGCAAGGCAACACATACTCAACCTAAATGAATTCTATCACTATCAATCTATCGCTAGGTACTATTAATAGCCTCCCCCACATTCTCTCATAAAACATACTTTTTTTACCCCAACGGCAGCGTCCGGCCCAATTAAAGTAATCATTATCTCGAAGACAAACCCTCGTCACCAAACTGACGGCGATCCGGTGTTGATTTCGTCGTACATCCAACTCATCACATCAACGTTGCCCTGACTGTCAAACTTGAATTCTGACTGCTTCATTGTGAGCGAAACCTAGACAAGCAGTCAAGGTACTGTACTCACCAGAAAGTCCAATTCCTCCTCCATTCCCTCGCACGATACCTGGTCAGTACCCTGGTCCTGGGCGGCCGCCATGTCTTCCAGAATCGGCAAGCATTTTTCTCCAACCTTCTCCACAGTTTGAATCAACAACTTGGCAATCTCGTCCTTCCCCAAACCGCGCCTGAGCCCGTCGATCTGTGCTGCAACCAAACTCATGAGCAGGTAACCTTTGACGTTAGTCTCACCGGCCTCGTGGATTTTCAGGCACCAATCCTTAACCTCGTCTAGCACCGCCAGCAGATCCGGTCGCAAAGTGATGGGACTCAGACCTTCTTCATTCTGCAGCTGCGCCCGAAGCTCCATTGCGATCTGCAACGCGGCATGAATGGTCACCGTCCGATAGAAGCCCGAACTGCAGATCGCGAGCTGCTGTAGATCGCCACAGTCGGACGCTGCATCGCTGTAGGAATGCACCGCGCGCCAGATTTTGAGTGACGATTCAACCACCGCCGTCCGGGAGAAATTGCAGGCTCTCTCGTGCAGTGCTGGACCAAAGTACGGAACGTGAAGAGCCGAAAGGTACCGGTGCATGAGGAAATCGACCACCTGCATCTCGAATTGGGATGGCGAGGATTGAGTGCTCGAGCTGCTACATGCTTTCAGGGTTTGACTGATATCTCTATATGCTACACGTAGCTCTTCGTCAAACCACAAAGTCTCCTTGTATGTGCCGGGGGAGGCGAGATCGTTCAGAAACTTGACCACGATATGGCGCTGTGGAAAAGTTTTGCGGAGCGCTCTTGCGATAGACGTTTGCGTGAAGGTATCTACTGGGCTTGGCACCGGATCATCGGCCAGGAGTTGGTCGTCATTGAAGTTTCTGGGAGGTCTGGTATTATAATCCCAAAAAGAGATAAGAGGAGGTCCCTCAGAGGTCAAACTGGACTGCAGTGCCAGCTCTAGGACCGTGTTCCAGAGCCTTCGATGCATCTCCACCACTAAGACTGTATTTTGAGGTAGGGGGACTGGATCTCTGTGTAGGCCCATGCAGATTGCCTGCCTAATTAGTGCACCCATCGAAATCCAGATTGAGGCTCCGTCGACCCCTACCCTTTCACGGGCAAGCAAAAGAATGAGGTTAGTCTGCAAAGATTGGATGTTCAACTGTGACTTGAGCTTGGGCTCTAAAGACCAAACTTGCGACTCGTGAATCCATTGCACAGCTGAAGTCCGCAACGAGAAGTTTTTATCGTACGTAGTCGCACCGATAGCGAGTACAAGCTTGACCTGAGCCAAGAAGGCCGTATTGGCCGTTGTATCAGACACCCAAAGCGCTTCATAATCCCTCAGGAATGTAGGGACATGCAGGATTCGATAAATAGCTTCAGTCGTGCGGAGGTAGCAATCGACTAGTTTGTCGGCAACCTCTTTAGGGGGCAAGCCAGGCGTGGGTAGCGAGGACATGGAAGATATTCGCCGCGCTTTAATGATCCTTGCCAAGAACTTGCACCTCTCCAGACCGGACCAGGGGCTCAACGGGCTCGACGGGCTCTCTCGTAGATGGGCCTCGATCGTTTCAAAGATGTCACTGATCTGGATGCTTGTTAGACCACCTTTTCATTCCAGATAGTTAGATAGAAGGTGAACTCACTAGCAGAATTCCATTGACAGCCCAATGACTCTGACCAAAGAAGCGAGCGTTGTCTACAACACAGCAGATGATGCCCTTACACTGGGAAGGTGAGTCGCGCTCACGAGGGATATCAAGGATTCCGCCCATTATCATCTCGAGATCGAGGCTCAAACCCTGGATGGGCGCTGGAGTTTGTTCGGATAGCTGGCCCTCAAGTTGTCGAATTCGCTCCTCGAGAGTTCGATTCCGGTATTCGAGCTGTCCAGTCTTGGCCCTCAAAGCCATCAACTCAGCATTGTGACAAGTCATCAAGTTCGTACACACTCCTGTGCCCGTCGAAGGGGTGACCGGTGAGCCTGAGGGGTATGGAAAGGTCCACTCGCTCACACTGGGTGTCCTGCCAAGGGGGGTTGAGTCCTGGGACATTGGAATTGATTCAGGAATAGTCGTCTGGCTCTCGTCGAGCTGAGTCTGAGACAGAGGCTGGTTGTTCTCATAGGCACAGTTTTCGTGTCCGGAACGTCGACAGTTGCCGCAGGGTGCCTCTTGATCACATTTGATTTTGCGTTTTCTGCAGAAGGAGCAGGCTCTGGGATGGTTTTGTTAGCGAGAAGGCCCAGGGAAGATAATGGTCACCCTACACTGCTCGTTTGCGTCGTCCGTCTGGCAAGGTCATGGTGTCTTGCCTGCAAAGAACGTAGACAAGAACGTAGACGAAAGAGACGAGGACGGAAAGAAGTTAGAGCTGGAACGAAGAAACAGGAAAATAGAAAAAGAGGAAGAGGGAAGAGGAACGAGGTAAGAGGAAGTAAGAGAGGCGTAAGGGTGAGAAGGCAGAAGGAAGCTGGAGGATACTAAGTAAGAAGGTGCTCGTCCTGGGCCACCGAACTATCCCGATCGAACAACCCCGAACAATCCCGAAGTATGGGTCTATCATAGAGACGACTTTACTATACAGGATTACTGGCAGCTTACTCGAGACTATTTTGCGCGTCTGTTAAGGGTCAGTCTCTGGTTACCATCTCACGATGAAGGCCATCTCCGGCTCACAATACCATAGCGACTACAGCAAATGAACTCAAAGTCCCTCCCCATTCCGAGAATTAAAAGAGCCAGAAAGCACTCAACGCACCTGAGCTCAAACCTCCACCCAGAAGACTGCACTCGTGCCTGTGCTACAACCGGCGGTGCAGCTATCTTCTTTTGTACCCTGGGTTTTGCCAACTCGCTTGGTACGTTCGAGTACTACATATCGTACTAGATGTAAGATAAGTTTGCGTCCAAGATCTCCTGGACTGGCTCGCTAGGTGTCGTCCTCAAGTTCCTTTCTAGTATGTTTGGTGGACCGTTGTGTGATCGTTATGGTGCCAAATTATGTGATTACTCGAACTCAAATGTACCCAGCCCTGACAGGTAACTGATATATGCAGGTCAAACGACCAGCGGCAATTATATACGTCTTCGCAATGATGATACTGAGCTTCTGCAGGACACGCCGGCAGGCCAAGCTCATGCAGGGTGCTTTGATGGGTATTGCCATGGGTTTTCTACAGCTTCCTGCATTTGCCATGTCTCTGGACACCGCGGGGTCTTTGGGGGAGGGCTTAGGTGGATGCTTGAACGGTATAGAAGACTCTATACTCCCTTTTGCTTCCTAAGTGTGTTTGCGAGTAATAATAGAACTTTTGCTAGATGATAATGGTGATATCATGCGTGTCTATCAAGGCCTTTATACTCCGTACCGATCCAGTGAGATTTGAACCCAGTCACATGTTGGTTAGACTGCATAATATAAAAAACACCCATCAACAAAAGGTGCCAATTTCTATACTGGACCACGCTTGATATCCTTTAAATGACCATAAATGACATGACTGAATAAAAACAACAAAATGGCCGATCAAGAAAATCGCCAATGTTTATTCACCCATCTCCTTGACGTGAATTTCGTCGTTCCGATCCTGCGAATTCCTGGAAAGTGACAACAGTACTGTGACAAGTCAAACTGGAATCATTCTACTCGCCTCGGGGAACCGTATGGACAAGCTAGTGTAAATCAACACCCTCTATTCATCCCCTGAAAGGCAAATTAAATGGGTGCTTATGGTTTCCGGGTTGTTAACGCCTGGTGAGTTAGTAGAATATAACAACGTTTTAGCTCTTTCTTGGTACATTCTGAAGCTGGATCCATGACTTGTAGTTAACACATCCATAATCAGACACCACAGCACTGGGGAGTGGTCCCTCGCACTGAGCTGAGATGGGTACCGATTTGTCACGCAGGTGGTTTTACCCTGCATGTGTATGGTGGGCCATTCTCCGTCAGATCGCCAGCGGACCGACATCAGATACAGGCTTAGATCGGTGGATAGGACTTTCTGGAAAGGCCAGTAAATATGGCTACCGATCTCTTGCATGCTGCGGGAATATCTCTCTTTCTCACGAGCTATATGCCTTACTGTGAGTCTCGCTTTCGTAATTAGTGTCCAGCAATTGTATGTATACTGGCTGGTTCCGTGACTCAAGCTCACACGTTCCAAAACCTGGAAGTCGATTGTGGTTGATAACATCCTTTTGGTGAGATTCTAAAAAGCATCTTCAATTGGCACGGTGATTTGCAGACCGGCACGATGTGCAGACAGAGTTGTCGGGCCCATGGTGTATGGCGTAAAACTCGTATGGTAAGTTTAAAGGCATCAGAACTTCGTGCTTTATGCTATAGTTCCAACTGAGTTATTCTTCTGTTCGTGGACCCGTGTCACTTCGACAACCGTCCGGACACGTTCTCCATGGGCAATTATATCTCCTGGTCAAAAGTAGTTTGTTTGAGAAGTATCATAGTCGAATTTTGCTTCTGAAATGCATGCCAGCAAGTAATATAATGTACGATGCTCGTAGCAATATGTGCTTTTGGTATTCGTCGTAACAGGAAAACAATCACATAGGGCTAACCAGCCCACTGAAGGTAGCTGGGTGCTTTAAGTTCGCTCTCCTGATTGGCCACTCGAGATTAACAACGAAATACCAGGAATGAAGCTGGATAAAACCTGAGAGGCCGTTTGATATGAAAGTACAAACTGTGTCGTTTTGTCCAGAGTGGTTTGTTGTAAGCAAACTTGTGCCGAAAATATCCGAGTGGGATATGTGCAAAGCAGTTTGTCCAATCTTCTTCGATGTCCATGAGCACTTGACCATGCAACGCATGACTCTGTGCAGTTGGTGTCGACTTGAAAGTCTGACAGCGGTGTGAAGACCACGCCTCTTGCAAGTAGGTGCGACACGCTCAATTTTGAGAATGGAAATAAGCAATTTGTGAAGTAATATGGGCGATAGAAGATACCGACAAAGACAAGAGATATTGGAAGTATGCGAGTTTCCTTTCTGCTTGGCAACAGCATAATGTTTTGAGACCCGACTTTTCTGGTCGTCTCCGAGTGGATGTGGTTCTTGTGACCGCGCAACACCTGATTCAGTGGCCTTGGGTCGAAGTGCGTCAATAGGGAAAAGCGCAACGATGCAGCTCCCCAGCCTAGTAATAAGTGACGGTTTTGCTCAGGTTGGACTTTATCGTTGCCTCTCAACCAGCCGTGCGGTGCAAGTGGTCTGAATGCTTGTAATGCTTAGGTTTTCGTTATCACACAGCGAGATCCCTTAGCTCGCGCAAGTAAGCGCTTGGAGGTTGAACCTCCGGTGAGGTGTTTTCTCGACGGGTTCGAAATACAGCTTTGTAAATCGGTTTTCCTCATATATCCTCTCTTAGAAAAAATAATCTCTCTAGGTTAACCAAAACATGAGTTAGAAAGAGAGTCTTGGTAGAATGTGATCATCTTACCGTCAGTGGGTATATTAGAACCTTCCTCGAAAGTTCTACCTACCACCCCCCTCAATGTAAGGTTGGTTACTTCCCACTGCTAACACAATGAAGCATCCTTCTGATAGTGTGACGCATTTTTTAGCAGGCGACCAGATGGCGTTTTGACGTCTAGTCTATTGTAGGCTTCAAGTTTAACTGTCTCGGGGATTATCTCGTACTCAGCGCCATACTCGTCGAAGGTGAGGTGTGTGGTATATATGCCAGGCTTGTGGGTCTCGGCAAACGTTAATTCAAAGTCTCCGAAGAGACCGTGTAGTTCTGTTGTAAGCGATATGCCGTTTTTGATGGAATGAACGTCGTAACCGCTGATTCTGTCCGTGTCGTTTGGTTTCTGGCCTGTTCCATACTGGATTGAAATCCAGTATGTCTTCAGCTCCTGAATTCGCTTTTTGAGATGTAGGAGAATACGTCCCAGGTTCAGTGACGCATTATGAAATGCCAAAATTGGCACATAGCTTAGCAGTAAATTGCCAGCACGCGCAAGGACTCAACGGTGCTTGTCAAGGGAAAGCCCTCTGGTCCGAGGGTAACCATATGGATTCCATCATCTTGTTATCTTAGGGATTCCCACGAAACAGGTTTTACTTCCGCCGCAAGCCTTAAAGACGCTTAAGGTCTCTAAGCTCGCATTTGGTACTTGTAACCACTTCCCAGCAATCACCTGGACTTCAGATTGGTGCCAATATCGAATCCCACTTATACCTCTCGAGCTCCGGGACGCTCTGACAGGTAAAGACTTTGATCGTAGCAGTTGAAATTCCGGTCTTCAAGAAAACGAACACACCATCGCAATTTCCAAGCCAGCAATTCAAAATTAAAAGGTCCTTTATCCAGAACCAACAACGAGACCACATGTCAAACAGAGGATATCCGTGGCCCCTCTGTACTAAAGCACCCTGTGGCTCCAGTTTTGCTGGTTAGTGCAGTACCATATCTGCACCAACAGCCTAACAATTCCGCCTCCTGCCTCCGAAATCACGCTCATCCGGATGACGTTGCATCTTGGTGAATGTTGATTGCCGAAAATAAATTCAGACCTTGTAAGAGCTAAGGCGACGTGCTCCTCTAACCCAATGGTAAATGAACTTGCTCTTCGTAGAAATGTCCTCCCAAACCTTTCGTTAGTCTTCTTTGTACTGAAGGCCGCTGCCAGTCGACGCTTTAAACAAGCGCGTTTCTCAGGGATAGAAGCCTGACCATAAACCAGGTAGCAACGCCTCTCCTGTTGATAATGTGCTTTCATATAGCCGAGTACTTCGAGTTTTGGAACACGGGTTGGACTAAATCGTTATCAGCGGTATGGGTATCATATTATATCTGGCTTAATGGACTGTATTGCATCAAGAGATAGAAAACAGAATAGACGCTATTGCAATGAAGATAGCACTGTATGGATTAGAATGTGTTGGAGATAATTGAGCTAAGTTGTGAAGCAGGAAGAGCGTGAAAACACCTTTATTGAATGTTCCTGGCACTTTATTCATTCACTATACACCCATATCCATTTGTTTAATTGATAATCTCCATTGGGACTAGTCTGATTTAAAGCCCTAATCGTGACGCAAGCTAGAGTAATGACCCTGAAAGACTCATTAAAAAACATGCAGCCTATTCTGCCCACCATCCTGGCGCTGGATGAATATGCAACAATAATTGCTCTGGTTGACCGCGCTGTCACGCCCATATACCACCGTCAGCTCTGGGAGTTTATTCAGGCTATAGAAGAGTCGGGATACACATCTGGGTATTTAGAGGGAGAACCGTATGTCTTGTCTAAGGCTTTGAAGGTTTTTGTGCGTGCCTCGGATGAGGCCGCCATTATTCCTAAGCGGCAAATAAGTTAGGCCTCAAAGGAAGAGAAACAACGTCTTTGTTATTGAATTTGACTGGCACTTTAGTTTACTTGCTATATGTTGGAAATGGGATTGATATATGAAGATTGAAGCCCTAATCGTGACGTATATAGAAGTAGAAGCCTATCTTTTTGCGATGCCTAAATTGATGCTATGATACGTATTCCACTTCATGAGTCCGATTATCAACCTCGTCGGAGCGCAAGGCATCTAGAATGCAGCCTGCTCTATTCCAAAGAGCTTCCCATACGCTGCCTACCACTAGGGTATATAATCCTGCTCTCGTAGCCTAGCAATTGCAAATATTTCTTCTCCTTTCAACCATCCTGACACTAATCTACCACTACTACAACAACACAACAGAACTTACCAACTAACAACAACATGTCTCAAGCTTCCCTGAACGAGACCATGATCAAGCTCGAGCGTCAAGAGACCCTTCTTAGCAACGCCTCGGAGCTCATGTTCGATCCCAACGAGGTCGTGGTCGACGACGAATACCTCCAGGACGCCCAGATAGTCACTCCCGACAGCGTCTACATGCCGATACCCAACCTCGAGGCTAGTTTCATGCAGCCCTACGAGGAGGAGCCCGAGCAAGGCGGAGAAGACTGGATCCTTGCCAGGACCAGTCGACCCTGCCGCCACAGATACATCTCCGAGTACAAGGAGAAGAAGCTAGGCTGTGCGACAGATGCTGATCGACAGCACATTTCGGAGTGCAAGACTGTCCGTGACTGGGCGGATTGCAAGCTGGATGCTGAGCTGTATGACAGGGGAGAGGATATGAGGATGGATGAGAAGTCCTATATCTGTCTGTACGGGTTGCATCCATCGGTTGTGAACAAGATCAGTAAGTGATTTATCCTATCATTTTGCAGATACAAACATATGCTAACAAGTGACACAGACTACATGCCCACCATCATGGCGCTGAATGAGTATGCCGTGCTTGTTGCTTCGGAGGACCACTTGGTCACTCCGATCTTCCACCATCGGTTCGCAGAGTTTCTCGGCGCTCTGAAGGAGTCGGGGTATGCGCATGAGTATACGAAGGAACAGTCTTCTGCGTCGTACAAGGCTTATAGCGCGTTCGTGGATGCTATGGAGACTGAGGTTGAGGATATTCCGGAGAAGAAGGGTTTGTGGCGGAACTAGTTTGCTTCTGGAGTATCTTGCTTTTGTCTTAGTGTTGAAATGAGTTTCATTCAATGATATGGAGTTTTCTGTGATCCATCCATAGAGCCATTGCAGTAGTATCGACCTCAGTGACAGCCACCTGTACACCTGTAGCACTCTGTACTTGCACCATGGCCGTCGGGCTGTCTCATGTCAACTTTATATTTTGACTCCGGTCAGCGCTGTAGCCCAACTGCTCCATACTCTATACTCCGTACACTTTCCATATTTGACAGAGAGTCGTGTCCTAAACCGGCTCATGCCATTATGGCGTGGCTGGCGTGGCTGGCGTGGACAAGGTGGATAAGGTGGCTGGTGAGTACGCGTTGCTGACCGCCTTGGACGAGACTCACACCGGCTGTATAGAGTAAATGCTGTAGTCGTACTTGTACTCTACTCTGACTCTTCAAAAAAAAAAAAAAAAAAAAAAAAAACCAAAAATAATCGGTATAACAATTCTTGTGGTGAGTGTTTCACGTGATAATCGTCAGCGAGACATACTAACTAACCATAGACAGGCTAGTGTCGGCAGGAGTGATTAGTGCCGTTTCAGAGCTGTCGCAGAAAGTGGATGTAGTACACACGGTAGAGATTACTTGCACTATGCACGGTATAGACACAGACATTATAATAAAATACAGGACAATTATCATTTATAAATCAAGGGGATTCTAAACTACAGAGTACAAGTATGTACAGATATAGTATACCAATTAACTAAAGCAGTGAAACACAACACATCCAAATCGGGTATAGCGCGGGTGCCTCTCCAAACCGCCAAAGAACGACGACGACGACGACCCTGTCTGAGCACAACTGCCGGCGGTTGCTTTCTCTCTCTCTCTCTCTTTCTTTCTTCTCTCTGTGTGTTTCTGTTATCTGTTCCTCTGTTCTTTGCTTGTATTGTTCTCTTGTCTACTCCGTATATCTTCATTCATCTGATCTCAAGCGTATCTCATCTCCGAGGCTAAGGTTGCGACTAGCCTCACTACGGCTTCGGCCTAAGAAATCCCCTGAGCTCAGACTCGAGAGGCGCCACTGTGAGTATTTGGTCACTGAGACTGGGAGCGTCAGAGTCCTGGCTTCCTGCTCACTGTTGATATCTCAGTATTCACAGTGCCCCCGGACGACTCCCACTCACCCCGCCAAAACAACCACATCCCTTCCCCGAGACGACGACCACGACGACCACGACCTTCTCTCCCGATCTTCCCCCGAACTCCAGCACAGCCTCTTTCTCTTTGTCTGTTTCAATTGACTTGTCTTTGACGGATAAGAGCATCGTCATTTCGTCATAATAAAACGCTCGTGCCTTTTACCTCCACAACTTCGATACTCCCCCCCCCCTGTCGATCCCTCTCTTTGCGGGCAAAAGCTCCCAGCGCTTCGCGTCATTTTGGCCCGGCCGGAATATTGTACTTGTGGATGAGGACCGGTTCCCCTGCATACATATTCGTCGCGTGTCTATCCATCTGCTGAATTTTCATATTGCATCTTGCTTGGTTGTTAGTTCCGGGAGTAAACATGGCTGGTGACGACCCCTTTGCCTTCTTGGCTAGTAATACTACTACTACTACTACCTCCGAGAGCAAGCCTGCCGGAAAGAGGTCTCTTTGGAAAGAAAAATTCTTCAACAGGGATAAAGGGAACAGATCCTCTACCGACCAGCAAGTCGAGGCTTTCTTGGGCCCAAACCGCTCCGCATCTCAATCCCAAGGCTCGTCCGCAGCTGCGACTCCCCGTTCCACCGCTTCGAAATGGCCCTCACCACAAGAGGTCATCAATGCCTCGGCAGCCGGCGACTCTGCCAATTACACTATGATGCCACCCAAAAAGAAGAATCCTGCCCGTCAAGGTTTGAAGGTGTCATTCACCATGGCAACGCCTGAATTGATTGGAGAGGGTGGTGATGAGTCTGATGTTCCCACCATTGAAGTCTCGATACAGCGCAAGCGCGCCCGGAGCCAAAGCCAGAGTCAGAGTGTGCCCCAACCCAGCCACGTCCCTGCTCCACCGGAACCGGTACCCCACAGAGAGGGAACGCCCCAGTTGCGAGTCGATACATCAACCGTTGGTCCAAATCCGCATGATGTAGCCAGAACCATCCCAGATAGCAAACCGCCCCTCTTGCAAAACCCTCAAGATGCGGATTTCCTCGTGACGCTCAGTTTGGGCGATCGTGGATCTCGTCTATCCTTCCGAGCATCGCCAGACTCCAATTCGTTTGCCCAGCGTGTCCGTCAAAAGATGCAGTTAGAAGAAGGCCGTGCCTTGCAGACTCGCCTCCAAGACGACCCTCCTTTCCAAGACGATCCTCCCTCCTTGGCCGAAGAGGACGTACCACCTGCAAGCGAGCAACGACCAGGCTCGCCCGCCAGCGTCGGTTCTCTCTACGAAACACCGCCCTTCTCCGCCATAGACCCGACTCCGCCAGCCAACAATGCCCTTCAAGGCCCTCCCAGTCAGGGATCCGACAGCGTGCCTCCAGAGCCTCCGGTCCACAAGGAACCTACGCTTCCGTTTGGGATCAAGCCCGCGAACGCTGGAATCCTGCACCGCACACCGACAAAAGCCGTCAAGGCACAGCCCAAGATGGACGACGATTCACCCAGCGAAACCAGTAGTCGCCCCACCACCCGTGACACTCACGAAGGTCGTCCCACTACCCGAGACACTCACGAAGGCCGTCCCACCACCCGGGACAGCAATGCAGCCCCGTACCAACCACAGGCGCCGCGCATCTCGATGCGAGCGATTGCCAATCAGGTTGGTGATGCTGCGTTTGTCGAGTTCCAACAATATGTGGCACGCTACACCAGTTTGTTTAGAACGTCGGCAGAGAGTGTCAAGCCCCTCATGGAGACGTCTTTGGCGGAATGGATGAGGGCTGCTGTGTGGTGGTTCCTACAAGGGCGTAAGGCACTCGAAGCCTACGCTCGGTCTCGTGGACCCACTAGCCCCGGAGGCGGCTCGACGATTGACGCGCGACAAGCAGTCCTGGACCTGGGCAAATCCCTGTGGATCAACGAGGCCATTTTCACCCAGCACGAGGAGCTCACTCGGTATGGCGCATCGAGCGTCGACGCGTTACAAGAAGTCGTCATGAGCACGGGCGACAAGCAGATGGCCGATGTTCTCGGCTTGCACCAGGGAATTCTCAATCACCTGCGCTCGCTGGCCATGTCGATCAAGAAAAATAACATTCTCGCCAAAATCGTCGCGTCCGAAGCTCTCGAGCCCGCTGATGATCTCGAGAGCAGTGTCTGGCTGCGATACCCATTCTTTGCCCCTGATGTGTCTGCCGTCCTTTCGGGGGCCGCTTCTCGGTCCATGTTGGTGGATCGTTCGGGAGATAGCCCTAGTATGTTTACGATGCTGCCTCTTAGTGACACCCCTCGTCATTTCAGTTACGGAACGATGTTTGTCGACGTATACGTGAGCTCCGCGGAAGACGACACTCAGCAATATGCGATTCCCTGCGCGTTATCCATTCTCCGCGAGCGCAGCGACTGGTACGTTTTTGCCGCCATCAACAGTCAGAGTGAATTGGTCAACGTGATGATCCAGTCGGATCGGAAGAAGGGTCCCACGTGGGACGATGTGGAATGGCAAGTTCGCACGAACTCCATGCGGGTCCGGTTGCCCCGTGGTTTCGAACTAGATGTCATGTTCCAAGAGGCTGATTTCAAGATGATCTGGAATATCGTCAAGTACACCACGAAGACGGAGGAGAGTCTGAAGCCCGAGGCGGGTGAAAGGGTGATTTTCGAAAGTACCCTCAAGGTTTTCCAGTACATGGATCCCGGCATGCCCAAGGCCTTCCCCGCGGAGCCCATCGAGCGATGTCGGATGCGGTTGTTTGAGCGAACGACTACTGTTACCGAAGGCACCGGCACGCGGAGTATCCACCAAGGATTCCGGGTTACTGTGCTTACCAGTCCCAAGGTGAAGGTCCTCAGCAACGCTCGTCATATCCTAGGATACGGAAGTCCCGTAGTGTTCGGTCTGTTGCGCGGTGAAGACGGCGCGCCTGCTTTCGTACTCAAGGTCACAGAGGAGGGCAGGACCCGGTCGATGTTGATGACGTTCCACGACGTCCAGGAGCGTACAATGATGCATTCGTTGCTTCTGGGTGTGCTCGCTAAGCAGAACGAGCTTAAGACTTCGGATGTGCCCATTCGCGCGTTTTCTATTGAACAGCCATATGACAGAGTCAGTGGTCGAGCAGCAATTATCCATCTTCAATTCTCGGCCGGGACTGTTATTGTGATTGACCAGCAGCCTGGTATGGTGGACCACCAGTATGGCCCGACTATCCTTTCGGAGCACCTGCGGGCTCTCATCACTAGCGAATGGGGGTCTGTTACGGATCGAATCAACTTGGGTCCTGGCGAACTGAAGCTGGGCCTGGATGTGAACAACAGAACGGGGTTGAGCTTGTACCGCCCTGCACAGCAAGATTTGACTCTTTCGGTTGCCGAAAACCTCGTCCGTCCTGAAATGCCTGGTAGCCTGAGCGATTTTCTGCAGGCGGCAATGGTCAAGCCGATGATTCGACGGTTTGATTTTGCCTCGTTGGCTGGTATGTTAGTACCTTACTGTTTTTGGGTTACATTTACTAACTTTGCTAGCTCTGCATGATTTCGAAGCTGCCGTGACTGGGTTCAGAGTACTATACGACAGCATCGCTACATCGTTCATGATCTCTCGCCGTCGAATGGTGGTGCCAATTCACAAAAAGTGGGAAGCAGGTCTTACCCGAGTTCAGATTGTCCGGCAAGAAAAGGTCTTCCAGCTGTTGGCATTCTTCAATGATTTCCCGCACGGCAAATGCATGAACTGGGTCCTCAAGGGTACGGACAACATGGAGAGCTTCATGCGCTCTGGCAAGTTCTGGATCCGCTTTGTCGATGCCAAATTCGCCTTGCCTAGGAAAGATGATGATGCGTCTGCGGATTTCGTTTGCTTGGATATGCCGGAATACCCCATTGAGCATGATGATATCTCGATTGCCTTTGATTCTGAAAGTGGTATGTCTGCCTCATCTAGATGGGAGTTACTCTACTGACAATACAGACCGCGCAAAATTCCAAGCTGCCGTCCCTGGATCTGTCCGCGAACCATCGAGAATGGGATCTCTCCGCCGGTGATCGGGATTGATAAGCCGATGTTTGTTTCTGGGGTCAGTCACGTGGCAACCCCTCAAGTCCCCACGCGTGACGTGATCAAAAACGCCCACCTTCCTCAATTGCACGTCTCAATTGTTATCCCTCAACGTCGCAATGCATTCTTCACTTGAACACGCCGGTCCGTCTACGCTCTCGCTGCACGCCGATGACCCGGTGAATGTGGTCACTGATGTGGCCCCTCCGCTGCACGTTGCTACCACGTTCCGGTATCCCGACAATCCCGAGGATCTTGTGCCTGTCGCGGACGCGGAAAATGTAGGCCATTAGCTTTCTTGTCCTAGGGTTGACGCTGACTTGTCTAGTATAACGAAGATCCCCACACTCATATTTACTCCCGCCTTTCCGCTCCTAACTACACCCGTTTCGAGTTCATCGTCTCATCGCTGCTCCACGGTCACGCTATCAGTTACTCGTCTGGATTGTCCGCTCTGCACGCCGTACTAGTGTTGCTGAACCCCAAACGGGTCTCCATTGGCGCTGGATACCATGGTTGTCACGGTGTGATCGAGATGTTTAGCCGATTGACGGGGCTGAAGGAATTGAGTCTCGACTGCCCAGCGGAGGAATTGCAATCCGGTGACCTCATCCTTCTCGAGACTCCGGTGAATCCCCACGGCACGGCGTTCGATATCGAAGCATATGCGAAGAAGGCGCATTCTCGTGGAGCATACTTGATGGTGGACAGTACCTTTGCGCCGCCCAACCTGCAGGATCCGTTTGCATGGGGCACGGATCTGGTGATGCACTCCGGTACCAAATACTTCGGTGGACACAGCGACATGCTCTGCGGAGTGATCGCCACAAAAAATGAAGACTGGGCCCTCCAATTGCGCAAGGACCGCTTATACCTAGGCAGCGTAATGGGTAACATGGAAGGCTGGCTCGGCGTCCGCAGTCTCCGAACCTTAGAAGTCCGCGTCCAACGCCAGAGTCAAAACGCAACCAAACTAGTCACCTGGCTACAAAACGCCCTAAACACATCCAACCCCGCCCCAAACAGCGACGAAGCCGCCGTCCAAGCAAACCTCGAGTCGGTCTACCACGCCAGTCTCCAGTCGGAGCCATTCGTCCGCAAACAAATGCCCAACGGCTTCGGACCTGTATTCTCCATCGTCATGAAGAAAGAAGACCAGGCAAGACGACTGCCTAGTAAACTCTCGTTCTTGCAGCACGCGACGAGTCTGGGCGGTGTCGAGACGTTGATTGAGTGGCGGGCTATGTCTGATCCAACGGTTGATAGAAGGTTGTTGAGAATTAGCGTTGGGTTGGAGAATTGGGAGGATTTGAGGGAGGATTTGGTGGGGGCGTTCAGGGAGATGGCCTAGTTGTATTGTACAGAGTAGTGGATGAGTGATGCAAGGCGAATGCGAATACACTATTGTGTAGATTCGAGTGACTATGTCATAGCCATATAATAGAAGTCTAACAAATAATCAAAGTCCAATTCATGCTATACCGTCTTCATACCTCCAGAACAGAACCAATCAATCGCCCAAAACACGCGCTTGGCAATTCATGACTAGTCAACTGGTGAAGCGGCATCGATCGACGCAGCCATGTGCCATGTACGGAATGATATGTGCCACCTGCACTGGTTGTTCATACGTTCGTTATCTCGAGTATCTCGTGTTTGAATAGGATGCTATCAGATCATGATCTGGACGAAGGTCCGCACGTAACGGCGCCAGAGGCGAGCTACGCTGCCACCTCCCTCTGCTGATTTCATAGCGCACCATATCACTGGGGAACTTGTTTTGGTATCCATGGCAGTTGATTCCAGAATAGACTGGGTCAGAGGAGCAAAACACACAATCACGGAGGGACACTTTTGGCTTGGCTTCATTGAGCTCCGTTCATATAGGTTCTCGGAAAGGTCACGTTGTATTGCTAATCGTAGTATGCGATTGAGCATGTTCGCAATACGTGCATGCGGGTTGCGCTTCATTAACCGCGTGCCATTGCCAGGCCAGGTCATATGTAAGTAGATGTATGGCCGTCGATTACAGTCGTAGCCACATGCTTCGAGACATAGGCAGAGCCACAGTCAAGCAAGACAAGATAAAACAACACCCATGTCGAATTCTTCTGGGCTGCTCAGGTTCTCAAATCCCGAAAACACAAATTCCATTGCTGGGTCGTAGCTGGGACTAGACGGAATTAAACAGAGCAAATAAAATGTTTTGTTTGTATACTGGACGGAGATCCGTTCGGAAACCGTCCAGGCCGTTTAATGCAGCAGGAGATTATATTAGTAGCTTCTGGAACGTGCTGTTAGTGCAGCGAGTGTACGAATAGCATGTGGAGTTTTGATGAACGAGGGACGGCACAGCGGTAATCGAAAGAGGAGGTTGTTACTCGCGTGTTGAACAAGTCAGCTCGCTTTTTGACAATATAGCGTGTGCGGTGTACCAGCACTATAATCATTACCAAGCTTCAAGTTGGTAAATTGCCAGTTAGTTAGCCCATGGCACCATAGAATCGGCGAGCGAGTGCGAGCACTGAACTGAGTTAAATACCACACTGTCAGATTGGAGGTATGGTTAGTTCTTGGTAACAGCTGAGACGGACCAATGCCCATCGCTAGTGTCTGTTGTACAATGCTGTTCTCCATAATTGGAAATCTTTGGACTCCATTGCTGTTGGGGGTATCCCGTGTCTTGGGATATAAAATGACTCTCGAGCCATCGAATAAAAATAGGTCTCGCATATTTTGTTGACATACTACTTGAATCTAGTATGTGACAAAGTTAGGGGAGCATTCCTTTGCTCGAAAGCAGGTTTGGCCAGTTCCTTCGGGTTGATCCATTATTGAGAGAAGAATCCGCTATGAGTATCACTTGTATCCTCAATTCGGAGAAGTTGCTGGCGTCCGGGAGTTAACGATAGCTGGCAGTAGCTTGCGTCGTCAATCATGCACGGAAGCAAGACGGCACTCCGTCCTCAGAGGAAGACAGAAGGGGCTCATAGCCCTATAAATGATCTCAATTAAAGCTTCCAAAGGCGACGCCGTAATGGTTTAGAAACACCCTTCCAAGCCTTGTATATGGCTTTCGCGGGGGCGAGTGCTGTCTGTTGGAGGAGAAATGGTGTCTAGCAACTCGATAAATGGCCCACTAGATTACCAAGTTCGTTTTCCATATGCTATATCGTAGCCATATGATAGGTCTATAGCATTTCGGTGCTCCTTTGGCATATTGAATCCTCACGAGGTATGGTATGGAGAACAACATGAACTTGTGTGTTTCGTCATGGCGTTAGAAAAGGTGAGGATGTGGTCAAGAGGTAGGAATAACTATTTAGCTCCTGATTCACTGTAAGTGAGGCTCCATTTGGTATAGCCTCTATTCACTGTATTCCCTTCATGGTTCTAGAGAAAGACTGGACTATATCACTCGATGAGCGTGTGCCCTCTCTCCTTGTCACCGGGTTAATATCACAAATAATAAGAAGGGATAAATCCAGGACTAACTAAAAACACGCATATGATGTTCAGTTTTCCATGTTGGAGCTCTCAATGCAAATCGACACCTAAATACAGAGAGGCAAACAAGCCCGCCGTGACTTGTCAAGGAATACTTAGGTCTTAGGGTCAGATAAACTTATACTCCAAGGACCCAAATCCACACCTCTCAATATACAAATTTATCATTGAAAACGGAGAGTAGATCATCCTTCTCGCCCTTCGGGGATCAAACGAAAAGAATAAATCCCTAGGGCTTCTAGATAGAGACCGAAAGACCGTATAAAAGTCACGTGATCCCATCCCCGCCGAGAACGGCGATCCAAACAATATTTAGCACCTCGATTTTCCCCCGACCATCACACCACCACCGCCAAACCCATAAACTCCCCAGCAAAATGATGCTCTGTAGTCGCGCAGCACGCACGGCCACAGCCGCACGCACAATCCGATCTTTCGCAACCGCCACAACACAATCCCCCGTCACCAGCGCAGCCAAAAACCACAAAGTCGTGGTTATCGGCGGCGGCACCGCGGGGCTCTCCATCAGCCACCAACTCCTCGACACGGGCAAATTCACACAAGACGACATTGCCATCGTCGACCCCTCGGAATGGCACCATTATCAGCCCGGGTGGACGCTTGTTGGCGGTGGGTTGAAGACGAAACAGGAGCTGCGTCGGCCGTTGCAGAGTCTGCTTGATCCGAAGCTCAAGCTGTACCGGGGTAGTGTTGGTTCTTTCGCGCCGAAGGAGAATGTCGTTACGCTGGCGAACGGGGATAAAGTGAACTACGAGCAGCTCGTCGTTGTGCCCGGTATTAGCATCGACTATGATAAGATCAAGGGCCTTCCCGAGGCGCTCGCGGAGAAGGACTCGCTCGTCTCGTCGATTTACGGATATGATACTGTGGATAAGGTGTTTGGCACGATTCAGAAGATGGAGAAGGGCAAGGCGCTGTTTACGCAGCCCGCTGGCGTGATGAAATGTGCTGGCGCGCCGCAGAAGATTATGTGGCTTGCGCTGGATCACTGGAAGCAGCGGGGACTGTATAACCCTACCAACCCTGGTTCGTCGTCGATTAATATTAGCTTCGCGACGGCGCTGCCGGGTATGTTCGGTGTGCCGAAGTACAGTGCTAAACTCGAGGAACTGCGCAAGGAGCGCGGTGTCGAAGGACTCTTCACGCACGACCTTGTCGCCGTCAACGGCAATACGGCTACCTTCTCCGTCAACGGAAAGGAGCAAGTCCAGAAGAAATTCGACCTGCTGCACGTCGTCCCCAAAATGGGCCCCTACGGCTTCATCAAAAACTCCCCCCTCGCCAACGAAGCCGGCTTCGTCGACGTCAACGACAACACCACCCGCCACAAGACATTCCCCAACGTCTGGTCCGCCGGCGACGCCTCCAGCCTGCCCACCTCCAAAACCGCTGCCGCCGTAACAGCCCAAGCGCCAGTGCTCGTCCGCGGCCTTACCCAGGCTCTCGAGGGTAAGGAGGTTGATGTTGGTTCTGCGGCTGAGGGGTACGATGGATACACATCTTGTCCGATTACGACGGAGTACGGAAAGGTGTTGCTTGCGGAGTTCAAGTATGGGAATGTGCCGAAGGAGTCGTTTAATGAGTGGTTTGGGTGGGATCAGATTGAGCCGCGGAGGGCGTTTTATCATCTGAAGAAGGACTTTTTCCCCTGGGTTTATTATTCGGCGTTGGTTAAGGGGTCTTGGGGGGGTCCGAAGGGTTTCTTATAGATTCCCTAGTAGTGTATTATTAGGTTGTGCTTTATAAAAGTTCTGATTACTAGGTATCAATGCATCTGTACGGAGTCTTGACAAGCAATTTGTTTTATTCAATGTCGTATAGATCAGGAGGTGCTGGGCTAATCACTATACACTACTGTACACTATAATCTATAATACAGGCCTAGTACAAAGGCAGCTTATAAGCATCAAACTCATACTGCCACGTCTCAAAGCTCTCCTGATCAAAAACACACTGCATCTCCCCATTCTTCCACAACGGCCGCTGCGGCCAAGCGCAAAGCTCGCCGTTCTCACCCTTATGATCGCCGCTAAGCACAGTAGCATTCAGCGTAGACGGGGCATTCCCCTTCTCAACCCAGTCGATCATAACAGCCATGTTAGTCTGCGGGAAGGGACCGTTGGGCTGCGAGGTACTGGGCGAGCAGTGCGCGGCGCCGGGGACGAGGTACAGTTGGTACCAGTCTGCGAGAGCCTTGTTGCTGTCGTCGAAGTTGAGGTTGGGGTACATGATCTTGCGGACGGACTCGTGGTAGTGCACTGACGAGGCTGGGGGAATGGAATTGTCCGATTCACCATGGTAGTGCAGGATCTTGCCGCCGGCTTGTTGGAAGGGTGTTAGGTCCGGGTTTGTGGTCTGCAGGACGTCTCCGTAGCGGTTCCAGCCGAGTTCCATCCACTGGATGAGGGTGTCGTAGGTGACGTTGTCGAGGGAGTAGATGTTGTCTGCTTGTTCGAGGTTGAGGAAGCGGGCGACCCATTCGCCGCTGAGGGAGTTGATGGAGAGTTCCCACTTGCCCGTGTCGTAGTTGTACTGGGCGTCGGCGTCGTCGAAGCCGGCCGAGGGCTGGTACCAGAAGTAGGCGCGGCGGCCTTGGGAGTCTTTCAGGCCGTCGAGTATCTTTGCTGCAGCGGCGGCGCCCTTGGCGGAGATGGTGCCGTTCTGCGCGGGGACGGTGCTGGTGGTGCTGGTGCGCTTGCGGAGCATTTCGGTGCTGGAGGAGGCGGTGCAGGAGTAGGGCTTACCGATGGTCGAGTTGACGTTGAAGTGCAGCTTGCAGAGGTCGGTGCGGGAGACGACGCCGTCCTTCTTGCCGTCTAGGCCGTCGCATGCGGCGATGGTCAGGTTGACGATCTTCTCCAGCTCGCAGGTGGGTGGGTAGTAGCCCATGGTATGCTCGACCACGTCGGGGAACAGGTGGTTCACCTGCTGCTGGCCGTAGCGGATGGCGGGGGCACCGATGATGACACCGTCCAGGTCCTCGGCGAACCGCTGTGCCTGGGACCAACCATCACGACCACCCTCGGAGCAACCCTGGTAGTAAGAGTAGACCTTGGACTTTTCCGCGACAGAGAAGAAGTTGCGCGTGAACGCCTTGCCAATGACACCCAGCTCGTGAATAGCCTGGTATCCGAACATGTAAATGGCATCCAGGTTATTGGTGCCGTTCGCAATCGGGGTCACCGAGGTCAGCTGGTTCGAGAAACTCCCAAATCCAGCATCGGTCTGACCAGCCGCAGCTCCATACATAACACCACCAGGGAGCGAGCTCTCCTGGCTGTTAATGGCGAAACCACCACCACCGGTCGACAACCAGCGGTTCTGGAACTTGTCCGGCGTGGGCAGCCAGACCTCCAGCAGGACGCGGTCATCCTTGCCGGCGTGCGAGTAGGCGAGCGTCACGTTACAAAAGTCAAAAGTAGCGTCGGGGAAGTAGTTCTCGTCAGAGACGGAGTAGTTGGTGACCACATTGGTGGTGACAGACGAGGAATCGAGTTCGATGCCTTCAGCCACATCGAGAGGGAGGGCGTTCTTCACATTGGAAGTAGTGCAAACGGACTGCAGGGAGGCGGCTTGAGCAGCCAAAGGGAGCGTAGAAGCAGCTGCAGCCGCGAGAGTTGAACGAGAGACGCGCATCTTCATGCAAAGTCAAAAGAGTGACTGTTGGTTGATAGAAAACGGAAAGAAGACAGCGAAGGAAATAAAGTTATATAGACTCTCCGGCCCCTGGAATAAAGCTCAACGTCGTCATCTTCACACGTCGCGCCCCTGATTTAGACGAAGTTTAACCGTGGATAGTGTTTCCATACTTCGATGAGTCTGCTGTGTAGGGCAATCCCGCCCGATGTGCTGTTGTTAGGGAAAAGAGCTTATCCTGAGGTATATCCAATCGGGTAACTGATAGGCAGTAGATATTATATTATCTCCGAGCTCGGAGATGCACTGCGTTCTGAGTATGGATCCATTGCGTGTGCAGATACTATAATTATTGAGGCTGGTTTCAAGAGTTTGGGATAGAAACATCGAGGTTTGGTATGAGAGTGAGAGGTGAAGGTTGGATGTGTCACGTGTGTGTGTGGAAGTGTCGGGGTAGCTAATCAGTGGTCAATTGCAGTCACAGCTGAATATGCAGGGTTGAATCTTGTAAGCAAAAAATAAACAAATTATGCGTAAACAATTATATGTAGGGTCATATAGGATAATACCTGGATATAAAAAAATGGCTCATTTCATGTCCGTCGAATCAATATCACCTGACCCCGCACTATCATCCCACTTCACCTCTACCAACTCTCCCACCACCACCACGACTCAACATCATACAACTACAACCACAATGGCAACCTTCCAAATCCACTACTTCTCCACCGCCTCCTCCTACGCCAACAAAAACACCGAAGCCCTCCCTGCGCCCCTCCCACTAGCCCAACTCTTCGACACCCTCGAGTCGCGATACCCGGGCATTCGCGAAAAGGTCCTGCAAAGCTGTGGTGTGAGTGTTGGTGATGAATATGTAGATGTTGAAGAGGCGGAACAATATCAAAGTGAAGGAAGGGTGATTCAGGCTGGAGATGAGGTTGCGATTATTCCCCCGGTTAGTTCGGGGTGATTGATTACGATACAACAATGGAAAGACAATCATGCGATACGGTGCAGTGCGACTATCCGTCCAATTTCTCTACCCCAGTCGCGGCCTTTTTCTTCATGCGCCAGAGATATCCACTGCAGGCTGCTGAGAAGAAGAATAACACACTGTACAGAGTACCAGTTAGCTCATTCTGATGGAGAGGGGAAGGGGACTCACCATAACCCAATACTCAACCCCCAAATCGACTTGGCCTCCAAACATACTTCCCTCGATATTCCGATCCAACTTCCATAGTCGACCTTTCCGCCGTTCAAGTTGCTTAGATACTCGCTCAACCGCGTCGCAAATGCATACGCTGATGTATCATCGTCTCGTCGCATGAGCGAGGGAATACCCGCGCATTGGAGATACGAGAATGGTCGTCCGATAATTACCGCGACGACGATTAACGCCGTCATAAGAAGTGTATCAATAACCGCACAGTATAATAAGGGCAGGACATTATCCAGAAGGATAATGGATGTCAGGATGCAGTATAGCACGGCGATGGAAGTCTTCACTCATATAGTCAGCCATTGTCACCTTGAATATAACCGGTTACGAATGCATACATACCACAGTAATAGTCCCAATCAAAATGCTCGGCGGTTTCGCGTTAATCTTGACAATCTCTGCGATGAAGTTGGCCGCCAGGCCGATGACGGCAATCAGCGCGCAGGACTGGAAGATGCGTGCGATTTGGAATGTTGCTCGGAGGGCGTGCATTTTGTCTGTACTATTATTCAGGAAACTTATCCCAGAGTATCTGTTTCTATCGATCTTGTGGGCGCAAAGCAAGACTTTATACTCCGTGCCATACACATACACATCCAGATGTGCATACCGGTCTAGACCACCACCCGGCGCCAGACTCATCTAGACCTCTCTATTCCCTTTCTTCTCTTCATGAAATAGAATGCAAAAACAAAGTCTATAAAGAAAAGCAAAAATAGAACAAGGGCGCTCCACAACCCCGGCGCTTGGAAAGACCTTTATTATTCCCCGGGATGTTCAGCGCCAATGATGTCGTTAACTTTATGCGATCTGAGACTTGATTTGTCGCTTGTCGCTTGTTGTATCTTTAGCTTTGTGGATATTTATGGGTATGGGTATAGTAGAGCTGCAATGTTATTATATATTGGTGTCGTGGATCCAGGACCGCGGTAGAGATATACAACCGGCGCTAACTATCCCACGTAAATCACCACATATCACATTATAAGTACCTTAGCTTAACTATTATTCAATAGACATTATTACTCCTACAGAGCACGTATACCCAATTACTTCAACCTAAACCCACCACTCGTCCTCTTCTGCAAGAATCCCTCCGGATCATATCTCTCCCTCGTTTCCCTCGCTGTATCCGCCGTGCGCAACCGTCCCCAGTAATCTTGCCGATGATATGCGTCGTTCATGAACAGCGGACGATATACATCAGGCAACACGCCCTCGTCGACGTAGTTGGAGATAATCTGGTCGAGGCCATTGTAGAGTTGCTGGTGCGTGCCGTCGATCTTGGCGTCGCTGGAGGCGAAGGAGTAAGAGAAGTCGAGTTCGAGGATGATGTAGTCTTGGTCGGTGGGGAAGTCGATCAAGTCCTGTGATTTTGCTGTTAGTAGTGGTCTTATTGGTAAACGGGGTCTAAGGGTGCTTACGCCGCCCAATTCCTTGGCCTTTTTGGTGATAGTACGAGGCATTGGTTGGAAGGCCATGGAGGCGATTACGTTCGGGACGTCTAGGACGTTGTTGGTGACGTTCATCCAATGGTCGTAGAAGGTCTGGAACACGTCGGATGCGGCATCCTTGCTGGGGAGGGGCGTGGTCTCAGTGCCGATCACGTACCGCTGGCCCTTCAGGATGAAGATGTCGTTTTTCTTGAGCAGGTCGTAGTAGGAGTCCCAGGTCTTGGTGGCGTCTGTTGGACCAATGGCCTTGAACTTTTCAAAGACGTCGTCTGGTGGAGACTCGCCGTCGTAGAAGAGGAACATAATCCATGTGTTGAGGATGGGGGTGTGGTCGGCTGTCAGGATGATGGCGGCCTTGTCGTCGGGGTAGTTTGCTGTGAAGTCATGGACGGCTTCGAGGAGTTCGGAGGTTTTGTCGGCTGTGAAGAAGTAGTTTCCTCCCCAGACCTTGTGGTCCTGGGGATGCGTCTTCATTTGGTAGTTCGTGACGATTCCGAAGCTGCTGCCGCCGCCCTTCAAGGCAAGGAAGAGGTCTATATTCGTTAGATATATTCTTCACCAAAGATGACCGTGGACTTACCGGAATTCTCCTTCTCGGTAGCATGGACAACAGTGCCATTGGCGAGGACCACCTCGAAGTCAACCACGTTGTTGGCAGCCCAGCCATACTGCGAACTGAGGAAGCTCAATCCGCCTCCGAGCATATATCCTCCAATACCAACACCTCCCATACGTCCACCGACAATTGTTCGACCGGTTCCGTCCAAGCCCTTTTGCGCATCTTCCCACGAGAGACCAGGTCCGATGTCAGCTGTCTGGTCATCATCGTGATACACGACCTGGTTGAGATTCTTGGTCGAGATGAGGACACCATCCTGAACACTAGCAAATCCAGTATTCGGCATGTGTCCTCCAGACTTCACAGCGAAAAAGTCATTCGTTTGATGCAATTCCTTGACAATCGTGGCCACTTCTTGAGCACTGGACGGATAGACAATGCATGTTGGCTTGAGGTCACCACAGGCAAGTGACCAGTAGTCGTGCAACTCAGTAGTATAGTCCAAAGACGGAGACTGCTCGATCTCGATATTCTCAGTTTCCAGCTTGGAGCAGATGTCGGCTGCCGCTAGCGGGGCTAGGGCCAGGGAGAGTGTGGCGAGTGCACGCCACCCTTTGAAACTCATGGTGTTTGGGGAAGTAGATCAAACGATGCTTGTACAATTATCTCCAGCGAGTCACACTTGTATATTAATACCCCAGACGAGGGGACTAGTGATAGTTAGGGGTTTGCCATAAAAAGCAACCAAAATCCGATAAATGCTCGAACCGAGATTGATTTTGCATCATCACGACGATCTGGGGTTGGTGTTTGTCAACGGCCCGGAGCCCAATCCGAGGTATATTCAGATCCGAATGATAGCCCAAGCGCCAAGTTAGCACCATTTGGGTTTGGACGATCCTGTGGACTGTGAATACGGTCTGCAGAATTCACTTTGGGATGAATTCCACAGTGGGATATATCTATGTTGAAGTAATTGCCATTCAGAATGAAAATTGATGCCGTTGTTTCTCTATCCGCATAGTCAAATTATGTTTAAAGATGTAAAGGGGGTGTTTCCGGTGATTTACCTAGAGTTCTATGAATGCCCAAGCGAGAGTTAGACTTGCTAACCGAAGAAAAGTGGATAAGGCCAAGTCGCTCTGAAACAAAACAGTACAGAGTAAATGCTATGCAGCCCCTGGCTAACGGCTTCGAAAGGATATCTCGCTTGGACTGAAAAAGCAATGATAAGCAGTGCTTCAACAGCCAGGACGTTAATTCTGCGATGTTACTGTAGGAGGTAAGCCATCACATGAGATTGCACAACAACCGAGGATAGCTGCGATATGCACCCCGCATATGGCTGAATTACGCACTTCGGAGGAGTCTGTATGAGCAGTAAAGAACTTGAATCAATCGCAAAGATGAATGGTCAGAACCGTAGCAATCAGCATTCCATATTTGGTGCTTTGCCGGGAATTTCCAATCTAAGACGGGGCCGATGTTGAGTCCTACCCACACCGTATTCACTGGGAAAATCATCCTCGTACGGAGAATTCGGAGCACGCCGCGATAAATTGCCGTAAGAAGACTGGACCATGGTATCCCAGAGAAATGTCCCGGACGAGATGGATATGGCGATACACGAGAACGAACTCAATAGACGAATGTGGACCGGTGTTATCTGAAAAGGGGCTTGTTATCTCGCCACATGAAGGATGGAAAGACAAGTCCACTAGACATTCATGTTCCGCCCTAAATTTGAAGATTTCATGAATTGGCTTGCTTGATGCGAGAACGAGAACGAAAACGGAGGACTGCAGTGTTCTGGACATAGCGGAATTGCGCACTGTAGGTATTGACAATTGAATGCCTCTGCCTTCTACCCGAATGACAGTAAATCAATTGGAAACCCACAAAGCATCAGAAAGCAAGCAGTCCATGTGTGTTTGCTGTACTTCGCACTCTGGAGGAAACTTGGGATTTCCCTTTTGAGATTCTGTGACCATGAGAGAGACACCGCCTAGGCGGTGGCCTATATGCCGGCAGTATACAAAATTTCGCTGATAGTAGACCAGCGGCGGCAATTCTTCTTTTCTTTCCTGGTGGAGGTTCAGGATGTCGTTGGCGTTGTCGAGAGCTAGAATTTTTCAGAAACTTCCGGACGGAGGTTATGGCTGTGCTCGTGCAGCCAGCCGGGCAGCCATTTCCTCTGTCAGAGTTGTCTCTGGCCGTCCGGCGATTTGCCGCCGCTCGAACTCTCAGGCGAACTCGCAACGAGCGTTCAGCAATACATATCAGGTATGTCTTTGTACGTCTGTATGAAGTGATGGATAGCTAACGCAATTTAGAGTTTCGCCACAATACAAGACCTCGCAAAACAAACGGCATCGATCGAAGAAATCCAGTTGAAGAACGAATTCGAGGCGAACAGAGACATCCGGGACTATCTGGTAAAATGGCAGAAACAGAATCCGAATCTCCTCGATCCGGTTCGAGAACCGGAGGATGCGACGTCGTCCCGGTGGAGGGGCAATATGTTGAACGATAACCGGGAGGCCGATGGTGCGAGCATCGATGAGTTACAGTCCTCGGACGCAGAGCCGGTAGACTTTTCCAACATTGGCGATGAAGGCGAGGGTATTGATGAATTCCTGGAGCCGGGAGATCTTGTTGCGTTGCACTCGTAAGTGTCCGGATCAGCAATCTGGGAATAAGGTACTGACTTCGGCAGCACCGACGGAAGCTTGACCTTTGGCATCTACGTGCGATCGGTTCAGAAACAACAACAGTTCTATACTGAGAGAGGAAAATGGCGCATTGGATTCCACAGAGATCTTGACTATGTGCTCAAGGGCTTCGCTGAGCCGGAAGACATGGAACCACTGCTTGCATACTTCCCCGACGCTGTCGCAGAACTGAGTCAGGAGTTGCAGTCAAGCATCGAAGGAGGCGTGCCACGGGCATTGGGTGCTCATCTCTTGCAAAGAATGACCTCGTTTAGCAATCAGATTCTGGATTTCTATGGTGAAAATTCGAGTCGGTTGGATGACATCCACGACCTCGTGGCTGATGAGGAAGACAGCGTCGGGTACACGATTGAAGAATTGGCTATCAAGGCGCTGGACATGAAGCAAGATGAGCTGGATGATGTGATTCTGTTTGCTGTTCACCGTGCTGCTACCCGGAATTCATTCCTCATCCAGAATGATCGCAGCTTTGTGTTCTCGGATTACTACCTCGTGCAGCCGAAAAGGATCGCCAGGACATTGCAAACAGTTACGACATGGGTTCATGAACACCAGGAAATGCTCGTTCGGTCTACAATGGGTGAAGATACGCCAAATCTGAAGGGTCACCCGATGCAGGACTTCGCTCAGAAGGCGCGTCGTCTCATCCAACTCAGTCGAAAAGTCCGATCGCCGACGAAGATGGCAAACGTGGGGCCTACATCTCAACGTTTCGAACCAGAGCAGGATGAAAATCCGATGGTGTATCGGGAGGTTGCTACCGAGAAATTCAATCAATTTGACCGCAAAATCATCGAGTTTCTGCAGTTATGGTGCATCCCGCCAAGGCGCATGACGATTGGTTCGCTGAGGTCGTCAGGCTCGCACATCATCCGCACTACCGGGATGTACGGTGGGCTGGAAGTGGACGCTGCGACGGCACCGCTGTTCCTGCAAGAACTGGGCGTGGTGTCTCCTTGGGAGAATATGCGTCTGCTCGACCTTGCCCTGGGTCTTCCGGGGCACGGGATCTCCAGCCGGAATGACAAATTGCTGAAGGGAGTGCGGATGGAATCCCGCAGACTCCAGACAGAAGGAATGATAGACACCATGCAGGACTTGCGGACGGACTGGGGTGAGCTGCCTATCTACTGCGTTGACGATGTGGACGCACAGGAAATCGACGATGGTGTTTCTCTGGAGCCGGTTCCTGGCTCAAATGACGAATTCTGGATTCGCGTGCACGTAGCCAATCCGTCGGCCTTCATCTCGCACGACAATGTGATTATGAAGTACGCTGCCATGCGCAACCAGACTCTCTACACGCCAGAACGCACCTATCCCATGCTCCCACCAGCCCTGACACACAAGAACTTCTCCCTCGCCCCAGGCCGTCCAACACTCACCTTCAGCGCAAGAATGAACCGCCAAGGCGAAGTCCTAGAAACAGACGTCCGCAACGGCACAGCCGGAGACGTAATCTACATAACCCACGACAAGCTCCGCACCCTCTTCGAACCCGAATCACCACCCCAACCGCCCCTAACAGTGGGCGGAGCCCTCACCACGCAACCCACCCGCGAAAACATCCAAAACACCCTCACCCCCTCCGACGAACAAACCTTCCACACAATGCGCGACCTCATGCTCGCCTTCCGCTCAGCCTACCGCCTCAAAAACGGCGCCATGGACTTTCCCTTCTCCCCAGACACCCCCATCACCATCAGCGCCGGCTCCGCCCCTTTCAAACCCTACAACATGCGCAGCACCACAGCAGGGAAATACATCCTCGGCGACCCGATCATCCAACTCCGCCCACAGGATAACAATCCCCACGAAGTTCCCGACCTCACAAAACGAAACCTCATCTCCCTGCTCATGAACCTCGCCTGCTGGGTTTCCGGCCGCTGGTGCGCAGAGCGCAACATCCCAGCTGTCTTCGACGGCACCTGGTATCATCCGGAGTACGCACCGCTCACGAATACCAACATGCACGAGTACGGGGGCGAGTCGTGGCTGAGCATCGCCGCGCCACGGGGTATCTCCTCATCGACGCCTCTGCACCACACAACCCTAGGTCTAGACGCATACGTCAAGTCAACAAGCCCTCTCCGTAGATACTCCGACCTCCTCGCACACTACCAAATCGAAGCCGCCCTGCGCTCCGCCGCAACCACCCCTTCCGCGGACCTCACAACAACTCTCCCCTACACGCACGACTCCATAGAAACCTACCTCCACCGCACGCGCTGGCTGCGCACCCGCATCCGCGACGTCTCCAAAGCCTCAGCCCAACACTGGGCGACCCACCTGCTCTTCCGCGCCTTCTACTTTGCCGAATGCACCCTCCCAGAAACATTCACTTGCATCCTGCACAAACCGCTCTCCCAGGCCGCATTAACAGGGACAGGATATGTCCAGGGCTACGCAGGCACGATCACTAGTCTGGGGATTAAGTGCTTGGTTATGTTTAAGGAGGAGTCGGGTGTTGCGGAGGAGGTGGGGGAGATGGGGATTTTGAGTACGGTGGAGGCGAGGATTAGGGAGGTGGATTTGGGGAGGGGGGTTGTTGTTATGGAAGGGGTTGAGGCGGGGGTTGGGTTTACGAGGGTTGGTGAGTGGGCTTGATCACTGCCCTGTGTAAATTGGATATGACTCTGTTTGAACTTTGATGTGTATAAAATGTATGATTAACGATAGACTGTATTATAGTACAAATACACTCCTACTATACAATAACGATACATAAAAACATTTTGTTTCCCCTGGTCTTCACTCTCAATCTCAATATCAATCAACCAAAAACCTCCCTGACCAACATCTTCTTATTAACTGCATTCATCATTAGCCCCATAATCTACCCAAACACCAGTAAAACGCATCTCCAAATCAAATCCAGAGTAGAAAAACTTACCCTTCCCCATCGCATTTCTCGGAATCGCATCCACAACCCTCATCTCCACCGGAATCTTATACGCCGCCAACCGATCCTTCAACGCCCGCCTCATATCCATAATCCCCCATTTTCCTTTCTTCCCTGATGTTTCAGCATCAGGATGCAATACCACGACGGCAGCGACTTTCTGGCCCCATTGCTCGCTGGGGAGGGCCAGGACGGCGGTTTCGGTTATCTGGGGGCTGTCATCGTCATATTAGCATACGCATGTTCTTGTCCTTGACATAGTTATATAAGTGAAGGGTGAGTAGGACAGGGACATACAGAGAAAGCAACTCCCTCTCAACCTCCAACGCACTAACTTTCTCACCACCAGTCTTGATAATATCAACACTCCGCCGGCCCAGAATGAAATACATAGGTCCCCTTGCCCACTCCCCACTACCACCTTTTCCAGCGGTACTAATCTCCCGTCTCGCAGCGACATCGCCGGTTTTGAACCACTTCCCCTTTTCCGGACTGTCGTGGTCGGTGACGAAAGCTTCCGTGGTAGCGGGTTCATTGCCCCAGTATTCTTTGAACAGACACGGTCCTCGGAGTTGGATTTCACCTTCCCGTTCGCGTCCGGTGATGGGGTCGATTTCCTCGCCTGGTTTGATTACCTCGTTGGTATCTGTATCGACCAGGCGAGCCTCGACGGAGGGTAACGCCCACCCCACACTCCCATCAACACGATCCGTGAAATCAAGGCCGCAACTAATCGCCATTCCAACCTCCGTCATCCCATACCGCTCCAGCAGTACATTTCCTGCACTAAGATCCTTCCATGCTTGCTTGATAGGTGTCGGGAGGGCCGCGGAGCCGGAGATATTCAGGCGTAGGGTTTCGGGGGAAATAGCTGTGCGGGCCGCGGATTGGGTTTCGCGTGGCAGGGAGGGGAATGTGGAGAGGAGCTTTGTGTAGATTGTGGGGACGGCGGTTAGGAAGGTTATTTTGGCTTTGTTGGCGCTGGTGTTGGCGCTGGTGTTAGCGCTGGTTTCGTTGGTGTTGGTGGTGTTGGTGTCTGGGAGGTATGGGGCGGCCAGGCGGCTCCAGACGGTTGTTGGGTTGAAGGGGTACATGAATTCGATTGAGGAGCCGGATAGTACTGGTGTGACGATTGCGTTGACGGTGCCATGGATGTGGTGCAGGGGGAGTAGATGTAGTAACCTGTCGTTGGGGGTATACTTCCACGCCTGTATCAGGGACTCAGCCTGCGCTGTGAGCGCGGATTGGGGTATCAAGACTCCTTTCTGCTCGAATTAGCCAACATCATCCCCCATTAACTGACAATGGCAGGGGGGAGGCATACCGGCCGATTCGTAGTCCCAGACGTATAAAGCATCATCCCCCCCTTCACGCCCTGCCCAAACTCCTCCAGCGATACCTTCTCCGAAACGCTCCCTCCACGGAGAATCTTCTCCCTGACATCCAGGACAGGTTGCTTATCTAGTCCAGCACCTAGAACTTCGCGCGCTTTATCCGCATACCGCTCTGTAGCGAGAAGGACGCTTGCGCCGGAGTTATCCATGATATACTTTAATTCCCCGACGGGGAACCCAGGTGAGAGGGGGAGGGCGATGGCATCGTGCGCCAGGATCGAGAGGAGCGTTACTATCCCAATATCAACTCAATTATTCCAATATGCACAATCCATATCCATTAACTGGTGGTGTAGGGAGAAATACCTACGTAGTCATAGCTATTCTCCGCCAAAAATGCAACCCTTTCGCCTGCCAACGAGCCACTGCCACTCTTTATCCTTAGTTTCTCCTTCACCGCAAGTACATCCGCGAGTAAATTCCCATATGTAAACGACCGCGACGAAGCACTATGGATCACAGCTTGTGAGGTTGGATCGTGGTTCTGAAGAGCGCGGAAGAGGCGGATGTTCGGGAGGGTCGACAACGTTCGCGTTCGGAGTGTAGGTGTCGCGGTTAGATATGGATATGAATATGAGGCGATGCGATTGGCATTTAGTCGACGAATTCCCCATGAAAGGGAGAGGAGGGTTTGTGAGGGCATGCTTGCTGTTGTTAGTTTTGTAGAGAACATGAATTTATCGATAGTTAGGTGAATGCGGAGTTAATGTCAGCCGGGAGTCCCGCATGGATAATTTCTCCATCTCGCAGGACTAATACAACCACTCACTACATCTCGTTAATAAACATCTCAATGTATCTCCGATCCTCTCTCTCCTCCCTCCGTCGCCCTCTGTTCTCGACAGTATCATCGACAATACCAACCCGAACAATGTCCTCCTCCGCTACCCCCCTCGAGGACATCATTCGCGAAAAGGTCCCCTCCTGCATTCCCCCGCTCATCAACCACTACTATCTACAGATACTAATGCGATGGCAAATAGTTAACGACCTCCCTGACCCCCTCAACTCTCCTCATCCGCAACGACTCGCATCTCCACGCGCACCACGCCGCGATGCAGGGGTCGACGTCTAGAGAGACGCATTTCCAGTTCGTCTACGCTCAACACTTGATTTGAATGAGATTGGAGGTTAATTGCGAAAATAGTGTAACGATTACATCCCCAGCCTTCCAATCGAAGATGCAAGCCGCACGACACCGCATGGTTTACGCTCTACTGAAAGACGAGATGAGCCAGGAAGGCGGGGTTCATGCACTACAGCTCAAGACGAGGACACCGGAGGAAGAGCAGAAGCAGGGATAGATTCACAGATAACAGCATTATTAGATATGTATTAGTATAGCGAGCAAGTCTAATATGTACATGCAGGAGCATCATGCGTGTCCAGCCATGTACGAGAACATCATCGCCATGGCTAACTATACAGCACAACGCAAACAGAACTAGGAGATGCGACAGAGTAGAGTATTTTAAAGCAAAAATCAAACGAGAGAATAGACAGGGAGTTGTACTCGGTAAATTGATCATATAACCCTGCCCGAAACAAGCAAAGATACACAAGAGGGAGTATCAGAATAAAAAGCATACAATAAAAAACAAGCAATCAATGACCAAAAGTCGGGGAATAAAATAGCATGATCCCAATTCTGATCAAAGTCTAAAAACCAGAACAAAGAACGAGAAACGACGCGTCTACTTGCCACTCTGGGTGACACCGACAGCAACACCGACAACAATGGCAATAATGAGAACTGCAGACGTTAGCACCAGACCTCTTTTGACCAGGTAAAGGGCGCTACTTACTGACGATGAGCAGAGCGTACCACTTCCACTTCCGGGCTTTGCGCGCGCTGGAGATGGCCGAGTCGATTTGAGTGTTGGCATTCTGCACATTACCCACGACATCCTCGGCGCCGTGGTGGATCTGCTCCACTTGGGGTTCCTGCATATGCACCAGTTCGGCGATTTCCTGGTACAGACGACCGAGTTCGATCATATCCTGCTCAATCTTGCGAATGGCTGCAGATCGTTCCAACGCGCCGCGACGGGCATCGTTGGCTTGACGGGATCGTGTACCGGCAACCTATAACAATTAGCATCATTGGTTACACGTCTGTGTAGTGTACCCACCTGGAAGCTCTGCTCTTGACCCATTAAAACGTTGTCAACACCCTGGTCAAGCTCCTCCGGAGTGGCCTCGGGGTTGGCAATCTCATAGCGGCGACGAACTTGCTCGCGCAAACGCTTCTGGAAGTCCGACTGAGCGCGCTGGTACTGCTCGATTTCGCGACGCAGGTTGCGACTGGTGACATCGATCTGAGTCTGGACGCGGGCGTCACCGGAACCGGGGGTCTGTTTGATGCGCTTGAGAAGGTCGCGCAGGTAGCGGAAACCGTTGTTGATCTCGTCTTCGATGTAGTCGAGGGTCTGGCGGGCAGTTTGGTCCTCCTTTTCAGTGCTCGAGTCCAACAAGGCGTTCTGGGCGGCAGAGAGTTGACCTTCGCGCTTGGCGCGCAGATCACCGATTCCGTCGTTGATTTCCTTGCACTTGTTCAGGATGCCGGTGGTTCCGCCGCCGGGTTGCACCTGGTTCATTTCTGCTGCTGTTAGACTATCTTCCAGAGTCGCTTGTTGTCTCGAGACATCGACGCACCATAATTTCCGTTGCCCTGCTCCATGGCGTTACCCTGAGCGTAGGGGTTGGGTTGCGCAGCGGCACCGTAGGGGTTGTATTGACCGTAACCACCTTGGCCACCTTCGAGGTTCTGGTACTGCAGAGTGAGCAACGATCAAGTAGAAATGAGCGGAATGACTTACACTCATTATGATTATTAGGTTTGGTCTATAGAATCGCTTTTAAGAGAAATGAAAAGAGAAGAAGAAACGAAGTTCGGTCGTCGCGAGTCCGTTTCTTCCGATGACCGATCGAGGGTAGTCGACCGGACGAGAATAAAATATCCAACTAATTAAATCGCAGGAAGAAATTCAGCGATGAAATCAGGAATAAAAAGGGGAGAGAGAGAGAGAAAAAAAAGAAGTAGAAGTTGGAAGATGAAGGAGAGAAAGAAGAATGAGAGAATGACAGGAGCAACGCGGCTGAGAGAGCACGGAGTGTGGCGGCGGGCGAGAAACAACCACAAACTAAACTCAGCAATGCCACCGATTAAAAAGAGCGTATGTGTTAAATAGAGAGAAAAATAACCAGAGAAGAGAGAAGGAAAAAGAAGGGGAAAAGAGAAAAAGAAAATTATTACTAGAGCTCCCACCGACAGCGCAGACGCTTTCTTTTTTAGGGGGGAATCACAATAATGCACAGACCTGGCGGTGATCGTCGAGTCCCCTTTTTTATTGATGTTTCACGCCAAATTGCAATAGACTGTATATACAGAGAAAAGAGTAAGAATTTGATATTAGAGTAGGGTGGTTGACACAGAGAAAAAGAGAAGAGTCACCATTGAATACACCAGAGTTTATGAATAACCATGACGCAGGCTACCACTTTTCCGTCGTACTCGTGTTAGGGTCGCATCAGCCACAGTTTAGCTATAATTAAACACTGAGACATTCGTATATTAAACCTCCAACGCTTTTTAGCGCCTCACTGCGCTGAACAGCCACTCCCCATTTAGAAATCACGTGTCGTACATGACTCGGCGTACCAAATGCGGCAACTATGAGGCTATTCGACTGCATTCTGCCTGTCACGGACTGAATAAGATGTCGGGTAGTTCTTAGCTCTCTGTAGAATCTTGTCGCTGCACCACAAGCGTTTATGGGGAATCACTTATGCAAGTCATGCAGGTCACGTGGTATATATCGCATTCAACACTGGGCCTCCCCTCTCTGCTTCCCACACAGCAGGTTAAGCTCTGAATCAATAACAACTAGATAGTCTTGCCTCAATGAATCCCTTCCTGTATAGCAGCTACCTGTCACTCCAGTCAGCCGGAAAGGTCTCTCTCTCTCTCTCTCTCTCTCTCTCTCTCTCTCTCTCTCTCAATAGCATAGAGGTCCATATACATTAACTGACTATCCATTCACTTACCATTAAGCTGGCTCAGAAGAGTATGTTGCCCTCGCTGAGGAAAGCCTTCTGTTCTGTTGAATAAACCCCATTTACGATATCTCAATCATTATCCAACCCTGCACCAAACCTTGTCAATGATCTAACAGACTTAATTATCTATCTATGAACGGGAGATAAACATCTCTCATTGAATCACCAAACATAGCAAAATACATTACACGTCAACATACGTGAAAAAAAAAAAAAAAAAAAAAAACTACAGAAGCCACCGAAGCATTATGCTTTGCCGACGATTTCTTTCGAAACCCCTTATGTCCGGGTAAAATGATTATGGGTTCCCAGTTACTGGGCTATATAGCTAAGCACCGCTATGACGACCAAAGCTAGAGCTACTCTCTACTACATACAGTCCTCATGCCTACCATCCAGCGTACGACTTCGAAGACGGATTTGACTACAACTATAAGTGCCCCCGAATCGTTGGGTCCGGTTCGGGGGCACCTAATCTAGGAGATATCAAAGAACATTAAAATCAGAACATGTCATTCCAAGACGAGGGCCTTCATGTGGCTTAGTGACTTGGAGATGCTGCGTGAGCTGGTAGAAGCTAGGATGGCGATCCGCTTTTGAAGAGCTTCCTCTATGGAATTGAGGGCTATGACTTCTACTACCCTCCTCACCACGGCCGCACCCCGTGGGTTAGCGAGTGCTGATGGGAAGTTATGCTTATGCTATAGGCACCGTGAGGAAGTGACATCAAAGGTTGCTCTCACGCTATACATGACTCGTGCACATTCCGTTTCCAAGAAGCTTCCTGCATTTGGTGGTGTTGATGTGGATGTAGATAACATCAGCGAACATGTTGGACTCCCCCTTCATCAGATCCATCGGTACTCGAATTCAGACTGAAAAAAGAGCACTAGGTGGTGCTTAAATGACTAAGATGGGACCAAAGAAAGAAAATCTTGGTGCTCTAAATGGCTAGGAAGTGGAAGCATACTTGTATAAGTGAGTCGATCCCCAAGCAATCCTATTTCTCCCCATGAAAGCAAAGCTGAGAGCTAACCTTATATATTTAAACAGAAACGGAAACCTACAGAATTGGCTCGCAGTACACGTTTCCCTTGGGTACGTCGTGTTCTATCACCCGCATGAAGTAGTATCAAGGTATACGCTAAACAAAATATCGCAACTTTGAACAAGCGCTATTGACTCAGGACTGAAAATATGGATGCCCCATCTTCTCAACAAAGAGAGGAAGAGCGGAAATTCCCAGCGATATGACATAACTGGAAGTATCCCGGCGCAACTGATGCTCGAATTTAGGACAGTCTATTGATAACTGGAATTCTCCAACCCACCTGAGATACCTTCATTCATTTAATGTGCAAAGGGAACACACCGGTGCTTCAAAAGCTAATGGAGACCGTACTGGTATCCGCCATCTGCGCGCCTTCCGCGCTGCGCTCTCCCTCCCAAGCCGAACGAAACACGGCCTAAAACAGATCATACGAAAGAAAGAAAAGCCCTGGATTGAAGCGTCCGTCTGCGCAGATAGTACCCGAAAACAACTGCACCCAGGACTAACCGAGAGACGTCAACCGATGCATGGTATGCGGTTGTGCTTTCCAAAGCTCGACTGCAAGTGCTAGTATCCCCATATACACCTTGAACTGACATGGTATGACTATACATGTCTAACATACAAGTCTATACCAGTGGTAACCCTCGACATTAGGGTGTTAAGGGTCCGGTTATACCCGAGAACCGGCTTTATGTGCATCACGTTTGCAAAAAGCAGAGCAGCGCAACATCTTTATCCCTTCTTATCCATCTATAGGGTATATACACCCTAAAACGTCCGCAATCGGAAAGGAAGACGCGATTCTACAAGATGAGGGACGGAAAAGCGTCACAAGTTCCCCGATTCGCTTGTATCTGCTACGACCAGAATTAAGAGTACAAGCAAGAAACGCCAACTAGCAGCACACGATAGCATTCACTACAGATGATGTTGTGCATTACAAGCATTGGACGCGCCTGCACTTTGACGTCGGTTGCTACATAGTAGCCACCATCTCAACGAAGAACCAGAGGCCGTATTAAAACTGATTACTTGAATGTTCGATAGAAAAGCTTTTATATTCATTAGTTCAATACTGATAATGAACACATCATTCATGATTCGTAACATCCCCGACCCGACCCGCGAGCTACATTATGTACTTTACATTATTAACGAAACGAAAACAGAACCAACTCATAACCCAATAAAACCAAACTACTCCTTCCGTTCCTCCCTAACAACGGTGGCAGGGGTATCCAGATCATCCGCATCCAATGCGTTCATATCCTCCTCCTGAGCGTTCAAGTGATGATACATGAGGAAGAAGATGATACCCGTGCAGAACGATGCACACGCGACACCAGTGAACATCCACATAATAGCAGGGTCGTACGCAGCGGGGGTGAGGGCTTCAGCGATGGCAGCACCAAAGGCGTTGGTGAGAAGGTACATGGATTGCACGAAGGATTTCATGGATGGCGGGGCCTTGGTGTAGGCGTATTCGAGGCCGGAGACGGAGGCGAAGATTTCGGATAGACCGATGAAGACGTAGGCGGGAGTTTGGATGGCGATGTGGATGTGGTTGCCTTGGCTTGTGCCGTCGACGATGGATGCGTCGCAGCCCGGGTGCTCGTAGCAGGGGCCGGCGGAGTAGATGAGGTGTTGGACGATGGCGGCGTACATCATGGCGAGGGAGGCGACGATGAAACCCAGCGAGATACGCGTAATGGGCTTGAAGGGGATGCGCAGGCGGCGCATGAGGGGGTAGATCAGCGTCTCGAGGATGGGGATGAAGACGAGAATGGAGATTGGGTCGAAGTTCTGCATAAGGTCGTTTGGAATGCCATGGCCCTCCATCTGTCCGGCCTGCGTGACAAAGTTACCCGAAAACTGCGTGTACACGACCCAGTAGATGGGGTAGAAGCAGAACACCTTGCACGCGACGAGCGCGCGCTTGAGTTCGTCGATGAAGTGGTCGTCCCAAGGGAGGTTGGTACGGCGGCCTCCATTTTCTGCCTGCCAGGTTGGTTTGGGGGCGTCCATGTTGCGGCTGATGACCATGATCCAGAGGGCCTTGAATGCATCGGTGATAATGGAGCCCTGCGGCGGGCGGACGACGTAGAATTTCCGGCCGAGCAGGACGGTCGTGGTTCCGACTATGAACATGCACAGACAGAGTAGGTAGGCGGACCAGTAACCCACGAGTTTCTCCATGTATGGCGTTGCCAGCAACGACAGCGAGCCGATGTTGATGCAGCCGTAGAAAATCATGTAGATCCGCTGGATCGTCAGGGCGGGGTCAATAATAACTCGTTCGCCTTTTTTGGTGCTAACGGCCATTCTCTTGCGCTTGTATTGGTCCGCAATCTGCGCAGTTAGCGCTTTTTCTTATTAAGATGCTCGGAGTGACTTACCAAAGGAGCAACGTTACTCTTGATACCACCCGTTCCAATACCGATGATCAGAATCGCCGCGATGAAACCACCCAAACCAGCGCCATTCTCCAAAGAGGCAGGAATCGAGGTGCACACCATAATCAGCAAACCGACCATGTAGACGAGCGAAAAGAGCACAATGGCCTTGTATTTGCCCAGGTACTGGTCGGCCACAATGGCACCAAGAATGGGGGTAACTGCGCCATTAGCCTCTATTCACTATTAACACCAGTGCGGGGAAACTCACCATAACACCAAAACTGAAAGAACGTATTCAGACCAGTAGCACCCTGGTGACCCATTCCCAGCGCACCACGACCCTGACTACCGTCGAGAGGCAGATTGATGTAGTTCTGGAAGATACCCGACATGCCGTAGAAAGTGAAACGCTCGCACAGCTCGACAACGGCGACTAGCCATGCCGAGATGGGAAGATTCTCAGCGACATGGCGAAGTTTTTTCTTTTCCTCGTCGTTGGGTTCTTCGCCGTCGGGGGTGTCGCCCAGGGCTTTTTCGGTGGTTTCCGCCGGGTCTTTCACGGTTGTGATGGTATCCTGGTGTCTATTACAGTCAGTATTAACCAGCGCGATAAAAGGGAGCTAAAAGAGAAAAAAAAAAAAAAAAGAAAAGAAAAGAAAAGAAAAAAACGCACTGAGTAGGCTCAACCTCGCGGTCTGCGGCCATGATGAGATTAGGAAACCACGAGGGACTATGTATCTCGTCTTATCTCAGAAGATAAACAGCGACGACACAACACAGAACACAAAAGAATGGAGTGTTAAGAGGGAAAAATTTAAAGAGAAGAAAAGATGGGAGAAAAAAGAAGAACCAACATTTTAAAGACTAAGAAATTGGCACGCGAGTAACCCGGACCCTGGCGACATGCGACACTACAATTTTAGTCTTGTTATCAGTGAATAACACCCACCACCAATCGGCAATGTAACCCCAGAGCCTGCGCGGATTGGTGAATGCCTCTCCTATTGGACCGGCCGCTTTCTCGAACTTCTCTATGGGCGGAGTTTTCAGAGCTGATAACGCCTTTCCCTTTCCATACTGGATCCAAAGCCCGGAATGGCTCCTAGTCCTGCTTTGGCTGTCTCCGGAGCGCGCCACCGGAGTATATCCGCATTGGTAACTCATCTGGGACAGACTGATACTGTGGCAGTCTCGCTTTGTACGAGTTCGCCGGAGTCTCCTCGAGGCTTTTTTTTCTGATCCAATCAGCGTGGCTCCAGCCTGGATCAACGTGCAACGTCGGCTTTCTCCGCGTGAGAGGCATAAGCTCAACATTCTCGGCTAAATAAATCAATGCGGAGAGACTTTTTTTCTGAAAGTCAATCTCTGGAATGCTAGTAGTAGTGTCTGTTTTCCCGAATGAGTCCCGAGGTTCACGCCGCTGTCGACCGGCTCAAGCCGCCAAACAGGGTTCGAACAGACTTCAGACGGGGCCCTGTCTAATTAGCTGCGACTAGCGCTATCTGTGGTACATATCTCCGGCTATTATCATGGCCTGAGCACGCACAGAAACCCTTTGATATGCGAAGCTTGGCTGGAGAAGCTTGTCCGGTTGCTGCCTTGGCCATCAGGCAGTCATATTCGCCTGGGATTGCCGGAAACGATCAACCACGGGATTATCTCCTGTTGTAGGAGTCAGATATAATAAACAAAAAGCAAACAAACCAGATTCCAACACTGACTGGAACAACAGGGGTACAAGGTACAGACAGGTACAGAGTACGTCTGATTGGAACCTCGACTCCATGTCAAGCTTGCCATCCCGTCTCCGCTCTTGTTCATACCCGCTCAATGAGGATCGGGAAAATCGCTGCAACTCTCATCAATCCATTCCAGCGACACAGACGCTTTTATACTGCTCATTGCACCGGGAAGATAACTTGAATCTATCAACTCCTTACTACGCCTCCCGTGGTGTGGTTACAGCATCAGATGCTGTCCAACTGCACCGGGTAACGTCTAGGAGCTGAGACAGCTGAATATTTACTGTTAGTCTATGTGGAGCAAAATGCGAGAGACATGAAACTAGGCCCAATCGTGATCCAAGTACAACATCGCACCATTACTCCATCAAGACAGGCCAGACCAACTGCCATGCGATGATTAGTACTTCGCTCCTTACTCCGTACCACCAACGACCAGATGACGAGAGACTTGCCAAAATCAGATGCGCGATTAGTATCGGTCAATGAGGACTTTCGATTTTAATGAATTCATTGAGAACGGGGAGACTCACCACCCAACCGGGGCCATCGGTCGTTTCACTTTCTGTGTTATGTTAGCACGACAAGAACATTTACAGAGACACCAGAGATGACTAACCTATTTGATCATGGAGTTTTTTTTTTTTTTTTTTTTTTTTTTTTTTTTTTTTTTTTTTTTTTTTTTTGAACCCAAGTCGAGGAGTGAAGAAATGTCGTCGTTGTCCACTGTCCTATGACCCGTCCCTACCACCCAACCAAGGTCGGACGTAAAGTTGCTCGGGTTTGATACGTCGAGTTAGCAAGGCGGAAAGGTGGACTTCATTTATCTGATGCTGTGAGTGGTGCTAGCAGATACACTGACACTCGAATGCAGATACGGATTTGTCGTATCCCAGGCCCGTCCCAACCACCCTACCGTGGCCTGTTTTGTTTTTCTGTTCTTCTGTGCATCATGTCAGTAACATCAGCTCAGTTCGATGCAGGTCAACTTACCTTGTCTTGCCCTAAGGCCAATGTCCCGATGTCAGAACACTTGTACTTTTTGCCCAGGTCCTTCACTACCGCCCAATCAAGACTTGCTGCAGAGACAGCGTCCCTACAAGCCTGGTCAGTCGACGGGCACGCCGCTGGCCCCACTAACAGCACAGAAGGGACTCAAAGCACTTGCACAACCCTCCTGACCCACCACGGCGATATGCCCAAGCAGCAGCGTACCTGCCCCCCTACCAGAGCCCAAGCCCTATCATGCCAAGGCCCGAAAGCATACAAAAAGGGAAGGAAGAATTGTAACTTTATGGAATGAACGAGGCAAGTGAGATGAAAGAAGGAAAGAGAGAAGAGGAGAAGAGGAAGTAAAGGAAAGAGCGAACGAAGGGACAGCACTCAGCCGCAGATGCCTGAGAGCCTGGAGGCAGCAACGACAGAAACAAGGCGACAAGGCACAAAAAGTGATGTCGTCAAAACGAGTCAGAATGGAACGCAGAAACTTGGGGGCCCGGATGCAGCAGCAGCAGCAGCAGCAAGGCCACAAGGCACAGAAAACTATTCTCTCCCAGAATGAGTCAGAGAGAAGCAGCAGGAGCTCGAGACGAAGAAAGGAAATAACGAAGAAAACGAAAAAAACGCAGGAACTGCAAACTAGAGAAGATGAGACTCCTGCTCTCTATAACAAGATATCAAGATGAATGACAAGGTCGATGGAACGAATGAGAATGAAAATGAAGCAGGAGAGAAAGAATGAAGAAGCCGCTCTCGACGAACTACGAGCACGAGAAGGAAGCTGCTAAGCAAAATACAAGTATGAGAAGTATCAGAAGATGCTAAAAATGGAAAGAACGATGAACTCGACTTCAAATCGATGAAAGTCGATGAAAGTCGATGAAAGTCGATGAAAAGAGCGATGAAAGAGGATGAAAAGGATGGAAGCTACTAGAGATGAGAGAGTTGGAAGAAGGAGAGTTAAGGAAGAGAGAGAAGGGGCGACGGCCGGCGCTATAAGGAGGACCTGTAGGCCGAAGCAAGCCTAGGTCTTTGCCCTAAGAACCCCGGCTGCCTAATGAGAGACGGGAAGAGTGAGAGACGTTGCTTAGGGTGTACGTCTCGAATATTGCGCTGAGACGAGGAACTGAGGCTAGAATTGCTCTACGGGTGGATGAATGCTCGTTTAGATGCTCTGTTCGTCTCTTATTTACACTTGTTCAACGCAAATCGCGTCTTTGAGATGGCTGGTCATGACGCCAATATATTGATCAACGCATCTACAATTGCTAAGGAGCTCGACGTAAGGACTCTAGGAAAGTAATCTAGTATAGAGTAAACGTTGATAACTTTTAAGGTATCTTAATTCGTAATCTAAGAACTAAGGAAGAAATGTACAGAGAAAGTCGAAATAACTGCAGCCAAACTTTGAGAACAGAAGAAATGATAAATAAGAAATTCGATAATAACCACATGAAAAACGGAAATTAGAGCATTGACATGTAATGGTATAGGGCTCATAAGATGTGGAGAAGATAATACGATACATGTCGCGGGTGCCCATGATCCAATTCTTCCCTGCGAAGTAGCAGAGAAAACGGAGCTGGGCTTCTTCTGCTTCCTCCTCTTCTTCTTTCTCGCCTCAAATCCAAGTCTCGTTCATAATCGCCTCTTAAGCATGTAGTCAACCTCGTAAGATGCAAAGCCCAGGGAAACGAGTAAATCATAAGACGTTTTTGGAGAAAAAAAAAACAAAGCACACGTAGCCTCATTCTAGACGGTGTACTTGGCCTTGGCCCTGGTGCTACCGCTGTGGGCGCTATCCGTGTGTCCGGAGAATTCCACAACGTCGGCTTCCTTGAGACGGAGGACATCCTTGAACCGATTGCCGATGGACTCCAAGATCTCCTTGCCTTGGGCGGGGTTACGGGTGATCTTGTCTCCCGGAACGCTCTTGCCAACAGTCCTTGTCCACAAACCGACACGGTAGAAGCCCTTACGGACGTTCACAACAACACCCATGACCTCATTGTCATCATCGTTCTCGAGAGTCTCACCAATCGCAGCCAGCTGAGCGTGCAGCCACAAGTCGTCGATAGGGACGGAGCGCTTGTCCTTGAACGAGTACGACCACTTGCCACCGTGCTTGTTCTGAGGGTCTTCCCACTCTGGCCGGATGCCCTTCTTGAAAAGGTGGTAGTCTGCCTTGAGACCCAATTCGGAGGTAGGTGTGATGTTGTTCTAATTAGAGAAACTTGGTCAGCGGTCGTTCAACGGGGAAGCAACAGGACAAATCAACGGCAGGAGGGACATACGTAGATTCCCCAGAACTCCTCGACGGAGTTGAATGTGACCACTTCCTTCAGCAGATCGTTCCAGTTATCGCCCTATCCATCACATGCCAGTCAGCCAACTATCCGGGTTATCAAAACCGTCCGCGGGAACCACCAATCCGTACCTTGCCACTGGGAGGCTTGGTGAACCAGAGAGTCCATTCGTGCATCAAAGGGTGCTTGACGGTGAAGTTCTCGGGGTCATGGAAGACGGTAACATCGCCGTTCGCCTTCTCGTCGGTGGCCACACCGGGGGCGGTGTTCTCGTCGTTGACCGGCGCGGGAGCGTGTTCGACAGCAGCCATTATGATCGGAGGTAAATTTTAGACGGACGCGAAACGAGGAGTAAAAATTAAAGAGTCGTAGTGAGAATGCGCTTAGGGAGAGCGGTAGACGAAAGTTGTCGGAGGGGTGCGGTGGAAGTTAGGCGGCGGAGGGAAATTTTGCGTTGAGGTCGGAAGAGAGAAAGAGCAACTCAGCAAAGAGACACTCAAGGCAAACAAAGCGAGATTTTCACGAAGCAGTCGACACGTAAAAAATTCACGCAGGAAAGTCTGCTCCAGGCAGAATAATAGGTGTAGAATGAGTTAAGTGGTGACTTTCTGCGACACAAGAGAGAGAAAAAAGAGAGAAGTTGGATCTGGAAGGCGGTTTGGACTCGCTCTCGTTGGAGATGCCCGCAAACCTTTGGTCCAGGGCGCCGCTTTACCGTTTTGGGAACTCTCGGGCGTTTCTAGTCCTCTCATAGGCTGTGGCGGATCTGACCATAGCCCTAACCAGGGAGATCTATTCTAATGAATTGAATGCAGTAGATGCGATGTGAAATATGAGAATCTGGTTTTATTGGATAGTCGTTGACATTTTGTAGAAATAGTCGACGCGATCTAGCCGCCAATCTAGCAGATCTATATAACCCGAAAGATGAACCGATCAACATGCCCCTCTATTCTATCACAAAAGGAGTAGCAGATAACTTTTTAGGAAGAAGAGCCGGAATCCAATACAACGCAAAGCTGAAAAGGAGAGAAGAAAGAAAAAGAAAATCATGCGTCACCACTGTTGATCATACTCAACAAACAGTTCCAACCTGGTACACAACTGTCAGTATCCGTAGACCCCGGAGAAACCAGTTTTACTCACCCAAGCTAACCAAGTTGACCGCGAGTACACGGTATTCCAATGGCACGAATGTAAAGTTAACACCCTGCACCAGAGGCCAGATGGTGAGGTTGGCCTTGTAACTGGGGAGGAAGGTGGTGCGTAGTTTCTCAATCGGGTCGCTGCCCTCCATAATGGCCATAGACGACAGAAAACAGGTAAGGTGTATCGGGGTAAAGAGACATTGATCAGCCGCAACCCGAGCGACGATCGTAGCCTTGCTGTTCTTCAGGACGACATGACGTTGAAGGAAACCGAACCATGTCGTGGCGGCCGGACCGAAGATTGCTGTTATCGTGAGCTAGGAAACCATACGAGGGTATCCTCGAGTAACATACCTCCACCATAAAGAGCCATGCGCCCAGTTCTTGCGATGTCATGTTTCTCGAGACCCCTCCGGTCCACCAGTTGCTGAGCGAGGACGTCACCGCTACCGAAGAGTATCTGGATAGTGTCAACCGATGGTCATCGGCAATGGAGGCAGGAATATCCGTACAGCACTGGTGACACTGGCAGTGAGAATAGGTTGCTTGGCCAACTTGGACTGGTACCTGTCGGAATCAATTAGAGCTTAGCTTCATTGAACTCAATTCTCAGCAGAGACTTACCACCGCAACATTTTGCCGTATATGTAGGACAAGGTAGAGAATATTCCCAATTTGACTGAAGACTCGAAAATGATAATGAGTCCAGGGGTAAATTGTGGAATAGAAAGACGTCTGACGGGGCTGAAAAACAAGTCCGGGGGATAAGTGACTTCACCGATAAGCCTGGAGCTTCCTATCCCAATCCAGGAACTGTCCCGCTAACGCTTGGCGGTAAAGTTTCCCAAAAGAGAAGCATATCAGATCAGCTGACCTGGTCCGTGCGGGCCACTCCGATCGGGACACCAATGTAGGGCATAGGGTTGAAGGCGGTAGGGCTCGTGGGCCTCGCTTAGCGCACCCGCCAGCGAAATTTCCCTTGGGTGCCCGCCCCAAACAGTTGTGGATAGCGAGAGAAAAGCAACCTCGACGTCGACAATTAACGACACTCCCTCCCGTCTCTCTCAATCGCCAAGTACATCCAAAATGGCTGACGCCGCTCCCCGTGGACGTGGAGGATTTGGCTCGCGCGGTGGTGACCGTGGTCGTGGCCGTGGCCGTGGTCGTGGCCGTCGCGGCGGTGCTAAGGAGGAGAAGGAATGGCAGCCCGTCACCAAGCTCGGTCGTCTCGTGAAGGCCGGCAAGATCACCAGCATGGAGCAGATCTACCTGCACTCTTTGCCCATCAAGGAGTTCCAGATTGTGGACTTCTTCCTGCCCAAGCTCAAGGATGAGGTTATGAAGGTACGGAACGATTTTTTCACTTGTCGATTTTGGAGGAAAAGGTCTACGATTCGTTACGGGAAGAATTTGCGCATTTTCGACAATTGGAGGAATACAAAATCGATAAAGCGAATTTGGGAGATCGAATTTGGGAATTGAAGTTATGGAACCGGGACGAACAGTTCACTAACGAATCGATTCACAATACAGATCAAGCCCGTCCAGAAGCAGACCCGTGCCGGTCAGCGTACCCGCTTTAAGGCCGTCGTCCTCATCGGTGACTCTGAGGGCCACATCGGTCTCGGTATCAAGACCTCCAAGGAAGTCGCTACCGCCATCCGTGCCGCCATCACCATCGCCAAGCTCGCCGTTCTGCCCGTCCGGAGAGGTTACTGGGGTTCCAACCTTGGTGAGCCTCACTCTCTGCCCGTCAAGCAGAGTGGAAAGTGTGGATCCGTGTCCGTCAGAGTACGTCTTGAAACCCTCGATTTACGATTGCGATTGAACTTGCGAAAGCGATCGTGTTATGGAAAGGAATTCTTTGGGCTAATTGGATCATAGCTTATCCCCGCTCCCCGTGGTACTGGCCTTGTCGCCTCCCCCGCCGTCAAGCGTCTGCTTCAGCTTGCCGGTGTCCACGACGCCTACACCCAGTCTACTGGTTCGACCAAGACCCTCGAGAACACCCTCAAGGCCACCTTCCAGGCCGTCGTCAATGTCTACGGCTTCCTCACCCCCAACTTGTGGTCCGAGACCAAGCTCATCCGGAGCCCTCTGGAGGAGTTTGCTGACGTCCTCCGTCAGCCCAAGAAGTACTAGGTGCTCTGTAGTGATGGGATTAAATTAAATTTGCATGACTTGTTTTGACCAACTACCTCTTTTCTACGGATTCCTTTTTACTTTTTTTTCTGACTGGAGGATCGGTGATGCTTTAATGGGAGTTTTCTCGTTACTCTAAAAATAAAAGTATGACGCTCTGCTACGCCTGAAGATGTATTCATGGGAAGGGACTACAAAAATAGCGTGGAGTCACCATTCGCCAGTCAATTTAATGATTATGATATCTTATTTTCTTCTGACGTAGCCAATTCATGGATCTACATAGTATGGACCGCGACTGCATCGGGGTAGTAGTCCAGCCATAACGAACACAGCCAGTTTATATATAACAAAACCAATCTATGGGTAGCAGAGACAGCATAAATAAAATATCTGCCGTCAAAGATATATATCATCAAGCCCTAACCAAACTAGTTCGAAATATATATATCACCCGTCGAACGTGCCAACAAAACGACTAACTGTATTCTACATACCACGGCCCTACTATGTATTGCGCGCAATTGCCAATGATTCTCATGGAACACCAAGTCTTGAGCGGTGCTGGAATGTCGTTGAGTTTCTCGCAAGAGCGAGCACTTCGTCATTCTAGTCTTATCGAGGTCCTGTGATTTGGCTGTGTTTATGTCTTTGTACGTTCTGTAGGACAAGGAACTGAACATACAGCTTTGTTATTCTATTGTCTGCTCTTTCAGTACTCGTCGCAAAGAGAAGAAAATCAAGAAAATGATTTTTTCGCATGGACCATTTCAGCGACCTGACGGTCAATGACCTTTGTAGTCAAGTATGGTGAATACCTTTACTATGGCGACTCTCAGCCTCTACTTCACTTCTTTCACCTCTCTCCTTCACTAACCAGCACTCATTCCCATGAAAACAACCCCTTTCCAAATTCCATCCAGTGAACGACAACATGACAGAAGTCAAAATGGAAGACCATCCTGACCATTGGAAGTCGACTCTCCTAGGCGAAGACTTTTGGAAAGACGCAGAGGTCTTTAACCAAGTTGTCAATGATGATATCGAAGCTGGTGAGTTTCATCAACACCCTTTTCATTTACACGATCTACTCACTCGAAGACGATACGCGTCAGAACAAGAACAAATCCTCCACAAGTTCCCCTTTAACCTAGGTCCAGAGCAGGGCCCTGCTCCCCGATCTCCCAGCCGCGTGGACGAGACGCCTCCTAAGCAACAACAGCAGCAGCAGCAGCAGCAGCAGCAGGAACAGAAGGAAGACGAGTACGTACAGGAACAACCCCAGCAGCCAGGCCGTCGTCGTCGCCGTTTTAGCATGAACGACGCCTTCAGCTTGAGCTCCCTCAACCTCAGCCCTAGTCGCCTTCTTGGTCGACGTTCTCGTTCCAGCTCTCGCTCGCACTCACCTACGCGTCCTCCAAGCGTCCTATCAGAGACCCGTCGAACAAGTTCACGGCTACGTTTCGCATTCACCATGACAAGCAACAACGGAAAGAAAAGATACGACGACGCCGATACCGACTCCATCTACTCAATCCCACTCCGCGGCCCGAACGACCCAGGTACCCCCGAAAAACCACTGATGTTCTTCCGCGGCGGTGCATCCTGGAACGTCCTCCCCAGAGACATGCAAGCGATAGGCATCGATCTATTCTGGCCCGTCAAGCAGAATCAAGAGGGTGATCGGGAGGTCCTACATATCGAGGAGATGGTCCCGCTGTGCCAGTTCCGCGGACTACGTGTGCTCAAAATCACGGGTATGTTGCAGTCGTACCAGAAGTACATCTGGCAAGCTGCGTGGTTGAACACGGAACTCGAGGAGCTGGAGCTGGGTATGGCGATTGGACCACGCATCCGGCGGAATTTCCCTGGTGACTGGCCTTTTATCAAGGGTGGGTGGGCTTTGAAGCAGGATACCTACGGTGAACCAGTTTACTAGTAAGTAACACCACACATACACCTCATCTCACACCTCTCACCTTACACCACATACCACATAACATATCCCCGTTACCAAGCCTAGTCCTAATCACAACACAATGACAGCGGCCACATGGGCACCGGCAACCTCCACCGCACCATCGGCATCGGCGAATACCTCGACAAAACCAGCATAGAAAAAGCCAAAGTCCGCGCCATGGCTACGGGCCGCACGCTGAACCGTCTCTCCATTAAGACCTTAACGCTGAACGGCTTTGTTGTCGACGCGGATCCGATACTCCTCTGGTTCGACCCGAAGATGCTGCGTTGTATCAATTTTCGAGATAACTGCGTGGACGCGGGGTTTTACCTTTGTCGGCCGATGAGGAAGGTTGAGGTGAAGTTTCCTACTGAGATCGAGGAGAAGGCTGTTACTGTGAGGAAGGTTGATGTGCGAAGGGAGTTGAAGATTGTGGACTTGAGGGGTGGGAAGAAGGTTAGTGAGGCGCCATATCCGGGACGGGAGAGTCATAGTTTGGGCTCTGGAGATGGAGATGATACCCAGAAGACAGAAAGCCGTGAGATTGAGCAAAGAATGGGTGATATGACGCTAGACAGTCCTGAGAAAGAGGGCATTAGAACTACTACGGTTGTCGAGATCGAGAACATCCCCGCATATGATTACAATGGAGACGGTGGTTCGTATGCGTACTACCGCAATGTGTTCGTCAGTATAAGCCCAGAACATTCAGATTATGATTGAGACTGAATGGACGCTGACATTTGCCATAGTAACCCAACGGCACCGTTCGATCGAGATGCTCACCTATTCACGATAGAATGTCAGGTCACTGCATGCCCTAATCCATTTCGAGGCGATATTCCTCATTTACGATATACGAAGCACGATTTTATGTTAATGTTTTCCTTTTTATCTATGGAAGCTCTCAGTATGTATCCTAGAGAAGCATAATATAAATTAAGACTCAGAAACCAAAGTAATTCAACTATTAGATAACATTCATTAAGCACACATATCCTATTGATATCAAAAGCAACTATCCATGCCTATACAATTTTAACGTATCCCTTCCATAACTAAAAGCCATTGTTGCCTGTCATATCGTCGAGTACCATTACCAGTTCGATTATGCCGATTCGAGTTTGGCCATAACCCTGATTCCATATCCAAGAGCCCAACTCTCCGCAAACGAGCAGAGAGCTACGCTCCATCTCCATCTTCATCAGTGATGCGGATGGCGCCTTCGTTGGCGATTCCGCGGGACCAGAAGCCGTCGAGGTAGAGAGTCCTTCACAGATCAGCATATGTACGCAGGTCTGAGGAGTAGTGGTTGCCTTACGTTCCAGCCGCACTTTCATATGCAATCAGAAGCCAGTAGCCAAGGATACCTTGGGTGAAGATATCCAGGATAGCAAAGAGAATGGTCTCAGCATCCACATTCAACTTGAGCGCGATACCACCAGCGGCGAGGACACTGTCTTGTCAGCACACACTCACATCACACTAACCAAAGGGGGTACATACATCGGATACAAAACCTTAACCAACAACGTAGCCCCGGCCACAGTCCCATAAAACCTCCTTCTCTGCGAATCCCTACCACTCGCTGCCCTGGACCCATGAATCCCCACCTGATAAACCGTCACCAAATACCCCACACAACTAACCACAAACCACAGCCACTTCACACTCGCATTATCCGTGAACGTGCCCAGCAGTCCCGACGAAAGCATGACGAGATCCGCCATGATGGCGACGAGAAGGTGTGCGCCGGGGAGGCCCGAGAGCAGGGCTAGGTTGATGAGCATGAGCGGGTTGGTGAGGAACCAGTTTATGTAGCGCAGGTAGAGGATTTGGCGGTAGTGGTGCTCGGTTGTGTCGGGGACGTGTTTGTGGGCGTGCGTGAAGATGGAGTGGTTCCAGGTTGTGCCGGTGCCGGTTGCGAGGGCCATGTAGGTTATGAAGGAGATGGTGGTGGTTATGGCGACGAGGGTATGGAGGATGCGTTTGGACTGGGTGGGTTAGTGGTTGTGTTGATTGGGTTGGTCTGTTGGGGACGTACCAATGGTGCCCTAGATGCAAGTACATAGAAGATGAGGGACGAAAGCGCCATGAGCACGGCGACGACCCTATCCAGTTAGCCCTTCATATGGTCCAATACTTGAGATCGCATACCATAATGTCCTCTTTCCCGTCGAATGAATTTCCTGCAACACAGCACTAGGACCCGGAATCACCGTAGGAACAGGTCCTACCGACGGACTCGACGTCGGGATCGGAAGAAGCGAAGTGCTCGTAGCGAAGGATTCAATCATAGTTGCTGTATAGCTCGATGATACTAATTAGAATAGTGATTCTGAATCGGCAAGGAAAGAAATTGAGTGCAATTAAAGGAGGGCATCGCATTTAGAGAACTACAGGATTACAGCGGAAATCGTCATCCTGACTTCGACGTTGTCGTCATGGATCTCACGCGGAATTGGCATCCAATGTCATCCATGGTAGAGCTTCATATCTCCCAATAGAAGGCTGTGTATTATGTGGGAGCAGAGAAAATGCAGGTATTGAGGTGCACAATGTGTTGTCGAGTTCGTCATTTGATGCTACATCGAGAGAGTTGTTGCCTCCGCTATAGACCACCGTATTGGGATAAAGGGTACGGATTCTGAGTTAATGTATCCAATCTATAACTTTTGATTCTGGTCTAGAATAGGAGGAAGAGAATATTATGATACAAATAAAGAAAAACACTATGGTACATAGTCACGTAAATTCAAGATCTAAATTCATACTCATGCAGCATTGGCATCGAGATCACGAACAACCTCGTCGCACCGATCGCATAATCTTTCTTCTTCCTGCTCCGCTACCGGCGATTCCGGGACAGCATATCTCCAGCATCGAGGACATTTCGTGTCCTGTGGCGTGTACACATACGCAGTCCCTTTCTGACCACCAGGCAGCTCAAACTGCCCTGTGTAATGCCATTCCGCATTCTGGATGCTCGAGGGAATAGGCTCACTCTCTGCACCCAAAGTCACGGAGGAGACCACGAACAGGTCAGGGAGTTCAGACAGGTATCGCTGCAGAACGGAGTCGATGACGTTTTCACCCTGGAGGACGACGTGGACGAACGATTGCAGAGATGAACCTAGCTCTTTCTTCCCTCGTGCGTTCTCCTGCACCGTCTTGATCACAGAGTGAACGGCCATGAGTTCTTGGTAGTCAGTCTCGAGAGCGGGGTTCTGCCATTCAGGCGCGAGAGCGGAAACGGTGCGCTTCATGGGGTGTTCGCATTGCGATTTAACCGCCTCAGGAGCATGCTCCCAGGTCTCTTCGACGAGCATCGGCGTGATCGGGGCAAGCACTTCCTGCAGGTAGTTGTAGATGTGGAACAGCGTCGTTTGCGCGGCGCGTCTGCTGGCGCTATCCTCTCCGTACGTGTAAAGACGGTCCTTGATGGACTCCATGTAGAACGCAGAGAACTCGAGGTTGGCCCATCTGTTAATGGTGTTCACGGCTCTGTAGAACTCGAAGTTCTCGCAGGCCTTGTGGCTAGTGACGACCATATCAGACAAATGCATGAGGGCGATCTGATCAACTTTCTGCAGCTGGTGGTATGGGAGGATACGGTCCATGGGGAAGCCCGCAAGAGCTCCGAGCAGCAACTTGAAGGTGACACGGTACTTGTGCAGACTGGTATTGACCGTCTGTAGGACCTGTTTTCCAACAACCACATCTCTCGTGTAGTCGCTGCTAGCAACCCACATGCGAAGCGCGTCGGGACCAAGGGCATCGTAGACCGGGGCTGCATTCTCAGATTGCTTCTTCTTGCCCTTCTTTTGCTTGAGCGGTGGCAGGAGGGTTCCATCCATAATGGCTTTCGGTTCCACCACATTGCCAATCGACTTGCTCATCTTACGACCGTCTTCGTCAAGGGTGAAGCCATGGGTGACCAGGGTTTTGAACGGCGCGGCAGGAGCACTCGTCTGGCCTGAAGCAAGTTGGTGTGCAATGTACGTGAGCAGTCCCGATTGGAACCAACCACGGTGCTGGTCGGTGCCTTCGAGGTAAACATCCGCGAGATGACCCTTGTCCTGAGCGAGCCCTTCGATTTCGGACCAGCTGGTACCGCTGTCAAACCAGACGTCCATGGTGTCCGTCCCGCGTCGGTACCCGGGGCCAGATGCATCTTGCAGAGACGCAGGAATCCATGCCGGATCGTTCGCATCGTCCGTCCACCAGGCATCGACACCGCGCTCATCAATCACAGACATGATGTGCGATACACTGTCCTTGGTGAGCACAGCCTCGCCCGTGTCGCGGTGGTAAAGCGCAGGAATGGGGACACCCCATGCACGTTGACGAGAAATACACCATTCGCTACGGTTCTTGACGAAGTTCTCCAGCCGTTGCTTTCCAGACTGAGGGAAGAAGTGGACATCTTGCAGAGCCTTGACAGCGCTGTCGCGAATATCTCCAACATCGGCGAACCATTGCTCAGTAGCTCTGATGATGATCGGGAGCTTAGAGCGCCAGTCGTGCGGGTACTTGTGTTCGTACCGGTGCTGCGCCAGGAGCTGGCCCTGCGACTCGACATATTCCAAAACAGCGACATTTCCCTCTCCAAGGACATTCTTGCCGCTCAATCTGCTGGGATCGATGGGCATGGCCTCGATGGTGAATTCTCCGTGATCATTGACCGGGGCAAACGCGGCGATTCCATGAGACGCACAAACTTCGTAGTCATCCATACCATGCCCGGGAGCGCAGTGAACGAGTCCAGATCCAGAATCCGCAGTAACAAAGTCCGCTGCAATCATGGGCTGGGGCTGAGCATCCTGTCCCTTGAAAAGCGGCCGGTACGTAGTTTGATCTGCCAGTTCTGAACCAAGAATAGACGGCACAATTACAGATAAGTCCTCCTTCAGAATATTCTGAAGGTATTCCAACCGAGATTGCGCAATAAGAAGATATCCGCGTGTGTCAGACTCGACGATCGTGTATTCCAGAGATTCGTGAACCGCAATCACAGCATTGGCCGGCAGGGTCCAGGGCGTGGTTGTCCAAATAACAGCACTAACCTCCTTTTCGCGAAGCAAAGGATTCTGCAACAAGTGAGGCGGAAGAAAAACGAGCGGAAACTTAACCAGAGCAGCAGCAGACACATGGTCCTCCTTGTACTCCAATTCAGCTTCTGCCAGCGCCGTACCAGTAGACGGAGACCAATAGACCGGTTTGAACCTTCGATAGATCAAGCCCTTATCGACCATTTCACGGAAAACACCCAACTGCCTCTTCTCGAATTCCTTATCCATAGTCTTCCAATGGCTCTCCCAGTCAGCCATGACACCAAAACCGCGGAATCCCTTCATCTGCTCTTTAACCGTCTTCCCCGCCAATTTCCGCGCCTTGTTGCGAATCACCGTCGCACTGACAGGCCCATTGGCCGCCAGCCCGGCATCCTTCTCGCCCTGTAGCGCCTTAAGCTCGATGGGTAGCCCATGACAATCCCATCCAGGCACATAGCCCACTCTCTTCCCCCGCCCCAGCTGCACTCGGCAGATAATGTCCTTGAGGATCTTATTTAGCGCATGGCCGATGTGAAGCTCGCCATTCGCGTACGGCGGTCCGTCGTGTAGAACGAAAGGTCGATCGGCCGGTCGTTCACGGCGTTGCCAGGCGTATAGCTCGTTGGTGCATCGTTGCAGGTATTTTGCTTGATCGGCCGGGGACACGCGCGCCGGGAACGTCGACTTGGGGAGTTTGAGTGTCGACGACCAGGACCGTGTGAGCGTCCGCGGCAGTTCCGGCATACTACTTCTGAAGAAGCATGTCCTGTTCAGAACGGCGCTGCTGCTTGGAAAAGGTCTCCGGCTGTTTGGCGGAGAAAAGCGGGCAATCTTTACGATGCGGGTAACGATACGTAATATTACCATTTTAAATCTGATTTTTGACTGAAAATGCCGTAATGTGATTACATGGGATATTACACAAGAAGTGACTGATGCTTGAGATAGAAAAACATCATTACATTGGTAGTATCTTATAGTAGAAGATGGTTGTGCTGGCTGGTAAAATCCCCAAACGCCTGCCACAGAAATATTACTCCAAAGGATAATCAATAAATCGTGACGCAGCTCACTGCGCCGTTCTTCATGACTTCAAATAGAAGCCCAGGAAATCCAAACAACTCAGTATTACCTAGGCCCCCATCCTGGCTGTCGCCACCAGCTCTCGGTCCCCGGCCGGTACTCTCTTCCCAGCCGCCAAGGAACTCAACGCTGCTTTCCGGGCTGTCGCCCCAGCCGCGATTCAGCACCATTGGACGTTGAAGCGCTCGTTCCTCTGCAGCGCTCGCGTACGATCCCTTCCAAACGTCCCTAAGACGTGATGAGATCTCGTCGTATGGGGTCTCTGAAGTCACGGGATCGCCATGTGCATCAAGGTAGATAGTCCAACGACTGCGCCGATGGCGGTTGAATGGATACGAGCCCGGGACGTTTCCATGTAGGATAATCTTTGTGACGACCAGTTGAGACGATGGATTCGGAGGTGCTGGATCAGATAGATCGGACCCCGGAAATGCAGGGCCAGGCGTGGTAGGGTAGCTGATAAAAGCATCAAATCCATGGTGGAAATAATTATAGAAACATTCTGTGGGCATTGAGGAAGGGTCCAAAGTTTCTCCATGGGAAATTTCCTCGTCAGAATCATCAGTCACGCTGTTGTTTGAAGACTGGTCGGTATCAGTAACATCAATCCCTCTGGCTGGGGATGGACTCATATGCAAAGCATCTGCACCACCGCCGCCGCCTGCAGCGCGGTGGATTGAGATTCTTCGATCATTCTTACGATAAATGGCATCTGGTGGCCCAAACTCTGCAATCAAGTCTTGAGGAGTGGTCTCGGAGAGAGAGATGTATGTGGTAGGAGTTGACCTTCGGACAATCTCAATCTTTCCAGCCCCCAAGACATTGAACTCCTCGATCTCATCCGGAGACGCTTCCCTATTCTTCCCGACCAGTGCTGGAGAACGAGGATACTGAGGCGGCTGTGTGAACAATTTAGACCTGGATTCCGGCCACGATGAGCCCTGGTAAATCGCCATCGACGTGGCTGGCAGCGCTGCTGAGGATGAAAGCAATGCTACAAAGTCACATTGGTCCGAATACGCCGAGTTCTGCAGCGGGAAGGAGAACGCGACCCCGGGATACGAGAGGACATAAGTGCCATATGGGGTGTGAGAGGCTGGGGGTATATATTCTCCCGGGTACGATGGACCGAAGAGACGGTTGTAGACATGACGGAAGCTAGGACCCTGTTGGGACGGCGTTTGCTCCTTCGTGCCCTTGACCACATCTTGATTCTTATAAACCATCGATATCTTGGTGAAGTCGAGTACCTCAATCAGACGCAGTCTCTGGTCAGGGCCATCGAATCGTAGGCGAAGACCATTTGACGGAAGTTGTAGGATAACCGGCTTTCGCAAGGGATCCGAAGACGAGTATGCCAGGTCGATTGCGGGGTATGTTTGGGGATGGGATTTAACACGACTGAGGACATTGTGAAGGGAAGCACCCAGGGCTATTCGATGCTAAGCTGTCAGTCCAATTTTCCGCATATATAGTATCGGAGAGAGGCTTGCTTATGAATCCCAGGCCCTTGCCAGGATAGATCTGGGCCTGCGCCGAAGCTTTGGAGGAGGCCATATCGATAGTCCGGGCCGTTATCAAGGCCAACTGGGGCAAAACAGGTCCATGCAGCAGCAAGAGCTGTAAAGGAACGGTCAATATATGAAAAGAAGCCTCAGGTCTCAAAAATCGATGTCTACAAAATCACGATGACGATGGTTCAGAAGTCTTTCGTTTAAATGTATGAGAGGAACGTCAGCTGGCGATAAGGAAGATGATCATGTGATGAGGGGGCATGACCCCCTAAGCATTGGCCGTCATGTGACACGTGTGCGGAGACCGCTTTTGTTTACATTCCGTTTTCAGAATTCGGAGCACAACCTCCACTGCAACGATACTTCTTTGCTTATTCCACACTCTGTACAGCATATATCGGCGTTGTACATATTTGATTTTGGATTTTTGCTATTTTCTCGTCATTGAACCTGCGAACGTTTTCACATTGTCACCATGGCTGGCCCCCCACGGCCTGCCTCTGGTCTGCCCACGAGACGGAGCGCGATGCGACCACCTACCAAACGAACAACCTCAACCGCTACCGATAGATCGTCCTCTTCTGCTTCTTTAACTAGACCATCTAGTAATGCGCGCGCGCTTAAATCGCCGAGCGAACCGTCCAGCATCGTGAGCAAGAGAAAGGAGAGAGACTTCGAACGGGAAATCAACGAGGACACTAGCATTCGTGTTGTCGTGCGATGTCGTGGTCGGAGTGAACGCGAAGTCAAAGAGAACAGTGGTGTGGTAGTCTCGACAGACGGTGCTAAAGGGAAGACAGTAGACCTGTCAATGGGACCGAACGCGCTGTCGAATAAGACATACACGTTCGACAAGGTCTTATCTCCGGCTGCTGATCAGACAATTGTTTATGATGATGTTGTTCTTCCAATTGTCAACGAGGTAATTTATTTGACCGAGACACGAAGGGCTCTCCAACTAACGGGAGATTCAGATGCTTGCAGGTTACAACTGCACCATTTTCGCATACGGCCAAACCGGAACGGGAAAGACATATACGATGTCCGGTGACATGACAGACACATTGGGCATTCTATCCGACAATGCCGGCATTATTCCACGCGTTCTGTACTCATTGTTTCACCAATTGAAGGATACAGAAAGCACCGTGAAGTGTTCATTCATCGAATTATATAATGAAGATCTGCGCGACCTACTATCGTCCGAAGATAACTCGAAGCTGAAGATTTACGAGAATGAGAAGAAGGGTCAAAACGGAAGTACCATGGTTCAGGGAATGGAAGAGACCTATATTGATACAGCGCATGCCGGTATCAAACTGCTCCAGCTTGGTAGCCACAAGCGCCAGGTTGCTGCGACCAAGTGCAACGATCTGAGTTCGCGCAGTCATACCGTTTTTACGATAACAGTGTACACCAAGCGGACGACAGAATCGGGAGAGGAATACGTTAGCCCCGGAAAACTGAATCTGGTCGACTTGGCCGGAAGCGAGAACATCCAACGCAGTGGTGCCGAGAACAAACGTGCAGCAGAGGCTGGGCTAATCAACAAGAGCTTACTCACACTGGGCAGAGTCATCAATGCGCTTGTAGATAAGAGTAGCCATATTCCCTACAGAGAATCGAAACTCACGCGTCTGCTGCAAGACTCTTTGGGGGGGCGAACGAAGACTTGCATTATCGCCACAGTCTCAACGTCGAAAACGAACCTCGAGGAAACAATATCGACCCTGGATTACGCTTTCCGAGCTAAAAATATCCGCAACAAACCGCAGATCAACTCCACGATGTCCAAGAAGACTCTTCTACGAGAGTTCACTTTCGAGATTGAGAAGCTCAAGGGAGAGCTTATTGCCACGAGACATCGAAATGGCGTTTACATGGCACCCGATGCATACGAGGAGATGACCATGGAGAACGAGTCTCGAAGGATAGTCAACGAGGAACAACGAGCCAAGATTGAAACCATGGAGTCGAGTTTACGCCACAAAGTCCAAGAACTTTTTACGTTGACCAGTAATTTCAACAACTTGAAGAAGGATAACGAGGAGACGCAGGCCGCCCTCAACAATACCAACGATGTCCTCGAGAAGACGGAGATAGTTTTGAATGATACCAAGGCGACCCTTGAAGAAGAGGAATTGCTCCGAAAAGCTCACCAAGAAACCGAGACACAGCTTCAAAATGTTGGAACCGGACTTGTGTCGACACTGGGCAGCACTGTCAAGGATGTGGAAGGTTTGCATGCAAAGATTCAGCGTAAGGCCGACTTGGCAGCACTCAACCAACAATCCTGGCAAACGTCTAGTGGCGAAGTTTCCGATGTTACAAAGCAAATCGACGCCCGGGTAGGAGCTTTCCAGGATCAACATTCAACGCTCGTGGAGACCATCTCGGACCGGATCAGCCAATTTGTCGAGACTGAATTGAACAATGTGCAGTCAAGCCAGTCGCAGCTTGAAGGCTTCAGTTCATCATTCGACAAGGCAGAGGCAGAGGCTACCGCCCAGACCTCTGGTGCACACGATGAGATGAACGAGGTACTCGAGGAGATCAAGGTCTTGCGTGAAGAAGTCAAGGGTCGAGTCGGAGCAGGGCTGAATGGCTTATCGGCTGCAGCTGGTCGTATTTCCAAGGAAGTTATTGGCGAGTTTGCCGACTTCCATGCTCAGGTGAGTCCGGCCATCTTCACATGCATCAATGGACGTTGACTGACGGATACAGCTCTATGAATCTTATAGCACCCTTGGCAAGGACATGAAGTCCATGTTTGACGGCGTCGTGAACCATCTTCATGAGCAGAAGACTGAAATCAGTCTTCTGCGATCGCAACTTCAACAGGCCAACCAAGAGACCATCGAGGCCAACCGCAAGGCTTCGTCTCAATTGGCACAATCTATGGAAGAAGAGAATGCAACTGCTGAAGCGGAGCGAGACCAGTTGCTGTCCCAAATTAAGGTCCTGATGGATGAATCACGTCAGAGACAATTTGGCCGCATGAAGAACAAGTTTGACGGTGTGAGGGTTGATATCTCGTCCTCGGGCGATGCGCTGGAGCAAGCGACAACCCAGCATGACCGTCATGTCGATGAGTGGGTGTTCAAATCGGAGCAATTCGCAAAGGACGTCACCGCATCTCGGGACGAGGTCAAGACGAAAATGCAGAACGACTGGGAGGTAAGAGACACCAGTACCCATCTTTCAATGTATGCTCATGCTAAACTGATTACGATAGGCATTTGACCATCGCAACGTATCTATCCAAAAGGTTACCGAGTCCGTACAAGAGGAGACTGTCCGCATTGTCGATGCCCAGATGAAAGACATGAGCAAACAGATGGGTGCATTGGACGATTTCGTCGCCAAGGCACGATCCCAGAATGGCCGCTTCCATGAAGCGCATCTGGATAGCTTGAACAACATGGCGTCCAATGTCCGTCAATCCTATTCAACCGTCCAAGAGAAATTCGGAGGATTCGGTGAACGGGTTGATCAACTACAGAACGACACTGCTCAGGACAAGGACAGCCTCTTGGAAGTCGCTGCACCTCTGACAGACGAGGTCCGGAACCCCCTGTCAGCCCTGCGCACGAACATCCAAGCTCGCCCGTTGAAAGAATACGTCGCCACCGGAGTCACTCCAGCAAAGCGCCCCTACGAGTATCCAACAACCCTGCCTCAAACCGAATCCCACGACGCCCTCGTCGCAAGACTCCGAAACTCCAAGCAACTCAAAGACCTCCCCTTCGGCGGTGAAGACAAAGTCACCCCCCTAAACAGCTCTTCACCCACAGCCTCACCATCCAAGGGCTTCGTCTACAATGACGCTGAGGATGAGGTAGGACCAGAGCTACCTGCCCCTACCCCCGCCCCTGCTCCTGCTCCTGTCACCACTACTCCTTCCAACACGGGACTTAGGGAAGTTGATGCAAACGTCGTCGCCAGACCGGCCGATGAAGCCACCCTCGGCCGGTCCTCGTCCGTGAAACCTTTGGACTCAGAGAGTGAGCATCATCGCCCCGAGTCGATGCCGTCGGACGAACCTCCGTCTAAACGGCACTGCTCTGCTACTGCAGTCGCGGAAAACAAGTTTCCGCATAAAGCGCTTAATAGGAAGATGGCGGGGATGATGGGGGGTAGGGAGAATGTGGCGCCGTCTCCTGCGACGCGGGCTTCGCGGAGACTTAGGGGTCGTCCTTCTATGACTGGTTAGGTGTGGTTTTGTTTCGTGTCTGTGTTTGTTTTTGTGTTTCTCGTGGCTATCGGTTATTTTCGGTTATCGGGTCAAAAGCTTTTGGTTTATACCCCGTGGTTTGTTGTTTGTTTGGCGTTTCTTCTGCAAGCTCTATAGAGTGTGGTTTACTGGCGTTTTATTTGTGGGTTATCTCTCTTTACTTTCTTCGATGATCCTGGTTCTTAGATACCTGTTTGCCTATTCAATGCCTACTTTTTGCAATTGTTCTCTATCAAGATGCGCTTCTCTTGAAGTAAATTGTGTTTGCGAGAAATTGTACCCTTAAGACCAAGTATTATTGGGACTGCTCTACTAATTCTCTTCTATGCTGCGTCTTGTATTCGAGCGTCAAGATTCACCAAGTGCACCGGCTTGGGTCTCAAGATTCCCTAGCGGCTCTTGCTCTGTCGTTCCAGCCGTAATATTATTATCATTATCCACACCCTGCTGGTCCCCAACATGATCATGCTCTCCTGCTCCATCTCCTTGCTGCTGTTCCATATCCGATTCGTAGTGCATATGTTCCCCAGCTTCTATCACCTGCCTGAGCTCGCCCATCCGCTTCGCAAACTGGTCCATCATGTCTTCCAGTCGCTGGCTTCCCCGTTCTTTATCCTTCTCTTTCGAAGCCGTACTTGGTGGTAGACCGGGTGTGCCATGAATCTTGAGCATCAACCCTCCGTTGAGTGGTTGTTCGCCTGATGTGTTATTCTCAAATGTTGGGGCCGGGACGAGCTCGGTGTTGAGGACTTGCCATGCGGGTGTGAGGCTGTGGGCCGAGGTCACCGTGAACTGAGGCGTTTGTTGCTGCGGTTGCTGGTTTTGCTGGTGTGGGATGGCTGTCGGGTGCGTTGCAGGCGAGGTCGACATGGAATTGGTGCCGCCGGCGTTATTCGGATTCATATCTGTCCTAGGGGTAGGTTCTACATCGAGGATAATATAGCTATCCCGTACCCCGGGGATGGGAGGTGGTAAAAGAGTATCCTTCCTCAACCCCGAAAGCTCGTCTTCTTCATTGTAACCTGACCCGTCTTCGCTTTCGCCTTGCCGTGACCGGGTCGGCCTCTTTCCGCCGGTAGAGCTGTCCTGCTCTGATTCTAATGAACGCACAGCAGCCTCGGTCAGAATATCCGTGTCGTCATCAGAGAAGATGTAGTGGACTGTTGGATGGTGGTATTCCCCCGTGTTTGCGTCCTCGACCAAGGTGAAGAATGGCTGGAAGGGTTGGTGGTGACCCGTTGGGATATCTAAAACTCCATCATTCTCATATTGCAGGTTCTCGATTTGATCTGGATGGGTTTGCTGGTCATGTTCTGTTGGTTGTGTAGGTCGGTCGATGGTCTGAGGGCGGGAAGCTGGTGATCCCGAAGGGTCGCGGACGAATTGCCTGGGAGATGAGGATAGGGAGGGAGATGTAGCGTTGGTGTAATGCTTTGGAAGTGACATCTCCGCGGCTGCGAGACTACATGGTCAGAAAGAGAAAGGGAAAAGAAGGATGTCGTGGTGGTAGTGACTAGTGTAGTAGTGATGATGGTTGGAGCTGTTGGAGATCCCTTATCGATAAGGGTCAGGTGATTTTCTACCACATATCCAACCCTTCCTCTCAGTAATTTCGGAACAAGAATCATATTTGTATAGTCTACAAATTGTCTAGGGCATCGGCTTCCTGCAACAAGCCGTCATTCTTTACAATCTAGCAGTTTCCTAATCTCCAGCTTTGCATCCGGGTCACTCAACATCTCAAACCCGATCTCCACAACCTTTGGCTTGACACCTTCCGGAATTCTGACATCGTAAGTCAACAGAATCTTAGCCAGCGCGATTTTGACTTCATTACTAGCAAAGGACCTCCCAGGACAGATTGGCTTCCCTATCCCGAAGGCGATATGCTCCCGGCTGGTGGAAGCGAGTGCTGCCCAAGCATTGCCGGATTGACGTAGACGAAGAAAACGGTAGCCGTCGTAGGTGGAAGGGTTAGGATAAATAGTGGGATCCCACATCACGGACGAATCAACAGCAACGTTAGTTCCGCGGGGTATAGTCATGCCATTTGGAAGGACGATATCTCGCATAGCTTTTCGTTCAAGATTTGCTGTAGGAGAGAGCGTTTCAGTACCTTGAAACAAGAATCAATGTGGCATCGGTATCCACATACCTAATATTCCAGGCTTCAGCCGTTGGGTCTCCTTGACTGCACTGTCCAGTAGCTGCATCTTGAAAACGCCCGCAGTTGTCCATCCACTTTCCTCAATAGCCTTGTTTGCTTCATCTCTTATAGCTGGAATCAATTCCGGGTGCATACATATATCCAGAAGGGCCTGCTTGAGCAACTCGGAGGTTGTGTGCATTGCACTTATCGCAAATGCTATTTGTGCAGCAGCGGCATCGTAGGGGCGTCCCGCGGCTATCTCCTCAAGCCACTCGATGGTGTCATTAAACTTTTCTGCTTTATGACTTTCAATAGAAGTGCCTCGCACACGTGCTCTGTGGTCGAAAGTTGGCTGTAATATACGACGAGCGAGACGCAATTGTTGACGGCATGCTCTGAGCTCTGGCAAGAACCAATGGACAAGTGGACGGAGGAAAGCAGGACAGGCGCGGAGTGATCGGACTCCCATAAATGTATTCATTGTAGAAGTGAGAGTCAACTCCTGCCATGCAGCATCGCGAGCTAGTTGAGGGCCAACGAAAACAGATGCTGACATTCGCCCGATGAAGCGAATTGCGTGTTGAGACCAATCAACGGTGTGCCAGTCTTAGGAGACTTAGTTCTTGTCAAGAATTCAGCCACAGAGGGGACAAGCATACCATTATCATCTGTCCAAATTTCTCTCAGGGCCTCTGTAAGGTGTTTGTGAAACAATTCACACTCTATTATGGTCAGTTAAGATCCGTCTCGACAAATGGCTCCGGGATTTCACATACGACTATTCTGGTTCAGCTTCTTCTTGGTGACATCGATGAGGATTTTTCTGGGATCAGTTACGATGCCCTGTCCTTCCATTCCAGGATACGCTGCAAAGTATTCCTTTTGTATCGCCGTCAGTTTCTGTATCATTCCGGCAAAGGGAGATTCAACATACGTCATGTACAAGCGCCTGATGATCTAAATCTGAACAGTTCTTCAACCATTCTGTATAAGATGCTGGGAGGATGACTCGAGAACCAAGGGTGGTTATAATGCGAAATGGGCCGTTGAACTGAAGCATGCAGGTTAGACACCGTATCTCGTCCGGGAAATCAATTGATCTTACCTTCCGAATACCTTCCTTAATCAAGCCCCTAGCATTCGATACAAATTCTGCATGTGCTTTTCTCAATGTTATATCACCGGAATAGGAATTGATAGTTGGGATTGCCGGTCTTCTCATCCAACGCCATGTGAGAATAACAAGGATGCCCAAGAGGACCGTAGGGAGAATATGAACAACGGACAAGTCTTTGTTGAGGAAACCGACTGTGTGAGATTGATAATATGCCATAGCTGCTCACGGCTATCGAGGTCTCGCAGTCGCGATTGTAATACATTATTCAAGCAATGTCAAGTTGATTGAAATAGGAGCATTTGGTCACGTGTATAGAACATTGACTGAGTGATAATGACTCATCTTGATTGGACAGCGACTACTAACTAATACTACTATCTCCTTGCTTGCAGAAAACTTTTGTCGCTAATCTCAATCGGTTCCCGACAATGATCCTGACTTGGAAAGAGGACCTTAGGAGATGAAATAGCATTTGCATGGATCCAACACTTCCATGAGAATTCAAGGAAGCGGCAGGTAAGTTTATCAATCAATCTAACTAATGACTTAGACTGGTAAATATCGACTACTCCTCCTTGACAACCATGGATCCCATCTCACATACGAATTCGTTGAATACGCTGAAAAGCATCAAATTATCCTTATTACCCTCCCACCACATACAACTCACTTTCTACAACCGCTTGATGGCATCCCTTTCAAGCCATATAAGCATTATCATGGTGATGGTGTTCGTGAGGCAGCAAAGGATGGGTATGATACTTTTGAGAGGCGGGAATTCCTTGCAAAACTCCCTAGTTTTCGACAAAGGGCATTTTCTGGAAGAACGATCCGATCTTCATTCAAATTATGTGGCATATTTCCTTTTGATCCATCTATTGTCTTGGATCCATTAAAAAGGAAGCTGTCTTTGGACAATGAGAATCCTCTGGAAATGTGGTTGGATAAGGGAATGGGCCTACTGGGAGTTCTAAATCTACTACTCCATCATTAATTACCTCTTCACCAAAGACACTCCAGCGCTTCTTTCCCACCGCATTTCAGCTTGAGCTTGCATTGTTGTCATAAGAAAAAAGTCAAAAAAAAAAAAAAAAAAATACTGTAGGGTATCATGTCTATAAACCTCCAAACGCCTTCATCCCTGGTAAAGCATATGCATCATACTTGTATGTCCTGAGTAGTGTCTTGAGCAGTGTCTTGAGTGTTTTGAGTAGCGTTTCCGTCTTCCTCGTTTCCTTTCCATTCGAATTCTGCAGATGATCAGCATCTAGTCTAAGCTGGACAATTCGCATACATACTCTGTCTGCACATTGGACAAAGACCCTTGGAAGCCTCTTGTTGGATCCAGGTCATCAGACAATGCTACATTACCGTCAGTATCAACAGTCTGGTCCTCGTGACACGGACAGTTTACTCACCATGTGGAAGGAATGACCACATTTTCCGAGTACTGTAGAGCATTAGCATTCGCTCTCATTCAACTCTATAGAGATTATCACGTACACAGCGCGCAATCGTCACCGGGAAACTTGCAGGTTGGACAGGTACCGTCGAACTGAACGCGACAGATACCACACACGTCGTCGTCGGGCATATCCCAGCGCCAAGTTGCGACGGCGTTCCACTCTTTGAACGTGACCTTCATTTCCGCGGGTATATGTAAATCAGCCTGAAGATGGAGTTGTTGATAGAGAGTTTGTCCAGGTACTGATAGGAGGTGTGGGTTCATAATAATCCGAACTCCGCATTTCTCCCCGCCTCTCATCTTCCTCTTTATCTCTCATCTTCCTACTACAACTCCTTCTCTCACTGTGCTAATTAAACGTCTGCCAGGGCTTAAATCTATTCGTCGTGGATGACGCGATTCTTAGGGTCGATTGGCGGCATGTAAATACTATAAATTTACTTGGTTTTCCATCTTCTATCCCCACTGACTATGGCTTTCTCGGCTCTCCGCACTTCTGTCCCTTCGCCAACTCGCTTTGTGCGCTCAACCATGTCCCAATCTCTGCGACAACCGGTCCAATATCGCCCGGTCTCCTTCTCTTCGTATCTGGTCACTCCCAAGGAACTCAATGAAGCTCTTCGGAAGAACCCGGCCACTAGAATTTCGACGTCGCCGCGCGTTGTCCCTCTCTGCGCCGCCTGGTTCATGCCCAACGACCCCGAGGGTCGCAAGGGAATTGACGCTTTCCAGAAGAATCGCATTCCCCAGGCGCGCTACTTCGACCTGGATGGGGTCAAGGATACCGAGTCGCCGTATCCGCACATGCTCCCCACTTGCGAGACCTTTGCGGAGGCGATGAGCAACTTGGGTATCCGTCGCGACGACAATGTCGTAATCTATGATACTGAAGAATTGGGGCTTTTCAGTGCGCCTCGTGTGGGCTGGACCCTGCGAGTGTTTGGTCATCCTAATGTGCATGTGCTTAACAACTACCGCCTGTGGGTTCGTGAGGGATACCCGACGGAGACTGGAGAGCCTGTGCCAGTGGAAAAGACCAAGTACCCCGTTCCCAACTATGACGCGAAACTCGTGATGCCATACTCTGAGTTGAAGGAGATCGCCAAGGAGCATCGGAAAGAGGGCTCCAGAGAGGCGGAGATCTTGGATGCACGGCCCTACGGTCGCTGGGCGGGGATTGACCCCGAGCCCCGGCCTGAACTGTCATCTGGACATATCCCCGGATCGAAGAGCTTGCCTTTTCCGGAGTTGCTTGATCCCGAGATCAAGACCATGCGACCCGCAGATGAACTTCGCAAGGTGTTTGAAGAGCGCGAGATCGATGCGTCCAAAACGATTATCAGCTCTTGTGGCTCCGGCGTGACTGCTGCCATTATTGAGACGGCTTTGCATGTGTCGGAGTACGGGGAACCGAACCTTCGGAGGGTGTACGATGGCAGCTGGACGTGAGTATCCTTTTGTTTATGTGTATTGTACCTGCAATTGCTAACCGATCAAAGTGAGTGGGCACAGCGTGTAAAGCCGGCGGACGGTCTCATCCGTAAGACTTAGATACTATATCCCTACGACTCACCTCTATCTTCATTGTTTCATGGTAAAGACGGACTGTATGACAGAATGCTTGATGTTCCTTGCGCGCATTTCTTTTCTGGGTTACTTTGGTATCCAAGGGCGGATCTGTTTCGTTACATAGAAGCGTTCGGCATCTAGATATCCATGTTTTCGACCACAGTACAGATGTACATAGAACGAAGAATGTCTACTCATTTCAATTCATTGAATGTAAGAATGTACAGATGTACTTCAAGGAATGTATTTGCAACTGGCCTGTTGTATAGTTTTGTAACTAGCCTCCGCTTAGTCAGGTCTTGGTCACCTTGAAGGTATCGCAGTGACTCCAAGAACATCATCTCTCTTCAGTCTCCCTGTTACCATCATCCAGAGATCGCAAAATGCTGCAGATGAGTGTCCTTCTTTATATTGCTGTCTCCGGTAGTGAGTAGTCAACGTGACTTCTTCTCTCTCTTTGATCAATGCCCGTCGACTGCCCCCACATCTTCCAGATCTCTCGACCTCCGCCTCCAAACCTCCTTCGTGGGTTCCAGCATCCCACTGCCTAGTGTTGCCTGCGCTTGCAGTCGCAGCCTTCGGATTGAGCTGCTTGGTGTAGGGGCTGCCTTGATATCTCTACTTTATTCTTACCTGGTCGTTTGTTCCATCTTGCGACTATCCACGCCAACACAAAACTCCTTTTGCCGTCCATCATGCCGACCGTCATGCCGACCGGACGCAAGGTCTTCCACTGTGCTGTGGACGAAACCGCCTTGACTACCAATATCAGTGAAATTAAGAAATGGACTACGAACGGTTCCATCACCCTGGTGGTTCCTCTGTACAGTAAGTTGAAAGTCCCTTTGTGAGAGAGGTGGGGAAATACTCGTTGTGATCAGTGTGCTGACCCCGGATTCTTTCTTTTCTTTTTTTAGCCCTCGAACGTCTCCATGCGCTGAAACGAGCCGGGAACCAAGTTGCTATCAACGCCCGCGAGGCCGTGCGCTTTCTCGATCGTGTCACCTCAGGAAAGGATAACATTTCCGCTGAACGAGTTGTTTTGCAGGGTCCGATGGAGCAGTATGAACGATGGGAGCATGCGGAGAAGTTTTTCCTGCCGGAATTCGAAGAAGAACCCGAGGCGATCGATCACGGAGTAAACGGCGATGGACAGGCTTTGCCGGAGAAGCGAGCGCCAGACAGCGCCAAGGACAACAAGAAAAACGGCGCTTCTGGATCCGACGATCTGTCCCAGATGCTTCTCAGCAAGTTGAACTTCAAGAAGGATTCCGACGCCGTTTCGACCACATCCGCCGGTACGCATAGTGGCCCTGCCTCCCGAACGTCCTCGCGCAGCTCCCGAACCAGTCCGGAATGCGCCAACTCCCACGGTGATGTGAACGGAGAAGGATCGAAGCCAAACAGAGCGGCTCGCGCAAATGGACACCAACGCACTGCTTCGGGAACGGCTATTCCGACTGTTCCTCTTGTTCTCCGACCGTTGCTCAGCGCCATTCTTTGGCGCCTGCACGATGGCCCCGACGCATCCAATGTAGCGAAGAGCTGCATCCTTATATCGAACGACCTTGTGGTACAGTCCTGGGCTCAGAAATTCGGCATCGGAGTGAAGAACATCCACCAATTGCGGACATCGATCCAATACGAGGAACGAGAATACAAGAATCGGTGCAAATACGTCGAGAAGACCCAAGGTACTGGTCCTCCTGCTGCTGCTGCTGCTGCTGCTGCCGCCGCCGAACCCAAGTCGCTTTTATCCTACGACGATGAAAGTGAAGAAGATGAACTAGTATTTGTTCCTCGCGGTCGTGGAAAGGGAACTGCCACAAAGAGCGGAGGCTCACGTAGCAGCAACCGCAAACCGGCGCCCTCGAAGAACGTCGCACCACCTCTGGAGGAGACGATGGAAGTCCCAACAGCCCCCATTGACCCGAATTCGTTCAGTCGGTCCATTGGCGGGGCCGTCAAGCAGCCACAGCAAACCGTCGATCTGAGCACTCAGGCTGGGGCCACCCAGGGTCTAGCAGGGGCCTCTCGCGGCGGTCGCCGAGGCGGTCCTCGCGGTGGTCGTGGAAACGGTCGTGGTCGTGGCAAGCTCTGGGTTCCTTGAACAACGCGGGGGGCTCGTCAGTGCGGAAGCAATTGATGAGCCAATCTATTGCCGAATGCTTTTTTCCTTCGTCATTTTTCTTTCCCGGGAGCTGGAAACAACGGTCGTTGCTATTCGCCGCAGAAAAAGTATCGAAAATCCCCGTCTTGCGATCCGTCATGCTAGGGCTGCAACTGAATCCGATCTGTCAACCGGTGATAGTATGGAGTTCTCTCTCTCTGAATGGAACAATATGCGACTCTAGACAGATGGACGCGAATCGGATACGGCGCAGTCAAAAAGGACGTTGGCCAGTTTTCCACGGAGTAGTATGAGGGTCATAAGATACGTTTGACAGGGGTCGACAGAAGAACAAGGCTGGAACCATGCCAGATAATCTACGGACAAGTGTCTCCGGCCGGATTTGTTGCTTTCATTGTCCCCCTTCGTGGGACAATCAGAAATCAGCACGTTTTCTTTTTTGGGAATCGCCTACTTACGGAATATTGCTCTACTGTTGGAAGGGACTTGCTCTAGTCTCGCTTTTCATGTCTACACTGCAGTTTGCATTTACAGTTTTACAGATGAGTCTACAAAAAAAAAAAAAAAAAAAAAAAAAGTATTTAGAAAAAGTTGAAAAGGGGTAGATGAGGGTTATCATCATGGCGGTCTTTCGTTTCATTGCTTTTTGCTATTACTCGTTTTTGCTCAGTCGCTCGTTTTGTATTGGTTTTAGCCGAATTGGGGTATCAAATAAGCTAGAATGTCAAGGGGGATAACTAAGAGTCAATAGTATGTTTCATTGAACACCATCCACTAAAATCAAACCAAATCAATGACGCTTCTTGCCTCACGGGAAGCCTCCCCGGGGCTGTTTGATGTATGATTATTGATCGGCTGTCACCTCCGCATTTCACCTGACCTCATCGTCGACATCATTGGTTTCTGTGTTCCCTCCTCTGACACTTCACCTCCTGATCTCCTGTTATTTCCTCCTGAGAATCTTCATCTAACCTGATACATGCACGGACGTTGCCTGTGTATATAAGCATCACGCTGCTCCCTGTGAATACATACATACATACATACTCTTCTATCCACATTCCACATACCACATACCACTACTACTGTACAATTTGCAATCCAAGGCACGAAAGACAATCCAGCAGAATGGCCGACGTCGACAAAACCTCCCTCGCCGCCTCCTCCATCGAGCGCCGCGACTCCCTCGAAAAGCATCTCCAGCACCGTCCTGATCCCGAGGATCTGCGCAGCAAGCATATCCTCGTTGATACGAATATGGCTCCGTATGCCGTTGCCCCTCACATCAATTAGCTAAAAAGAGTATATGTATATGGGGTGATGTGCTGATAATAAACGTGAATGTGCAGGTCTTCGGAAACGGCTTTCCCGGGTACACTTGAGCGTCGACGGACTTCGGATAGTTTGCAGAGACATCTTGAGCAGAGGCCTGAGAGGGAGGAGTTGGTTGAGCGTGAGCTTTCCTTTTCTTCACTTATACCTTATGAATAATGAGTGTGGTGTGGTGCTAATGCTAATGGTGGATAGGAAACATCCTCCCCTCCGTAAACGCAGCACCGGCCATCCAAGCCCAAGCGCGCGAATTGCAGAAACACATGCGTGCGGATAGTCTCGAGCAGAAGATCCAACATCGCCCGCAGCCGGAGATGCTCATTGCGCAGGGGATTCTGGAGGAGAGTGAGGATCCTAGGAGTCCTACTAATTAAGCCCCTATCTTGTGTCCGTACTCCGTATGGATGGGGTTGACAATATTCATGACTTATGATTGATTGTTTCGGGATTGCTTTGTTTCATGCGTTAGGTAGATTGTTAAATACAACACTTGAAGAGGTTAATAGCTCTCCACGTCAATCGCATGCGACAAATCCGGCATCCATCCCGCTGGTCGCTCGCTTCCACGGACCAGAATCCCATACGCAGCCTTCTCGACCTTCTCCACGCTAGTCTGCATAACTTCCATCTTCTTTCCCAAATCACGGAGCATATGATACCGCCGCGGAACACTCAACATCTCAAATAACGCCCGCATAGCCCGTAGATCAACCACAAGCCCAGCCTGCGACTCAGGAAGCATCCTCAATTCACCCTCCCCAGCCCCTTCACCACCCTCCCCTTTATTCTCCTCCTGTTTCTCCTGATCCTTCTGCGAAGAAGCAGTCCCCGACGACAACCCCGTAACCGCAAATCTCATAATCTCCCCCGTCAAATCAAACAACCCCATGAGATAATCCTCCTCGGTAACAAGCACCTCCCGCGGCATTTTCGCCTGCACCTCCTCCTTCGTAATCAATTCCTGTGTCAGGATGTAGTGGTGGAACGACAATGCTTCGATGAATTCCTGGATGCCGGGGCTGATGTTGCGTTGGTAGCGCCAGGTGTTTACGGCGGTGAGGTCGGGAGTGAGCGAGGTGAAGAGGGAGTAGATTTGGGAGAAGCGGGTGGTTGTTTCTTTGGCGATGGTGGGGGGGAGGGGGGATTTTATGGTGCGGGTTCTGGTTTTGTCTTATTAGTATTTGGTTATGGGGTTTTGGTGGGTGGTTGGCGTACCGCTGTAACGAGAAGATACTAGATGCCATTAGCAAACACTCTGATAATTCCGGGGGAAGAGGAAGACTTACATCTTCTTACTTAACGCCGTGATATCCCTCGACGTCTTGATAATCCTCTCTCTCCGATCATGGTGCTCATCCAACTCATCGCGAAACGTCCCGAAGATCGAGAGCACTTTGCTCGACGGTTCGTCCATTGCTGCGTTTGTGTTTTTGTTGTTGTTGGTGGTGGTGGCGGTGGTGGTAGTGGATTTGGTATTGTCGACGAGGGGATTTCCTTCCCAGGAACGTTTTATGCCGGTCATGTCACAGTGAATGGGAGTAGTGTGAAGGAGTGAATGCTGCGCGATGTCGCCGGATCGTCATTCTTGCGCGCGGGGCTAACCGCTTCGGGGTGATTATCTGATAAGATAGGAGTTTGATGGTGGGTAGTTTTGATATTGAGAGTTAGAATAACTGATGACTGCTACGACTACTGTCCCAGGTATTTGTACTTCAAAGAGCCACCCCTCAAGCCCATGATGGTGACAAACTGCTCATCCCCCGGCACGATATCCATGGCACTATCACTCACTCTGACGCCGTCTCGCTCTTCAAAAACCAAACACTTGACAGGCGCCCGCGTGCTGACCCGCAGTGACTGCAGATCATCGGATTCAAAGACCCTCTGAACGTTGAGTCCCCGCTCCGACAGGTCCAAATATTTAAATGGCTGTGGCCAGTCCACATCCCGTGCTGCGATCTCGTTATCCACCCAGAGACGCGCAGCGAGGACATGCGGCTCCGGATATACCGTGTGATCGATAATGTCGTCGAGGATGATGTCGGTAGTCCCATTGGCTTGTATACGGATGTCATCCCAAACCCTCCACTCGCGAACCTCAAGCCCCGTCTGCACAGAAATAAACCGCAATTCCACCTTGCCAGAAACCTCCTTCAGCAGACTGCTTGCTACCCAGAGACTGTACTTGCTAGTCTTCGGCGGCTCTGCATGCGTCACGCTCCAATCGTGATGCTCTCTTTGTACCCCGATAGCAAGTGGTTCCAGCACCTGCGCAACTGCATAGTACGCCGGTTTAGGACGCAGATAGTAATCCATGATAGCCCAGGAAATCCCCGGCCAGCAGTCGTTCATCTGCCAGAGCAGGGCTCCTCCGCAGCGTCGGTCATCTCCCCATTGGCGGCGCCAGCCGCGATATCCGTACATCATTGCTTCGGCTTGGATGAGTTGGGTGAGGTAGATGTATGTCTACTTCAGTTAGAAGGTGGTATGGTTTGGAGCGAGGGATAACGTACCTCCAAATCTGTGGCAGTTCTCACATTTTCAACAAGATAAGTAGCAATCCGCCGTTCGTGGCCGTCGGCCTTGTTGTGGAAGTCGATAATGTGAGATTGGGGGTACTTGTCGGCTTCGTTTTCGATGAACGACTCAATGGTTTGGATGTGCGGGAAGGCTTCCATTCCAAATTCACTGTTGAATCGGCCTCCAAGGGTCTCATAGACTTGGTATTTCTCTTGTGTTCCATGCCACACTACACTCTTAGCCAGTTGTCACCTCTATTATCAACAAGTGCCGACTTACCATTCCACTGGTGCAAATCACCAACAGTCGGATCAGACGTTACCTTCCCACCACCCCAAGGACTCCCAGGATGATAAAAAGTACCCGGAGTCAACTCCTTCACAATATCTGGCAAAAGCTTCTCGTAAATACATCGAGCCGGAAAATCCGTCTTCAGCCAATTCTCCGGGTTCTCGTCCTCATAGTTGTATGTGAGTCCATTTTGCTCCTGAACTTGATAGTCTTCGTTGTTTCCAGCATAAATAACTATTGAGGGGTGGTGACGCAGTCTGCGGACGTTGTAGATTGCTTCTTTTCGGATTGAGTCGAGTAAGTCAGGCCAGGTTGGGTAGTTTCCGCAGGCGAACATGAAGTCTTGCCAGACCACTACTCCGAGTTCGTCGCAGGCTGAGTAGAAGTTGTCGTCTTCGTAGATTCCGCCGCCCCAGACTCTATACAATGTCAGTGACAGGTCTCCAATGAGTAGAAACAGCAGGGGCATACCTAGTCATCACTTGACGACCAGCAACCATCAACTCAACCCATTTTCGATACCGTTCTGGAGTGATGTTTGGGAGAAGGCTATCGGCGGGGATCCAACAGGAGCCACCGCAGAAGACATCGACTCCGTTAATTCGGAAGAAGAAGGATTTCCCATGTTTGTCAGGCTGTTGGACAACTTCTGCTGTACGGATGCCGATTTTCTTCGAGACATGGTGAAGTTCGTTCTGTTCATCTGTCAATGATGCTGACAACTCGTAGAGTGTTGGATCGCCGTATCCATGGGGCCACCATAGAGATGGGTTCTTGATATTGAACGTCACGTTGGCAGTATTGCCTTCGCCCATAGTAGACTTCTCAGGCACAACCTCTCGCCCCTGTAAGCTTAGCGTGAATTTTGCCTTGTACGAACCAGCTTCACCGTCTACCTCCACGAAAGCAGAAACAGTGGCCTCTTGATGATCCCCCGCTAACTGCACTTCCGTCCACAAATCCGCAATACGCGCAGTATAAACCTCAAGCCTCACATCCCTCCAGATACCAGTTGTCATAAAAACCGGACCCCAATCCCAGCCCCAGTGGTACTGAGCTTTCCTGACACTCATCCTAGCCGGGTCACCATTAAACGAAGCCCACTTGTGCTTGGGGTCCTGATCACGAAGCTCTCGAGCTCGCAACATAGCGCAATCAAAGTCGATTTCCAGGATATGCTCACCATCTGCTTCCAGGGCTTTGGTGACATCGACACGATGGGCGAGAAACATGTTGTTGCTTTCTAGGATGACGTTTCCATCGAGCTTTACCTTGGCGAATGTGTCTAAGCCGTCGAAGGCCAGGACGATTGTTGAGCTAGGGGATGCTTCTGGTTTTTGGAAGACGTTTCGGTATGTCCATGATTTCTCGTTTACCCATTTGGTGCTTACTTCGTTGAAACCGATGAATGGGTCTTTGAGTCTGGGAACTTGTCAGAATATATATCTTAGTGATGGGTTTGGTACATACTTTTTGTTGGCTAATAGATCCTGATGAACTACAGAGGGGATTACTGGAACTGGCATCCATGCGTCTTCCGACTCATCTTTGCTATCTTTGAAGCCCCATCCTTTGGATAGAGGGTGTTGAACGAGTCTTGACATTTTGCGGGGTCGTCCGGAATGTTGAGTTGAATAGCCAAAAGCTCTCCCACAGCAACCATGAAGAACAGCAGCAACCGAAAGCTGTTGTTATAGTAAGTCAGAAGCTCTCATTTCCATCGCAGCTGTACATTATTCACTGCAAGAGGAGATGAGGAGTATCGTTCACGTGCTAATGTTCCCTATTCGGGTAATGTACTTCGGGGAGCGAACTATTCCAAATGCGGCTAGCTCCATCGACACAAGATCTTAAAAGATACAGAGTACTTGCGTTGAATAAGAAGATATAAAAGATATCAGATTAGTCTCTAAGATCAACTCAATCTTCTACCATTCCCCCTTTTTTGCTCGACCTGGATTCATGATAATCGAGACCCGCTGACTCATCATGATCGGCGACGCCAACATCAACATCCGAAAAGACAGCAGACACCAACAATTCATCATCTGGAGTATCATTCGGAGAATTAACATATATAAGGTGCGCATACCCCCCCAATCTATTTGAACATAAAATAACCCATAAATAGGCCACCTCAAAACTCCATCTCCATTACAATTGAGACTTCATCTCAATCGGAGTTGACATACCACGAACAAGCAATATCCAGACGAAGCCAGCCAGCCCTCGGCAAACAATGCCATGGCAGTCTCAATCTTCACCTCCCCACCCCTAATAATAACCCTCTCCCTAGCCCTCCGCGCCACCCTCCTAATCTACGGCTTCTGGCAAGACGCCGTCTCCCCCGTCAAATACACCGACATCGACTACCTAGTCTTCACCGACGCTGCACGCTACGTCTCTCAGGGCCTATCGCCCTACTCGCGCGACACCTACCGCTACACGCCACTCCTAGCATGGCTCCTCGTCCCCACGACCTGGAACGTAGCCGGATTCTCGCTGTTCTCGTTCGGGAAGGTCCTGTTTGCTGCTGCGGATGTGGTGGCTGGGTGGTTGGTTGCTAAGTGTTTAAGAACGCATTATGGGATGGATACGGGGAGGGCGATGAAGTTTGCGTGTGTGTGGTTGTTGAATCCGATGGTTGCGAATATTAGTACGAGGGGGAGTTCGGAGGGGTTATTGGGGGTTCTTGTTGCGGGGGTTTTGTGGGCGGCGTTGAGTAGGAGGGTTGTGGTTGCGGGGGTATTGTTGGGGGTGGGAGTGCATTTTAAGATTTATCCGTTTGTTTATGGGGTGTCGATTCTGTGGTGGTTGGGCGCCTCCACGTCCTCCAAGGACAGCGACAACGACAAGGGCAGCAACGGCAAAGAGAAAACGACACTACAGTCCATTACCGGCTTCATCACCCACTCCCGCATCCTCCTAACCCTCACAGCCCTGACAACCTTCCTCGCCCTAAACATAACCATGTACACCCTCTACGGCACCCCCTTCCTCCAACACACCTACCTCCACCACCTCACCCGCATCGACCACCGCCACAACTTCTCCCCCTATAGCACGCTGCTCTATCTCGCCTCCGTGGACGGCGGACACGGGTACGGGTATAGATTCGAGTCGTTGGCGTTTATCCCGCAGATTCTGCTTTCTGTGGCTGTGATTCCGGTGGTGCTGGCGAAGAGGGATTTGGCGGGGGCCATGCTTGCGCAGACGTTTGCGTTTGTGGGGTTTAATAAGGTTTGTACGAGTCAGGTATGTTTCTTTTCTTTTCTTTGCTTGTTTCATGATTGTGGTTTGGAGGGGGTGCTAATTTAGTAGTATTTCCTGTGGTACCTTATCTTCCTCCCGTTCTACCTACCAAACTCGTCTCTGTTGAGGAAACCCCGACTGGGGCTATCAGTTGCTGCGTTGTGGGTTATTGCTCAGGTATGTTTATCTATCTTGGTATTCTCCAATTCGTACATAGCTAATTGTTCGACGCAGGCACTCTGGCTCCACCAAGGTTTCCGTCTCGAATTCCTCGGGGTATCCAGCTTCGTACCAGGATTATTCCTAGCAGGCTTGTTTTTCTACGTCGTTAACTGCTGGATTCTAGGAATCCTGGTCCAGGATGTTGGGGGATTATCAGCGCAAGAGCAGGTTGCGAAATAGCACCCTACCACCAATCATTGCGCACTTCAATAGAACATACAGATGCAGAAGTAATGAAACTTTTGTCCATTATGCTACCCCATAAACTAGTAAACCATCCCAGATCCTATTAAATAGACGCCATATTATAATCCCTGCAAATAAACCCAAACAAATTGTGCGTCATAAATGGAGTCGATAAATTCAATAAAACAAAATCCTCTTTGCAAACCATGCAAGTAAGTCAAATAAGTCAAGGGGATCCAGCCCCCTGTGTGGAAAATTTCACCAGAAACAAAAACGTGAACCAGTCACCGTAGATGTGGATGCAAAGCCAAAGATAACAAAACGAGAGATGAGAGTATTTGCTTGAGACTCCTTTCGTGAAAGATCACCAAGCTTGACTCTGACAAATGGCAATATCTGCTCTTGTCGAAAGATAACAAATGAGAGACCCAGGGTATTGTACTCAAAACGTATAGAGATGATTAGGAATAAGGATGTCAAGGTATGGCGATTAAAGATGCTCACTCTGATCAATCAGGTGACAAGATGCAGTGCTAGAATTTAGTTGCATCGGCTATAATTCGATAGTTGGCAGCATAGATCGCAGACGGTCTGGCCCGTGGAAATACTGCTCCAACAATTTGGTGGTTAGGTCCGTATTGCGGGTAAATACCCTCTGTAAGCTCAGTATAACGGGCTTGTGGACGACTTTCTGCAAGGTTTTCTAGGATGCGATCGCTCCAAATACCAGTGCATTGATGGTTGACTAGTTGGAAGTAAGGGTTGAGAAGTGGACAGGCGGAGTCCAAATCGATGAAACGGATACGGACGTATTCCAGAGATCGATGCGCACCGAGAGAGCTGGCACCAGCAGCGACGAGTTTCTCAAAGGAACGGATGAAATTAATATTCGTGATGCCAGATACCTCGTCAAAGAAGGGAAACGCAGGCTGTAATCGCCGGTCTCGACAGCAAGACTTGACTACCAGGTCCAGGGACTTGAGCCTGGACATGGAAGCACGATTCGCAAAATTGGCCATGCCGTGGAAAAAGCAGTGGCAGATCTTGCCGGTAAATGTGAGAGACTCGAGCCGGGGAGCAACTTCACCGAGCAGATTGCAAAGATGTGGCGGGTTCATTTCATCGCCGGGCCAGAGGTTATGCACATGGCCTTTGTTGTAAAATCCATCCAGGCTAATATTCGCATGCGCAAGCGTTGGAGGTAGCTGAATCAGAATCCCAGCAATCGTCTCGTAGGCTTCAATCTTAGGTTTCGCATATGCGCAGTCCCATTCCCGGATCGATGGCAGAGCTTCGGCCATATTTTTCCAGTGCTGATAATCCCGCATAATATTCCAGGCGCCACGCATAACGAAAGTCTGAATATTCGGGAGGACGGCAAGAGACTGTATATTCGACCAACCATAGGGATCGTTGTTGAAGTGCCGAATTAACGGTGGCTTTTTGCAATGGCCTCCTTCGAGTGTTAACATACGCGCCTCAGGGAAGTGGGTTTGGACGTGGAGAAAGATATCCTCCAGTGAAGCGTTTTGACTGGCACCATAGAAATTGCAATGGTTCATCGGATAGGAATCAGAGTCATCTTCCCAGGCCATTGTCGCCTGGAGAAGAGCTGCGACACCCTCCAAGCCCTCGTCATTATTGTTATGGTGCTGATGATGGTGATGGTGGTGATGGTGGTGGTGGTGGTGGTGGTGATGTCGGCGAGCGGGCGGATGAACTGAGCTATGCTTCGGTACCCGATTCCCCCAAACCGGAACCCATACCTCGATATGACGGACATGCGCGGCGAGATGAGGGTTGTTTTTGAACCAACTTGCACAGTCGGCCAATCCACTATTGGTACCCTTGACCTTGACTATTGTACGCGATCACGCACGTCAGAAAGCTCAAGCGAACGAAAAGACGATACACTTACTATGCCTGTAGATACGAGCCTGAACCAGAGACCTCCAAACCGGCGATATCAGAGAAAGATTAGATAAGACCTTTCGTCGAGGATGTCGCAGGGCTTTTGTCCAGCTGCGCGCAGCAGATTTTCCATGGGTTACTGTTGCTGATGCCGGCGCCCGTTCACCAAATAAACAATCGAGAATCGCCTCATGAATCTCAATGGGAAGGTTGTCAAAACAAGCCTCAGACCGATAAGATGGAGGGTCGTCAAAGCGGGTATGCGTATCATTATCGTTCATCTCGGTATCCACGGGGGACTGGCAGTCTGCGGACGCAGGGGCCGAGGTCGGAGCAGCGGAGTCATCGTGGATCTGGATCTCCGCACTAGTGCTTCGACCGGTCTTCTGATATGATAAGGAAGAGGAAAGAGGGCTCGCCAATGAATTGACTGAGACGGGACGAGGAGGGATGGTCGTTAACATGGGGGGCGATGGGGACGAAGATGGAGTTTCCGACGACAGCCAGGGCGAGAGATAGTGAGGAATTGGTCGGAAGAAGCGGATGTACGTAGTAGAAGAGAGAAGTGAAGGGAGGAAGTGTATGTTCCGGACAAACGGCGGGTGGTCGACGGATAAAAAAAAAAAAAAAAAGAGGGAAAAAGGCAAAAATCTGCAGATGCACAGATGTCAGTCAGCCAGGCAAATTCAAGCAAAGACAATCGAGCGATCAGCGATACCATGTGAGACGTACTAAAGAGAAGCGGAGGTCCGTCCGGGTTGGTCCGTCGTATGGGTTTCGAAGGGAGGAGAGGGGGGAGAGAGGACGGAGAAATCAGCGGGTTTTAAGAGCGATTGCGAGAAAAAGACGAAGAAATTCAGCGAGAGATAAGCACAGTCAACCTCATCGAAAGCAACAGCCGCCAGCGTGGTGCATGTTGTGTTGGTAGATATGTTGGTAGTGGCTGTGGGTGTGTGCCAGAAAAGAGGGGTTTCAAGGAAAATCAGGCAGGGTCGGGCACAAGAAGAGGAGAAAATATCAAGAACCGTGGAAGAAGATGAAGTTAATTAAAAGAGAGAGAGAGAAGAGAAGAAAAGTTAAGAGACGAAAGAGAGAAGAGTAGAAGGGGAGAAAAAGAGAGAAAGGGAGATGGCAGGAGGAGGCTGAGATTCTGAGACAGGTGACCTTCAAATAATAATAATAAGAAGCAGCGTTATAGATTATGAGATGGATCGTAGTTTATTTGCAACTGACCCGCATTCCGTTGAGTTTTTCTGCTCTCTTTTTAATGCCCTTTTCTCGATCCGAGGCGATCCGTCGCAGTGTCCACTTTTGGCGATCTTGTATACATCCACGGCTCTTTGCTCGCTGTATACACGATCACGTGTCCATATCACATTATAGTAGTTTTGTTTGCTTTGAGTATTCTTAGAAAAGTGAATAGCAATGCTGGATAATATATTAATTCCCTGGCCTGCTGGGATAATCCCTCAATAGTAATACAGCAAGAAATGTAATAAAAGCTACCTCCGCCGACGGAATCGAAATCGCAACTCATCTTCACTATCAGAATCGCGGACCTCTCTCGGGCGCTTTTGGCTCCGATTCTGACTTTTGTTTTGGCTGGGCGTTTTTGATTCCACGCGGGAGACTGACGCGGACGGCGCTGTAGAACCACCAAGAGTACCATCTGCCTCAGAATCAGCGCCATCATCCGTATAGCGTTGCTCCCGAGGATGGCTAACTGCAGGGCTATCTATGCGCGACTCATGGCTGCTGGCCCAATAATGATCGCCGATGCCATAGTTCTTCCGTGTCACTTCCACCAGTGGCACAATGACCCTCTGCACGCGATTGCTAGCATACCGGGGTTCACCCTTGCGTCGAAACTTCTTGAAGTTCTTTCGCCCATTCCATCGCTCGTCCCACCGTTCTTCACGCGGTTCATGCGGCCTCCGGAGCGGTACATCCCATTCCTCCACAATTGCAAGGCCCTTGAGCTTCTCAATAGGCGTGTCATTGAGGTCGTCTCGCCAAGTTTCTTTCTCCTCTTGACGCCGCTGGGAATTTTCTTCCGCTTCCCGGTGTTTTCGAGCGGCGTCTAGAACGTCCAATTTTTGGCGTTTCGGCTTGCGTTCGACTTTTTCCTTAGGCTGTGCATCTGGGCTTGCACGACGGCGCGGGCCTGTTTCTGCACGACGGCGCTTCATTGCATTCGCACCAGGCAATAGGCCGGCCATGACATCCTCTTCTTCCTGTTCTGCCTCTTCTTCCACATCTTCTAACCGGTTCTGTCGCTGTGACGGATGCTGAGATTTCCGTGAGGGTTTCTGTAATGGTTGCTGGGATGGCGGCTCTGACAATGGTTCTAGATCTATCGCAGAAGGCAAAGTTGATTCCGCGCCTTCTTCTTCAGGAACATAGGCCGGAATAGAGGCCAATTCGAACCCATCGTCAAAGTTCTTCATCTTGCTGACGAAGCCGCGAACGCGTGATCCCTTCGACCGGGCAGAAGGTTGGCTGTTGGGAACCTGTGAAACATTTTTGAAGGTTCGGGAGACTGGAGGAGGCTCGGCATTTTCGGGAGTAGGTGCAGGTTGAGATTCGGGAACCACTTTTGGACCGGTCTCTGGGCCAGAGTCTGGAGCTGGCGGAAGCGAGCGACACAGAGAGGAAGCATCGTTTGCCAGAATGGCATCGAGGAACTCACTCTGCTGGATAACGCGCTGATCAGTCATGACAGCAACCTGATTACCTAGCTCAATCGACCAATCCTCGTACTGCCCTTGGGAGCGAAAGCGGACAAGCACCACTCCACCAGAGCCTTCTCTCTCTTCACCCAAGCCTTTAGTACCCGCTGCATTTCTCATAAACTGCACGATTTCTTCTGCCGTAGTGACACCAGGGTCTATCTGATACATCAACGCCTTCCCGTGTCCATTATTGATTGGGTCGGCCAGATTTTGATACTGAGTAACATCACCGAAAACGAACGTATATCCATCGAAGATATTGATCCTATCGGGATTCGGGGCGAACGATTCAGGAGGTCTCTGCATAGGTTCCTTGCCCGGCGGCGGAAGATGCAAGCTTGGGTCCGGCCATGCTGTATCAAAGTCGGCTTCCAATGGGGACAAGGATTCCAGGTTCTCCAGATCGCTTGGGGTGGCCGCGTAGACGAGCGCATCGACGTAAGATTGATCCACAATCGATTTCCCATTCACCAAAGCCTGTAACCCCTTTGCAGTATTTCTCTTGCTCTGGACGACATGTGTAGTCTGGTCGAGGACGTACGGAATGATCGTTTTGATATCCAAATCTTCGAGGCGCGAGCGGACATGCGCCAGAGGGTCTTTCGCTTTGAGCTCTTTCGTGGAGAACGAGAAACTGAGGACGGTCGGCTGCCACTTGATTCTAAATAGAAATCATGATTAGCCTGCATTCCGGAAGCTTTTAAGAGCCAAAGACCTACCGTAGCGCAGGCTTGTATTTGCCCAGCTTGACTGAATGCTCCACGCCCGTCAACTTCTTGCTTGTGCCCTTGATCTGCTCGCCGTCCACCGTGGTCCCGAGTTTCGATTTCTCGTCGCTAACGGTAATCTCCGATCTGGTATATATATGAGACTGAAAGAATCAGCAAACGCATCGGCGCAATCAGTTTTGAAGGCTTCATACTCCATTGCCAGGCTGCACTGGTGATACCGAGATCACCATGTGCTTTCGCGATATCGAGTTATGCTGAATTACATGTCGAACTGCAAGAAATAACACATCAGCATCAGCATCAGCATGCAGCTCTCAAGCACATAGCGACCGATGAATGCAGCTTACCACCCTCTTGCTTGACCCGACCGAAAAGATACTGTTTCCCCGGCCGCAACCACACCCGCTTCCCTTAGCCAAGCACGAATTATCAGTACGCCTGCACTGCTGACAATAATGCATATATAACTCACCCTCCAGCAAATCACCCTCCGAATCAAGAATCCACATCAGTGTCAGCGATGATGCGCCAAAGTTGCAGCTGGTTCGGCGAAGCGAAGCGGCGATTCAGCGCCACGTGAAACACGGCCCGCAACGCGTGGTCACATGATCAGGCGTATCAATAGATGCCTGCTTCGGCAATGATCGCGACAATGGTCAACGAGCCATGAACGGATAAGATGGAGCCACAGGGCGAAGATTCTGTGGAGAAAGGAAAGGAGAAGGAGAAGGAGGAAGAGCAGTTGGAAATAACTGAAGATGAAACTCTGAAGTATCACTTATTGGGTCCGTCGTTGACCAAAGCCGGTCAAGATGCGGTTGACCAGCGCAAGGTGAGCAAGCATCATCCTTGAACTTGTATTTCCTTGCTAAAGCAATAAATGGTAAGGTATCAGAGATTATATACAATGCATCAAAAGGGTCAAAATTCTTCAATCATGAGCAGAATCGCGACCATGTTCTGACGACAAAAATTGAGCGTATCCTGAAAGAGAAGGCCCGTCTAGAAAAGCAAGATTTATCTTGGGACTTCCGCAAAGCAGACGAATTCTTTGCGGAACTTGAACTCACACGAGATCTGTCGCAGTATGTGGTACATGTTGACTGCGATGCATTCTTCGCTGCGGTCGAGGAGCTCGACCGACCCGAGCTGAAAACGGTACCTATGGCCGTTGGTAAAGGCGTCCTTACCACTTGCAACTACGAAGCAAGGAAATTTGGGTGCCGCAGTGGCATGGCATCATTTGTAGCCATGAAACTCTGTCCTCAACTGGTCTGCCTGCCCCAGAACTATGAGAAATACACCGCCAAAGCGAAAGAGATTCGGGCCATCATGGCCCAGTACGATCCTCTCTTCGAAAGTGCCAGCATAGATGAGGCATACCTCAATATCACATCTTACTGTGTAGAGAACCAGCTCGACCCAGAAGAAGCGGTTCAACGCATGCGAGAAGAAATACTAGAAAAGACACTTGTCTCCGTCTCTGCTGGCATAGGGCCAAACGCCAAAATTGCCAAGATTGCGTCCAACCGCAACAAACCAAATGGCCAATTCCGTATCCCTAACGACAGAGATGCTGTGGTGGGCTTTATGAAGGACCTCCCCGTCCGCAAAGTGAACGGTGTTGGCCGGGTATTTGAACGAGAACTCGACTCGATTGGCGTCAAGTCGTGCGGCAATATATACCCGCAACGAGGCTTCTTGACCAAACTTTTTGGAGAAAAGGCATTTCAGTTCCTGGCACAGTGTTACCTGGGCCTGGGAAGGACTAAGATCCAGCCAGTTGAAATCTATGAGCGCAAGAGCGTCGGCACGGAGACCACCTTTCAGGAAATTGGGAACAAGCAAGAACTCAGGAGCAAGCTATGGTGGGCCGCACAGGAGCTTGAAAAAGATCTGGCTCGCACGGAATTCAAAGGCCGGACTCTAGTATTGAAAGTCAAGCTACATTCATTTGAGGTGATGACGCGCCAGACGGCACTGCCTAGGGCAGTATCAGTCGCGAAAGATCTCTATGCGTTTGCGCTGCCTATGCTGAGCAAATTGGAAAAAGATACCCCGAATATGAAGCTTCGACTTCTTGGTCTTCGTTGTACTAATTTGGTGAGTACCAAAAAAGTTGGCGTTGAGTTCTTTGGAGTGGCCTCTCGATCCAAACCTGCGACAGAGTCAACACCAAATGGAAACGCAGAGCAAGAACCCGGTACAGAGGAAGCTTTCGAGCAGGCTGCCCGTCAAGAATTCCAGGATGAAATGGATCATCTGGAACAGCTCAGCCAAGAGGTCTCTGACTCCAAGGAATTGGAAAATGCTGAGGCCAACATTGTGGACAAGCCGAACGAACCGTCTACACCTGAGGTCGTATACTGGGACTGTCCCATCTGCTGCAGACCACAACCGGCTGATGATAAAAATTTTAATGATCACGTCGACTTCTGTCTCTCAAAAGACACTATCAAGGAGGCTGTCCAGGACGTTTCTCAGGTTTCGCCAATGCCTTTAGGTCGAAAGAGGAAAACGACATCCCCTCATGATCCTAAACAAAAACGACTCTTTTTTACGTGATAATTTTGGTCGAGAATATATCTACTCCTACTAGACCGCACGTCAGCTCTTGGAAACCTGGGGCTTGTATGTGAACCCCGAGAGCAACAAGATTGCTCCAAACAATACGAGTCATGCTCGCTTAACGAACGTCTAATACCGAGGAACTCAAACATTAGGCCACAATCCGGGCTTCAGAACGCCAAATCTACCGAGCATTCCGTGGAATAACAGACGCTGTCACGCATAATTGCTGGGATACCATTGTCTTAACTATGAATCTCTAATCTCGTGAAGAATGAATGTCTGGTCCGCTGTGTTATGAACCAGGGATGAATACCCGCCATAATCCGGGTCGCCCCATGTGACCGGCCTGGACTCCGTAGATAACTCCATAGACACATAATAATAGCCGTCAATCTAAGTAAAATGAATCTCCCTGACGCTACGCTCTATCAGTACAAGCATCGTTCTAATTATGTTGGCTCTTAACCCGAGGCAATGGCGGTGAAAACGGGGGTGGCTGGCACTAGACCGTTTTCGGCGGGGATGGGATTTTCCCCATGACTGACTGTTGTTGGCATCAAACTTTCTTTTCACTTCACCATCATCCTCTCAGGGTACCTGACTACTGCTCAGTACCTGACAGAGCATACCGACGTGTCTGTGGCGGATGCCTCCATCATGCTTGCAGATCGTCGTCGAACCTCGCAATGCCATAAGTTCGCCGTTCTTTCCGCCCCTCGAAATCCACAACTATGACCTCCGATAAACAAAACCCCGGCCATATCGCCAAACCCTTTACCCCGGCTCTCAGCGCTGCCTTTCACCGATCGAATAATAAATCGCCTTTAACTCCCAGACTCGCTACTCCGGGAGGTTACCGGACGCCCCGACGTGTCGCGCAATCCGAACACCCTGCGTCAGCTAATACCACCCCCTCCAAGGACGATTATCGTTCGAGCGCCAGTTTTCTCAGCACGAATGTGACTCCGCGAACAAATTCTCGAACGTCTAGACGAGATGGACCTGTGTCATCGCCCACGAGTACCACGTCGGGGGTTCCGTCGGCGCCCCATACCCCTTACTCTCAGTCCGTGGTGACCCCTGGATCGCAGAATGGAGCGCATTATCGGACAGAACGGAGTCCGGTTCGCGGAGGACCGAAGCTGGAGCCTCCGCGCACCAGCAGGGCCAGAACCCTGACCGCAGAGAGCCATCACTCTGCGCGTCCGATGTCCTCGCCTGATATGTCGTCATCAGGATCGCCGATGTTCTTTCATGCCTCCGATGCCAGGTCGTCCAACACCCCCGAACCGGAGCCTCGACTCAAGCCGCCCGGGAAACCGTCCTCGCCAGCATCATTTGTATATGCCAAAGGAAAAAAAGAAGAGCGTCGGTCATCAGCAGATGAATCTCACCCCGCAGCACCGACGATCAAACGCCGTTCGACAGGGCTGTCCCGGTCTGTGGTTGGGGGAAAACCTCCCACCACTAATTCTGCTTCCCCACGATTGAAGTCTGCAAAGCTCGCAACCGAACCTGCACCCCGACTATCGGACAGTGTGGCATCCCAGTCGGGACCACCGCCCACTAATGATTCCACTGAACCTAGTTCGCAGCGGCAGGCTTCGTTGCCAGCTATCGTTCCTGATCGACCACCACCCGTTCCCCTCTCTATCGCACGCCATATTAAATCGTCAAGCTTAGATTCCGCAAGCAACAGTAATTCACCCAGAGAGGCACTCCGACCAAGTCCCATTATCGTGTCTCCAACGGATCCACAAGTTGACGCCAGTGCCGCGGCATCAGAGCCCATTCCAGGTCTACGACCTCGAATATTTAGCAATGGGTCTTCTGGCTCCGCAGACACGGCAAGTCCTGTCAGAGATGCGAAGGAACAGGTGAACACGAACGACCCGGCTGCCAATGCTCGCGTCGAGCGCAAGATTATGGACCTGGAAATCAGCAACTCGTCCCTCCTTGCGATTAATCGTACCTTGGAGCGCGAAATGCGGAAGCAGAATGCAGAATTGCGGCGATACAGACGTCTTAGTCGTGCAGGCCGTATCCCCGTTGGGCCATCTAGTCGTTCAGTCTCCGGGACAGCGCTTTCGACAACCACTGAAACGGAAGAGGAAGGAATGAGCGAGATATCTTCGGTGCAGTCACATACAGAGTCATCTGACCATGATGGCGATGACGAAGATGAAGATGAAGATGAAGACAAAGACAAAGACAAAGACAAAGACAAAGACAAAGACAAAGACAAAGACAAATACGACGATGAGGATGAAGATGAGGACGAGGAAGATGAAGAAGATGATGATGAATATTCCGCAGATGAGAGAGTGATGAGTCCCGGATCATTGGCGAAGCATGATGCCAAACATCGGGCACGAGACGAGAAACGAGTGTTTATTGATCTTGCCAAGCATCAAGAGTTATTGACTGATAGCCAGAAAATGAATCAAAGTCTCCGACGGTGTCTGGCATGGACGGAGGAACTGATCAAGGATGGTCAGAAAGCCTTGGAATACGACGTCCACGTCAATGATATCGAACTCGGTGGACGCGTGCTTGCCCCCGAAGAATTGCAAGACATTGGCGAAAGTGCCCGAGGATTATTATCGGCCTCGAACTTCAAAGATGATTACTCGTCTGTTACTGAATCCAGCGATCCGGATTCAGGCAACGAGACGGCTTGACTATCTACTGTTACTATTGCTTTCTCGTGCGTGTTTTTCGTGTATGCGATGCTCTCCAACTCCAGCGTGTCGACGGCAGGCCCAGTCTTTCACTTACTTCTACATACCCTTGCTTTGTTATTCCCCCTATGTTATCTTGACCCTCCCGATACCCCCAGCCATCCCGGTGATTGGCAATGAGGTCCACTCGGTTATTTCTTAATGTCTTTCTCTTATCCTCTTTTTTACATCATATTCCGGGATCCTGTCTTTTGTTTTTGGCGTTCCATTCTAGCGATTACCCTTTGCACATCTGCTGCTATCTGCCCCTACCCATTTGCTTGATAGATACCCGATGCGCGATAATACACTTTTTAGATCAGTCCAATATGGTCACGTTATCATTCGTATCGTCATATCGCCACGAGCGAACCATGGCTTCTCCCGTTCTCGACGTCAAGTCGTAAACGACGTTGGATACTGATACGTCCTGACGTCATGCATCTATCTAGCCCCAGATCTATAAGAACCCTACATATCGGATCTTGATTTCTATAGCTCACCTTTCGTCTTTATTCCCTTCACAAACAATCAATAAACCCCACAACGTCAAAATGCCCGGCAACAGCGGAAACCGTACGCCTTCCTCACCCTCCCTCGCCCCCTTCCCCCCGCTCCCCTACCCAAAACTAACCCATCCCTCCCCCAACCAAACAGAAGGCTCAAACCCCTTAAACAACATCTCGGACCAATTCAACAAAGCCACCGGCAACGCCAAGGACACCTTGAACAACGCTACCGGCGGTCTTGGCGACAAGACAAACAACGCTACCTCCGGCGGACAGAATGTGTCGAATAAGTTTGGTAATGCGACGGGGAACTTGAGACAGCAGGCTAGGGATTTTATTGGGAACATTACTGGGGGGAACAAATAGGTGGTTAGCGTGTATGTGATATATGAGGGGTACATATGGGCATTTGTGTCCTGTATCTATAATCACAAGATACAATAATTTGATACCTACGGATACTTGGTAGATGTGAGATGTGAGATGTATAGCCGTTTTCGTGTATACCAGCTCTTCATCATGCAATTGCGTAACTGATATTGTCTATGACTTTCATATGTACTTTGGTTTTATAAACCCCTCTTCGATGTCACTGTACAAAAACCCCCAACTAGACATGAATACAAAACCTGATCAAACCAAAGCCTGAAAAGCCTGCAAAAGATCCCCTTTCAAATCCTCCCAATTCTCCAACCCCACACTAATCCGCAACAATTTCCGATCAACTCTCGAATCCGACAATGCCCGCCACTCAATCAATGACTCCACTCCACCAAGACTAGTAGCATGATGGAAGAAACGCAGCTTACTAGGCAGCACGCGAGCATATTCCTCACTAGTCAGTATAACAGCGAAAACAGGCCCGAAACCATTGGGCATTTGCTTCTTGATCCAGGGTTCGTCTTGTAAACTGGCGTGGTGGATCTTGCCGAGGACGGATTTGATGAGTTTCTGTTCGTCGGTGGGGGAGGGCGCTGTTAATGCGCTCTGCAGCCAGGAGATTAGATGGGAGGCGTTTTGGCTAGCGCGCTGCACGCGAACTTCCAATGTGCGCAGACTACGAGCACCAAGCCAGGCTTCGAAGTTGCCCATGACGTTTCCCATGGCTAGTCGGTCTTCGAGAAGCTGTTTTGTCCAGTCTTTGCGCTTGGTTGCGAGGACGCCACTAAGGAGGTCGCTGTGGCCGCCGAAGTACTTTGTTCCTGAGTGGAGGACGATATCTGCGCCCCAGAGGAATGGGTCTTGCAGGCCTGGTGGGGCGAATGTGCTGTCGACGATTAGGTATGCGCCGCGGGAGTGTGCCTTTTGGGCGAATTCCTCGATGCTGAATGCTGTTCCAAGAGGGTTGACGGGTGTTTCGAGGAGGATGACATCTCCAGCCTCAAGGCTCTCGGCTGAGCAGTCCAGAGGTAGTTTCTGGAGTCCCGAGAGGCGGGAGAGGACTGCAATCACTTCATGGCTGCCGTGGTACCCTTCCCCAACAGAGATGCGGCGGGGGTTGAGCAGGACCAGAGCGGCGTGGAGGGCTGCGAGACCGGTGGTGTAGCTCACGGCTTGTCCACCGATGAGAGCGGAGAGGATGGCTTCAAAGCGGGTTGCGTTGGGGGCGAATTCGCGGGAGTAGACGTAGTTGTGCCCGTCAAACTCGTCCTGTGAGAGTTAGCCCAGCTCCTTAAGCTTAGAGAGACAAACATACCACCGGGTCAACAGAAGGAATCAAATTCTCTGGCTCACTAGGAAACCGGAAGGTAGTCGAGAGATGAATTGGAGGCGCAACGTCCGTAACCCGGTTCAACGAGTCATCCGCGTGCAACGCTTGGGTAGAAGGGTGCGACATTGTAAAGCAGCTACAATAAGCCCTGAACCATAATGAGTTTGAACGTAGTAGAGAAAAACTCTCCGTCCTCACACTTGGGAGTTTTTATATCTAATCGTTAAGATCCACTCCTGCCAACTTCCGAAACCAGAATTAAGCTCGTTTTAGTGCCGATTCGCCCCACTCCTGCCAACATCCTAATTGAGTATAGTGCATGGTACTTTTCGTTTTGTACCGGTACGGGAAGAATAGCTATGATTGGCTGGATGTCAGCTGATGGATAAGGCGATCGATAATTCGCCGATAAAGAACCATACCAGAAATGGAGGAATGCGACGCCCTACGCCGATGTATCGGCGGTTACTGCGAATCATATGGAATGTATATCATGTGCTGACCGGGTGGTATGCAGAGCTGGCGCATAAAAGATAAACACCGCAGCATAACCCCTCATCCTGAACCTCTTTCTACTTTACTATTTTACTCTACTACTCCCAATCATCCACAATTTGGCTCATCACAATGCACCTCCGCCCAGGACACGCAGAGGCACGTATCCCAGTGCTACAACAGCTCATCAGGGAAAACCCTCTGGGCATCCTAACAACAGCCATCAAATCCCCCACCTATCCCTTCCTCCAATCCAGCCACATCCCCTTCCTCATCGACGTGCCCGAAAACCCCTCAGAGGACAACCCAGGAACCCTCCGCGGCCATATCGGCAAACAGAACCCCCAAGCCAAAGCCCTAATCGACGCCCTCACAACCACCCAGTCCGAAAAAGGTGATGCCGAAACCCTCGAACTCTCCGACGAAGTCCTCATCCTCTTCAACGGGCCCCACCACCACTACGTAACCCCCAAGTTCTACACAGAAACCAAACCTGCCACGGGCAAAGTCGTGCCGACATGGAACTACTCCGCTGTGCAGGCCTATGGCAAGATCAAGGTATACTGTGACTCGAAGTCCGATGTCACAGGTCGGTTTTTGCAGACGCAGATTGAGGATTTGTCGCAGTATGCAGAGACGGGGGTTATGGGGTATGCGTCGCCGTGGAAGGTGGCTGATGCGCCGGAGAACTATGTGCAGTTGTTGAAGAAGAATATTATTGGGATTGAGATTCGGGTTGAGCGCTTGCAGGGCAAGTTTAAGATGAGTCAGGAGATGGGGAAGGGTGATCGGGAGGGTGTTATTGAAGGGTTTGAGAAGTTGGGAACGGAGGCCGGTGAGGGGATTGCGAAGACTGTTCGTGAGAGGTCGGGATAGGTCTATTCAGTGTTGGCAAGATAGCCTTGCGTTGTGTTTATTGGGGATTGGCTCTGTACTCGGATACTCTGTGGACAAAGCTGAATCCACACTGTTGCAGCACTAGATCAGGAAGAGGACAGCCGGCAGCATAGAAACTACTCTAGAGTATGAATATACGCAAGGCTTTCACCGAAGATTAATAGAGCAATAAATCAGTTCATAGTTAGTTAGTTAGAGCTCGAAGAATGTCTCAATCCTGACTAATCACGATAGCGATACTCCGCGGCGATAACATCCCCGTTCTCCCCACGCACCAACCATACCATGGCAAATCAGAACACAACAACCGCATAAAGCATGCAATGACCAACCCCTGCTATACATGTCGTCGCCGACACGTCCAATGCGACCGGTCCAAAGTTCCCTGCGCCAAATGCGAAAAAGCCGGCCTAGAATGCTTCGACAAGCGACCGCTGCGATGGGTCAAGGGAATGGCGATCCGAGGCAATCTGCAGGGTCTCTCGGTGGAGGATGCTTCGAAAGCTGTGGCCGGGGGTGATAGAGTGCCGGTGGGGTTAGGGGATACTGCTGTGGGGAGTTTGGATCGGACATCGAGGTTTTATCTGGATTATTGTAGGTACCGCTTGCTTATGCTGTTAATGGTTAAAGGATGAGTCTGACAGGAGTGTGGAACTAGATAGCGAACGCATCTGCAAGCTGTTTATCGTCTATGACAGCAATAAGAACCCTTTCCGGAGTTTAATCGCCCTGGCTATGAATGACAAGACCCTGCTCAAGGCTGTTCTGGCCCTGGCGGCGCAGCACAAAGCCAACACGGGCTACTCTGATCAATCAGAACAATCATCTTCGAGTCTCACGACCTCTCACCGGGATGCTCTGGCATTTAAGCACCAGGCGATTCAGGGATTGTCCCAGGCGGTGCAGGATGTTACTCTGTGCAGACAGGATACGACCCTGGCCAGCATCTTTCTTTTGATCTTTTTGGATCTGCTAGAGTCTGGGAGTGATCGATGGAACGTTCATCTTGAAGGCGCAAAGAGTCTCATCTCGCTTAACCAACCACTCGGGAATGACAATCCTGGACAGACGGTACAGGAGATACGCAACTTCGTTGCCAAGCAGATCTATTCGTATGTGTTGCGAACTGATTGTACGATATATATGCATTACTGACAGCTGCAGTATCGAAACGCTTGGAGCAACGTTTGTACGTCCTAAGCTACTCTCCCAGTTTGCTCCACCAGCGATGCTCCCCCAAGACACCGTAGAACAGTCCTTCCTCGGTTGTCCGGAATACCTCCTCCATGCCATCCAATGTATTTCCCACCAGCGAGACATCTTACTCGATACAAATACGCTAGACACCGTACCCATCGACATTCACACCCAAAACCTCACAACCGTACTCGACTCCATCCAACAATTCGACTGCTACCTCTGGGCCTCCACACTCCCCCACCGATCCTCCCACAACATCAACGAACTCTGCAACCTATCCCAAGCCTACAAACTCGGAGCCCTCCTTTATGGACAACGCGTCCTCGACTCACTAACAAACCAAACCACACCACAAGATGACCTGATATATGAATTACTCGGCGTAATCGGTTCCCTACGCAGCGACTATTCCCTATTCAAATGTATCCTCTGGCCAATCTGCATCGCGGCGCTGGAGAGTCCATGGCCGGCACAGCGGGAGTTTCTCAAGGCTTGTCTCGATAAATTCTGGCAGGATACGATGTGTTTGAATGCGGTGAATGCGGCGAAGATAGTACAGCAGTATTGGCAGTGGGCGGATGGACAGGGTCAAGAATCGAGGTGGATTTTTCATATTGGGTTTTTGGGAGGGGATTGGCTTCTTATATAGCCGATGTACGGAGTAAGATTTGGCGTGTCGATAAAATACCCCATACTTCTGATTGATATAGTTCGTTGTTTTCTTATTTTATTTATTTTATTTTTGAAAAAAGAAGAACATGTGGGGAATCTCACTTCGGACCAGAACCGAAAAATAAAAAATAGAAAATAATCTCCAGGGAAGGGACAACAGCAGCATGCAGCGTGGGCTGGCAACCTTCAATTTTAAATAGCTATACTCTATAGAGAATTGACTATTATAATCTCTAATCTCTAGCCTGATACATGAATAGTATGGTGACTGTTATGGATGATGTCAGAGGTCTTTTTATTTATTTTCTGAAAAATATAAAATTAAAATTAAAATGATTAAATATATATATATATATATATATAAAATAAAAATAAAAATAAAAATAAAAAAATAAAAATCAAAAATCAAAAATAAAAAATCAAAAATCAAAAATAAAAAAAATCAAAAATCAAAAATAAAAATAAAAAATCAAAAATCAAAAATAAAATAAAATAAAAATAAAAAAAGAAAGTTAGCGCAAGGAACCAAAACATCAGATCGATCTGTCAGTGTCAACGTCGATGTCTTATAGATCACAAATCACAATATACACGCCTAGATACTACTCTATGCCTTTTGTATAGTAAAAGCCATCCCAATCTCCCCTATTCCATCCATTCGCACAATAGACAGCTGTCTGCCTCAGGCCGGGAACCAACAAAAGCACATCACGTGATGCGGAGAGCCAAAAATACCCCAACGCTTAAAAAAAAAAAATCGAAAAAAAGAAAAAAAGAAATTCCAGCGACCGCCACCGCGACTGCTGAAAAAAACATCCCCAACAAGCATCCGCTGGGCATCATTTTATTGCCTGCTTTTGATCCTGCCATCGACGCAGAACAAGTCCAGATTATTCTGAATATTTTTCCTATTATACAGACTTCTATCAACGAGAGACGAGACTCAACTGCACGCCAACGCGTTATTTTATTTTCTTAAATTTCCCTTGCGCAACCGGTCCGAACCATCCTCCGTATCAAATCCTGCCTGAGGCCAGCAACGGAGTACAGAGCACAGATCGCGTGGGACAGCATCTCGCTCTCAACAACAACAACAAACACGTCGACAACTGCCAACGCGGCGCCGCTATTTGACAGTTTGTGTCAATTCTTTGATTCGCTTGCCCTCCTTCCGTATATTACGTGTGCTCCGCGCGATTGGACAAGTGTCACGGGTTTCCTCCCGTGTGTCGCCCCAAGACCATCTACTTGTCGCGCCAGGGACGGTTATCACATGCTTGATGCCTGAGGCCGACAGTGTGCTTGTATGATCCTGAGTCAAAAAGGAAACCGGGGACACAGAATCTTGTAACAGTTTGCCTGCAAAAATGATGGGTTACGGAGGCCATCCCTTCCAGGCGCCGCCGCCGCAACAGCAGCATCCCCGCCAAACGTCGCATCCGCAACACCCCCAAAACCATTCGCTACAGTCTCCCTCCATGAGCGCCGCGGGCCATCCTGCTCATACTCACCCGAGGCATGCCAATGGTTCGATCCCTGGAACTGCCAACCCGTTATTTCGGGGTCAGCCGCAGCCGACGACTACGGATCTAACTCATTCTCCTGATGTTCGCAAAATCACGACGCCGGTAACTTCCGCGCCGCTGGTTGGGCTGTCAGCAGGGGGTAATTTCAGTCCGTTCCCGGGGCATTTTCCTCAAGGTTCATCTGAATTGTTGTCTCGGAACACGGACTCGGTGGGTGGGGTTAAAGATCCGTATCTGCAGACGCTGCAGAGGAATATCAATCCCATGGCGAATTTTCGTCCTCATCATCCTACTGCTATGAACCCGCAGGCAGCTTTGTCACCTCATGCACATGCCATGAATCTTTCGTCGTCATCGCAGTCGCCGCAGCAGTCATCACTAGAACGGTTACAGCAACATCATCACCGCCAGGGTTCGCACCCAGCAACGTCGGCATCACCTATGTTAGCGCCTAGTCCACGACCCCAGCAGCCGCCACTACCGCCGCCACAGTCGCAGTCGCAGTCGCAGTCGCAAGCACAGTCGCAACGTCCTGCTCATCATAGTCCGTATCAGACGCAACGACCACAAGCGCAATATACCTCTCAGGCCCAACATTATTCGCCGGCGCAGCAGCAGGCACAATACCCACAACAACCGCCATATTCTCAACAGTTGCAATATCCATCGCAGCCCCAATCGCAGCAGCAACCTCAAACTCAGCAGACTTCATATCAACCGACACAACGACCTCATTTCTCTCCCCAACAAGCATACCAGTCGCAGCCGCAAGCGCGTCATTACCAACAGCCACAACAGCAATTGCCACAACCCCAACAACCTCAATATCAGCCTTCGCAGAACCCATACGCGCCAAATCCATACCAACAATTCCCCTTTCAACCCCATCAATATCATCATCCGCAATCGCAGCAGCATGCCTTGTTGCAACAGCAGCAGCCGCCGCAGCCACCGTCACAGCAACAACCTCAGCAACCCCAACCACGGCCAGCCACGACAACGACCCCAGCGGCAACGACAGCGCCAATGTCAATGTCAATGCCCTCGACTATCGGCGTTGCAGAGATTTTGACGACAGCAACAAAGCAAGAGCAAGAGGAGGAGAAACTCGCACCCCCAAAGAAACGCAGTAAGCCCGTACCAAAGCAATCGCAACCATCCGCAGCAGCACCAGCACCAGTCCTGCAACAGTTGAATGGACCAGTCAAGTCTGAATTGGCCAGTGGTGCTGCTGGTACAGAAAACACACCCCGCCGTCGAGGAAGACCACGCAAGGCGGACAAAGCTGATGGAACTGCACCAGCAAAACCCAAACCCAAGCCAAAGGCCAAGTCGAAATCGGCATCGTCGACACCAAACACGGCTCCGGCCAGTGTTCCTTATCAACACCCGCATCCTGCTCCGTCTCCTCATGTCCAGGCTGCTCCTCCGCCACCGGCACATGCACAGTTTGCGCCGCAGATACCGCAGATGCCGCAGCATCAGCATCAGTTTCATTACTCTACTATGCACGCCCATCCTCAACCGCCGCAACAGCAACCGCAACCTCCCTCCATTCCTCAACCTCAACCACAGCACCTTCAACAACAACCCACTCAATCCCCGCAAGCCCGCCCGGTCCAAATACAAGTCCAAGTCCCAGTCCCTTCCCCCGCAGCTCAACCCCAAGCTCAACCACAGCAACAGCAACCCCAACAATCCCCAGAAGGCCAAACCGAAGGACCACCCCAAAAACGCCGTCGTGGCCGACCCCGCAAAGCCGATACCATCGCAGCAGGAGGAGCTGCTGCTGCCCCGCGTCCAAAACCCAAGAAACCAGCCGGTCCACCCAAACCATCGAAGACGGGAAGACCGCGTGGTCGACCGCGCAAGGTTGACGTTGCTGCCCAGCAGCAAGCCCAGCAGCAACAAGCCCAGCAACAGTCTGGTGCGGGGACAGGTATGGAGCAGGGTAATCGGGCACCTGCACCTCCGCCAACGCAGGCGCCACCACCGCCGAATCCGATGGCGATGCATATGAGTACGTTGAATATGGGGATTGGGATGAATCCTGTTCATAAGAGGGATATTCTGCATTCGATTGATGGGATGAGGTGACCGTCCTCGTTTCTTACTGTCTGTTCACTGTGATTTCTACAACATCTTCAAGTTATTTTCTATGTCCATGTCCATGGGTTATTGGCTCCATTTGCTGTTTGGCTTGTATTGACTAATTACGCATTGTCTATCTATCTCGTTTATGGTTCGGTTCGGTCTCATTTATCTGGTTTTATCGCTTGCTGATGTTATAAATTGAGCATTGCCATCTCCTTTCTTTTTACTTTTATTCCCTATTCCCCTTTCTTTTGTCATGAAATTGTCATTTCTTGCTTTGATTTGATGCATATCTAGCAGCAGCAGTTATTCACAGTCTATATTCATGCATAATCGGATCAGGGTATACCACCATCACAAACAAGCCCAAGTATAATCCATCCAAACCTCAATCCAAACCCTACCCTAACCAAACCAAACAAAAATATCTATAACAACGCCATCCATCATAACCCATAAACCCCCGCAATCCTCCCCCCAACCCCATCCCACTCCTGATTAACCTCCCCTTTCGCAGCCGCCCCCTCCATCCCCCTCCCCTCAACCTCAATCTCCCTCTCTCTCTCTCCCGCCTCCTCACTATCCCCGGACACCCCCTCAACACCACTCCCGACTCCACTAGCCGGAACAGGCATCCCCTCCGTCAGCGACCCGGTGACAGGCAACGTCTCGACTTCGGGGAGGTCGCTCACGTCGATACCTAGGTTCGGTGCTATGCGCCGCATAAAACTATCTGATAATATAAACGCGCGGCGCGCAGCGGGGTCTCCGTGGACGGACATGTGGTATAACCACCTTAACGCCTTCTTCGTCGAACTAACGACTGCTGCGACTTGTAGTGTCGGAAGCGGATTCATCCGCGGCCCCGTCCCACCCTCACCTTCGCTCCCCGGATCCGTAGAAGCTTCTGTTGGCACAGAGGTCCCGAAAATAGGCGCTTGCACGGACGTACTATATTTCTCCTCCGCAGGTGGGCTCGTCGGCCAACTACCCAGCCCCAACAACAGTGCTGTGGTAGCTTGCATGATATAATGTAAATGATGCCACCATGGCGCGAGATGGTTTAGAGAGAGGATGTCTGGTTCGTTGGGGAGGAGGGAGAGGAGGGCGCAGGAGGCACGGAGGCAGGAGAGGGCCATTTCTGTGCGGAAGCGCGCGCGGCGTGCTTTGGAGGTGTTGGGGGTTTTGTGCAGGCGGGGGGTTGGGTTGGAGCGGGTGATGTCGGCTTGGGTGGTGTGGGTGCTTGTTTCGGTGGATTGGGAGGTTGGTTCTGAGTTTGAACGGTTGGTTGCGTCAGAGGTGTCGCCGTCGCTGTCGATATCTGTATCTTTAGGGTTGGTGGTGTCGTTGTCGTCGCCGTTGGCGGTTTGGCTAGGGCCGATATCCGTGGATGGGGTGATGTTTCTGGCGTTTGCGTGCGTGAGACAGGGTCGGCATAGGGTTATCTTGGAGCTGTAGAAGTGCATTGCGAGACTGAACTTCTCTCTCGCAAAACTCCTCTTCCGGTCTTTCTCCTTGTCCTCGTTCCCATCGAACTCCCACCCACTCGATACCAACAAATTGATATCCCCATTCAGCGCTTCTCGTCCACCAGTTGTCGTGAACTGATACATAGACGGGACTTTAAAAAGCCAGTTATCCAGTTTAATACCGTACTTCCGAATACGCTGCTCGATTTGCCCGGATCGTTCACGGATGCCTTCTATGCTGTAGACTTTGTTGATGATAGCTTGTGTGATAAAAACCAGATCAACAGAGCAAAAGAAGAACGAGGACGGGCTGGGGCCGCATTTCTCGAGCCATTCGCCATGCGCACGGGACTCCTCGTCCGATTGGAAGAGCGTCGGCTTGAGGTATTTCTGGCGCAGCGGGATTTCCTGGAATAATTTGAGCACGTCCGGCCTGTCGAAGTATTCTTCTTCGTATGGTACCGGTAGTGGCACCGAGCTGAGACCTTCACTTGCGCAGGAGACTCGTCCTGTAAGTCCGGCGATGGAGTGTTCGAGGATATATATTGACCACCAGAGACGACTGCGTGCTTCTTTGGCGCCGTGGTCGGTCCGGTCGTCTACGAAGCGGAGGTTGATACCGAGAGATAAGGCGGAGCGGAAGGCCATGTTTGCGAACTTGGAGGCGCGGTTTACCTGGCCTCGTGCCAGCATGTAAAACGCAACTAGAAACTCCACCTGCACCTGCTGCAAGTCTGAATGCTCGAAGAGCATGTCCTCTGTTAAACTCAACTTCCGCGCTCGAGCCAGAAATATCAGACTATCCCTATCGCCACCGACATCATCACCCGTCAACCGACAATAGTGACATCCGATGGCGAATATCATGTTAAGCACAGCGAGCCATTTCCGCGGCGGTCGAACGTTGTTCGGTTCACGGATGAAGCGCGCGTACTGCGAGGTGAATGTCTTGCGTCGGACGACGTTGAACGACGGATGGAAGACGAGCATGTATGCCGAAAAGTATTTATCAGCGAGTTGTTTCGAGGGCACGGCGGAGGGATCGACTTCGTGGAACATGGGGATGTCGAGGTCGTCTAGGTAGTAACTCATCAATGAAATCGGTACATCAGGTCGTCCCTCTGAACACTGAGACGCCGGATCACTATCCTGGATCCCACGGCGACTGCGATATTTCGCCTCGTTCTCGAGTTTCTGCATCCACGCTACCTCGGAGTTCTTCCCAAAGTATCCCGTCGCCCTAGTCTTCTCATTGCGGTTCAAATCCTCCTCAACAAGATCAATTGCATCAAGCGACCCCAACGACGAAGTCTCACTTGCCGTGTCCGACCCCTCCTCATGTTCATCAAGCTATATCACCCAATCACCCAGTTAGCCTCTAACACCTCCAACCATAACACCCTCCCCCAAACACCATCCATCCAACATACAGGGGCAGGGGCAGACATACCTTCAAAGCCCTCCGAATCCTCTTCGCAGCCATAATATCCACATCCGGCTCCAAATCCCTCAACAACTCCTCATACTTCTCAACCTTCATCCCCAATGTCCCTAACTGCTTCTGCTCCCTTACCCGCTTTACGTCCAGAAACGTACATGTGATCTTCTGCTCCACGCACTGCCGACACATGGGCTTGTTGCCGTCGCATTTGATCTTCCGGTTGCGGCAGGGTTCGCATGCGCGCGCGGAGCGGTGTCGGCGGTATGTCCCGCTGTCGCCGCCTGTTTTTCGGGGGATTGCGACTCTTGCTGGTTTTGGATGGGGATTGGGATGGGGGTCTAGCGGCGCGACTCCGAATGGTGGAGGTTGGGGACGAGATGAGATTGTGTGTGCCGGTGGGGGAGGGGGGATGTCGTTTGAAGGAAAGGACAGACCGCTCGGAAACGGGTGGAATGTGGGTGTTTCGAAACGGTTGTAGCTATTCCTCGGCATTAGGAAGGGGTCTGTAGATGGATCTGTTGTCATTGTGTGGTCGGATTCTATCTGTTGTTGCTGGTCCATTGGGCCTGTGTTTAGAGAGGCAGGGGCCACGATGGATTGTTCCCAGGGCCAGGATGTTGCTGCTGACGAGGGGGGCATGGCCTCTTCGGAGAGGTCGATGTTCATTACATTGGTTCGTTGGGGGTTCTCGGGGTCGTAGGGTCTGATGTGGTTGTGGGTGTGGTTGTGATCCATTGTGACTAGCTAGCCCGTGTGGGTGATTTCCGACTTGAGCTGGTTTGTTTTATTTAGTTTGCTTTGCAATTCTTGTAAAGGTATGGTGGTTGAAAGGTTGTCGAAAAAGGAAAGTAAGTTCCGTCGGGTATGCATTGATGATCTCACATCATGACATCACTTGTTACTGTCACGGAGCTCAGCCAGGATAATGGAACATCAACTCATGTGCTCTACCTAGGTAGCTATCGACGAGAATTATCAACATGAGGAAGGAAGAAAGGAGGTAAAGCCGTGTTTATCAACAAAGCAACGAAGCAAACAGCTGCACCTCACGTGATACCCAGCCAACGTGACCAGGCCGTCACAGTTACCCATGGTCACCTCTGTATAATATGCATAGTAGAGATATATAACTGCATTACTTACAGGCACTATTACCACTCCTCCTGCTTATTCCTCTCAGCCACAATCTCATCCTTCCCCAGACTCAAGCTCTCATACCGATCCAGCATATCAAACAGCCCTAGCCCCGGATACTCCTGTAGGTCTTCGCCGTTATGACTCCCATTCCCAAGTCCATTGTATCGATCATCTTGGTTCAATTTTTCGAGACCCTTGGCGTAATCATCTAACCAGTTCTGTCCCTTTGCGGTGGAGTCTTCGTCGAATAGTTCTTTTAGTTCTTCGGAGACGCCGCTCGACTCGCGAATTCGTTTCCCTTGCGACTTGGAGCGTACGGATTGCCGGAAGATGTGAAACAAGTTGCGGCCCAGATGCGAGCGACTTGCAATTACAGAGAACGAACTGGAGAGGGAGAGGAAGTCCGGGTCTAAGATGTCGAAGGATTCGGACTCGAGCATGGCGAAGAGCGCCAGGTTGATGGCGTACATGGCAAAATAGTGCGCGCGTGTCATGCCGTATTCGCGTCGATGCAGGCGTGTAAGGCTTGCGATGCCGCGGGCAGCAGATTGTGTGAGTTCCCAGGCGTTGTATTTGCTGTTCGGGCTATGGCGGGGCTCGCTCTCTGGCGTTTTAGGGGCGTCGGATGTGGTGCTAGAGACATCATCGTCTGCATTGCAGGCGAATATGTTGATGACCAGGGTGTAATATCTCATTCTATCATAATAAGTCATGTTTCCAAATGTGTAAACCAGAGAGACATACCTTAGAAGAATAATATAAGGCGGCGGTTTCGTCTCCGGCCCAAAAATACGCGGCAAAGCACCATGCCATCTTCGTAACCGCTCATATAAATTCTCCTTCACCTGACGACGCTGCGAAGCCGAAGTCACACTCCTATCCTCCGAAAACAATTCCTTCGAAATATCCAGTGCAATCTCACTGATATTACATGTTTCATCAAAGTACTGACTCAGATATGCTGATCTGGCGTTGCGATGCGAGGGATATGGAATCCAGAGGTCGCTATCAGTAGATCCGTTGCGGTCAATTCGGTTCATGTTGACTTTGGCGACGAGGCTTGGTCGTAGAAAGCTGGTATGGATTACACTGCACTTGTTAGACATGCATTATATGACAAAGTAGACGACTTACGTATCAATGTGGAATAACCCCCAGGCAGTTCGCCTGAGAGAGGTATCCATATCAAAGGAAAGTTGCTCGGGAATCATCTTGGCCCCTTTGTCACCGATCAACCCGAGTGTCTCGCCGGCCCGAATTGCCTGGTGTAGCATCAGGTAGCCCATATCATCGTCTTCCGAAAGCGCATATCTGCCTATTTTAGAGAATGCATCATAATGTACTAGCAAATACGTACCTCTCATATAAACAAAGCGTGCCCTGTAACGAACACAACCCAATCTTCGCCGTCTCTTGCTGCCTCAACCGCTCAGCCTCAGCAAAAAAATCCGCTCCTTTGGTCAAGATGTCCCCGGGGACGACATATGCTTCTGTAAACTCCGAGAAATGCTACCAAAGTTAGCAACCACACCCACGTCCACAACCACGCAGGAGGAAGGCATACACAAGCATTCGCCAAAATAGCATTCACCAAAAACGGACTACAAAACTCCGTCTCCAAATTCCCCATCGCCATATGCCTCAAAAACACATCCCGGTCCAAAAACGAATAAAACGGATAATCCCATGTAAAATACAACGATATCAAATGCGACACCAGATCATCGTCCTCAGTCACAGTCGTCCACGGCTTCGCAGGAACCTTGCACGGCGCCTCATCACACAGAAAGTGTATATCCATGACTTTGCGCCGGAATGAGGGACCCGTGCCTTCGACGTTGAGCATCTGTCGTACATCTTCGAGCTTGTTTACCATTTCTTTGTTGCTTCCTTTGGAGTTTGAAGTTGCACTGTCGAGGTTGGCTAGGGTTTCGTCGACGTAGGATCTGATTTCTTCGGCTGAGGCATCTTTGCGGATGATCTCGAGGAGTTTGAGAGCGTGCGATTCGTCTGCGGCGCGAATTAACTTGAACAAGTCGTTCAGAAGGTCGCGGTGGTACGTCAATTCATCCGCCGTGCGTTTCGCAGCAACCCGTCGTCGCTGATCTAGCGATTCATCAAACACGCAGACCCGGTTAAACGCTCGACAGTTATCACACGGCGCTGTTCCAGAGCACTGCCCAACACTATCAACACCATCCACACCATTCACCCAGAAAGAGGCAAACATACCTTCCTCTTCGACTTCTTACAAGCCAAACAAGCCGTCGACACCCTCTTCTTCCACTGACTACTCCCCCCATTCCCACTCCCACCACCAGCACTTGTCGGCCCTTGCCCACTCCCACCTCCGCTAGAACTAGGCCCCCCAGCAGTACTCCCAGCACTATAAGCAATACTCGATCTGGACTCCCCCGACGGACTCGGCAGACTAGGCGCTTCCTCAGACGTTGGTGACGGGCCCGGCGCTATCTGGCGGTAATATTGCGAATCGTTCATGTTGTCGTTGTCGTTGTCGTTGTTGTTGTCGTTGTGCAGTATGGAGACATATCAGAGTCGCACATTTGTAGGGTAGAATGGAGGTTATTGGGTCAATCAATCGTGTTGTTGTTGGCACGCAACGCAAAAATAGAGTTGGAAGGGTGATCTACACATTGCGGAAAAGGGGAGCATGGGGCATTGAAGTCATGGCGAAAGAGGAACAGGACGGTACCAACCATGCTGGGCAGATACTATGACGTAGAACCGGAATTGAAGTCCGGCCATACAACGTTCCTGGCACCTATTCTATTCCTAGACAAAGTCAATATATAGTACAAGAACAGTAAACGTTGAGTTCTAACTGTCTTGATCTGTCTTGATCTGTCTTGATCTGTCTTGATCTGTCTTGATCTGTCTTGATCTGTCTTGATCTGTCTTGATTTGTCATGATCTTTTTTAACTAGTTACCGTACAGAATGGTTGACGCTGATTTTGAATCTAGACAGGATAGAGGCTTCGTCGGAAATGGTTTCCACCAACGATATGCACGACTGGCACGTGATATCAAACTCGCCTACTATGTTGTCTACGTCCAACTACAGATCAAGACTCATTGAAATAGTGTACCAAGGCTGAATTAAAGTGACTAACGACACGCCAGATACATAACACTACCTACAGGAGCCCATGACCACCATGGCGCCTCCTTGACATCCAGAGATATCCCCATGATAAAACTAGTAGACCAACCCAAATTCAGGGCATACCCATCGCCTCAATGCAGAAAAAGACCGTCCCTGTCGGGATTGAGGCCTGTGCAAGGAAAAAGACATTAAACGGGGTTTAAAAAAAAAAAAACACAATAACAAGTGGTGGGGAAGAACAGATAAAAGAAATGATAAAAGACGAGACTCCCTTAGTGCTCCAGAATTCTCAAGCTTCCCTGAACAACACAGTTTTCAAGAACCGAGCCAGGAGGAATGTCTATTGTGCTGCTCTCCGAGGCCACAATGATGACAGTACCCTTCAAGGTGACGTTGCGACCCAGGTTGACGGCACCGGTGATGGTCAAGTGGTCCAGCTCTACAATGCGAGGAATGCTGGGGATACGCTTCTGGAAGTCCGAGACCTTCTTGAAGTCGGATCCGAGCTTGATCACAGGCACACCACCGAAGCGGTTAGGGTCCATGAGAAGCTGACCGTGCTCGAGACGGTAGAGGTCCGACTTGACGAGCAAGAGGTCGGAGCAGGTCTTGACGGGCAAGAAGCGACGACGGGGCACGTTGACACCGTGGGCATTCTTGAAGTGACGGATGGCAGCACCGACGGCGGTCTCGAGCTGGTAGATGGCCTGGTCGGCCTCACCCTTCTTGTCGGCAGGGATGGACTTCTCGTTGGCAATGATCTCCATCTCAAGCTCGTTCTCCTCAACAACACGCTTGATGGCACGGAGGTTCATCCAGATGTTGTTGGTGTTGAAGTACTTGAACTTCTTGATGGACTTGAACTCGTTGACGTGCTCCTTGGGAACCTGGGCGATTTCCAGGAGACGAGCCTTACCCTCGTAGTCGATGATGGTACCACCCTTGACGTCAGCCTTCGTCTTGTCGGTCAACTCCATGATGTACTCCGAGCCGGTGTCGGCCATGTGCTGCAGGATACGGAGGTCAACGACGGCACCAAGGTTGTCCGCGTTGGACAGGAAAATGTACTCGACGCCACGCTCAAGGAGCTTGTCGAGGGTGCCCGAGTTGTAGAGCGACTCAAAGACGTCACCGTGGCCAGGGGGGTACCAGTCCTGCAGGGGAGCGTCGAAGCTCTTGGGAGCGGGCAGGAGCGAGTCCTTGACGATACGGGGGTAGCGGGACTGGTTGAAGGTGATGATGTCGACGTTGTGACCCTGGTACTTCTTGATGATGGACTGGGTGTCCTGGTCGGTGTTGAAGGAGTTCATGAGAACGAAGGGAACGTTGACATCGTAGGTGCGGTTCAGGTACTCGATCTGACGCACGGACAAGTCAAGGAAGGACATGCCCTCACGGACCTCAATGACTGACTTGGGGCCGACGCAACCCATCGAGGTACCGAGACCACCGTTCAGCTTGACAACAGCCAGCTTGTTGAGGAACTCAACCGAGGCCTCGTTGCCCAACTCGTTGTAGTCGACAACCTGAGAGGGTTGAGGCGGGGCGATGCGGTCCCAGTTGACGGCGTTGCCCTTGGCCTTGTCATTGAGGAAACGACGGAAGAGAGCAAAGAAGTTGTCCGTCTCAGCCTCGAAACGCTTCTTCTCCTGGGGATCGGGGACGGTCTCGGAGAGGGCGTTCAGGGCGTTACGCATCTGCGAAGCGGCCACGCTGGTGGAGGCATTCTCGAAAGCCTGGAGAGGGAAGGATTTGGTCAGAGAACGTTGACGAGAAGAAGAAATGAAGGGCATGTTGCAACGGACGTCTCGAAATGAGAGTAAATAGACAGGTAACAGTTGGTACAGAAGTAATGAATGCGAGCAGTAAACGATGGCGACGGGAGTAGACTGAAGAGCAAAGAAAAGCAAACGAAGAATAAAGGCATATTTATAAACAATCCATCCATCCAGAGGAAAGAGCCATCCCTCCTTCTGTTTTGGATACTGCGACCGCACCGCGGGAAGGAACCAGGAACCACCGCAACAACGACTCAAGTCAACTTACCATGTGCGACTGGGACTTTCCGTGGTGCTTGCCAAAGCCACCCTGGGAAGCCTCATTGGCAGGAGCTCTGAGGCGCGAGGGAATTGCGTTTGCGGCCATTGTGGAAGGTGATATTCGTAGAGAGGGAAAGAGGAGAGGTGGTCAATCGGCGTGTGTCAGGACTGTCGGAGAGTCAATTAGCAACAGCTCAACGACAGAGAGAATTATCTCAATGATGAGAATAAAAGTAGAGTAGGTGAAGAGGAAGAGAAGAGAGGGGGGGTATAGAGAGAATAAAAGGGAGAGAGAGAGAGGGAGAGAGAGCGAGAGGTAGGGGAGATTCCAGTTGCCACGCCAGAAAGGGACCGCCGTCGATCGTCGGGTGTGGCTGGCGACGACAAGCTTCCGTCATGGGCACGTACCTGTACAGTGGTATTATAGAGAGTGTACAAAGTACAATTATTAAAGTGTACTTGGAGAGAGAATATTAAGAAAGAGAAGAGAAGAAAATGAGCAGATATTAAGAGGAAAAGAAATTGAGGAAAAAAGAGAATACGTAAACAATAAAAGGAGGACGATGATGATAATTATAGGGCCAAGTGGGGTACTGTCCAGGTGGACTGGTGGACTGGTGTACTTGTACGGTGTATAGTGTACAAGTATAGTAGCAGAATACAATAGTCTCACCATAGTTTTTCTACACTGTCTCTATATCCTGCTCTAGAATCCTCTATCCTCATCAATTCTCCTCAGGTTCGCCGAGGCTATAAATACCATTCCATTTGTTGTCACCGATAACAGTGGATTCGATATCCGAAGACCCTTCCCTCCAATTCGCTCCATTCCAATCGCATTCCGGAATCCAAGACAAGAACTACAATAATAGCAGTAAGTAATAGTATATAGCTCTCTCCGTATTGCAATGGACCAATCGATACGGTGTCCCACTACGGAGAATACCCAGTAGTACATCCTGGACTAGTATTTGTCCTCCGGTGTACCTGTACTCCGTAGTAGTAGCCCTACGCCACAACAATAGATGATATTTTTGGACCCTGTCAATTTGGTTGTCTTTTAGTCCATAGTCTGGAACGTCACGTTGATGTCCCATGGCTGCCCCCTTTCTCTACGTTTCCGACCCCTCTATTTACCGCTTCCGGATTCACGTGATACACACCGCATGCAGGATAAATACAATTCCATTATCATCATGGCTAATCCGGTAAAAGGCAACACAAAAAAAAAAAAAAAAAAAAATAAAGCAAACACGCAAAGGATATCATACCCACAAAATAACTTATGTACCGTTCTAAAGCAATGTAAAACAATCAAGAAAATGAAACATGATCATGCCCCACTAGCACTCCTCTTACTCAAGAAGCTCCGACGACCTAGCCTCTTCGAGTCCGGGCTATCCATCACCTCCGACACATTGTCGCCGGTGTTCGAGTGAGATGTAGTCGGACGGAGCGATGCCGAGTCCGGTGAGCTGAAGCTGCTGCGGATCGAAACGCTGCCATTTCCAACGGTGACGGCCTTCTCCTGTCCAGCGCCCGATCCCTGGTTGTTCACAAAGAAGAGGGCCTCGCCCAGGACGTCGTCAGAACCAAAGGTCGCGTGGTCGACCACCCGGATCTGGTATTGAGCATCCTCCGTAGTGTTGTGCACCCGGCAAGTTTCGTGAGAGGAGTCAAACTGCACCGCACCGCCGCTGGCCTTGATCGCCTTGGACTTGTGCACGTCCTTGGCGCCCTTGGGGCCGATGGCCTTGACTAACACACGCACGTTGGCTCCAGATGGGAAACCGCTAGCCGAGACAATGGAGATGGTTGCAGTGCCGGTGTCTCCCTTGCCACCACTACCGCCGATGCCGAGACGGTCGCCAAAGTGCGAGGCCACGCTGCGCGTCCGCTCGTGTCGCTGGCTGTTGGCAGATGAGCCTGGTGGCGTAGCGCCTTCAACAAGGACTGCAGACGGTCCCAAACTGCCAACGGCGTCTTCGCTCTCAGCTGGCTCCTCAGCGGCATCACCACTGGTGATAGACGAAGCGTCATCACCACCCTTGGAGAACCGCGACTTGATACCGTTTTTGAGGAACGAAGCTCCCTTGATAACGTTGCCTCCAACGAAACCAACACCCTTGACGGGTGCCCCAACAATCTTGCCGGGGGTGGCGAACGTACCCGAGAAAGTAGACGATCCCTGTCGCGCACGCATAACGTAGGTGGGCTTAAAGAGCAACTTCAAACGGATGGCACCCGACTTGCCGTCCAGGGTAAGGGACACCTCCTGGCTGTGGAACGGCTCCAGCGTTTCAAGACTGATCGGGGTACCACCCAGATAATCGGCTTTGTCCCCAAAGTCCCAGTCGTACACATCGACACGGAAGTCGGAGCCGATACGAGTCTTGACCGGAGTTTCGAAAAATTCGTTCCAAGCTGGGTGGAGAGTCTTCTTCTGCACCTTGGTTTTGAAGATTTCCTTGTCCTCCAGGCGGAACTTGCAGTACGGGTCACTAAAACCGTTACGGTCGGCCGATGGGAGCTCCGCTGCGTCCAACACGTCCACACGTAGAGTACCCATGTTGTTGATACTCTCGGAAGGATCGAGCTTCATCTTGACCGGAATGTACCTGGCACTGACCGTGACCTTGCTCACTTCCCCGTGCTCCGAACGGAGGGCCAATTCCGTTGGGTTGTACTATGTAAAGTTAGAATAAGAACAACTCTGAATAAAAAGAGGGAAACCACGTACAAGAATACGTTGCAAAGTCGTAAAGGTGTCTCCGGCCAACTTGGCTACACAGTGTTCGTCACTGTCGTCCTTGGGGTCGTTCTTGTCCACCAGGCGCAGCGTAAGCTTGGAGAACTCAAGCTCACGCACGAAAGAGTCGCCAACATCCCCAAGCTTGACGGATTTCGAGCGAAGCTTAGGTGACACGTAGGCGGGGAACATGTAATCGTCCATCACAGCTTCCAACTGCACGTTGGCATGGGCAAGCTGCACCTCATGGAACTTGTACACGAGGAATCCAGACTCTGGAATTTCGGTCAGTTTTAGTTTTTCATAGACAAAGAAAAGATAGATACATACCGTAGTTGTGAATATCTTCGACACCAACGTAGGTCTTGGGAATCTGGGTCGACTTGATCGACATAGCCTCCGAGTCCTTGGCAGTCGTAGGACGAGATCCGACGGTTTCGAGACTGGCACGGCCGTTGGGTTCGCCATTGGACGTGGTGCCGTTCGTGACCTTCGAGTCCGTGCTGAGCGACTTGGAATGAGAGACCTTGGGTCTGGAGTCGGTGCTCCTCCTCGACAGAGTCGGAGTCGGAGGTTCGCCGTTGGTGTCCTCTTGCTCCGCTTCTTCCTCTTCCGCCTCTTCTTCGGGGTTGACAACGGGGATGGTAGGGTAGAAGGCGACTGTGTAGTGAATGGTACCTTTGGGCTGTCCAGTGCCAATCCGAAGATTGCTAGAGACGGGTTGCTTCTCGTCATCAATGTCATACTCGCCAGTCTCCGTCTCGTGGACGTAGTCGGAAGCTGACAGTTCGACAGAGCCCAGGGATCGGTCGCTGCCCATGGATTCCTCGTCCATAACCTCCACTGCGAGTTTCTCACGAGGGTTATGGATCGGAACATAAACCACTTCGTCCCATTCGGGGTTCAGGTTGTTGCGGAAAGTCACCGTGCGAGCCTTCATGATACCAGAAAGCATCACTCGAGCGTAGGGATCAGACTTGCCCATCGTCTCCAGGTTGCGCAGGCTACTCGCGCTCTTGAAGTGGAAACGCATGACACCGATCGGGTCGACGTAGCCAGCGCTGCCCGAGATACCTCCCACAGCCACGGGCTTCCACTGCAGCGTCAGTTTGGCGCGACCAGTCTTGGCCCCGTGCAAATGGAACCAATCCTGGCCCTTTTCGTTCATTTTGATCAAGTCGTTCAGTTTAATCTGGTACTTGCCAAGAATCGGGTCCGCCACGATATCGCGGTCATCCTTAATTACCAGACCCAGACGAGCCGACTTCCGATCCGTAACCAGGAATTCCTTGGACGCATTTTGGAAAATGGGGTTGTTGGTACGCTTGAGCTTCTTCGTGATATGGATTTCCTTGCCATTGAGGAGAAGTACACCATAGGGGTTGAGCTGGCCCACGATACTCTTGTGAGCGTCCAAGTCCTTGGCCTGCTCAACCGTGAACCGAGCAATACCAGTGTTGAGCTCCGGAGGGGGCTCCGCCTCGCCATTTTCCAGTTGCCGGCCTTCGAGAACGGGGAAGAACCGCACATCGGCATGAATTACACCGCGATTTCGGCCGCTAGCCATGACATCGAGGTAGATACTCTCGTGTTCAGACTGCTCCTCCAGCCGGTCCAAAGCGAAAGTGGCCGTTCCCAGTTCTTTGTCCTTGCGGAATTCGTTCCAGTCGTAGGGGTGGATGGTCAACGCATCGGCAAACGAGGTGATAATCACGTACACGGTATCACCCCAGCGGGGGCTATCGGTGTCGTGGATGGTCTTGGTCCGGCCCAGTTCGTTGCGGCTGTTGAGCGTGACGGTCGCATACGGATCGGGGGTGCCCGAGAACTTGTCGGGGTTCTTCAGGTGATGAGCTCCGTGCAGTGTGATGGCCACGACACCGATGGCTTGGTCGACAGGGTTTCCGGCCAGCATCTTGGCGATTTCGACGGGGAAGACGTTAGGAGCATACATCATGGGACCGAGGTTGTTGTGGATCTGATCCTTGATGAAGCTTTCGAGACCAGGAATGAAGTTGATATCAAAGCCCAGTGTGTCACCACCGAGCGGCTTGCAGACATAGTCAATCTCAGGGCGGTCCAAGAAGCAAACGTCGACACGCTCGATATGCGGGAAGGGGATCTGCAGCTTGACCTTGACCCGCATCAAACCGCTGCAGGCCATGTCCTCCACAATCACGTCGAGACCCTTGCTGACAACACCTTTACCCAAACGAACTTCGAGAACAACCTTGGGGTTGATCTTGTTCTTGAGTTGGCGCGCCGTCAAGTCCATGGTATCGTTGGGCGTAAAGCTGAATTTCCAGTCCATGACGATGGTGTCAACTTCGGTCTTGGGGTACGTCTTGACGTGTTCTAAACGGGGAGGCTTGGTACCAAGAATGAAGGTCTTGAGACGCAAGCTGTCAAGCATGGCCGGGGTGGCCGTACTGAGGACCTGGTCGACGGAGTTGATGATCGAGTCACAGAGAACGGGAGCGTAGATGGGCCAAAATTTCACGAGGAAACTGTTGATCCATTCAAGACTCTCGGTGTCGGTTTCCAAACGCTGTTTGGCCATTTCGCGATTGATATCGTCACGGAAGTTCCGACGAACACGACGCAGGGAGGTACGGTAGTAGGTACTGCAGGCGGCCATGATGATGAAGATCCAGGCAAGACCACCTCCCAGAATAGCAATCACCCAGGAACCGAGACAGGCAAAAACGATGACACCGGCATTGTGATACCAATCTAGACGACACCAAGTCAGTCAGCTACTGAATGCAAGGTGTATTAATCTGGGTTCTTACCTCCGAAGAACTTGTCATCCAATTTGCCTTCCAGGAAGGTCTGGTGGTCTAATAATGTGCCTTCTTCCTGTTCTTCTTCGGTCGTCTCGTGAACAAATTGCGGTTCCCAACCAGTTCTGTCGCGAGCCCATCGCATATCATCCTCTGCGCCGGCTTCTGCTCCCTCTTTCTGCCCTTCCTCGGCACCTGCTTCTTCCCGCTTGAGGAGGTCCGTGGCCGTCCTCATGGGAGGGAGTTCGTACTCATCGGCTCCGCCGTTATCCTGAGAAGTCGTGTTAATAAGGAATTTGAAAGAATTGACTCAGGAAAAGCTCACCTTATCCGTAATAATAGCAGTTCCCTTTGGTTCGTGGTCATGGTGGAAATTTGGAGGCACGTGCTATTTCCACGACAGTCAGCTAGGCTGCAATCAATCGAGATTTCAACTACAGAATTCGACCTACAGCTTGTGCCGCAGCGGCTTTTTCCTCGGGAGAAGCATGAGGATCGAATTGATAAGCAGGCATGCCAGCCTTCTCGGTCTCCTCGAGCAAAACCTTTTCGACATCCTCGGGGTTCAAGTTGGACTGGGGGTCCTGAGCCGCATTCTGGGCGGTCTCGATAGCTCCCTGCTGCCTCGATTCGGCTTTGACGTCCTCGCCATGTTGGGATGCCATTGCGCCGAGGCTGGGGATTGAAGAGGAGGAGAGACAGACGGAGGCAGAGAAATTTCTAGCCGCCTTCTACGAGACTCTCGAGGAGCTCAGTCTGGAGAGTCAGGCGGATCCAGAGGGACTAGTATACGGAATAACGGAGGTAGGGAGGGAGGACGACGGGGAGAACAGTGAGAGGGTAAGAAGAAGGAAGATTGGAGGAAAAAGAGAAAAGAAGAAAAGAAAAAGACTCGGGGACGGAATGAGCGAAGAACGTCAGAAGAGGCGGCTGGTTCTGCGGCCTCCGCAGCGGGGACGGGCTGATTGATTGACTTACAGCTCAGCTCCGCGAGAGACGATCGGGTTCGTATTTCGAGAAATAGAGACAAATTCAGTCGGGGAGGGTTGTTCAAGAGGGGGATTGAGTAACGAATGAAGATAGTGAGGTTACAGTGATAGTAAACAGAAGAAAAGGGAAAAAAAAGAGAGAGAAGAGGACAGATCTGGGGCCAAAAGGACGAATTCGGCGTATCGAAAGGAGATTCAGCTGTGGCTGTTGCATGAGCCACACATGTATGGTATTACCGATGATAAGGAATTCAAAGAGCAAGGGATGACGTCGCGTAGTGCACTTACAAAGTACTGATACGTACTGATACGTACTGATACGTACACCTCACGATCGACCTGTGGCGCAGCAGTGGATTCGATCTATTGGAAATGGTCCCATTTTGGAAATGTGCTTACGTAGGCACCGCCACGTTGGATGGCACAAGTACAGATGAGTTCTGGAATTCGGAGTAATTAATATGCAAAATCAAGACAATGATATCAAATTCTACTTTTAAGATAGAAACAAAGGGGGTAGATAAGGGAGAATAATGTGGGATACAGAACAGTAGTAGCCGCCAAGAACCCCTGGTGATGGTTCCCACCGCTTAATATGGGTTCCCATGGATCGAATCCCTCAGACCGTCATAGTTCCGAGGTTCCAACCTTTCTACGGATTACGCCGTACTCAGAGTATGTAGAGATACAAAAGAGGGTGCGGTGACCGTCGACACGTAGCACGCATTCAGTTCCTCAGCTGAGGTCAGAGCACCGAATATGCAGAGTCGTGCTGCAGTACAGAGTGCTCGTACATCTTGCTTTAGTGAGATCTGTACAAGTGCATCGCTAGTCCCAATCGGTCAATTCTGCTGCAGATCACATAACTTCACAGCACTCAAGTACAAAACCGAATGAGAGTGCATGTATTGGAATAGAAAGTCTTAAGGCGTCAATCGAGCAGAAGTTTGGAATATTGAAATTCTTATTGTGCGATTCCAATAAGCTCCACAGTCACAGGCCCGGGCAATCCACTCTGACTCGCTCAGAATTTTTTAAACTTCAATAGACAGCGATCCGGCGTGATAGCGTCCGACCATAGAGTACAGAATACAAATCCTACGATGGTTGTGTGCCTCGCACAAAAGCTGTAAAGACTGCACATGCATATCATTAAAGAAAGCCAATTAATCGAATTACATGCATCATCACTTTTTCTTTTCGTCAGTGTTTACCGTCCCAAGCGGATCACACCAGCCGCCATCAGCTTCTGGATCTTCGTCCGCACTTGCGAGTTCTTCATGTGCTCTTGCAGGGCCACCGGGTCGCTCTTGGCCTGCTGCAGGATGCTCTGCATAACGGGGTCCTGGAGAATCGACATGATCTAGTACAGTCAGTATAATTCGAATTGGTTCATACACATATCCAGGAACTCACCTCAGGGTCATTCTGAATGCGTTCCATGGTCTGTTGCTCTGTCTCACCAGCACGGGCGCTGAACTGAGAATCCAAGCACTTCTGCGATTGCTGCTCGATCTCGCGAGCAAACGAACCGTCGTCGTGCTCCTGCGCCTCAGTGCACACATCCAACGCCCTGTTGTACTCCTTCATAGCCACCAGAGCTTGCGACTTGCGCATGTACGCGCGGATAAACTTGGGGTCCCGGCTGATGGCATCGTCGCAGTCCTGCACTGCCTGGGGGAACGCCATGAGCTTGACGAGCGCGGCAGCCCGGTTGGAGAATCCACGGGGATCCTGCGGCGCCCGCTTCGTCATCTCGGTGAACGCTTCCACTGCACCCGGCCAGTCAGCCTCCTGGAACTTCTGCTGTCCCAGTTCGCGTGCCTTGTCGGCCTCAGCGGGGTCGATGTAGGATTCCTTCTCGGCCTTGCCCTTAGCCTTCTCGACATTCCGGAGCTTCGTCAGAGCATCAGGGGTGCGGTGCTCAGTGAGCGACTTGTTGTAGAACTCGATGGCCTGGGTGAGATCACCGAGCTTTTCATAAGCGGTTCCGATACGTGCGAACGACCTGTAGTATTGAACCGTGTTAGAAACACCCCACGAGATGTAGATGACTTTCAGACACTTACTTGGCAAGCACCTTGAAGTCCGCACGGTGTTCGCGGCCCTCCTCGATAGCCTTCTGGCAGGTCTCGATGGTGCCCTGGTAATCGCCGTTCTCAAACTTGGCCGCACCAATGTTGTTAAGGTATGTGACGTCCTTGTTCGCTTCCCAAGCCTTGTTGTAGTGCTCGATAGCCTCGTCGAACTGTCGCTTCTTGTAAAAGTCGTTACCAATCTTTTTCTCAGCGTCACCAGCTTCTTGTGCCTTCTTCTTAGCAAGGGCCTCCTCGTCTTGCGGTTCCGGCTCGGGTTCGGGTTCGGGCGCCTTCTTCGGTTCGGGCTTAGGTGCCTCCTGCTGAGCCTCTGGTGCAGCACCCTCAGGAGGACCGCCAAAGTTCATGTCAATTCCCAAAAGCACACTCATAACCTGCAAGAAGCGAGGGTCCTGGATCTCCTGGCCAACGCTGTTGGGGTTCTCCTTGACACGCTGCAGCTTCGCCATGAACTCGCCGTCTGCGAGGAGGGGGGATGTCTTGGGGTTGCTGGCCAGCTTCTGGAACAGTTGAGGGTCGTTGAAGATTCCACCAATACCTCCTGACGGGTCAGCGGTGTCTCCCTTCACTTCGGCGTCAATGGCTCTCTTCACGGCGGCAAAACCAGACTTGGCCTGGTCGTTCCCGGGCTCGAGGTTGAGGGCTTCTTCGTAGGCATCGTGGGCAGCCACTGCACCCATTAGCACACAATAATCCCCACATTATCTTTGTCGTATCAATCATCCATCACTTACGGAGGTCTCCCTGGCCACGAAGGGCAGCACCCTTACGCACCCAACCCTTGGACCAATCGGGCTTCAACTCAGTTGCCTTGTTTGCATCGTCGAAGGCATTTTGGTAGTCACCCTTGGCGGAATACACAGCAGAACGGTTCGAATAGAGGATGTGATTGCTAGCTTCGATCGCAATAGCCTGAGAGAATTTGTCGCTGCGAAATCATGTCAGTGCTCCAGCTCTTGTTATGCAAAACCGTCATAGCGCGGGGTAACTTCATACACAGCAGTAGAGTAGTCTTTGGCAGAGAAGGCCTTGTTGCCCTCAGCCTTCAACGCGTCAGCCATGGTGTAGATATGAGGTATCAAGATGAAAATGCTAAGTTGAAATTAAATGTCTTTTTTTTTTTGCAATCTGGACCGGGGGAAGCTGCGTTCATAATCTCTGACGGGCTGATCTTCTCGAAATTTCCGGCAGTTACCTTATGCCTCAGGCAGAAGTACCTTAGTACCACCAGGCATCAAGGCAGACAAGCTTTTTCTTTTGCGCTAAACCATTTTAGGCCTCCCCGCTGAAAAACATCTCCGCCGCCTTTTCTCACTCTCTTTCGCTGTGTCATTTTTCATTCATTATTCTTTTTCGGGTATATTAAGCAGTCGCAACTAGTCGCAAGTGATGGATTACTGAATATGCTATTCCATAAGCCTTTCCGGTGATATTACGCAGCTCTCTCCTCCTTTGTCCTCTCGCCGGCGACCTCATCGACCTTCAAAATGGCCGCCTCCGTGACGGAGCTCGCCTCCAAGCTCTACGATGCCTGCCAGGCCAATTTCGCGTCCGACCATCTCTTCTATCAGCAAGATCTGTTAGGTCTGGGCGTTGTTCCGAAAAATGACCTTCCGCTTATGTTACAATGCACCCAGACGCTGGTAGACCAGAAATTGTTCCGTCTGCTCGCTGGTAAAAATGATCGGCTGGCATGGAAGATTATCTCTCGCGAAGATGCGGATAAGTACGTTTTGGTTTCTTTGACTTCTGGATATCCAAATACTAACCGTTACCGTCTAGACTGCAGAATCTGAGCCCCGACGAAAGTTTGGTGTATAATGTGATTCATTCGACTGGCCGCTCAGGAATCTGGGTCCGCGCTATCCAGACCCGCACCAACCTACACAAGTCCATTCTCGACCGTTGCCTCAAGTCGCTCGAAGGCAAGAACTACATCAAAAGCGTCCACAATGTCAAATTCCCCAGTCGCAAGATGTACATGCTCGCGGGCCTGGCCCCGAGCGAGGATGTCACCGGAGGCGCCTGGTTCACGGACGGAGTGCTGGACGCGAACTTCATCAACAGCGTCGCGGGCTACATCGAGTACACCGTGAGTCGCAAGAGCTGGTACGAGGTGCCCAGCGCCGATGGGCCGGGGAAGAAGCGCCTTAAGACCGGGGCCGGCAGCGTGGCTGTGAAGCCAGAATCGGGTGAAAAGCAATATCTTCCGTTTCCCGCTGGGTATCAAGGGTATCCGACTGCCAGTATGATCACGGCCGCCGTGAACGAGAGTGGTATCACGCCCGTGCGACTGGGCGAGGAGAGTATTGTACAACTCCTCGAAATGCTGTGCTTCGACAACAAGTTGATCGCGCTGAAAAACGGCGAGGTCTACAAGTCCGTCAAGCACCCCGAAGCAGTGAAATCCGCGCAAGCACGGAAACCCGGGGGCGAAGACGCGGACGAGATAGACTACCTAGTCAGAAATGGCATGACAGAAGCGCCGTGCGGCCAGTGCCCCGTGTTCAAACTATGCGCTCCTGGCGGAGCGGTCAGTCCAGAGACATGCGACTACTTCGACCCGTGGTTAGAAAAGGCGCTTGGGTTCTGATCGTCGGTCACATATCGATCGGCCTGTCACTCTTTTCTATAACCCGGTGGTTCTCCGGGCTTTCTTCTTTCTATGCCTTACTTATAATCAGGTGGCTGGGAAGATCATACCTCTTTGCATAGCGTTGGCGTTTTATTTAAAAAGTTCTATTTGGCATTGGCAAGGTTGAGATCTCATGTGATGAGATTGTATCTATAGCTATATCTAACGAAATTTAGAGAAGGATAATTGATCCTGATTTATACAGAGTACATCATGGAAGAATGAGGTCGTAGCCGAGTGGCCATGGTCAATGAATTCAAAACGCAATGGGTATAATGTACAGTAAAGCAGTGCGCGCATCAAAAAAAAAAAAAAAAAAAAAAAAAAAAAAAACAGGGAAGAAAAAACTATTTTCCCAAAGTAGCCCTACACTCATCACAATACCACGTCCCAACCGGCTCCCTCGTCAACCCCACACATTTCCAATGAAACCACTCATACGGACAGTTATCATTATCACAAGCAACCATATCCCCATGGCTAACGCTGCGACAAGTGCAATAAACCTTCGTATCCTCGTTTCCCTCATCCTCATCATCGTCGTCAAGGTCATTCCCTGCATCGTTCTCAGAGTCAGACATATCCGCGTCGCTCAGCATCGAGTCATCTTCGTCGTCGTCTCCGCCGGCGGAGGGGGATTTCTTCATGCCGATCCGGATCCGCGATGCGCTTGAAGATCGCTTTGAGGCTTTGCTCATTGATTTGAGTTTCTTGAGTTGCTGGTGAGGCGCGACTTTCTTGGTCAGGGCTTTTCGGGTTACCCCTACTGTGCGTGGGCCGGCGCTGCCGGCGCGGCTGGTGCTGGGGGTTCCTGCTCTGGGGGTCCCAGGGCCTATGGATGATTGGCGGAGGTTGGAGGATGTGGTGGGGAGTGTGCTGAGTGATGGGTTTAGGCGGCGTCGCTTGCTGTCCACCGCGCCGGCGGATGATTCCCGTTGATGTCGTTGCTGGAAATGTGAAGTCGCGGTTGCGGCCGGAGTTGCTGGAGCGGAGCTTCGCGCACCAATTTGCGAGTTTAGAGCGGCTAGACCACCCGGACGGGCGAGGGACTGGCTAAGTCTCTGAGTAGCGCCTAATACTGCGTTTGCGTTTCCCGACGTAGGGTTGAGAGGAGCGGCAGAGTAAGACGACGAATCGCCCGCCGTGGTATCCGGAAAGAAGATCTTGGGCGGATCCCGATATTGGTCTTTATTGCTGTTGAAGAGAGAAGGGATAGGAGGGTCATTAGACAAGACGCCGTCATTCTGTAAATCCCGAATCTTGATATCCAACTTCTTAATCTGTCGATCCAGTAACACGCACGCCTTCTCGCTCAGTTGAATCTTCTCCTCTTGCAGTTGCTGGGACCTATCGAAGTTCTGCAGAATAACCTTTCCGTATTGTTCTTCCTTGGGGTTTGGCGCAAGACTACCGTTCAACTTGATGAATTTCTGTAAACTACCATCCCGGGTATTGATTGCTGTGCGAGCGTCCTGGATAGTTTTATCCTTTGCTTGGATTTCTTCCATCAGGTGGTTGATCTCCGCTGGCAAGTTCGCCACATCGTGGACGAACTGCTCCAGCACCGATGCGCAGTCTTCTGCGCCGTGAGACATTTTCTCCTCAATACTTCAGTTCGCAGTGATGTAGAATGAGCTTGCGCCTTTCTTGATTACTCAACCGTATTCGGTGCTCTTGATCCAACGCAATATGGGCCTTTCTTCAAATCGAACTTTCTGTTTAATCTGCCAACGCGACTAACGATGGTGACGATATCTTAAAGCTGAAAAGGGAAAGTTGAAGAAGTGAAGACGCGATGCGGAGGAACAGGATCGCTGCGAGTCACGTGTAGCACTGCCACATATCCATCAGCCACGTCTGCAGCCACAGATAAGCTTCCGAGCTCGCTGTTAAACGGCCTCAGCCTCAGCTGAACTACGGCCGCCACGAATTTCCTCTGCCAGTACTACTATATAAGAAATAAAGTAAGTTATGTTATTCAAGAATTTCCTGTCGATTAGACTCTGTGACGTACAATGATCACATCCGCTGCAAACGGTGCAAACATCAGATATCTATGGATGATCCCCTCAATCGTTTGCTTTCTCCCCCACTCTCTGCAATTCTCTTCCGCTGTCTCAAAGGCTTCGTTTACGGTCGCTTCGAACTGACAACCCGATTGATGTGCTATTGAGAGCTGGATCCATACAATACCAGATGACCATGAGCGAGGAACCGCTTCCGGAGGGAGTCTTCTCCCTCCTGGACACTGATCTCTACAAGTTGACGATGCAGTGTGCCATTCTCAAGTACTTTCCTGATGTTGGTGAGTCGCTAAGATTCTAGGAATCTGGTCGTTTCAGCATACTGACGCTCCTGTCAGATGTGACTTATGGGTTCACGAATCGTACCCCGCAGATGACATTCACGCGAAGCGCATACAAATGGCTCTTACGACAGATGGACAGTATGTGAATGCATCTAGTCGCGGAAACCTCGGGCTGCTAATAGTGCATTATTTCTGTCTAGAAATCGCAAATATTCGCGTCTCGCCGGACGAGATTGAATTCCTGAAGAAGCGATGTCCTTACTTCAATGACGCATACCTGCAGTTCTTGACGACGTTCAAACTTAACCCCTCCGAGCAAATTGAAATTACTTGGACACCTGTGGACGACACCGGTAGTGACGAAGATGTCGGCGGTATCGAATATCTCATCAAGGGCCGCTGGGTCGAGACAATACTCTACGAGATCCCTCTGCTTGCGCTGACCAGCCAAGCATACTTCATGTTCTGCGATAAGGACTGGGACTACAACGGTCAGGAGGACAAGGCGTTCCGGAAAGGATGTGCACTGCTTGAACACGGCTGTGTTTTCTCGGAGTTTGGTTCGCGACGTCGACGGGACTATCACACTCAGGATTTGGTCATGAAAGGACTTTGCGCGGCTGCGAAAGAGAGCCAGAAAAAGGGCTGGAAGGGTGTCTTTACGGGATCGAGTAATGTCCACTTTGCGATGAAGTATGATGTGGATCCGGTTGGCACTGTTGCCCACGAGTGGTACATGACGATCGCTGCTATCACTGATGATTACGAGAATGCCAATGAGATAGCACTGAGATACTGGCTAGGATGTTTCGGTGAGGGGGTAAGTTTCATGGTTGTATTCCTTTGCCTGAGCAACACACTGACAAGCCTAGGTCCTTGGAGTCGCATTAACAGACACATTCGGTACACCAGCCTTCCTCGATGCCTTCTCCAAGCCAATACCCGAATACACCAGCGCAGGAGTCGGTGCCGTCAGCACAAGCGCATCCGGAGCCGGCACCACAACCCAGTCCAACATCCAAAGCGAGGCACAAATCACACCTCCAATCGCGGCACCAATTCACGAGGGCGGCGAGCACAAGAAGAAGACATACGCGGACGTATACACCGGTGTTCGCCAGGACTCTGGCGACCCCAGTTATTTCGTGAAGATGGTCCGCGACTTCTACGATGGACACGGCATTACAGGCCAGAAGGTCATCGTCTTCTCGGACTCGCTCAACATCGAAAATTGTCTAGAATACAAGGTCATTGCGGAGGAAGCAAACTTCAAGCCTGTTTTCGGTGTCGGGACATTCTTCACCAGTAAGCCACCTCCCCTTCCCTCCTAACCACTATCTCTAGTCCAATCCGGCTAATATTGTGCTCCAGACGACTTCATCAACAAAGCAAGCGACGAAAAATCCAAACCCCTCAACATCGTCATCAAAATCGCTACCGCAAGCGGCCGCCCGGCCGTCAAACTCAGCGACAACATGGGCAAGAACACCGGCGACAAAGACACCGTCCAGCAGGTCAAGCAGAAGCTTGGATACGTCGAGCACACTTGGGAGCAGGGGAATGAGACTAACCGGTGGGCGGATAAGAGCTGAGCGCAACGCGTTTCTGTGAATGAATGAATTCCCTACGGCGATGGTCTTCTTTTTAACTATGTATATTAATGTTTTTATGTGTCTGTGTGGATATGATTCGAGCGAGCAATTACTTGGATGTTTTTGCGAGTTGTGTTCATGAGATATATCCATTTGCTTTTCTTGGTTTGGTTCAGTTTGGTTTGGGTAGAAATAAAAAAGGTTTGCTTGATAAACATCATATCATGACTGTAGATATAGAACTTGCTGCTAACTCCACCAAGGAAAAAAGCAGAAGGAAAAAAGATTAAAAATTCCTAACGAATATATATACATCCAAACCGAAAGTTACATACCACAAGAATAATGACTACAACCCCAAATCCCTATCCAAATCCCCCGTAATATCCCCCGGTGTCATATGCGCATGCCCCGACCCCGACCCTATCCCATTACTCCCATTCTCCGGCGAAAACGGCCACGCATCTCTGCGCTCATTCTCAAACCCCGGCCCACCATAGTCCGAATCAATGCCCCCGGCTAAAAGCTCTTGTGTCCAGTCAATTCCATATGGTTCGGCATCGGTGGGAGAAACATTCTGTTCTAGATCTGCGGGTGTGGCGAAGTCGAAGGGTGGGTTTGGGAGGTCGAAGGAGAGGAAGTTTGTAGGTGGGGTGTTGAGGTTTAGGTGGTCGAGGTTGTCGTTGAAGTCGGTGTATGAGTTATTGTGGTCTTTTTGGGAGGGGGTTGGGGTTGGTGCTGTTGGTGAGGGGGAGGGTTTGGTTGCTGTTGCTGTTGTGGATTGGAGGTCGGAGACGGTGCTTTGTTTTCTGTGCTGTTGAGTTTGTTGCTGGGCTCCGGTCTCCTTGTTTGGCGGATTCTCCGGATTCTCTTCGAGTGAATCACTCTTTTGCCCAGAGTCAGAGTTACTGGAACTGTACTGCATGATGCGAAGGAAGGTATTGGCGTTATCGGATTGCACCTTCACAGCAGCCTCGATATTAGCTACTTCCATATCTGCTGCTGGATATATATCCTTCAAGCCCTGCAATACTTGGACACATCTCTGGAAGTTATAGAGGCTTGTCTCGCGGACTGTTGGGTTATCTGACTTGGAATTCGTCAGGTGTGCAACGGCAGCGGGCAGGATGACAGTCACGCCTGATTGGGGAAGAAACCGGGTAAGGTCTAGTTGATTCAGGCCTTGGACGATGTGCGTGATGCCTAGAGCTGAGTTGTGCATCTTTGCGCGTGCAGTATTCATCAGCTCTTGACGTGCCTTCGACTGATCCTTCTGGAAGTTCGTGGCCCATGGCCGATATAGCGCGCTGATAGTAGCGTGATGTAGCATCTTCAACATAGCACTATGGAGTAGTAGGACATCTTCGCCCTCTCTAATATTGTTCCTGGACTCTGGGATGAATTGAGCATCCTTGGGGAGCCCGTTTAGCCAGGACTCGAGTTTCTGGCTACACCGCGCCAGCTCGGACTCGGATGCCAGTCTCGGAACCAAAGTGATTGTTGTCCTGGTAGTTGTCCCAAACTGGCATTGGGAAGGGGCATATTGAGCAAAAAGCACTCTGCCAATGCACTGGCAGAGCCTAGCCTTTTCGATGAACATAGTAGCCAGGCGTTTCTGATGGGAAACATCCTCCAGCTGGCGACAATGAAACATCGCAGTGACAGATGGATGGTATGTCTCGAAATCAAAGTCATCTAATTTCAACAACGGGACATTACTCGTCCCCTCGTTAAGTTGAGTCGGGCGCCGTAGTCCCATGGCTATTAAGCGGTCTCGCGAATAGAGACACCACCAAAGGCGTGTTCTCAGCCGTTTGGTGCTTGGGTCCATGTTAGGAGCAGAGGTAGGGTCTCTGTTTAGCCCAATAGACTGCGCTTGCGTGTTGCAAACCCCGATCCAATCCCAGATATCTCTTCGGGGGTGGTTGGCGTGGTCTGACCAATATGTCATGAGCAGGAGAGTCTGGATGATCGCGATGCGATCTTCCTCGCAGTCTAAGGAATATAGTAACTACAATGGTTAGCAATGGCGGTTATTCAGGAAAAAAGCAGACGTACCCTTAATCGTGTATAGAACGCATTCCGCGCGCTTTTCCTTGTTGTATAACCAGCATCGTGGAGATGCTTGAAGTCGATAAAGGCAGTTGCCACGAACATGACAGCTTGAAACAGCAACAAACTGATATTACCGTTTGGATCATTTTGAGCAATAGAAAACAGAAACTTTTGAAGATTCAACACCGGCATGAAGCTATGCACCCATTTGATATAGCACCGCAACAGTTCATTCCGCAACCCACTCTCCGGTATCGAAAGCGCGCCTCGAATGCGCAAGAACTCCAGGTCCTCCGGCACCATCCGCGAGGGCAAGGGTTTCAAAAAGCGCGGTTCATCATCCAAGATGGCTATCAGAGGGTCGAATTCGGGATCGATCAGGTCCTGTACAGCAGTAACCATGTTCGCCAACGGTAATGACGGCTGCACCGCTCGATTCCCCATTGTTCGCCATTCTCGCTCTGGTCTGGAGCTTTGAAGCCACGGCGCGCGAGCGTTGAAGTCCAAGCTATGGTTTCTTTTGGCTGGTGGTTGTTCGCCATCGTCATCGTGGTATAGATCGGCGTCTAGGGGCTTGCGCTTGGCGGCTAGCATCTTGGAGATGGCAGTAGGATGGCCGCTATGGCAGCTGGCAGATGAGGGATTCAAGCATAAAAGTAGCTTTGACGCCTGTCATATAGATAGAGTGCGAACTAAACAGGAGTAGTAGATGGCTGACACCGTTATTCCGGCAGTACCAGAAGGCGGTGTTCGGGACTGATCTCCCCCCCCCCCGCGAATTGGTTGATGGCGACGAAGGTTCATGGCAGTCGTTCACGGGAAGTTGATCTATTGTGAAGAGACGATAGAGATAGTCACCATGTTATCCGGATTGGGTGTATCGTGCTACGGGTCAATGGGGATAGCGGATGGAGAATGCGCTGAGTGCGGAGCTACTACTTAACGATGCTCGGCCCCATTAGTTTGATAGTTACTACGGGCGTACATCCGATTGGATTGCTATGCACGACCTAGTGTAAAGAATGTAAAATGTGATTGGCGCTGTCGGGTTTTGCCGTATATATATATATACACCCTTTGGCTGTCTGTAGTTGGATTGGCGTATCAGGAAGACTACGGAGTATAACAATGCTGATCCGGATGGCTGAGAACTACTACTCAAGAGCACGAGGTTGCTCGAACCAACATCGACAACTCAATGTTTCGTATTGCGACGGACCGGAGGTCTTCGCAGGTGCTGTTGGAGAACCGGAAAGCAGCCAACAAGCTCCCAGCCGAGGGAATCGACTCAAAGCAAGAAGCCATGACCACACTCCAATGCATCCATTGCATACGCAATCTCAATAGTCGTAATATCGAAGGGGCCCCAAATAAACGTCGTAACAGATTCATTTCATGAATTTATACTGACAAAACCGTCCACATTGAGATCACCCAAGACGCATGTGCCCGTAAAGCAAAATATAATACACGGATTCATTAAAAGAATTCGAAACAGATAGGAGATCGAAGGCCGCACGGTTCTTTTTTCGACTTCGCTAATCGCTAATCGTCCGATCCGGTCGTGAAAGATTCATAGCATGTCGACCCAAGGTGTCGGGAAGGGGTTTAGACACTTCTCACATCAGTGAACAAGACCGATATTTTGAGATTCGTGAACGGATGCTAGAAAAGGAACGCAGTGAAAGGTTGGTCGACTTACGGAGGGACGAGCAGCTCGCCGAGGCTGCTGTGGAAGAAAGCGACACCGGCCTATAGAATAGACGTGTTAGAACCCGTTCAACCATTGCCTCAGAAGGTACGGCAACAGTTCAAGACACTAGTACTTACACCAAAGACCAGGAGGCTTCTAACAATGGTGGCGTTCTCGGACGAGGTGATTTCATCGTAGAGGCTGCCGACGAAGCCCTTCTGAGGGCGACCGCCGCCAGAGACGACAATGCGCTGGTTGGGGGCCATATTTTAATGTGTATATGGGACAAAAGAGTAATAATGGTAGACAAAGCTGTCAGTGGAGGTTGGTTGAATAGTACTGACGGTCGAGAAATCTTTCGAGCCTCTGATGCTTGGCACCGATTGCGTCGTTAGCTTTCCACGGCACCCGTACAAATCTCCGGATCAGCGCGACGAAGCAGTAGGAACCACGCGGACACATTTGTTTGTTCTTTTCTAGAGATTAATTACGGATCGCGTCTATCACTCAAGCGCATTCTTGTCTGTTTTCACTCTGTCACTAAGGGCTCTTTTGCGTATTGGTGGTGCATTGAACGGTCAAATCGGCCTCAAACTGCGGAAGCCGCAATGACGAACGTCGATGAGCTCTTCAAGGTGTGTGAATGCGATTGCCCTTAATTACAGTCTGTGTCTAACTGATATAGAAACCCCTGTCGATAGGAACCGGAAAGCGCAAATTAGAACCGGCCCACGACCCAAGTATGTCCTGCGACCTTCCTACGTTTTCGCTATGATGAGTGCTAATGCGCGCTGTGATAGACGAGCTCTATAAAGCGGCCAAATTAGAATCCAATGGAGATGTGAAGTCGAAAGGAAAAGCGCCTATGGTGGAAGACGAAGAGGAAGATGATGGTGAAGCTGGCCCGGAGCTGCCCCCCGATTTCGAGGAGGACGAACCAGACGATGAAGAGGGACGATTCTTCGGCGGAGGAATGGAGCGCCAGACGGCAGACGCAATGCAGTATATCGATCAACAGGATGCGGAAGAAGGGCAAGTGGTGGTATGTGTGAAGTTGAATGGATACGCTGGCCTAGTCTTCGTACTGACGCTGTTCTAGCCCGAGAAATTCGACTCTGCTTGGGTGCGCCGGTTCGCGCTCAACTTTGAGAGGAAGATATCCAAGAATGCAGAGCTGCGAGGCAAATTCGAAAATGACCCTCAGAAGTAAGTCGCAATGCACACCCCTCAAAGAATACAGGTGTACTAACCCTCTTCTTCCAGGTTCATGGCATCTGAGGCTGATCTGCATACGGAGATCAAAAACCTGTCTATCCTATCCGAGCGCCCAGAGTTGTACGGCGAATTCTCGAAAATGGGATGCGTCGGCTCTCTGATTTCGCTGCTATCGCACGAGAACGCGGACATCGCTATAGATGCTATTCAAATTATCAGCGAGTTGACGGATGAAGATGTGGAGGCGGAACAAGAGCAATGGGATACCCTCGTTAATGCAATGGTGCGCAGCTCAATCCTCCCTTAATTGCATAAGCTAACGGGTTGTTCAGATGGACGCAGATCTCATAGAACTTCTAAGCCAAAACCTGACCCGATTTGACGAAACATCCGACATGGATAGGTCAGGAGTGTACTATGTGTTGGGTGAGTGACAAGTCATAGTGTTATATGTCAGGCTACATTTATTTGCTAACCTTGTGAACTAGGTGTGTTCGAGAATCTGGCATCGCAACAGTCCATTGCAGAGAAGATTGGTCAAGACTCGACCATGCTGTCATGGCTCCTATCCCGCGCACAGAAGAAAGAGGTACCCGTGAGCCAGAACAAACAATATGCTGCTGAAATTCTGGCAATATTATTGCAATCATCTTCCAAAAACAGGGAAAAGTTCCTTGGTCTTGACGGCGTGGACACTCTCCTCCAACTTCTAAGTCAATATCGCAAACGCGATCCTGAAAAGGACTCCGACGAAGAAGAGTACGTGGAGAATCTGTTTGACTGTCTAATTTGTCTTGTCGACGAGGATGCTGGCAAGAACAAATTCTTGGACGCCGAAGGAGTTGAGCTTGCACAGATCATGCTCAAGGAAGGGAAATTTAGCAAGCAGCGCGCTCTGAGGGCTTTGGACCATGCATTAGGTGGAGTGGGTGGTGCACCTGCCTGTGACCGATTGGTGGAAGTAGCGGGTTTGCGTACAGTCTTCGGAATGTTCATGAAAAAGGTACGTCTGGTTTTCTATTGCCAGGGGCAGAACACGGTGACTAACAGCATGTAGCAAGAGAATCAGAATATAGAACACCTTCTAGGCATCTTTGCCTCTCTTCTGCGGCTTTTACCCGGAGGCTCCGCAGCACGCATCCGTACCCTGGCCAAGTTCATGGAGAGAGAATACGAAAAGATTGACAAGCTGGTCAGGCTCAGACGGGATTATGCCTCGAGAGTAACACCGGTTGAGCAGGCCATCGAAAAAGAGAAGAACAACTTCGACAAAGAAGAACAAGAAATCATGGCACCCGAATGGCTTTCGCGACGCTTCGATGCCGGTCTCTTCTCTATACAGCTCATTGATGTCATTTTGGCATGGCTTGTGGCCGAAGATGATGGGGCTAAACAGAAGGTGGTTACGCTTCTCAAGGACCGTGACGAAGACTTGTCCCTGATCCGAGGGACACTGCAAGGTGAGTTACTATTTGTACAATTGGTCCCTACTTTCCAAATGCTAATCGTTCAGAGCAAGTCGAGGTACTGTCGGAGGATGGGCCTGGGCAGAAGGACCATAAGGAAATGCTTGAAACACTTCTGCAATTTGTTTGATAACTGCAGACGGGAAATCTATCAAGTCATGTATAATACAACTACATAAACCCAATAATTTCCATCTTGAAATGTAGTCATCTTAGTAAGCATAGAAGTCACGTGTTATTACTTCCATTCTAGGACTAGCGTGTACCCGGCGGTCGAGGCGCTAGTGGCGGCTCAACAGCGCCCGGAGAAGGACAAGCATCCAGCTCTGCTCCATCCTCACCGTCTCGTTTGGCATGGGATCTGGGATTTTCCGATTCAACTGAGTCCCAGCTTGCTGATCCGTCGTTAGTGACTTTTTAAAACTTTGTTCCAGCTGGTGAACCTGTCCCTGTCCCAGCACCCGGACGGATCTCGAAAGAGGGATCTTTTCACTGAGCGCTTTGCGCCCTTCTGCGCTCATTGATTATTCACATCTACCTCTCGACTTTCTTCATTTCGCATTTATTTTTATTCTTTATTTATATTTTAGTTGATCTTTTTCTATACTCGTCAAAATGGCCGACTACGACGACGCCTACGAGGAGGAGTTTTACGATGATGAGGAGGGAATCACGTCGGAGGACTGCTGGACCGTTATTTCGTCCTTTTTCGACACGAAAGGTCTAGTGTCTCAGCAGCTGGATTCGTTCGATGAATTCGTCTCGTCGACGATGCAAGAGTTGGTGGAGGAACAAGGCCAAGTCACGCTCGACCAGACGCTTCCGCCCTCCGAAAACGAAATCGACCCCATCGTTGTCCGTCGCTATGAGCTCAAATTCGGTACCGTGATGCTTTCAAGGCCCTCCGTAACTGAGGGTGATGGTGCAACCACGATTATGTTGCCGCAAGAGGCTCGTTTGCGAAACTTGACATACGCCAGTCCGCTTTACCTCGGAATCACGAAGAAAATTATGGAAGGCCGGGAAAAGGCGGTAGGCGATCGGGATGACGATGAGATGGGAGATGACGACGAGGACAGGAAAGCGCGTGGTACCTTCCTCTCGTGGGAGCAGAAACACCTTCCGGAGGATCAGGCCAAGGAGGAGACTGTCTTCATCGGAAAGGTGCCTATTATGCTCAAGTCCAAGTACTGTATTCTCAAGGATTTGAGTGAACAGGCGCTTTACAACTGGAACGAGTGCCCCTACGACTCTGGCGGTTACTTTATTATCAACGGAAGTGAGAAGGTTCTTATCGCACAGGAACGGAGTGCCGGTAACACCGTTCAGGTGTTCAAGAAAGCGCCGCCCAGCCCTACGCCTTACGTTGCCGAAATTCGAAGTGCTGTTGAGAAGGGCTCGAGACTCCTTTCGCAGCTTTCTCTGAAGCTGTTTGCCAAGGGTGACAGTGCCAAAGGTGGATTTGGACCTACCATTAGGTCTACTCTGCCCTATGTGAAGGCCGATATTCCCATTGTGGTTGTTTTCAGAGCGCTGGGCGTGGTTTCGGATGAGGACATTCTTAACCATATTTGCTACGACCGCAACGATACACCAATGCTGGAGATGTTGAAGCCGTGTATTGAGGAAGGTTTCGTCATTCAGGACCGTGAAGTCGCTCTGGACTTCATCGCCAAGAGAGGATCTACTCAGTCGAGCATGAACCATGACCGCCGTGTCCGGTACGCGAGAGAAATCATGCAGAAGGAGTTCCTTCCCCATATCTCTCAGAACGAGGGAAGTGAAACTCGCAAGGCTTTCTTCTTGGGTTACATGGTGCACAGGCTCTTGCAGTGCGCTTTGGGTCGGGCTGATCCTGATGATCGTGACCACTTCGGAAAGAAGCGTCTTGATCTTGCTGGTCCACTTCTTGCAAACCTCTTCCGGGTGTTGTTCACCCGTGTCACCCGTGACCTTCAGCGGTACGTGCAAAGATGTGTGGAGACCAACCGTGAGATATACTTGAACATTGGTATCAAGGCCAGCACCTTGACCGGAGGTTTGAAATACGCCCTGGCCACGGGTAACTGGGGTGAACAGAAGAAGGCGGCCAGCGCGAAGGCAGGTGTGTCGCAAGTGCTCAGTCGATACACATATGCTTCTACCCTATCGCATCTTCGTCGGACAAACACCCCGATTGGCCGTGACGGAAAGATTGCCAAACCGCGGCAACTTCACAACACTCACTGGGGTTTGGTGTGTCCTGCAGAAACTCCGGAAGGTCAAGCTTGTGGTTTGGTCAAGAACCTGGCGCTTATGTGCTACATTACCGTTGGTACGCCCAGCGAGCCTATTATCGACTTCATGATCCAGCGAAACATGGAAGTTCTCGAGGAGTTTGAGCCTCAAGTGACGCCCAATGCCACCAAGGTCTTTGTCAATGGTGTCTGGGTTGGTATCCATCGTGACTCTGCTCATCTGGTAAACACCATGCTTGCCCTGCGTCGTCGCAACATGATTTCGCACGAAGTTAGTTTGGTTCGGGATATCCGTGAGCGTGAGTTCAAGATCTTTACCGATGCTGGTCGTGTTTGCCGGCCGCTGTTCGTCATCGACAATGACCCGAAGAGCGATAACAGCGGCTCGCTGGTGCTCAACAAAGAGCACATTCGGAAGCTGGAGGAAGACAAGGAATTGCCCCCTGACCTTGATCCCGAAGAGCGCAGGGAACGCTACTTCGGATGGGATGGTCTTGTGAAATCGGGAGTTGTGGAATACGTCGATGCAGAAGAAGAAGAGACAATCATGATTTCCATGACGCCCGAAGATTTGGAAATCTCGAAACAGCTCCAGGCCGGTTATACTCTTCCCCCGGAAGAGGATCCCAACAAGCGTGTACGGTCGATTCTGAGTCAGAAGGCGCATACATGGACGCACTGCGAGATTCATCCGAGTATGATTCTTGGTGTCTGCGCCAGTATCATTCCGTTCCCCGATCACAACCAGTCGCCCCGTAACACTTACCAAGCAGCAATGGGTAAACAAGCCATGGGTGTGTTCTTGACCAACTTCGACCAGCGAATGGAAACAATGGCGAATATTCTGTACTACCCACAAAAGCCGTTGGCGACAACACGGTCGATGGAGTTCCTTCGGTTCCGTGAGCTGCCCGCAGGGCAAAATGCCATTGTCGCCATTGCCTGTTACTCGGGATACAACCAGGAAGATTCCGTTATCATGAACCAGAGCAGTATCGATCGTGGTCTCTTCCGCAGTCTTTTCTACCGTACATACACCGACACGGAGAAGATGGTTGGCTTGACGGTTGTTGAGCGGTTTGAGAAGCCGATGCGCAACGATACCCTCGGTATGCGAAAAGGTACATATGACAAGATCGATGACGATGGTATCATCGCCCCCGGTGTCCGTGTTTCCGGAGAGGATATCATCATCGGTAAGACGGCACCCTTGGCTCCTGAAGCGGAGGAACTCGGTCAAAGAACCAAGTCGCACACCAAGCTTGACGTGTCGACGCCTCTGCGTAGCACGGAAAGCGGTATCGTGGACCAGGTCCTGGTTTCCACCAGCAATGACGACTTGAAGTTCGTCAAGGTCCGTATGAGGACCACAAAGATTCCTCAGATCGGTGACAAGTTCGCTTCCCGTCACGGACAGAAGGGTACGATTGGTATCACCTACCGACAAGAGGACATGCCGTTTACTCGGGAGGGTCTGGCCCCTGATCTGGTCATCAACCCGCACGCCATTCCATCTCGTATGACCATTGCCCATTTGATCGAGTGTCAACTCAGTAAGGTATCTGCACTACGTGGATTCGAAGGTGATGCGACACCTTTCACCGACGTCACAGTCGACTCAGTCTCGCGGCTGCTGCGTGAGCACGGTTACCAATCGCGTGGGTTCGAAGTGATGTACAACGGCCACACGGGCCGTAAAATGGTTGCGCAAGTGTTCCTGGGCCCGACATACTACCAACGTCTGCGACACATGGTCGACGACAAGATCCACGCGCGTGCTCGTGGCCCCACCCAGATCCTGACACGACAGCCGGTGGAAGGTCGTGCCCGTGATGGTGGATTGCGTTTCGGAGAAATGGAGCGTGACTGTATGATTGCTCACGGAGCCAGTTCGTTCTTGAAGGAACGTCTGTTTGATGTGTCGGATCCGTTCCGGGTGCACATTTGCGACGACTGTGGATTGATGACTCCTGTTGCGTAAGTTTTCCTACTCCCCTGTTACTATGGATAATGGCTGACAGCTGCAGGAAACTCAAAAAGGGATTGTTCGAATGCCGACTGTGCAACAACAAGCACCGAATCTCGCAGGTGCATATTCCGTATGCGGCCAAGCTTCTCTTCCAAGAGCTGGCGTCGATGAACATTACCGCTCGGATGTTCACCAACCGCTCGGGGGTGTCGGTGCGGTGATTTCTTCCATCCCCACATTCACCACCATAATCATGATAATTTCGCACTTGTTTATTTTGCTTTTGTGGCGTCCAGCGGGTTGCAAGATGGATTGTTTAGTTCTCTTCTACACTATTTACATACATTACAGCAAGCAATTGGGGGATGAAAATAGCCAGCATGTTAGGGATTATTGGGCCTGGACTTTTTGGTGTTGATTTCTTCTGTCATATTGTTGTATCTTTTCTTGTCTTCGACCCCTCCTCGATGTAAAATAAGCACACGATGCAATGCACTTATGCACGTTATGCATGTTCTTCAACAAGATGCACCATTTATGGCCAATCAAGGTCCTGGGTTTACCGCCAGACAGATATGGCCCACCGTAGTAGCCCTACGACAGACTCTGATTGGGGGATCTCAGTGCAGACAATGGAATCATTCCACCAATTAAGAGATCTAAATACCCGCCCAGCACCTGTCGGACCCTCCATCACCAGCGGGGAATCCTTTTAAACCCTCTCGTTGGCTAGGCACTCTCCACTTCCCGAGTGTTGCCCAGAATAGCATCAGCAGCCAGTACCGTATCGTCACAATACCGGTACCGTTGACATGACGGGCGCCTCTTAAAGACAGCCGCAAACCTGCATCTCATTTTCTCTTTTTTCTCTTCTTTTCTTCAGCAAGTTTTGTTCTTCTTTTTTTTTTCGAGTTGCCTTTAGTTTGGAGTATCCTGGTTGCACTGGCTGCATCAGGTTTTTTTTTTCTCTTATTTACTATATTCTAATATCCAAGACCACTTCCCATATCAAAAATCCCCATACATTATTCCCCCAGAGCTGTGCTCATTACCCTTTATTTTATTATCATCTTTTCAACTTATTATTTGACTCCTGACTATACAATTTATTTCCAACATCTTGACATTTGCGTTGCTGGTCGACGTGTGTTTCTGTTGGCTCAGCTCGATATACTGACTATACTTAACTTCCTGCTCGATAATTCTATTCGCCTTCTCGCTTCTGGACCGGTTCCATTAACGAGAAGTATTCGTGTGTTTGTTTCATCTCGACTCGATCTCAATTTACTCGTTCAGCCAATTTCATTGAATCTGCTCTGGTAGCGTTTCAGTCTGCGACGAACGAACCCTAACACGGCACGAATTTATCAACACTCCGAACATTCTCTATAATATAATTCTATTGAATCCTTTGAATTTACGAAAAAAAAAAAAAAAAACTAAAGAACAAAATGGCCGCCGTTCAGCTCAAGTTTAACCTCCGCACTTCGCCTAACGTCAAGACCGTGCACTTGGTCGGTTCGTGGGACCACTACGATCGCCAGATTCCTCTCTCCAGGGATTCGTCCAAGCCTGGTGCGTGGGTGGGCAAGTTCCGGTTTCAGACGTCGATGCTCAAGTTGGGTGGGAGATACTGGTACTACGTGAGTTGCCATACAACCAATTTGTATGAAGCGGGATGCTAATGATGGACAGTACATCATGGATGGCTACCAAGTCTCCCACGACCCTGCCGTCGAATACACCGTCGAACCCACCACCGGCCGCAAGCTCAACATCCTCGACGTCCCCTCCGGCAAGGCCACCCCCTCAGCCCCCAAAACCCGCCGGGAATCCGAGGACGTCGCCAAGGGCCGCGCCCTCTCCCCGTCGCGCATCCACCACCCAAAGCCATCCAAGCCCTACGCCTCGCGCCAGCTCCGCGAAGCAGACTTTGCACCCACCATGGATGACCTCACCCGCCGCTTCGCAGGCTCCCGCATGTCCGACGAGTACTCACCCTACTCCTCCCAATCGTCCTACTCCAACAGCCCGCCCAGCTCCGCTGGCTCCTCGCTGTCCTCCCGCTCCTCGGGTAGCACCTCTCCTTCTTCGCTGTCGTCCATGAGTGACCCGCCTACGTCCATCTGCCACTGCGAGCGGTACGGAATCACTCGCAAGGGAGACCGTGTCAAGCTTGACTGCGGGGGAAGCCGGTGCGGATACGTGACGGAGTCGAGCGAGGCTAGTTGCTCGGAGTCGGATAGTGATGAGGAGTATCGCCAGGCGAAGGCTGCTGTGCGCCGTCAGGGTATTGTCGTGAGGAGGTAATCGAATCGAGTGCACACTGTTTCCCTTGTTTCTCGATTTCAATCTACAATTACGAATACGATGGCCCGTGGATGATAATCCAGTGCACGTGGCAGCCAGAACACAACCCGGCCCGGCCGGCTTGGCTATATTTGAGCCGTTATGGCCACCAACAGTTTCGCATGATTACATGCGCAGTCACTCCTTTGACTGACAGGTGACAGTTACCTGCA